AGAGAAGATCTGGGCGAAGGTTTTCTTCAGTTATGATTGATGGTGAAAGATAGCCAGGTATATCAGCGTAGATGGTAGATTCATTAACAGCTTTAAGAGACGTAGCTAGAAAGTTTAAGATAGAGTTATGACGCCAGGTGTATCGGCCTTGTTCCAAGTATGTTTTGCAGCCAGCAACAACGTGAAGGAGGGTTTCTGGCAGAAAACAGAAAGAACAATCAGAAGTCTGGCTCAAGTTCCACTTTTTCAAGTTTTTCTGTGTAGCAAGGGTATTGTTCAGGTACCTTATGGTGAAATTGAAAATATTCTGAGGCATGCTACTTTGCACCTTGGACCAGAGTTTGTTTATTTGTGGAAGATCCTGGTTAAAAAGATGTGACAATAAAGATCCTTGGGAAGTTAGAATGTTTTGCAGACGATCTTTATGTTCTTGCTGGACAGCTTTTAATGCTTCTTTCGTGTTCCTATATATATCATATTGTATATTTGTGCTACTGCTGGTATTTTTCCATAAAGAGCGAATGTTATCGTTTGGTGAAGATTTCAATGCGTTGCGTAAAATAGTTTGACACTGTAGGAATTTGGCGGATGGTAAAGTTAGGCTGAGTCCAAACTGGTTTTTAGAAAGAATAATGCTACTCAAGGTAGCACTTATTGGGAGGTCGAGCCACTGGCGGATGTATTTGGATACAAGGTTGTCAAGATTCTCGACAACCCACGTCTTTGAAAGATCTGCTACAGTAAGGTTCCAAGAGATTTTAGAAAGAACAAAGTTGTGATAAAGAAGCAACTTATTTTTTGCATGTAGAGGCTGGGAATCAATTTGTTTGAGCATGTTGGACAGTGATGATAAAAGATCAGATTTATGTTCTTGGTTTGTCATTTCAAAGTCAAAATGACGACCGAGGTACTTAAAAGAATTTCCATTCGAGACAGGTGGGATAGATTCGTTGTTTATGAAAAGCTTAGGTTGATACTGAAGAGAACGTGTGGAAAATTTCTTTATTCCAAAAGTGATGCATTTATCGACACGTATGATCATGTTAGCCCATTGGCACCAGCGAGTGAAACAATTTAGTAGAAGTTGGTTTTCTTTCTCATTGCTGGTGATAACGGCAGCATCGTCTGCGAATTGAAACCAATGGACTGGTTGAAACATACGGTCGTTCTGATCATGTGGGGAGAAACCTAACTGTTTGTATTTTTCAGCTTTTATGTACTGTATGAATGTGTTGAAGCATAGATTAAATAGTAGAGGACTGAGGCAGTCGCCTTGAAGAACACCGCGACGGACTGGAATAGCAGGAGTATTATAGTGGCTTGTGATGATAGAGGTTTTAAAATCGGTGTAAAGGCTAGAGATAAGAAGTTGTATGTTGTCAGGGATATGATGGTAAGATAGTACAGTGGGTATCAAATTCTGATGTACTTCTCCAAATGCATTTTTAAGATCGAGAAGAGTGACAACTAGTGAACGTTGCTTGATACGAGCTTTGTTTATGACCTGAGCCATCATGGCAGTATGCTCTAAGGTCCCTGAAATATTCGAGGTGAAGCCTTTTTGTATTTCGTGCTCAATGAGACCATTAACTTTAAGAAAATTAAATAGACTGTCACGCAGGCATGATGTGAAGATTTTCAAAGGCACTGGCTCAAGAGTGATTGGCCTGAAGTTTGCTGGATCGTCATTGCTACCCTTTTTGTGAATTAGGATAGTGCATGCCTTTTTCCACTCTAAAGGAACTTTTCCAGAGAGCCAGATATTATGAATGATATTTGTTATCAAAGAGCGTAAATATGGACATCGTTTAAAAACAATGATGGAAATTTTGTCACGGGGACATGGAGTGGCTGAAGATTTCATACGCCGAATTACTGATGTGATCTTTTCATAAGAAGGAGGCTCCAAAGGAAAAGGGTGATCAGGCTCCCTAAGAGATGGAATCCATGAAGGAATAGAAAAGTTTTTGCATGGCAACAGAGAAGAAAACATTTTAAAGAAATACTGAGAGCATTGATCTTTGGAAAAGGATGGCAGCAGAGTCGAGCTTGTTTGGAGAACGCGTTTGACGTATCCCCAAAAACTCTTTGAAATGAAGTTATCGTGATTTGAGATGTTTTTAACTACGGTAGAAGCAGATGAGTTAAGTCGTTGTCGTAAGAGCCGTGAAACGTATTTAATTTCAATGACAGGTGCGCCGTTTCTTTTCAATAACTGTAGTTCTTTTTTCAATTTTTTGGTAGCATGGTCTTGATATTTTGCAGCAAGTTCTTCATTTACTTCTTCGACAAATCCGCAAGTATCTCTGAAATAATTATAAATTGCTTGATTCATTGACTGTATGGATTGATCAATTGAGGACAGGTCCATGGGGTTGATTGTAAAAAAGTATTTGAAGTATTCGTTAGCGACAGTCCATTCTTCGTTTGACCTTGGAAGACAAACGCCAGGTTTCAGTTCAAAATATTCATTCAAAGAGATATCGGCCAATACAATCTCATTGTCTAGGGTTTCCTCTGATACCTGTTCGAAGGTGTCGTCACTTTGGAAACCGCTAATGACTCGACATCTCCTTTGATGCATTTTCAATCCTTTCATCCCCTTGCATTCTTTACCACAGGAGCATTTGACAATTCTTTCGTTGATGACAGACGCGCTTTCATTTTCTATTTCAATAAATGGAATGTTAATTGATCCCGACGGGCCACTGTCATTGTTGTCCAACCGTCGCTTGCACCTCCAAGTATGGCGGCCTAAGGCCTGAAATTCTTTACCGCAGAACGAACAAATTGCGAAAAACAGCAATATCCAAAGCACGAACGAACGAAACATATTCAAAAAAAAGATACTTTGTTGACACAATAAAAAATAAGTAGTATTTGAATCCGTTGATGTAAGTATCCAGGCAGTTAAATAGCTATAAAACGAGAGCCGTGCACGATGGCATCTGTGCGCCAAAGCTCAACGACAATAACAATAACAATAATAATAATAATAATAATAATAATAATAATAATAATAATAATAAAAATAATAATAATAATAAAAATAATAATAATAATAATAATAAGAAGCCCATCAAGTGAATGTGATAGTTATCATCTAGAGCTTCTTCCTTATTGCTGAATGTCTCGTTTTCGATGCCAACGCTTGGAAAACTTTTTTCTTTAAAAATCGCCGTTTTTATGATTGTTTTAAGCTGAATTGACTCGTTGTTTATTTCTAATGATAGCCTTACAGCCTGAAGAATCAATAAGAATCTTTAAGCATTTCTTTACCGGATATAGAAAATAAATAACAATAACTCCTTTATTTTTAAATAATTTTTAATTCCATTCAAAAGTTCCAAACTTTTGAAATCAAATACTAACTCAACCCTATTTTTGGCTAACACAGCATAAAGTTAAGCAATGTTAATAGATTGTAGCTTTTATTTTGTTTGAGCACAGCTTGACTATATAAAAATATCTTATGTGCTTAACATCAAATGTTCGACAAAAGCAAGTAGTTTCACAGCGTTACTACTACATACCCCTGGACAAACTCCCACGATTTTTAGCATTTTCAACATAGACTGGATCAAAAAAGTCACTTTTAAGTGTTCAGTTTGACAAAAAATCACAATATTAAGATAGAAATTTAAAACTTCCAGAATGCAAAATAACTCACTTCACCATCTTCATCAAATTTGATCTTTGTATTCAGTCTTATCCCTTTTCTGATTATTTTCTTTGCCATAATCACTCTGCTATCAGGAGCTTTTCTACTCTTCACAACTTTGGAGGACTTTTCATCTTTAATTTCCTAAAAAAATTGGCTCAAAGTTAACATAAAATTACATAAAATAGTTTCTCTTGTGTCTCTGAATATTATTTGGGACATGCTTCAAATTTTTTAATATTCTATTTCATATCTCATCTACGAAAACCATTTCTTTCAGAAAAAGAATTATATCTTGTCACTTTTCACTTTTCGATCGACATGAACTTATTTTAAATGCTATCCTATTTCAGTTCCCATGGAGATTTTAAGTACTCTTGAAGCGACTATAGGTTAAATTAAAAATACTGAGTACCTTTTGTGCCTTGAATCAGTGTAATATAATCTGAATTTGAAAAGTCTGAATCGTTATGAAGACAGCAAGCAGCCTAAATCTGAAGGATAAACACAAACAAGAAGCTACAAGCTGAAATATATTATACCAGCAAACCCTCGTCATCCTCGTTTTCATCAACTTCCGTGTAAAGGTGCTTCTTTTTTAGAACTAGCACATCATCTTCTTCGTTTTCGTCAATATCACTGGCTTCATTTTTTCCGTCCTCGTTTCTAGTTTCCATTTCTTCATCTATGCGCTCTTCGTTGTCATCAGATTCTGAATCTTCAGAATCATCATCATTAAGCCTGCTTCTCTTAAAAGCCTTCTCTAATTTTTCATCCTTTTGAGCTTCTTTCTTTGCAGAGCCAATTTTCTTCTCAAGTTTCTGAAGAGTCAAACAAAAATGAGCAAACATTTAACCAGGGCACGAAAAAAAATTTTCCTTCTTGCGACCAGACCAAAATCATGCATAAATTTTCTGCAAGAATAGGAGCTACATTTGTTTTGTCTTTATATTTTTTCTTTTGATGAACATGAAAGAAACAAAGGTGCTTCTCGCAAAAGTGTATATCTTAAAAAACTCCTGTAGAACTGTAGTCATGAAAAAGTTCCTGCGACCGCCCGGTCACATGGTCGGGTGGGTTTTCATGTCCTGCATTTGACGATTACTGACACAAATCACAAGCGTGACAAGTTAGGCAAATGTAGTGTCCTGAAAAAGCTCCATTGAAGTGACTAATGTCAACTTATGTCAACCACAGACATATGATGTCAATCTAAACATAGGTATCATGTCATGAGTTTATTTGACATAGTCATGCATACATGGAAATTTAAACAAATGAGATTTTCATTATAATTGTACACAAAGTGAAACAAATTAGACAAAAAGTTAAAATCAATCACCTTCATAAATCTAATCCGTGGAGGAACTGGCAAGCCAAGTGATCTAGAAAGATAATGTACCATAGTAGATATTGACAAAGGAAGCCCTGTAGCTTAGAAATCTTTATATGTAAATCATTAAGATAGTTGTGAAATTGTCTGTTGTTAAGTATTCAATGGCATAGACACAAAGCTTTACATAATTTTGTCTGTATGTAGAATAGATATATCCTTTTCATGAGCAAAAGCTTTCGCGAACAAATGAATGCTTAAAGCCTATAATTCCCCGCACAAACGAAAGTAAATTGATCAAAATTTCCAATAATAATCACTAAGAAATTAAACAAAATTTCAAATATATTTCAAAACTGTTTATATCTCAAAAGATTTTATGAAAATCATTAAACAAATTGATGTAACCCACGTATTAAGAATATATACTTTGGTTACATCTAAAAAATGCTGTGTAATAAAAATTCTAAATTACATGGCATATTCTTTAATTGGCAGCTTTTGAACATCAAAGACCTTTTTGTTTGACTGGAGGAACACTGATCTAGCGTATGACACGATGCTCTAAAAGTAAAAAAATATAAATAATCAGGAAAGTGGTTGATAGCAAACGGATGTTGCCAAGCAAAGAAATCATTGTGTTAATTTGCATAATAATCTGTGACTATAAACATTTGAAACCTTAGAGTGCATGTTAGCAAACATCAGAAGTGTTGCATTTTAGCCACACTTTGCAATAAAGACACTTGATTAAATAGGGACCTATTCAGACTCTTATAGAAGGTGTCAACTTTTTTACCTTGATATACTCGCTTAAATCTTCTCTAACCACCATCATAAATAGGGATCAAAAAGGTTGTAAGCCAACTGAAGGCACATTTTCCTCCAGCATTCCTCGTAATATCAAAGTCAGTGGGTAGAAAATCTATTGACAGATTGACAGAAAGGGTCTGCATCCTCCTTGAGATGGAAAACTTACCTTGAAGTAGGAAAGATTAAGACAAAATAATAGAGACAAATATTAGAGACAAACCCTTTGAGCCCAGTATTTCATTTCCTGACTTTGAGCACAAAAAGATGCCAGTTTGTTCTGTATGCTTTGCATCTTTTTAGGATCTGGTCTATAGACAACAAAAGAGAATATCAACAGTTTTAAAAGTATAGAATTATGAAACTCATAGATGCAAAATCTCTAAATTGAAGACGCCAATTTTCCTGTGATTATAATAGATATGTAAAAAAACTAAAAAGCACATTGAGTTCAAAATAGAGAGCTGACATAGAACGTTAGCTTCCATTTCAGCAAAAAATTTCCAGAGATCGTTCAATATATCTAGATAGTTCTGAAAGAGAACTGTATTTATCAAGTAATTTCATATTACTATTCATGGCAAAGATCAGAAACACTTAAGTTCTGCAATAACGTGGCTTATAGAATCATTTTCTGCTTGTCTTTGTTATATTTAAAAACGATGAATTTTAAACATAGATTGCTGTAAAATGTGCATATCTCTAATCTGAGCAAATTTTCTAAGCGAATGAAAAAAAAACCAACCTGATCTCTTGTATTGGAACCTTTTTTGCTTCTAATTGCTAAGAGGAATAGATGTTTCTAAAATAGCTTGCAAACAAAAAATAGGTAGGTAAAGGGCTTATCTTTGAAGATAAGATCGCGAAAACCAAAGATTAAGATAGCATAAATATACTTTATTTGATTGGCATAAATAAAAGTCACTCATTGTAACTTAGGAGGAATCTGGTAGAAAACCAAGAATCAGAAAACCAGAATGAATGCCATCATGTCATTTACGGTATTTTATTGTCTATCTACAGAGAGGCAATATGTCAATGGTTGATTTGATGATCTTTTCAGTCAGTTTGAGAAACAGCTTGATTACAAAATACTTGAAAAGTACCTTTATCATCTCGGCTTCCTCTGAAGGTAGCAAAATAAGCAATGCTTGTCCATCCTTTTCAAGTCTGAAATATAAACAAAGGAAATAGGAAATTCCTTGAACATTAAATGAAAGAAGAAATTGTCGTGTTCAATCTCAGCTTAAAGATATCCCATTAAGATATCATAAACTCAATATATGTTTTAATCAGTTAGTAACCCTCCATTGAATCCAGGTCTCATAGTGCTTAATCTGCAAGACATTAAGCACCCCCCTGAAAGCCTGAAAATCACGAGCCTGTTAGTCGAATCTGATAGATATCAACACATATTGAAACAATCCTATTACCAAAAACAGGCAATCCACTACGTCAATATATTCCTATACACTGTCTTAAGAACTCACCGAGCAGTCCTACCGACTCTGTGGATATAGGTATTGGTATCCTCGGGGCAATCAAACTGGACAACCCATTGAACTTCGGGAAAGTCTGCAAAATTAGACATGGAAAGGATAAATATGAAAATTTCCTATTTATTTTTATGTGTTATGAGACTGGCTACGGAGAAATATAGCTTGTACTTGACAGAAACGTAAAACACAATAAATAGAAAATTTAGTAGATAAAATGACTCTGGATACAAAAAATGCTAAAATGTTAAATTTTGCACTCTTTACTGAGGAAAAAAAGGAGAAAATTGCTTGTGGGTTATAACAGAGTTTGGCTAGCTCTCTCGTGTAGCAGCAATTTTTGCTTTGGTCTTGTATTTAACGTTTGAGGGAGTGCAAAAAGTCCCATTAAACGGTATGGAGATCTTACAATAAACTCAAGAAATGGAAAGAAACTAACAGCTCGAATAAATATATTTTATAATACATAGAACAAAGCATGTCCAATGCATAGCTTGAGCCCAGAAAGGACAATCTACTAACCCAAGCCTCTTGCAGCAATATCAGTGGCAAACAAAAACGCACTAGCTTTTCTACAAAATTCTTCATAAATTCCAACTCTTTTTATCTGCTTTTGTTTGCCATATAGGGCCATAAGAGGGACACCAGGTCGTAATCGTCGAAAAACTTCATAGAAAAATTTAACCTGGAAAGAAAATTTGAATGAAATTATCCAGACAATCTCAGTATTTCTAATAGCAGAACAAGGGAAGGGCAGGCTGATAGGACAAGCAATATTAGTATAACCTTCAATCCTGGACAAAATTGTTGAGACAAAATAAAATTTTGCAATTTTCTATTTGACATTAAACCCGAAAATTCGAATCCCCCTTTACCCTCCGAACCCAATGTTGGATTTGTAGTTATGTCATTTGTGCTTCAAAATCACGCATTAAAGATTGAATGGGGGAAGGAAAATTTTGTTTTTGGAGGAAAGAGAAAACATCAACTTGCTTGAAAAGTCTTAAATTGTTTTTGTCCGGAATTGTAGCTATACACAGAAATGGAGGATGCAAACATTTTAACAAAGAGCTTATAAAAAAAGACCAAAGGAATTTTAAATTTTATTTGCAACCTCTGTACAAATTGGTAATCGGTTGAAACTTGGCTTATTTGCATATTTCATATTGTAATTTGATTTTTTTTCATTGAAACACAGACAAGAAACGCGTAATAAAAATTTAAAAACCTATAATCCAGACTGCAGAAAGCATTAACCAGAAAAGTCTTGGCTATAAAGCTAATCATGCATTAAAAATAGATTGCAAAGATTAGAGAAAGATTGATAAAGATTAACATAGATTGCAAAGATTGATAAAGAGAGACAAAGAAAGATTGCAAAATAAAAGTGAGGAACATGCCTGCTTGCAACTCGACATAAAAATAATGACTTTTGATTTGAGGTGATTCTTGATAAATGAGTACAAAAAGTTGATTTTGTCTTGCAGCTCACAGATAACAAAATACTGAAAGATAAACCATTGTCAAGTAAGTAATACTTGAAAAATGTTTGCATCGACACAAAATATCTTTTAACAAAAAAAAATAATATAATAAAAGTAATAGATTTACCAGCCACAATAAAATTATTCTTGTTCAACATTTAGAAAAGTTTAAATTTAATCTTAACCTTTGCTTAAAATCAGAAGAATTCAAACAGAAACAAGAAAGAACAAATCACTTGACATTTTTAAAAACTGAAAGCAAGAGATAATGAATTTTACAGTATTTGATTTTACATCTAGAAAAAAAGGAACATTTTAGCATGTGAATAATGTGCTACTTAGTTCCCTCTTGTACCTAACTTTGATAAACCGCATAGGACAGAGGGTGCTAACCTCCAATTTGGAAATAAGTTTGGAAATAGCAATGTTAGTGGGCCAACTTCAAAACTGGTGTTGAAACTCTACATTTCAATTGATGTTCCACTCCTTCTATTGTTCCTTTCAAGTTACTTAAAATTCAAAATTTTCCACAAATTGCAAGCACTGATGCTACTTCTACAGGCAACTTAAAAACATGAAAGTGAATTTTACGAGGTAGTTTTGCTTTGAGTTATTTGGAGCAGGTTTTATCCTTCCAGGATCTTTCTACTTGCAACAGTATATTCAAGATACACAATCAAAGGGACAGAAAAAGTTGAAAATATAGAATGAAGAGCATTGAGGTTATATTAAACAAAGCTTATTACGAACATACCTGTGAAAGTTTTTTAGGAGTGATAAATTTTGCTTTTTCATGTACAGACACATATGAAGGATCCTGTAATACAAAACTATGTTATATGTTGAATCTAACAAAGAGTAGACAAATTACTGTAAAAGAACATGCTTAGAACAACTTGCAAAGAAACTGAATTCTGAAACCTTTAAACTCAAACGGGCTAAATCCTTGACCGACCTAGAAAATACAAAATAAAACAAATGGTAGAGAATATGCCATAACAGAGAATCAATACAAAATGAAGATTTATTTAGATGCCATGAAAAAAAGATAGCAGAAGATAATATTGATGGAAAGAAGCTGATGTTTTTTAATTGTAAACCTTTTACTTTATAGGGATTTTGAAGAAATATGCATGAACCAACATAAATTATTGATTTTTTTAAGTTTAGATTCAACAATATCCAGTGCAAGGATCCTTATTTAATAATCAAGAACCTTTCCATTGATAAAAAATCATTCAATGTCAAGATTGACTTTGAGCTGGGATTAGCAAAGAAAGATTTCTTGCAGATTCAAATGACAATCATGACTCTTTCAGGAATACACTAGACTTACTCCATGTGTTATAGCGCCCATCAAGTTGGGCAGTAAAAAAACAAAGGCTTGTGGAGTAAGTCTAAGTCTACATAACAAAGCAAAAACAGGGTGATGTGTTTACGCTACATTGAAATTCAATGAACTTTAAGTGAATTTTCATACTTTGTTTGTGTAGCAGAGAATAGTAATGTTTGTCTTTCAAGTGGCAAATTTTCAATGATTGCATTCATGGCATCTTGAAAACCCATATCAAGAATCCTGTCTGCTTCATCAAGAACTGAAAAACAAGGAAACCCCAATTTTCAAACTCAACAAACATTAAATAAAGTGATTCCTTTCATATATTTGGCTCGAACTCCAAAATTTAGAATTTTTTACTTCCAGTTAGGATGGGAAATGCCAAGTTTCAAAATGCACAGAAAACAAAAGAATAACTACCAAAAACAAGAGGGGAGCACGCTGTCTTGAATAAAGCAAATAGGAATAACTGAATAAAAATGTGTTTAATTGAGGCAGGTGTGTGTCCTTAGGGCCTATAGGGGTGTCATAACCCCTGAACTTTTCCATTGATGATTCACTAACAACTATTGTTTTAGGTCAACTAACAGCAACTAAGTGTTTTAGGTCTGCACACTTTAGAGAAGTCAGAAAAGGGGCAATAGAACAAAAAGCAGATGCAAGTCAATTGAGTAGATGCAAGCAAAAACTGATCACAAAGTTGATCAATAAAACATGTAATGAGCAAAATTTACAAAATGATTACCTAAGACTTTAAGATTGTTGCAGTCAAAGCTAGGTGTTTCATCCATATGTTGTAAAAGTCGCCCTGGTGTACAGACTATGATATTTGTATCAAGGATTCGAGCTTGTTCTTCTTTCATGTCCTGAGGAAAGAAATGAGAAGCATGCTAATATTTTGCTTGATTATCTGCAAATATTGTTCATGATATCCTGATGAAATGATGGCTTTTACAGAGATAAGGTAAATATGGTACCCTCATTTTTACCAAACAAACATCAACAAACAAGAATTGTAAGTGTTTGGTCCTGCCCTTGATCAAGATGTATGGATGGCTTGCTTACAGCAGGAAGCAAGGAAGTAGCAGAGAGAATTTTGATAACATACTGATTCATTGTTGTGATGATAAAAGAATTGAAACGAACAACCAATAGCAAAGAGGGAAATGAGTGATAGTGTGGTGAGCCTGACTCCAATAGAAATCCAAACTATCATTTTGAGGCTTTTAAAACAGTTTTGGATAATTATTTTTAGACATTGCATTACATTGTGCTATGATAAATTATTACACTGCACATGATGCAAGATCTTTGACGCAGTATGTCCTCTCATCAATAACTTGTTAATGGTAGTATATCTCTTGCAGGTAAAGAAATGAAGTAGAATTCCTCCCTATGCCTGCTATTTAAATGTATCATCATATGACCAATTATGATACACTCCTTCTTGTTGGTCTTTGCAGAACCAAAAATTAGAGAATCGGGGATTCACTCAGTGAAATAGTTTTTGGTTGTGAAGTATATCACTTTTGCCAATCAGCTCCATTTTGAGATTATAAAGGGTAAAAAGTAGAGTGTACTGGTCAAAAAGAAGACCAACTTGAAAAAAGGACCAATAGTTTCATATGAAAATATGTTAAACTGATCATTATACAAGTAAATGAAAACAAATGAACAATGTCATACTCATGCCTTATTCAATGAATGAATCAAATTATTAAAGAGAAATGGTATACTCATGCCTTCTTCAAGTATCAAACTTTACATTGAAGTTGCTTTTTACATTATAAAAGTAAAGTTACTACATACCTTGCCTCCAATGATCAAGCCAGCAGAAAAACTATGGAATTTTCCAACTTTGCGCAGAACTTCAAAAGTCTGGTAAGCCTACAAAATTTTAAAACAAAGTGATACTGGATTTGAACAAAGGTTTCTAAGCCATAGAATAATAAAGACAATAACCAATGGATTTAGATTAAAGTTTTAAAACAAAACAATCACAAAGACAATAATTGTCACAAACTTACAAGCTCTCTGGTTGGTGAGATCACCAGGGCACCAAGCCCATCTAGGGTAGTGAACTTTTCTTTCCAAAGCAATTCTAGAATCTGATGAAAACTCACAAATCTCAAACTTGGAAAAACAATTGACTGACTAAAAAGGCAGTCCTGCAGTTGCATAAAAATTCTGCTTATCATTTTGGCCCTGACTAACATACTGACTGTGTAAACCCTTTTCACTTTTGTGGTTTTTCATTTGCATTTCATGGAAGCAGCAACAAACAAAGAAACAAAATAAAACTGCAAACTGATAGTACTGATCACCCAAAACTTCAATAAACGGCTCAAAAATTATACTTTTTGAAGATTGGGCAAAAATAATACTTTCAGATGAAGGTACCTACTTTAACATTATGACAACTAAATGCAATCAAAAAATGAGCACAATCTGGAAGTGAGTGGGATTTTTAATTTCCAAAAATGCACAATACTGAGAGTAGGCCTCCACCAAAATTAACATTTTCAAAAAATTTCCGTTGTAATGCATAGAATGGCAATAGGGAAAAATAAAAGCAACTAAATAGCTTGAATTTCAAATAACTGCCTTTGTCCTCATACAGCAGAACAAGCAAGATGCAAAATGACATTATTAACAACCTGAAGGAATCGGGAAAAGCTAATGACTCTGTTGCTAAAGAAAAAACTTCATATATCCTCAGTAAGCTAACTTTTCAAGCTTCGAACCTGACCAGCTGTTAGCGATTTTTATCAGATGAAAATACTTCTAAGCTTTTTTACCCTTTTTGACACCTATTTGGCTTGTCCATATTGACCAAATAACAGAATATTGTGTAAATTTGGTAAAGAAAAACCCCAAGGATTGAATAGCCTTAGCAGGAACTATAATTGCGATTGGTTCAAAAAAGTAGTTTGAAATGCATGCATTTTTTGTGCAATGTCTGTTAAGGCTGATTTCCACGAGGCGAATTCGTGGCGAAATCGCTGATAAAGGCATCAAGGCATGCGCAGTTTTGATTTTTGATTTCGCAGCGAATTCGCAAGAAAGTAGAAAAGAGTTCTACTTCTTCTCGGCGAAATATTTCGCAGCACCTAATAACCAGTCAAAGCAGGGTAAATTTGCTTGATTTGTAAGAAAACAATCTTGGAACATTCGTCATGCATGCAGTTCTTAAAATAGGCGCCTTAAAGTTGAGTTTTGGGGGAAATCATTATATAATTTTGCAGCGAATTCGCAGTCTCGTTGAAATCAAAGACAATTTCGAAGCGAATTTGCTGCGAATTTTGCCTCGTGGAAATCAGCCTTTACGATAAAAGAGCATCTTGATGATTCAAAAACAACATGGAACAATGACAGTTAAAATGATTAATTTCTTTCAGCTAACAAACTCTTATAATAAATGTTAAAAAAGATCAAACACTTCTGTCTACACAATAGCGGTTTTTTCATGCTTTATGTAGATGGATTTCAAAACTGTTAGTGCTTGTGTTTCTAATTGGCCTATTTTGATCCACAGCTGGGTATATATATTTCCTAGGATATTTTTTTACCTATGTTCTGACGTTCTATACCCTGAAGAGCATCAGGCCAAAAGCTTAAGTATGTTCTAAAAATTTTGCTTTTTTAGAGCCATTTTTAAATTTCATACCACAAAAAGATTGTTAACTCTTATTTTGTTTCTAAAAGATTTTGTTAAGCAGAAAGCTAACTTTATCATTAACCCATTGAATGAATAATAAAGCTTTATTTGCTTTTCTGAAATGTTCTTCTGGCTGGTTGCCTTTCTTGGCCATGATAGTGGCTAAAAGTGACTCGTGACAACGAGTCTGAAGAAGACTATCTAGGATGGATGATTCAAGGACACAGAAGTTAACAAGTACATATGTATATAGAAAGAGATTTGCTTTCTATATTTAAAAAGAGACTTGTTCAAAATCTAAAAAACATACTGGAATGATGAATGCCAATGTCTTTCCAGAACCTGTCTTGGCTGCTCCAAGAACGTCCAACCCCCTCAGTGCCAGAGCAATTCCTTCCTTTTGAATTTCAGTTGGAGAAATGAAATTAGCTTTTATCAGTCCTAAAATTTGAAACAACGTACAGTAAAATAATATCTTAACATTACAATTTCAAACCCAATGTTGATTTTTGAGAAAGGTACATAGATAGCAAATGAAAAATTGATGATACACAGAACTGAGAATAAATCTTTACATTTTGGCAATTTTTGTATTCAATATTACATATATCACACCAGGTCGAAAATAATTTCACTTCCTTGCAACAAAAATTCGTGATTCTTAACCAATTCCAAATATATTTCATTAAAACTTTGGTATACTGACCATTCAGTGTTTTGGAACTGATTGGAAAATCATCAAATTTTGAAAAATTTTGCCATGCTATCTATTGAAAGAATAAATATATAACAATTATACATGATATTATGTGTCAGTTATTTAAAAGAGTTATATCAGTTTACAATAATTAAGAAAGGATATGATGGATAACAGCAGCAACGAGATATATTTCATTTCGACCAGGGCCGTAAATCCCGGGGGGGACGGGGGGGACTGGACCCCCCCCCAAAAATTTGGAACAAGACGATTTTTTATAGAAATTACCATCATTTTCCTTGAAAGAAAGAAATCCCTAGTAGCTGGGTTAGAACCAAACTACGTTTTTCTGTGTTATTGCAAAAAACCTAAGTCATGGTGTCAAGTGCAAGTTGACTTTTACTGATGGCCGTTATTTTTGCAAGCAGAGTTAGTTTTTATCATTTTTACAAGATAAAAGTTTTTGCTGTTTTTTACCGTTTTCTACCATTTTATTTTTGATAACAGATTATGAAATAAAAAAAGAGCAAACTGTCATTTTATTTGACCTATTTACTAACTTATTTACGTATATTTCTATTATTTGTCTATTATTTGCTTTTATTTAGTAAATCATTTTCTGTATCATTACAATGTATTCATTTTTTATGTGTAAACATGACCTACTTAAAGCACTTTAAATAAGATATTTCTGTTCAGGAAGTAAATTTCTACCAATCAATACAACAGCGTCCCATATTTCCCCAACGTCTGTCACTAAAGTTTAAGCACGATTCTTCCCCTCCACAATTTCACCCAGTGAACAATAATCTGTGTTCTTCTGAGAAACGTCGAATTTTCTATCTTGGGTGATCTAGTATTTTATGAAATTTATAATGTCTGGGGATGCTTTTTTAGCCTTTCTAGAAGGTATAATTTCAAAAATTTCCTTCTCCGTCGGACCCAACCATGGTGAGTCCTCCTACGCCTCTAAAAAACTTGATTCTCAACTCCCAATGTTCAATTCTTGGGGTTGTCTCTGAAAAATGTTATCCATCCAATTATACACACAAAAGTCAATGTACTAAGGAATATCTGTAAATACCTTCTACAGAGCAGAAAGTCTTGAGAAATCCAAAAAAATTGACTTTGTTTTTAAAGTCATTTGCCCCATCAACTGTTTCCATACACACATACCATAATTCGCTTGTGGTGCCATGACTCACTCCATGCTTTATATTCATTCGCTCTGCTGACCCCCCCAATTCACATGACAGATTTGCGGCCCTGATTTCGACTCGAAATAAGGGGTCAAAAGAAACATTCCTATTTCTACTATGAGTTCTAAAGCATTGAAATGAATTAAAAACTGTGCATGGATAGAATTTTTACCTGACCCTCACGAATTTAGAATAAAGTGCAAAGAGAGTGAATCTTTTTGTAACATGGAGTTAACAGTTAAGGAAATATGTTGGTCTATCAACAAACTAGTGTTTTCTTGTATGAAAAAAAAGCTAAATTCGATTCAAATAAACACATCACCTCTTCAGAACACTGCTCCTTAAGTTCCTCTATCTCTGTTTCCTCTTTGTTACGATCATTCCGTCTTGGTCTCTGTTTTGATTTGTTTGAATGACTTTTTTTACGGTTGTTTGCATCTCGTTTACCATGTTCCACTTCTCCGTCCGCCGCCATGATTGTTCAACACATGCGAAAATTGAACAAAATATCGCCAAGTACTCGATGTAAGAGGATACTTCGCTCCTCCGTGTTACATGACTAAAGGAAGGGGTTCCATGGGGTCGATGCTAAGGGTGGTAGGTGGAGGCTTTTCGGGCAACCCCGCAAAACCTGATGAATTTTAGATAAAACTGAAAACCGAGACTAAATTAAGGAAAATTCATGATTCAAAACTCAAATCCTACACGTTACACAGAAAAAGCCGCAACCCACTGACTGAGATTGGCAAAACCCACAACCCCGGTACTTCAATTGGCGGAGGACAGGGGTGTCCAATTTTGAAATATGAAAAAACCTTAAAATTGATAAATATTCGAAAACCCTCACTCCAACATTGAAATGCTTCCGACATCGCTGAGTGTAACCTCAGAAGGTATGGGTGATTGCAGTATAGACCATTCCAATTTGGATTTTGATTGTGTTTTGGCACTTTTACTTAATATTAAAGACCGAAAGGCAGTATAAGTTTGAAGAATTATCATTTACCCATAATCATATGCAGTACGTCTCCTTATAATCGAAAGAAAGACAAGAAAAGGGATTTTATTGTGAAAATTAGGACGTAAAACAAAAAAATTATTTTCATCCTCTTCTCTCCTGTATAGTATATAGGCAGTTTTTATACGAACTCCATACAAGATTTTCTTAGCATTTCCTTTTTCACTGTTGAAGGGAAATTTCTTAATTCCAATAAGTCCTGCAGCTGGAGTTGATTGTTTCACTGCTAATATGGGCCGCCCTAGTTAACAGCTTCATTGACTGTTTTACAACAACCTAAAACCGGTTAAAATTGGAAGAACTTTCTAAGAAATTTTTTGGACGACAGTGTGAACAATTTGAACTTATTTTGTCAAAAATTTTGAATCATTCGATTTCATTAGTTTTGATAGCTTTAATATGATAGAAATATTTACACTACAAGAGTTCGGGAAAGATTTAAGAATTCAAGCAAAAAAATATTCCCATACAATCTCTTTCTAAACTCGCCCTATACGCTACGCCTATGAAGATGCTGACAGTTACAAATCAAAGAATTAGTCCTAATTTGCGATTCTTTCACACGATAGCCAGCCATCCTTGATGCAAACTACCTCCTCTATGAATAAACGTTTAACCATGCTGTTCTCCAGTGAAAACTTTCTTAATAACGACAACGTTTGTATGGGGCCAAAACGACAAGTACGAAGCTCAGTAACGTTTGAAAGGGGCCTAAACGACAGGCAGGGTGTTCTTTGAAAAATCGTTGCAAAGCTGAGCCGAGATGCATATGCAGCACCTCATTATAAACAATTACGTCATAGAATGTCAATTTAGAAAGAAAATGATCTAGAATTTAGTTGCTAACAAGCGAAGTTATAAACGATGCTCTATGAGCGTCTAATTAACCTGTCTATGGATCCCCTATGTGTTTATTATACAGGGCCAATGAGCAAAAGAGCCATGTTTAAACGAAGAAAGATATATCTTTATAAAAAACTACAGTGATAACATGAAATTATTCGACCTCTAGGCCTAAGACAAAATCAACACTATGAAGCTTGCTGACTAAAAATGATTGATTCTTTATTATCATTTCTAATTATTGGAGTAAGCAAGGTATAACGATGATAATACGGATTCAAAACCTACTCATGTTATTGAACTATTATAATAATTTTGGGTAAGATGCTAGACACCAGGCAAAAATAAGACCAGAAACGATTTGATCACGAGGCCTGGAACACAGTGCACCTGGAACAAAACGGCCGAATTAGCGAATCCAGATAGGACAATCAAATGAAAGTCAAGTCATACATGTCGAGGAGTTTTTGGCGGTATTAACGTATCACCGGTCGCCTAGGGTCAAGGAACATTCTCCTGCCAATATGACATCCAGGAAAACATGTTACCTATTCGGATTCGGCAGAAAAGGGTAATTAAAACGTTTATCGCATATCAAAATATAAATGTAAAAAAATATAAGGTCTTATCAGTGTTTTAAAGAGTTGCTAAAGGAGGGACATTCAAATCCTTCGTATTTGGTGGTATTTGCTCCATTAAAATATAATTCTTTATATAACGAATTACAGTTATAAAGCAAATAGCAAATTTTAAAGTAATTAGATACTGCAAACGAGTAACAAGGTTATCAATCTAATTCTATTTGCTTTGCAAAGAATAAATAATTATCAATAAAAGTTTATATTTATGCCTAGATACCATATAAGCTGATATTGTACCAGTTACCCAAGAAAGCTCTATTCTATATGCAGAATTCTGAAAAATTGAACAATCACAAACATATACACGATTCTAATAACAAATCTGTAAATTTTAACAAATGACTTCAATTCGTGATAGAAAAATCAGTCTTCTAGCTCTAAACCTTGAGTTTCTTTTGGTAATAGAAAGGCACAAATGGCGGCTAAAAAGCAAAAGCCAGCGTAGAAACTAATGGTCAGGTCAAAATAGTTATGCACAGTTACTTGCGAAAAGAACGGGGTTGCCATACCACCAGTTCTAAAGAACATATTTGCGAGACCAATGCCTTTGCCCCGAAGAAACGTTGGGTAGACCTCTGGGGTGTAGATGACAAGCGCAGAGATAATACCTTGTGCTGTTGCCCTGCCGATCAGCAGACTGGCCAAGTACACACCATACGGCATTCTGAAGTAGAATGGGATAAACGAGGCACCAGCTATAATAAACTGCACTATCAAGCTTTTCTTTCTCCCAAACTTCTCTAAAGCGTAGAAGACAATGATTGTCCCAGGAATCTCAGCAAACCCTGTCCATATCAGATCATAGTAGTCTCCAAGTTCCAAGGGTATGCAGTTTGATTTGCTTGTTTTATCTTTAGAGTCGAATGTTGTGACAAGAAGTACCATTCCATAGTAGCAGAAGCCAGAGGCAAACCAGAGAATAGCTAAGAACAATGTCGTTTTCAGATTTTGGCCCGAAAATAATTCAGCGAATGCCGCCTTTGGAGCTGGTTTGTCGCTTTCAGAATACGAACATAAACTTACTGTTGACAAATTTCCTCGAGGTAGACCAGTGCCATTCTCTTTGCCAATTTTGGTCAAAATCTTATGCACTTTATCGAATTTGCCTAGAGCTCCAAGGAAACGGGCGGATTCAGGAAGAAGGACGACGAAAAGCACGGTGAGAAATAACGGAACGGAGAGAACAACTAGGTACCATTGCCAGGAAAGTTTTAAGTAATGAATCATCAGAAGGCTGCAAAAGAAATCACAACACGTTTAAGTACACATTTCTTCATAATTAGCAACATTGTTCGGCAGCAGTCCTCGAAATTTTTTAAAGATCTTATAACATATAAAGTTGATTTATCCGATTCAAGCTTTGGCTGCTTATTTACTGCTTGCTTAGACTATTCGAAAAGTGCATGACACTAAACTGTCCAATGATACATCAACAGTGATAGCAAGCAAAAAAACTGAATAAACAATACGCAAAACGAAGATATCAATATTAGAGAATTAGTAGATATACAAATATAAGCGTTATTACAATCTCAAGTAGTTATTTTGCTTTTTTGAAGGGAAAGATTCATAGGCCTTTCGCAGAGAGCAGTCACGTGTTTAGATAACACAAGCGATTGCAAACAAAGTAAAAATTTACATTCGTCTGAAACGTATTGGAGCAAAATATCGTAACTTTTGTTCATCGCCTCTGTCGCTGTAACGAAGTAAAACTGTTTTTCCGAGCAATTGAAAACTAGCTGCCAATTGACACACGGAAAAGAGAATAACGCGAACCAGTTATCAACAATCAAAGATTTATTGTGAAGGTTATTGAATAAGAATCGTTTACATGGTAACTGGCTCATTTTGAGTTTTACTTTCGTCAACACTGGTAGCTTTGATGAGACACGGATTTTCAATGTTTACTTATTTATTGTTATCATATCCGTGATAACGAAACATGTTCTTCAGTTATCACGTACTCAGTAGCTGAAAACGAAGATCAAGTCTTCTTCCCCTTTTCGATGCTGCAAACATTTGTCCAACTTTTCGTCCCTTCGACCAACTAAAAAATCTAGCCCATCTCCCATTTTCAAGATGCTAAACAAAGAAAATTTTCTATAGAAACAAATGTAGAGTGACTCCGAACAAAACAGCGATTTCCAAGGCACAGTAAAATGTTAAAAAATTTAACAAGCTTGGACAATTGAAAACTTACCCGAAGCCAGAAGCCCACAAACCGCCCAGAGGCCAGAAAAGTTGAGTCAACATGGCCCTGCGTCTATGACCAACTGGAAGAAACTCTTCAATGTACCCGAAGACTTGTAAACTACCAGCAAGAGCAGCACCGACAAAAAATCGTGATGCAAGAAGGTATGGGTAACTCGGAGCCACTGCACCCAATGCTGCAAAGACTGCTCCAGCAGTAAGCGTTACAAGTATCCCTTTCTTTCGACCAAACTTGTCAATAATCCATCCGACTGCTGACGAAAATGCTATCATACCGAGAAATACAATTGTTGTCAGCCAGGCAACCTCTACTTTTGATAAATGCCACGAGGAGCACTCGAGGACAGACCCAAGAACAGCGGGTGCCAGAAGCTGTGCTGCATCTGCAACCAAAGTTAGGCCAACGCTAATCCCAAGTCGAATCTGGAATTTCCCGAATCCAAAATGCTCTACTGCTTCTTCGAACGTGTACTCACCTGAAGATAAACTTCCATTAAAAGAATTTGCAGCATCCGTGGATCCATAGTCATTTTCCTTGCTAGCATCAAAGAGAATTCCTTTGTCGCCATCTTCTGCATTGTAGTCCATGATATCTGTCCCTTTTCTAACACCTGAAAAACACGCCATGACACTGGTCAAAACTGCATTAAATGAAAGCAGTAGTGTGACAATGCTTTTATATCGTAGTCCAACTAAAAAGGAATTTTCTTTCGGCGGCTGCAATAATCTAATAATTCAAACATCGCTTAATTAGCAATTAAGTTAAGAACAACCTAGACAAACTAGCTGGTAATGCAACATTAATTGAAAATTTACTTTCTTCACCGTAGACGAAATTTTGATATCTCCTGCATTTAGATAATCACACACAATTTGATAATTGGCATTACACCGCCACGTGATATCAACTTCCAGGCACACAATTGGTCATCGCCTTTAATATAGCCTGGTGGTCTTTGAGCGAACAATCTTTATTCGCTTAAAAAACCATCAAAAGGCTCTTTGGAGACGTTCAAACAAATTCATTTATTCCCGACCGAGGAGCAAATCATTCTAAGAAAATCTCGTACACCTTTTGTGAAAATCCTATTGTTTTATCTGAGAATCTCCAGATTCCTTTTGTTTTAGGCAAAATCTCATATGCTATTTGCAAGAGTGAATCACTCCACGTTCGCGACAGTATGCTACAAAAATCAGTAACAGCACGTCAGAGAACCAGGGAATAAAGAAGCGCCACATATATCTAAAACCGATGCTCCTGAGACATTCTATTTTTATTGCAGTTTTATAGTTTGCTCATAAATAGTTTCATTTTTTCTCGTTTTTTTGTAATTAGATCCTTATTACAGCAGATTTCTAGTAGTTTTGTTTACGTTATAAGTTAAGGGCCATCTTGGCCTATATACTTGAGGAAAGAAAAATGAGAGAAAATGACTGAGTAAATATCAGTTAGAAGTACTATTTCTTCTCTTTTTCTGTTGTTTAGAAAACAACTAACAATTGTTAAAAGTTGTACTTATATTCTTCAACCTATCACCGTTTGCAACTGTTTGAAATCGTTTGAGTCCTGATTCTGATTCCAAGTTTTAGTAATAGCCACTCTAAAGCATGTTGCCAAACGAGAAGCAATTATCTAGCATCAAATAGCGTCAGAAGTATCTTCTTGGCTTATATCCAGCCAGCCACTTTCAGTCCTATTGTTAAAGCAATGCATTCAAAAGACAAACTATGAATGGGACATCCACAATCTCCTGGCAGCGAAATGAATTAGCCAATTTTTTTAAAAACATGATGCCCTAATGGGCACACTTCTTCACCCAGACTTTTTAAGTATGTGCACTACAAAAACTAAAGACATGGTGCCTCTGCTTTGCCCCATGGTACTTTGTGTTGATTAGGAACACTTTAAGATATTCGCTGCCTGCTGAAATATTTTTAGAAAAGGTGATTTAAGAAATAGTGTGGTATAACGTACTCGTTAATAATGGTAGGTGTTGTTGTAGTCGTTAATACACGTTGAAATATGCGATAGAAATTAGATTTGGATTGAATGTGACATAGAATCAAAACAGACCGAAGTTGGAATCTAAATTAGAATTACATTATGAATGATCTAAGTTATAAAGTTCTCTTTTTGAATTAGAATTGGAGCCTAAACAAAAAATCGTTGTATTTCTTATCGTTGTAAATCGTTGTGTTTCTGCATCTTTAGTACTGAAATTGAGTCACCAGCATATAACAATCTTGCATAGTTGACAATAGTATTAAAAAAGTGAAGCAGTCTTCATAAAAAAATACCATGTGTGTTGCAAATTCCTCAAAAAATATTCCATGCTTGCGATTCACACTCTTGCCTAACTGGTTTTATTGAAGTTGCTAACAATGAGTTTACCGAAGTACAACGGCAACTTCAGTTACCAGGATTATGCTTTATTTCATTCAAAACATTGTGTAAGTTAAAAGAATTGTGGTCTAAGCAAGCAGAAGTTAGTTGAATTTTGGCCGCAAGTGAAACAACGTGAAACAAAGTTCAAAATAACAGACAATTGAAAAATAATCGACGATATAGAAATCTAGCTGATTTGAAATGTTTTGTTTTGCTGGCTGACTTCGGACGTGAACCGTGAAACCGTGATACGTCTTGTCGCCAACTATTTCGAACATTCGGAGACCTTGATTAGAGTAAGGACGAGATAGAAGCAAAGACCGAGAAACTTTCTGTTTGGAGGGGGGCATCCCTGATAAATAAGTGTAAAAGCAGCAATATTTTACAAAATAATGTATTTCACTTATGCTACTTAAAGGGCCTCTCCAGCCAAATTTTGCCCTTGCATTTTATTGACTAATCTAAAGGAGTTGAACCTGCTGATCACGAATTCGTTTGTTTTTCGATATTTTTTACAGTTTGTGAGATATAAGCTCTTGCATTTCGATAATTGAACTGAATTAACCGACAAACATTTTTCATGTGAGAAGGAAGAACCGCAGGATAGGCTGTCCGCCGGATTCTGTGAATCTTGCAATGAGATTTTAAAATGAAAGATATACAGGAACAAAGCAATACGACGACGAGAATCCAATGTCACAAAATAAAATTTTCAAAATAAATTAAATTTAAGAGTATACTAATATTTCGCCCCGGCATACAGAGCCCTGTGTGAGACATTTGAAATTGCTACGTTTAGTTGACACTAACTTCAAACATTGCATGTATATTCAGGAAATTAAAACGCTGACTTCCAGATTATGATAATGCTTGGATTGTGCTTAGTTTTTGGAATGTGAATTATAAAAGTTGCAGGTGACACATACTTTGGTTGACGGTTCGATTTTGACATCTTTACATATTGCTGTTTTGATGAATGCAAGTGAAAAGAATGAAAGTAAAAAGTAAAATCACAATCAGTCTGTTGCTCTTGGCAACAAGAAAAGCAGAATTTCTTAGTGCTGTGCTGTTGCAGGAATGCCTTATTTACGGGTAGAATTTGCAAAAGCAAATTAAAAAGTATATGTACAAAACAATTTATAAGCAACTCTGTTAAGTGGTAGTTACTGGCACACCACATAGGATGACAAAAGCTGCTCTTTTGTAAGAATAAGCCAATGTTGCTCATTTTTGGGAATCAAAACTTTCAATATTTCATTGAAGGAATGCAGTCCTAGGAAAGAAACAATGTTCAAATATCTTGCAGTCAATTGCTCACATTATTTGCTCCACATGCATGTGTTGATGCGTGTCTGTGCAATAAACAGTGAGTGGAGAGAAAGAAGAGTTTAAAAGGAAAGATAAGAAGAACAAAACATTAATAGAAAGCACCATAGAAAGAAAAAAAGGGGAATCAAATAAACATGTTTGGTTTGTTAATTGCTTATGACTTATGAATTATGAATTATGACTTATGATATCATTGTTGGTTGAGTCCTAACTTATACCTGAGGAAGTGATGGATTCCCAACATGATTATTCCTATGTGCTATGCCTTATGCCCAATGTAAAATTTCTACAAATATCATAGAAAATAGCTATGGATATGGTTTAGTCTGAGAAAAGGCAAAATAACTAGAGCTTCACTTATAAAAGCTCAATACTTTTGACAAGTGCATGTTTTGAATTGAATGTTTGCTATCACCAAGGAAGCTCACACACTGAAAAATTTTTATGATGACTGCAAAGGATATTTTTCCCCTTCAGAGATTGCATACAACCAACTGTTGTTTGTCACATAGCAAGATTAAGGGAAACTGAGACTGAAAGCAGACACTCCTCTAGTGCTCACTTATTTCAAGTCTCTTTGCCAAATTCACAAACTCTTTTCCACAACTCATCTTTCCTCCTAAGATCTTGTAAACTTTGTACAATATATCCTCTTCTGCTTCCCAGACACTTATCGCCTGTATATATTCAAAATTAAAAAGTTTGATCATTCCTCCCCTTTTTTCCAAACCCCTCCTTTCTTTCTGATAAAAGTTATGGAACATTATGTTATAAATTGCATCCAGTATTTTAACAGGGTTTTAGAATTAAAAAAATTTATAAACAAGAAATATGTGAGAACAGCTCACTCTGTGAGTTCACAATGAGCATTTTCAATTAAATTTGCTAATGTTATGAGATCTGGTATACTTTGGCATCATTGTAGTGTATTTTTGGCATTCTTTTTATGGGACAGGGTATGATTTTGGTTATCCTTTTATGGGACAGGGTCAGGTTGCAAAAGGCTTTCTGCACACGGCCATCACTTTCCTAGTCAAGTGCCCTGCCCTGGTCCGGTGCCTTTTCCAAACATTGCCAACCACAAAAAAGCCTGCCAGACTGGAAACTTTGTTTCTTGTGCGGACAATTTAATTTTGAAAGTTTGTATCTGCGTGCCTGAAATCATGCACATTTAGAAAATTGTAGTGACAATAATGCAAAATGTTTTTAAATTGAGATATTAAGGGGCCAACATGCTATTGGCTGCACATGGAAAATTGGAGTGAATGAGCAATTTATTGCAGGTGCACGTCAAAGTTCCCAGTCTGGAAAGCCTGCAACTGCTTCCAAGTAAGCAACAGCTTTCCAGGAAAAAACTGAAAAAATAACTTTGATATTGAAAAGCAAATAGTAAATCAAAACTGATGTACTGGAAATATGGACTTCAAATATAGTCAGTGAGAAGCAGTAACTGTTGCATTAAAAACCAGTGTTGCATTAAAAACCAGTCTCAAAAACTTAAAACTTGGTTTCATGTCAGTCATTTAGGGGTATGTGCCATCACATATTTCGTGTGGCCTGAGGCACATTTAGAATTTATGAACGGAAAAAATTTTTGGTGGTACAAAATTGTAAAAAGACATTTAACCTAATGGCGTAAACTGGCGTAGGCAAAGCACATAATCAACGAAATTGTATTACTAGTGTGCATGATGATGCGATGACGCCTTTTTGCAGCTTCAGTTTAGTTTCAGTTTCCCAGAGTTGATCGAGGTCAATATTCTCAATACTCACCATAAGACGAAAACTATCTGTAAAAGTTCAGTATCTCGAGACAAAATTCATTTTGTCCCAAGATAAACGTAGAAAAACAGGACCATGGAAGCCAAGCTAGTCTAAAATACGTGTTTTTAATGTCCGAATATTTATAATATTGGATGTTTACACACTTCGGTTCTAACAATACTGTTGGACAATCAGGGCGGAAACATAACAAATGTGACAAGTGTTATGTTTTTGGAAAATGATTAAAAATAAGTTACCTCATGAGTTTCTGGCTACATTAAATCCAATACACTTTACCGGCAAAACTGGGCTTTTTTCGTGCGTCCCGTCCAGATTTGAACTTTGCCTCGAAAAAAGGTCACGCGACTCAGCCTCTTTTCCATGAAGCGCCGAAGATTACCAACTTGCCCCTGCGCCTCTGCGCCACTACTCCTGCACAAGAGTCCGTGATGTTTTTAGCGCCAGGGCAGGGGCGGATTTAAGCAACAATGATTGGGGGGGAGGAGGTGTTAAACACTAATTTTGGTGCCACACCCTTCAGGTCACTGGTAAATGATGGAAACGCCCATTTTTGAAATTTGGTTTTTAACTGTGACGTGGCCAGGTTTGGAAGATTGGTAGGCCAAAGAGGAAAAATTTTTTGCTGATCACACCCCTAAGAATTTGGAAAAACACCCATTTTGTTAATGGGTTTTAAAAAGCCATGGCATTTTTACGTGACAATTTCCCTTTATTCAACGTCATAGGTGGCTGACCATATTCTAGAACTGTCTATTTCCTTCACAATTCCACTAACGTTTAAATCCTGAATTGTGTAAGGCGAGAAATCTCTACGTGTAAAAAGTGATTCTCCAAAGTTGTAATCAAATGTCTAAAAATCAAAAGTTTTAAACCTTGCCCGTTTTCCTTGGAGCAAAGTCCCCCACAAGCATTTCAGAATCAAGTTTTTTTAAGGATTGGACTGCTTTAGCATTTTAGTTTCTTTTTTATCAGGAATGTCTCAAGAACGTGAAGACTTTTGTAAAACTGATATTAAAATCGAGAGATATACTGCAAAGACTGAAACTTTAGAGAATGACGATTTGTGCGAGCGTCTATACTTCTCTTCCCATTTCCATCATGATACAATCCAAGGCTAAGCTTGAATCAAACTGCTCACATAATCAACGACGGTTCTCCACGAACTCTAATACTTATAGCAATATCCCAAAATATATAACAACTAACGAGGTGCAGCGCAGTCTTTCTCAAGCACTGCCTGTCCTAAATACAAAATCCACTAAATCCTTCCCTGTCCCAGGGCCAGGGCTGTCTCTCGACTACCCTGGGTGCCAGAGCCACAAAATGCTCCACCGCGTGGCACCCAGGGTATCTCTTGACGGTCCTGAGTAGAGATGACACAGTCAGCATTAAATTTGCAGCTGTGAAGAGCAGTTTAGAAAAATATTTTTGTTACCTGCTAAGTAACCTGATGTGGTTTGTATAACGTAGAAGGTAGTACCATACAAGTTAAATGTAGAAATTTCAGAAGAGCACAGTTCAAAACAGAGTGACAGAGAGACAAATTATGCGTCAAAAAAGATCATATAAAGCTTATTTATACCAACATTGTGCTATGCTATGAGTGGCTTTTTATTATGCTATATAGATTATTTAATGTTAGTTTTTACAATAGTTAACGCACACTAATTAGGACTAACATAAAACCCCATAAAGCAGTTTCAAGAATTGCATAAGACAGATTTCTTACTGCAAAACGAGCACGCGCATTTGTTTTCAAGGGACCAAGTTTTGATTAAATTCTTGAATTGTCTAACATTCTGTGCTGTCTTTATTGATTTTCGGAGTAGATTCCAGATTTTATGCCCTTGAAAACTTAATGATCTGATACCATTATTGGTAGTTCTGGCTTTTGGAATGTCAAGGGGGATTTTGAGTCGAAGGTTACAACCTGTTATTTTGGGTACAAAATAGTATTTCATGAAAACAGGATTAATGTTATTAAGTGTTTTATTAACTAATAGGGGTAAAATTCTAATTGATTGGATATGTATGGTAGTTTCTTTTGAGTTAGCAAGTAATTCTTTGTACGAAGATGAATAGTCTGAATAGACTGGTCTTAATGCCCTCTCGTTAAAGGCTCTTGCGCAACCGGCATGCTTAGCGGCAGCTCTCTTAAGAAATTGATTGTAATTTCTATTTTCATGCAGTACAATATTAGGCCGGTTCTGAAAATATTGTCGCAAAGCATGCCGGTTGCACAAGAGCCTTTAGTTTTCTCTAGCTTATTCTGACTTCCTTTACCACATAGCATCCATATCAATGTAAAATAATTTAAGTGACATAGTATAAATTAATTCATAATCATCTTTTCTTCTCTGTCGCCCATAAATCTTGCTAATCTTTCTAAAGAATTTAACTCTTTACCTGCTTTTTTAAAGATCTTATCGATATGAGCATCACACTTTAAACTTTCATCGATCTGAACACCAAGCAAAGTAACACTTCTCTCTATTTTAATTGCAAATTCTTTGTCAATTTCAAACTCACTTATGTATTTATCATTGCTGTCGATTGAGATAGCTTGAAATTTAGAGGAATTTGCAATCCCTTCATTTGATTGTAACCAATAAAGAAATATTTTAGTGTTGATTTGTACAAATTGCAATAGTTCATCAGTATTTGTTGTAGTGACAGGTATCGTGTTGTCATCAGCAAAATTACATTAAGACCCTTCACTAAGGCTGTAAAAAAATAAGGAAAATATTGAAAAGTAGAGGTCCAAGTATTGATTTTTGTGGCACTCCTTGTCCAAGTTGTCTGTTGAAATATAGTTGCATGTGAATTTATCTTGCCTGGTTGTCTCTATATCCAAGTTAATTACAGTTTTCAACTGCATGTGCTTTTTGGGTAGGCTAGGTCAATAACGTAATTATATATATCCAATAGGTACTAGGATAACATAGAACATGACGAAGATGATCTAGCATCATCCAATGTTGAAACTAGCCTTAATGATAGAACAAAATTGCTTGATTGCATAACATTTCTATGCATGCAACGTATAATCTGATCGATGCCCACCAAATGATTTGCCAAAATTACGCAATGACTGTTTAAATCGCTATGATGACATTTTCAACGATCAAGCCTTCAACCGTCGCTCATTCTAAATCAAGAAAAGACACCGATTCAGCTCGTCTATGATCCAAAAATGACCAGAGGCAGTTCTGATCAGGTCTTGGGTAAATAGCGAAGAAATCTCACAACTGGAAAGACTCCTTGGTAGATGCATAAGCAAATTTTTTATGAAATTTTAAGCTTTGTAGTTAGCTAGTATTGTCCCTTATTCAATCTAAAAACTGCTTTGTAGTTCCCCTCAGGCTCTTCATTTAGCATTCTATTGAAAGATCCTGATATAAGTAAATGCTTTGTTTGAAGGAATGCTATCAGAATGTTTCTTCTCAGAGAGTCCTTTTATTTCATTTGACATTTATTTATCTTTGGATGCGTTTACACGAAACCGGATTGCTTTTCCTATTGGATTGGTCTCAGCTATCCGATATGAAAAGCATACTGTTTAGACCGCTTTTACACGATACCGGATTGATATTCATACCGTTTTCATCCTGTTTACACGACAACGCTCCGCTATTCACTGTGCAGCATACTTCTTTTGTTTCGATTTTTAGCAATGTAAAATTCTGGTAATTTCGTTAGTCTACTGAGGAGAGGAAGGTCTCGGGAAAAAATTATCACTTTAGTATAGAATATGAGTCCTGGCCAGTGGCATAGAAGAAGAAAATGTAAGCAGAAAGGGGGAAGCAGAAGTCGAATTGCAGCCTGAATCGGTAAAGGCATATGCCAGTGAATGCCTTTTCGAGGGAAGGGATTGAAAAGATGTAATGTCGAATGATGACAAGATAGAATAGTTTTTGGCGAACGTTACCCGAAAGGTAAAGATGTAGAATCCGTTGATGAAAACTTTCCTTGAGATTCAGAACGAGGTTCCGGAGCGAAAGCGTATCGGATTCACCCGCTTACACGAGATGGAATGTGGTACGGGACGTATCGGGTCACTTTTCATACCACTCTCACAGCGGAGTGATTTCACTCCGCAAAAGTGGTACGGGACGTATCGGATTAATGCGGGGCCGTGTAAACGGACCCCTATCCGATATGAAAAGTAATCCGATACGTGAGTAACCCGGTATCGTGTAAACACGGCCTTTATCTTTTGCAGTAGAAATAAAAGCAGATAATGAGATATATAGACTGACAAGATAAAACTAGGTAATATTGGGCTTTGTATTTGTATTTGTTTGTAAGTCTGATTTGCAGTAGGTTTGAGTGGGATTCCAATTATAGAGCCTCTGTATGAATACGGTGCACCATTTTACAACTGGCCTAAATCTTAAATTTTGTTAGGCCATCAATGCAGCCCCCTTAGAATAGACACTTCTAGCTTGTTAGGTTGCATGGCAATTTTCTTCTTTCATGGCAATTGTCCTCTCGCTTTAACAGTCTCAGCATTCGAATCGCGCTCACAGAATTCCGCCTTTTCGCCCGCAAGTCCACAGTTTTACAACCTTTCTTCTTACTTTTGGGTTAAAAGTACAAGATATGATCGGGTTGAAAAAAGAATTTCCCAAAACCAGCGACCAACTCCAGCAAATCATATAACTCAAAGGAAAACTTTGAATTCTGAAGAACTTCAATGCGCTTGTTATAACAGCGAATGAATAGCAAAGAAAGAATGAAATTATTATCAATCCACCAACAACGAGAAGATTTTTGTCCTTCTTGTTCACTCTACGCTGTCCAAAACGCTCTGCTTCTGCCGCTATTTGACGACGTATTCTCCGAGCACGAATCATTATCCTTGTGTAGCAGAAAAAAATGACACCTGAGGCAAGAACGCCTATACATGCAGTGATGGCATTTTTCACTCCGCTGAATAAAAATAAAATTGACACGGCTATTGAAGCCATCCATGTGCCAATTACAATGACAATCAGGAAGCATGACGTCAGTTTTGCATTGTGTAAGTGTGGATTGAAGATGAAAACATATCTCTCGGTCGCAACTGCAGTTAATGTCAAAAGAGAAACAATTCCAAGAAAGTATGAAAAGGTTTGCGCAAATCCAGCGTAAGAACAGGTGTCTTTGAGGTGTGCATGATGCAGAAATAAAATGAATTGACTTGGCATAGAAACAATTCCAGTCAAGAGATCGGTTATTGCCAGATTCAGCATCAGAATTTGATGTGGTTCTGCCCGGTCACTAGATTTAAGAACAGCTACAATGAATGATGTATTCAGTAGTGTAGTAGGTACCGCAAGGACAAGGTTGAAGATAGCACATGCGTAACTATTCAGGATGTATGAAGAAGCGTCTGTTAATTCTAGACTGACACCAGAACAAGGAAAAGCCATCTTCAAAAATGGACAACGGCCGCATCAGCTAGTACAGCCTTTCAAATGATAATTTTTCTCGAAATTGCTTTTATTTAATAACCTTGAATGCCTTTATTAATTGCAAAAGACACCTGTTTTGGAATTGATGAATTCCTCTCAAACAGCATGCATGTATTTGGAGTTGTAAATCCTCCACTAATAAATGTATAATCACCAAATAGTGGGATTTAGCCAGAATAGTTTACACTGGCATTGTACAAAGAACCATTTTTTTAAAAAGAAAGTCCAAAATATTTTCGTCAAGTAAATAGGCAGAAAGATTTTATGATTTTTTGATTCGCCTGAAATCTGCGCTTACCGTCTTGCTGGTTCTAGCGCTAATATAATGACAATTTTTTAATATAAAACACATTTTAACTAATCACCTTCGTTTTGAATATTCAAAAAAACATAGCCACAAATACAAACAGTGAACATGTTTGTTAGCACAGCGATTCTTTCTCTGCACGTTTGCTTATTTTTCGTCAGCATCGTTATCAAAGGCAGATGGGTGGCGTGGCTTAATCTATTGGGTATCTACATATTTAGGAAACAAACATCAATCAAATTGCATACAGTGACCCATCTTTGCTTTGAATATCTTTTTTTAATTTCAGCTGTATCTATTGGCAGGGACTCCGGAATGACCGAAGAGCAAGGGGGCAAGCTTCAGTAGAAGGGCAATTTGAAAAAATTCCCTTCTTTTACTAGATCTTTTGTAACTCATTTTATTTCGATGTTCTGCAGGCATCTTGCAAATGGGCTTACTGCTGTCGTAAAAAGTTTTTGTGGAAGTTTTGAGAAATCTTGTCATGAAAAAAACACTACAATCAGGATTGCATATGAATCTCTTTAATATTATAAAAGGCCGAGAATAAGGCGACTTTTATAAAAAGAGCACTTTTTGGCTCCCCTTTCTCTCTTATTAAAGGGAAAGAGGGTCAGTTTCCCCCTTGCCCCTTCTCTCTGGTTTCCCTATCTGTTAGATATCATGAATCCATTTTATTCCCAACTACCTAAAAACTTATTTTTCGATTTCCTTGGCAGATGAAGCGTCTTGATCTTTTCATATTCTGGCAACCTTTCTTTTCCTTTGGTCTATGGCATGTATTTATCCTTGGTGCTGCTTTTCCTTTGTCGTGCATCATTAATTCCGACCAGGAGACAATCTTCATTTAAAAACTTGTGAGCTAAAACTTACAATGTTCCCTTCTCTTTAATACTTTCTATTTCTTATATAAACTTTCGAAACTTTTCTATGTCTTGGATGTTATTTGCGTGTGCAACTTCGTCTTCTGACAAAAATTCAGCTAAGCTTTTTTCTTCTGAATCAACTAATTAGCAACTTTATCTTGCTATGGGGTGTCCTTACTAAGCCTTTTGGGTTCTCAGACTCTTCTTTAGAATTGAAACCCTATTAGATTAATAAATTTTCCATTAATAAAGAGAGACTTAATTTTCATCCGATGTACTGTTATGTATTAACCCCTATAATTGATAAAAGATTAATAGAATAGGGATGAAAAATTCTACCCATATAATTGTTTTGTGAATATTTTACAAGACAAGAATGATAAAAAAAAATAAAACTCGTTCTGATAGTGAATATTAATTATTAGCCTCTTTTTGATCTCAGTTTATAACATGCAAAATGTACAAAATATGATATACAAAGTGTGGGCAATTAGCATAATTAGCATGAATAATGTGAGTAGTTGTCATACTAATAGATGCGGTTTTAATCCTATCTGTATCCTAATTTTCTAAGGGATTTCTATAAAAACATGTAGCGAGTCGCTCTTTTAGAATATTATTCGACTAATTTGAAAATTTGTCAACAACCAAATTCTATAGAAACTCACATTGTATATCAACCATTGTTTATCTAAAGTTACTGGCCTGGGCGTCTTGCAGTTGTTTAGGTTGAAAATCTTCCTACGACATTATGCCAAATTCAATCTGTAGTTTGCTGAGAATATTTTAACTTTGGAATGTCTACTTATAAGGTTTTATGAAATTGGGAATTGTATTTAAATTTTATAAAATGAATGGTTGTGAAAAGACGCTTTTATTCCTCGATTTTTGTAGATCAAGTTTGTATCAAAAACACAGAAATAACACCCAGTGTCCACGAGAGGCGCCGGAAGCTTCACGGTGCGGTGGGGCAGTACTGGCAGAAAGGGCACCTTGGGGTGTCAATGCTTGCTGATGAAAGATATCGCGAATTGTCGTTTAGTTAATGACGAAGCCTGGTTGTAGGTGAAAACCCTGTCTAGGGAGAGAGGGTCGGTGTCCTGGGGGCGTAGCCCCTATGGAAAATTTGCGTTGCTAAGCCCTAAAGACTCTCGGAAATGAAGGCAACAACCATAAAAATACATTTGAATCAAGACTACAGTCAAACTTTATTCTCGAAATTTTTTTCACCTTAACATCAACCATCAAGGGAGACTGGACCCAATCCTACTTAAAACAATGTTTTGATGACCATCTACATGGCTTGATATATCTTTTGGACATAATTTCTCTGAACTTTCTTTATTTAAAGTTGGTACAATCTGCAGCTATATTGAAGCTAAATGAAGCCAACTAACTTAAATTATAAACGCTGAATATGATTCAAATCAAATATAACTGGTGTTGCATTTTTGAAAAGTTTGTAATTCTTCTCATTTCGTTTGGAATTTAGTTCTATATTTGGCTCAATCTGTTTGACAAAGATTTTGAGAGCAGAAGGAAGCATGCCATTCTATTATTGTTAAAACGGCTGTTACATAAAGCCTGGCTACAATGATTTAGATATGATTTTCTGGCTTCATTGTGCGTAATGCCGCCGAGAGGTTTTAGAGGCCCTGTGGCAGAATCGAAAGAGGAGGCCGTTTGCGAGAGAGGCGAGCAGAAAAATATTGGCGACCATGCCCTTTAGATTACCTAAAAATAGACCAATTCGACTTACGGCCTCGTTTTGAAAATGTCTCCAAATTTAATTATACGACTTTTTTAAGCTCAGATTTGATTTTATCACAATAGATTTAGGCTCGATACCATTTTTCATTTTGATTCTGCTTGTAATTTAGATTTCATGGAGAAATATTATCACCTGAAAACTACCAAAATGTTGTGTACAATAAATATCTTTTACTTTGACGCAATATCTAGATTTTAATAATTGAATCGATTGATAAAAACAACAAAATACTTTCATTGTTCAAATTGCATGTTTTCTTTGGATCTAAGTAAACTTAGATTAAAATTGTAAAACAAGTATAGATATCAAAGAGAAAATATTTGCAAAGCAAGACAAGCAACTTGAAAATAAAGGATTTTGACTCGCAATTGGATACGCTTGGCACAGCTGCCTGCATGCAAGACTTGTTTGCTTGTGGTCGAAAAATATTTGCAAACGAATTGCAAAATTTTAGATTTTTCCTCCAGTTGTTCTATGCCAAACCAATCTTGATAAAGAGCAAATACTTTTTTGACACAAAAGATAATATAAGAAGCAAAGATAAATCTAATAACTGACAGTATTTAAGTTGATTTTTACGACGCATTGATGCAATTTTTGGTTTTTGGAGACAGTTTCATTCCAGCAGGATATGTTCAACAGTCCAGGTTACAAATATCAAAGAAAGTTCCTTGAATCGATATACTTTTTGCGAAACAACTATCGACTATGAATGCATTTTTGCATGGATGACAATGTTCATTACAACAAATTTGTTGTCTTAATACTTTGGCACTCGGGTTTGTATCATATTTTATAAAGGATGTATAACTCATGGTTATCTCAGCCAATTGCAGCTGCGTAAAATTATGGCTCCGTATATTCTAGTGTAGTCTGTGTAGCCTTTAATATAATTTAAAACCCAGAAAAAATTATTGAAAAAGAAGATGCTGCTTGACTAACAACATGCTTTTCTTCTTAAAGGAATTCAAGACTTAATCTTTACTGTATAAAATTTTATCTATTCAGAAAAAGAGTTGAAAAAATATATATTGGGCTTGTAGTTGCTTGGATATATTTTTTGAAACGTTAGTCGAGCTTTGCTAAAAAGCCTGATTTTTATTATGTTATGGAAAAAATGAAACTTTTGAAATCGAAAAAAAATTATTTGGTCATTAAAATCCTAATTCATTTATTAAATGAAAGTCTGCAAAGGTAACAAGAAAAAATCTTCAAACCTTTAGACTGCTTTCATTGATTAACTTTCAGTTTAGACAAAAGTGATTACATCAATCAAATGGACAGTATTCTGGACGATTGAACAAAATTTACAATAGCATTGATGTCGAACAGTACGATAGTAATCAGTAATAATGCAAAATAACAAAAATGATTATAAGAACGCTAATTAACCAAGATATCCATCTCGTGATATTTATGATAGGTAAGAATTGGTGCTGGGTCCTGGGTCCTGGATCCTGGGTCCTGGGTTTTGGATCCTAGGTCCTGGGTCCTGGGTCCTGGGTCCTGGGTTTTGGATCCTAGGTCCTACTTTAAGGTCCTGGGTTCTTGTTTTCCGGTATGCCGATTCGAAGGTAACGAAGGAGGAAACACACATTGATTTTGTAGCAACGAGAATATAGGCGACAGTATTGAAGCAATCGTTTGTGAAAATTTTTTCGAAAAACTGCATAGAAGCTTTTAGCAAAATCTGAATTAAAGTAATAAATTAGGATATTTAAGATTACCAAGGGCAACGCAACAACAGTTTGGGTATTTCTAGAAAAGAACTGGTCTGGCATTTATCGATATACGAATAAAGGAATACGAATAATTTGTTTAAAAATGAATATAGATTCACCAAAAATGAGAACAGCTGGTAAAGCAAGGCTTACAGTACCGAAGTGACATTTGAATACAGTGGATTACTCTTAATCAGCAATAACGAACTTCCATTCTTGCAAAAAGTAAAAAGTTATATTGAATACATAGACCCTAAACCAAGTAATTTTTTAAAGGCAATCGACACATACTAAAATGCTTAAAGTAATCTGTCAATCAAAATTTAACCAATCAGTGAGCGTGATACCACTTACTTGCCTAATGATTGACTAATATCGATTAAAAGATGGCTATACTTTGTTCATGTTGTTGTTGCGTGAAAGGACGTCCTTTTACGTTCGGCTTTTACGCCGAAGACGGCACATGCTAAGAATATTTCGTTTGATTATAGGGTTGAAAACGCACGATATGACAGGGTTGAACAGAGAGTTCGTCATTATAGACAACCATTCCCAGCATACTGTGTATTTGAATAAAGAACTTTGAACGTCAAAAACTTTCAATATGCTTGTTATGTATGTCGGAGCAGAGCAAACAAAGAATGCCAGAATAATTAGACCACCAACAAGCAGGATGTTTCTATCCTTGTCACTTGATCCTACTTGTCTAAATCTTTCTGCTTCAGTCTTTATCTGTCGCCGGATCCTCTGAGCACGAACAAATATCTTGGCGTGTGAAAATATAATGATTATTGATGAAGGAGTACCAAATATTATACTAGATGCAAAAAGTAGCCTTTTATGAAAAGAAAGATATCCTGGTGCAACAGCGAGAATAGACAAAAGCCAAATGCAGCATACGACAGACCAAATCCATGACCTTGATGTTAATCTTGCGTTGTAAAAGTATGGATGAAAAATGTAGATGTATCTCTCTACCGCAAGAGCTGCTACAATATGAAATGAGACCCATCCAATAACGTGTTTGATAACAATAGTAACATCTGCAAAATAGCAAGGGTCTTTGAGCATGGCAATGTATAGGTACTCCACGAAATTACTTGGCATGGTGAACAGTCCAGTTACAAGGTCAGTAATTGCCAGATTCAAAATTAGCAACAGATGTGTTTCACCCCGTTCATTTGACTTCAAAAGAGCAGCAATAAGGCATGCATTGACTGATGTTGTTAACATTGCTAAAGGAATGTTTAGGACGGCACAGGCGTATGCACTTGCTATGTATGATGATGTGTTTGATATTTCTAAACCATTCATTTCACAAGGAAGCATTTTCTTTAGCAGCTGTTTATCAATCAACTACACAAACGCAGCCCCTCGAATGCACTTAATTGCTTAAAGCGAATAATAGTTTGTAATTCAGCTGATTCTTTCCAAGATCAAACTTTTGTCAAGAGTAAAATTTCTCGCAACGATACTTTCTGTGTTCCGAAAGACCCAATGAGACAAATTTCAAGCTTTCCATTTCTTATGCAGCTTAACCTAGTCTAATTCTCTCTTTCATGTTTTATCCAATAGAAATGCGTTTTTTCAAACAGGATATCTTGTTTTACTAGATATATTAAAGAAATCTTGATAACTTTGATAATGAACAATATAAGTAGCTTTTTATTTTAACAGCTGTTCCTAGAAAGTGTCATTTTCACTGGCAATGTTTGATTTGATAATCCAAAGAATTTTCATTCACTATAAGAACTTCTTCGCTTTTTAGGAAATCGTACTCCTACAAGATCTAAAGCTATTGAAGTAAAACAAGCTAAAAGAAAACTTACTTTGATAAAGTCGAGCGTTTTATAGCTGAGAGTCGTGAGCGTTTGATCAGGGCTCTGGGTTCGACATACGGGACCTACATGGTGGAATGATCTGTCATTACATGTAGAGAGTGCAATGAACGAAAATAGTTTGAAATCACCACTTAAGACACACTATTTTAGACTAGTATATAGCTTAGACTTATATTTTATCTTTAATCTAATTTTGTAAGGTCATCCATAAAACTTTGTCGTACATACAATAGTTAAGAACTTAACTAAATAACTAACAACCATTTCTCATGAAGGCAAATGAATTTTGAATCCTTTTTATGCATCTTTTAACTCAATTTTCCGCTGAACTTATCAATGGGTTCTACCTTTACGTCCACAACTCCATATTCTGATGACTTTTCTTCTTACTCTTGGATTGAATGTACAGGATATCATTGGGTTAATAAAAGAGTTGCTAAGGACCAGCAATAATAGCCAGTAATACATGCCTCGGAAAATATGACTTCGTATGCCGAAAGCCAAAAACAGATTTGACAAAACAGTTGGAGCATAGCAAACAAAGAATGAAATTATAATCAATCCACCAACAACGACAAGATTCCTGTCCTTCTTGTTCATTCTACGTTGTCCAAAACGTCCTGCTTCTGCCGCTATTTGACGACGTACTCTCCGAGCACGAAGCATTATCCTTGTGTAGCAGAAAAAAATAAGAGCCGAGGCAAGAACGCCAATGCATGTATTAATCATATAGCTGCCTCCCGTAAATAAATATGTCAACTGAAAGAGCAATCGATAATAGCCATATACTTCCTGCCATGGCTGTCAAGAAACGAGATGTGAGCTTCTCATTGTAAAAGAAAGGATGAAAAACATAGGTGTACCTCTCCATTGTAACCGCGATTACAGTAAAAAAGGAGGCCATCCCAAGAAAGAATGTAATATTTTCAGCAACTACTTTGCTATAGCAAGTTTCTTTGAAGTGTGAATGATGAAGATATGAAATGAATTGACTTGGCATAGAAACAATTCCTGTCAAAAGATCGGTTATTGCCAGATTCAGCATCAGAATTTGATATGGTTCTGCCCGGTCACTAGATTTAAGAACAGCTACAATGAATGATGTATTCAACAGTGTAGTAGGTACTGCAAGGACAAGGTTGAAGATAGCACATATGTAGAAAGGGGACTTTGCCCTTGCTAAAATGTCGTCATTGCAGGGTAGCACCATGATCCTCAAAGAAGATTAGTTAGGAATGAATTCCATTTGCAGTTTCTACTCCTGAATAACAAAGCTCTTGATAGAAAGTCTTCCGAAGATACCGAAGACTGTCGTCAGATACGATCCAGTCAATACAAGCAGTTTAAGTTGAATGAGAATGCAGTCGTAATTACTTTCAAATAGGTCAATATATGTTCTTTTGCACCAGTAAATGCTTAAACATTAATCAAGAGCAGGTGGTTTTTGGCATTTGAAAATTACACTTTACAATTACAAAATTATCTTTAAAAGGGAATGCCGAATGTTTGATATTTACTTGTAAATTTACTTTTTCCCAGAAGTGCGTGGTTTTATTATTTTCATATGGTTAATATTTAGCTTGCCTTTTCATATAAGCTTACAAATGTGATCCTTTACTTGAACTTCAATTTTCAATGAAAAAATTGCTTTAAAGCCTCTTACCATTATTCTCACAAGAAAAGTGTCTCTGCCAAGTATTATTTATCATCAAAAGTTCATATCTCCGAAGTTTTCTTAAAATATGAGGTTTCAAGTTAATCTTGCAATGATAAAAATGTTTAAAACCACATCTGCCGAAGATTATAGCAAATGTAATCTTGGACAGGCAACTAGAAGATTTTTCATCCTTCTCTTCTGCTCATTTTTATATTTCTGCTGTTGAAATACATGCCATGTGTTTAACAATTTGTTTCAACATCTTTATTCTGGATTGTAGGCTCAATAGATGCAAGAATGTTCCTGCAATACGGAATAGAAACAACATGAAATAGAAACGTGACTGGAATCTTTTGTTACTTCGATCTTTAACGTGTATATCGCCAATCAACGTATTCATAATTGCCCACAAAAAGAAGTCAGATTTTGTGTCCAATTCCTGCATAATTTTGACATTTAATCTGCAGTGTTAAGAATAAACATAATTTTCTAATATGAAATATCAAAGTAAACTGGCAGTGCAGACAACCAGTGAGAGTTATCTGGAATTTTAGTATGAGTTGATCTAATTGACGGTTCTTCGTTTAAATGAACATTTTACCAAATCAGTCTACAATTGCGCTTGTTGTTCAATTATTCATATCTCCGTGTCTGTAGAATGTTTACCTTCATGGTTAGATTGACAGACCTGTTCAACCTGTAGTGCACTTCATTGTTTTGCAGTGATCTTTTTTCTGGTATTTGCTGATTCGTAACACATGCAAAAAACCTTAAAACAGATTGGTAGAGTTAACAAAGGCTTTAAACTTTATATTGTTCTCCGCTAGAACTTTAATTAAGGATTAACGATTAGAATCTAGTAATTAACATTCTTCTAAGAACAGCAACGACAAAAGCAATACACAAGAAATTTCAAATGGCATATTCACATGTCGAGCATTTCATTAATTTGTTACGATGAAGACAACTGATGTATATTGCAGCTATGCTTCTGCAGATGTCCTTTATTGTGCCGTAGGTCCATGCAATCTTTCGGCTTGTTTTCGAGTCTATGTCTCTTCAATATAGCAACACTTCCATCGATGAAAAGTCTACCCAGCATTAAGCAAGTGAGAAATTTACAACAACAGTCACAAGAATCTATGATTTATGGTGCTTTTCCTTCTTTCCTGAACTCTTTTCAGCCTTGTTCTTCTTTGACCTTCCCTCATTCTTCTTTGTTTTCTTTGTCTCGTGGGTCTCTTTGTTTGCTTCTTTCTTCTCAGACTTTTGTTCTTTGTCTGTATTTTCTTCTTTCTCCAGGTTCAGCTTTGACTTCTTCTGTTGCTTCTCCATTTTCGTTCCTGTCTTCTTTTCTTCTTTCTTTTCTTTTGATGAATTTTCTTTTACCTTCTTTTCCTCTTTTGAATCTTTTTGCTTTTTTTCCTTATTTGTTGCTGCTTTTTTTTCTCCTTTACTTACTTTTTCTTTCTTTGCTGTAGTTATCTTTGATTTCTTTTTATTAAACTCTGGATAGTCTTCAGGGAAGCAGCATCCCATCATGCAGGCTGGCTCGCACTTTTTGTTGTTGCATGGACTTGGGCAAGCTGCTGGGAGCCCAGGGGGACCTGGAGGGCCAGGCGGTCCTCGTGGCCCTCTAATGGATTCGGCAACAAAGAATACGCAAATAAAAACATAAGCTCCTACCAAATATGCAGACAACATCTTGATATTTGATTCAGAACTACAAAAGAATTGCTGCCTGTATGCGATCGATTACACGTTGAAAAAGACTCAGCTTTACAGAAATACTTGCCATTAATGTGTTAAACATGGTTTGTTCTTTGACAAAGGAAAGCATTCAGCGATCAACCTGTTGTTTACTCGATCTACTAATCTCTAAAGACGTTTATTATCCAAATAACTGGTGAACCAGTGCTACAGATCAAAGTTTCCAGCCACCGTCTCACAAGATCAAGTTGATCATAATATATGAAGTTATGTGAAAGCTTTAAGAGAGCATGACTTTAAGAAGAAAGCTTTACAATGCTGCTGTAGAAACGTTTATATTATTACCAAAAAGTCAACCAGAAACGCTTTTTAGATATTTTTCAAAAATGAAAATATGTCTAACGTCATGTTTGTCCAATATACACATATTACAAACTTCTCTTGAGATCAGTCCGAAAAGCATTTTTACTGAAACACTTGTGTCATTGTACCAATGCTTCTCTGGTCTCTTTTTGCTCTCACGCCTTCTTACAGCTACGATCACTGGGAGTTCTTTCCTTTGTCAAAATATCCTGGATATCTTTCAGGATAACAGCAAGCCATGATACAAGCAGGTTCGCATCTTTTGTCAGTGCACGGACTTGGGCAAGGCGTTGGGGGTGCAGGGGCACCCGGTGGTCCAGGAGGGCCAGGTGGACCCATTTGCGAGTCGACTGTGACAATGGTTATAGCAAGAAGAGTTAAAATTGCAGTACCAAGCATTTTGAGTCTTCTTTAGTCTCTTTAAGTTTCTGCTCAGGATATCAATTCTTTTGCAGGTTATAATTCTGTAGTGATTGTAATCGATCCAATGTTTCTTCCAGTATCTGTCTTTCTACATTAAATAGTTGCTGTAAATCGACTTTTCAATGCTATGGAGCCTTATGTTGGTATCATCAAATACTTGTTATGCATACAAGCATATGAATCAAACCACTTTGGACAAAACTGGTCCATCAACAGGTGTGTTTGACTTCTCGATCTCAGTAATATGAGAAAAAATATTATACAAGAATGAAGCCTGGTAAAATGCTAGTCTTGGTAAAATGTCTGGTAAAATGCTAGTCTTTATCGACCTATTGGCTCAAAGATTCAAGAAGCCAGTTTATTGTCTTCTTCGATTACTCTGATATATATCTAGTCACTGTAAATATTCAGATAAAGGGCGTTGAAAACTATGTGATCAAAGCAGTTGTTTCTTTTACTTTCATGCTTGTTATCACGTGACAAGTAGCCTTTATAGAATTTATGAATTTGTTTACTTAACTGTAATATTGTGTGAATTAGTTCTCTTATTCAATTTTGACTATTTGTGTTGGCTTGAAAATCTTTTTTTGCAATTTGTTACAGTGACAACCAGCATCATAAGCTACCATTATTAACTCGACAATAAGATAAGTGGTTGATCCTCTAAACCTCGTATTCATTTGGAGGGTAATGTTTTATAATGAACCGAAACTTGATCTAAACACCAAGAGATAACAAAATGCTCAAATTAAGATATGCTGCTTGCAGTTGCCCAAAGATTTTGCTAGAAGGAATCACAAGTAATAATTCAAAAGTACGATCAGGAATACAATTCAAATCATTTGACAGCCTACGATACCCTGCAACCAAGAGCAATGTCAGGTTGATGACCGCAGTTCCTGAGTCACGTCAGGAACCAACGGCCACACGTGAGACAACTTTCAGTTTAAATATCGCATGTCTTCAGTTGTGCTGTTATTTGCATCTAACACACATAAAGCCTACTTTGACCACGCAATACTAACTATTTACTCACCCTAACTAAAATATAGGCCAATCTCGTTGGACCCTTTCTCATTATTGTTTCCCTGTTTCCCTCTTGGAAACTGATCCATACCCAAAACCCTATCCTTATGTATGGAACCACACACTAAGAGGTGCGAAACTGCAATAGCCGCAAAGAGATATGATTGATACTTTTAATCACATGATGGTGTATTTTATTTGAAGTTCACACAATGTGTCACACTAGCTAAAAAACTGTCATCTTTCCTAGAAGATTCTATTACAGAAAGGATTGGAAGAACAGTAAAATAAAATTGTTACTTTTGTAACATAAAGAGTCATTTCTTTTATATTCTTTGTGCAAAGAGGGTGCCAGAGCCATGGTAAAAGCATATATTCAGAATAAATGTAGTGAAAAATTAAACAATTCAACATCATTTCAGTGCCATTATGGAAAGCATTTATCCACATTGACATGTATCGAAACTTCAAATACCTTCCCAGACAGTTTAGGAGCAAAAGAACAAGTACAAAAGTAAAAGACTTGCTTAAAAATGTTACAGTTTAACGAGGTTCTTTTTCCAAAATTGAGAGTTACATTAAAGTTCTGGAGGTTGCAAGGCCAGCATCTCTTGCATTTGTGCTGTGTTAAAGTGCAGGGATTGTTGATAACACAATCGCTATGCTAGATAAGTTGGAGAAAAAAGCCAGGAAAGATGAAGCAACCCTAAACAGTCAGGCCACAAGGTTCAAAGTAGAAGAAAATGGTGAAATTGATGGAGTGTACTTAAAGGAGGGCATGGAAAAAGAAAGCCAATGAAAAGAGTATATATATTTAGGAAATAATTGGAGGGATGGAGTTTTCAACAAAGTCAAAAGAGGTTGCTGCGAATGCAAGGAAAGCCATTGCAAACAATTTTGAGAATTTTGCTTTTATGAAAGACTTCCTTAAAAAGACAACAAACTTTGCAATACTATGAGAACTTATCACCCACAGAACTGGGATGATGATAAAGAGTAATCTGTAAAAAGTCATAAGACTGTTCCAAAATAGAAAGTAGAAAATGTTTACCCGAAGATTTGACATCTTGCCCACCAACAACTAACAGGCAGTGACTAGAAACTAGCTTTTTTCAAGAAACTAAAAGTGCAGTGGCAGACAATTTTTGTAAGTTGTAAGGGGCTTCAATATCCCAATTTGTTTCTTGTTGCCATGTTAATGATAGGTATTGCAGGCTTTGGAAGATGGCTTGTTTTAAGAAACATTCTCACCCTGATAGTAACTCTGCTCAGTTGGAACTGTTTCTTCCATTTCAAATAACAGTCAATTCTTATGTGTTTCCCCTCCTTTTAGTTACACCTGTAATAGAGAACAAATTTAGTCTGCCCCAGCATCACCCAAGTAAACTGGATCGATTCACCTTAATTGCAACTCGAACTCTAAAAGCAGAGGATATTGGCAGCGAAGTAAGGTAATGTCTTCATTTTTTTAATTCTACAAAACCTGTCAATCTCATAGGAAACATTTCTTGCTTTCAAGATTTATCTGTATGTCTACTCCTTAATAATTTTATCATAGCTCAGGGAGAGTATGCTTGCAACCTGGTTTTGTTGATTGATAAATATTTCTCCTACCTTATTTTCTTTCTTTGCCAATTAAATTTACACACCCAGTTTCTTGGTAGCCTTTTAGTTGATTTTAGTCTTCTATATCAGTAAAGTTGATTTGTTGCCATAAGTTGGAACTTAAAAGTATATCCCTATTTTTAAGTGCATAGCTCAAACTATGAACCAGCTATGAGAAAATTTTTAGTGTTGGTTGATCAACCAGGTCAGGATTTTGTCTTTATCATAAACTTATTTCTACAGCTTGTACAAAAAGATTTCAACAATTGATTACATGCTGTGGAAAGGCTTTTTTGCATATATTGATATAAAATTTTAAATGATGATGTTATAAAAGTGTATTTTTTGTTTCAGCCTTGATGTCATGGCAAAAGCAAATACAAGAAGAAGAATATCTGTTAACGTATTTCTTATGGTCTTCACGCTGTTTGGTAGTATTTGGGCTGTTTGGCAAGGAAAAAAGGAGATGAAGATAAACAATATCTATGAGATAAACAAAAGACGGTGATCTCAAACGTTCAAGAAGTTTTCTTGAGCCAATTAAAATACTGATTGATGTTTGTAAAGTTATAGAATGAATGGCATGAAATGCATGATAAAATTTCTTTACTTCTGTCTAGACTGCAATAGCACCTAATCAAAGGCTGACTTTAACTTTCAAAAACCTCTTGATTGAAACCTGAATTAGATGTAGTAAATATAATTGATATTATAAAGTAGTTTGTATAAATCTGCAACTATAGGACTGTGAATAACCTGCATGTTATTGCTAAAGGTCTTTTTAGTGCGGACAACGGGTGCCAACCAGACCTCGGTTTTGTATAGACCATCGATTTTTATTTACCTTTATTGTGTTACAGTCATGCTTTCTTCAAACAGCTTTCTTGGTATTGAAATTGAACAGTCAAATAAAATATAAGAGGTAGTAGAAGAAAGTCTTCGTTACCAAAATGACAGAAGGTCCTTACTCTGAAGGCGCCATTTGATTCTCAAAATCAAGTTGTTTGTTGGTCTCTTTTCACCTTTTATCTCTTGGTGGAAGAGATCACTCGCATTGTATCGCTTTTTTCTCAGAGTATTATGCTATGACTTGTAAAACTCATTCGTGCATAGTTGGCTGAAAAAAGCACACTCCTTTAAGTTAGAGTCTTCAAGCTTTTGAATCTGGTGGCAATCGATTTCTGACGTATTTGAGCAAAATTTGATGGTACACCTCCAAATAATTCATAAACAAAAATTTCATTTGTGACAACACCAACAAGCCTCTATTTCTTCAATTTTTGGAGTGAAAGCATTTTCATATTAAAATAATCAAATCTTACAAGCATGATAAACGTCTTATAAAAAGTATCGTTATAAGACATTTCAACAAAAGTATTTGGGAATAGGATCTTTTATGGCTATTTTTTATATCTTTGAAATCAGAAAAACCCAGTGTAATGTCGAAATTCTTGCAACTTTTGTCAACGAAGCGAATACAAATCCTAAAATTGAGGAACTTTGAAAGAATATGTTGTAAACAAAACTGCTCCATTTAAAGTAAAGAGTTCAAGATATCGGAAAGCGTTTTTACTGAAGATGTCTTTCTTTGAAAAAATCGATAACAGCGAAAGGGCTACTTGACAACCCAAAACAACCCTTTGATAAAAACTGGATCATTCCCTTTTTTATGTACCCAATATAACGCTAGTAGCATTTATTATGTCATCTGTTCAGTTTACATGTAGTTCATGATGACATCAATATGATATCTGCTTTTGACAAACGTAAATTTGTGTAACACTACTGAGCGTAACAGGGAGGTTTTGATTTATCAATATCTGACTATAAATTGCAACCTATTTTACTTGCAGGCATCATTCGCAGGCACAAAATATTATTAATGAGCCCTGGTGCCAGCTGGAAGGTGCTGAGTTCCCAGTTGTAGATTATAGTTTCGTTTGTCAAGCTCTATGATTAGTCAAAGATATTTGTTTAAGAAATCACGCTTGGCCAGCATATGATGTTAATATCTTTTTTAAAAGGTAGATGTGTCATTTATCGTCTGTGCATTTGCATTTGGTAAGAAAACAGCTTAGCAATATTCTTAAACTGAAATTATTGGTGATAGAATAGAAATATTGACTCAACAGTATCTCAGTGACCCAGTGGGATTCTAAAAAGCAAGAGAACACGATAGACGATAGAAAGTAAAGCATATGGGCCAATTGAGAATATTGTAGTTTTGCTATCGACATGTGTTGATTTGTCCTAAACCCATCCTTTCTCCCTCCACCAAATCAGCAGGTAATACCGGGGCTTTGATAAAAGCTAACGTGAAACATGAATAATGAAACATATTTAAACGAAAAAAAATGAAATGATATGCTCTGAACTATCTCTTTGATAGGTATAATAGTATGAAAAATGCTCTGACTCAGGGTTCATGAACAAGAAGTGTGATTATTAGACAGTGGTCGCCAAACAAGTCGAAATTGTAGATATCGACTGGACAATGCCGTGTTATCAAAACCAGTGTTGTTTCCACAAACGAAGGTAGTTTTTCTTTAATCATAGCTGGTGTGCAAAATCAGTTTGCGAGTGAATTTCGTATCGCCTTTTGGGTTTTATAAGCATGGGAGAACTGAGCTCTGTACGCTGGGTCAAGCTGACCTGATCGGCGACCTTACTCTCATGACCTCGAAGCTATACATGATATGAGGCGAAAGGTCGATTGTTCTTCAGATTTTGCTTCAAGGAGGCCATAAACTGATTCCATCAGACTTGCTTTCTGCAATGAACTGCATGAAATAAACGAATCAGCATGGATTGTGATGTATAAGGTTTCTAGCCTGAGCTTGCCTATTTTTGCTACTTTGTCAAATATTTTGTCAGCATTTAAAAGCATAGGTAACTTAATTTTGTAGTATTTCACACACATGACACGCGAGAAAAGAAAGTGTCTGCCAATCAATGGTTTAATTGCGTGGGAATGTAACTGCCACGTGACAGCTTAGATATTTGACGAACGTAACATGCTTGGAATTAACCATAACCGTGTGTAATTAACGTTGTAATTAGCAGATCTCTAACTTTCAATTTTGGCCTACAATTGCCACTTACAGTGATTACACCAGAGCATTTCATTCAAACTTAAATAATTTTCCAGCTAGCAAACCTTATGATATAATAAATGGAGAAAATAACTTAGTTAATTAATCAAGTAAAAAATTAGTATAATTAAGAGTAGCCACATAGCTCTTATTGCTTGTGGGTTTATGGCTTTCACAGGCTACCAAGATTATGCATTTTTTGTGTCTTATGAGTTGGCATGAAAAAGCCTAGACCGTTACAAATTTAATTGGTTATAGCTGATACTAATTAATTATGAATCTAATTAAAAGTTGGTAAGGTAAACTAAATAATCCTAATTACTTAGTAGTTATGTGAACCGAATAGCCAAGAAAAGAATCACAAGCATCGTACATTCGTACAAGTGACAAGATCAGCTCTAACAGAGTTCGTTCCGTATGTCCTCTTCAGTTTCTGATTGACAAGAAAATTTACTTTTTTTAAATAATTGTACAGCCATAAGCATCTTATCTTTTGGGGACATTTGTATCTACCCCCTTGAAAGCAGAAAAAATATATCTGAAGTGAAATCTGAAACGGAATGTAAATCTAGAGAATATTGTGTATGGATTTCAACAAGTTGTAAAAGATATTGCTGCGTTTTATATTAGAAACCGATCTTTTGTTTATACTTGTTGAGTTTGATAATGAAAAACTCCAACGTTTTCCCGCATAAATGTAGATATGTTATAAAGATATCGAAATGCCTAAGGCAAGGAAATCCTATTGGAAGATGGTCCTGTTATTTGAATAGCCATTCTCATAGTGGTTAAATTATTTCCATAGTGAAGTAGTCAATTTTTCTAAATCTTATGTTTTGGCAAAGCTGTTAACTATTATTTGTTTCTAACGTCAACTTGAATTTTTCGAGTATACTTGATAAGCTAGCTTGCCTGTATAGGTTCAAACTTATTGCAGTGAGGTTGGGTCTATCATTCAGCAAATGTAGAAAGTGATATAGTCCATGCATCTAAGCTCAGGAAAATTATATATCATTGGCGCAGGAAGATCTGGATTCTGAAGACATTACCTGACAGCAAAGCACTTAACGGATATTGCATGCCTCTACGTGCTACAAGTGCTGATTCTTTGCAGTCGTACCCGAATTCCATTCCACAGTTGCAGTGATAAAAATAATGCCTTCTAATAATTGAAGTCAAATATACAAGTAGAATACTTAGTACACTTGAAGAGGTCAAGCACGCATTCAAAAAAGATTTGTATTTACTGGATTATAAATAAAAATGCTATTGCCAGATCTTGCTTTTTATTGACCCCTATGACCTAGACATTAATTGACAACACAACTGTATTAAGGGTATTTTAGCTTTTGATATCCAATTGTAAATTGTATTTGATACGTCAAGTGCGACATAGGCCCTTGGTTTGGCTGACCTCTCTGACCTGAATTGCCATACGTCATGATTACCAAAGCTTCTGATTGATACCACAGCTAAATTGATCCATTATAAATTGAAGGCGCCATTCACTTTGGACAATTAATTGCCAAATAAGGAAAGTAACTCTTGTGTGGTGTGTAGTTCTTCTCTTCGATTGCAAATGACTTTGAATTGTTGAATTTCTGGTTCTACATTTGCAAGGTAATCTGCTCAACCAGCAAGAGGCTTGATGGGCATAGCGTGGCGACTGGCAATAATCAACTGAGGAAGCACTCCTGCTCCAGGTACTTTATTCTTTGCCTTTCATTTTGGAATACTATTAAAAATTTTCATGAAATCGAGTATCATTGCAGATCAGGGGCGGAGCCAGCCCCAAAACAGTGGGGTGGACAATGAAGGGGTGGAGCTGATAAAGGGATCTGAGTAAGAAACCGGTGCAACACCGCACGAGAAATCGCGCTCGTTATTGATAACCCAGTTTGACATATTTTGAAAACCTTCATTGAAGAGTCAAATTTCATAAGCAAAGGTTTACACACATAAAAGCTAATAACATAGAAGTTAATTTCAGAGTGATACTTTATAGCTAGCAGGGTTTTTAAACTTATTAAGAAGATTCGGTTGTCTATTTTATCTGCCATATCTCCATCGATGCTAATTTGAACAAGGTTTTCCAACCTTTCGTCTGACATTGAGGCTAAAAGGTGATGCAGCTGTAACAGGTGGGGCTGTAACTATTCTATCCTTACAGCTTAAAAACGTTTGGGTACAAATTTTTAAGTTAATTATTGCCAAAAACCTTTAACAAGGGAGGAAGGCAAAGACCACACTGTAAGAACCAACTATTTAGCACGATAAAGCTGTGTTTTATAGATTATCTTCATTTTAGTTTCTCACTATTTGCGGAACTGATGATCCAAACACACCATACTCTGTTAGCTAAGATCTGAAATGACCATCAAAATGAAAAAAGGTTCCGATCTCAGAGAAGGAAACTAACATCTCCCTTATGTTTTTAATCCAGTTTTAGAAAAATTAGAAAGTTGATCTCAAAAAAAGTGGGCTGGACATGTCAACCCCAGTTCACCCCGTGATTTTAGTCTACTTTCCTTTGAAGCTGCATAGACATCCGTATTGGTTCCGTTAACTTCTTACACCGCACCATCTCCTATATTTGCGTTAAAGCATTGTTGCTTTATCTGTTTAGATCAGCTGAAATACATTTAAACAATGGAACTGGGTGCAATATTTTTCTGTGGAATATTCTTCATGTTCTGTCTGAGTTTATTCAGAAACGAAACTTCTCAAAGAAACAAACTCCCACCATCACAATGGCGATTGCTTTTTCTCGGAAATGCTCATTTGTTATTTTGGAGTGATCCACACAGGCTGTTTCAAGGAATTTCAAGGAGCCTTGGCCCAATCATAACATTCTGGGTGGGAAGAAAGCCAATTATTATTGTCAATGAAATAAATCTTGCCAAAGAGGCTTTGATAAAGCAAGACAAGATTTTTGCAGGACGTCCTCAAAGGTACACAGGGAGTCTTTACTCGCGTAATTTCAAAGGTATTATATTAGATAAATATGGAGAAAACTTGAAAAGGAAGAAAAAACTGGCGCATGTTGCAATGGCGACATTCACAAGCGAAAGTGGAAATATGGAGCACATTATTTCAAGTGAGTGTAAGAGATTCATAGAACGGCTAAAATGTAAGACAGAAGGAAACACTGCAATCGACATCAGTGGAGATATCAAACTTACAGTGCTAAATGTGATCTGTTCGTTATGTTTTGGGAAGCATTACGAATCGCACGAGGCAGAATTCAAGCAAATCGTGCAAGCCAATGACTGGTTCGTTGAAGGCATCACGTGTTCATCAATTGTCGATTCATTCCCTTTATTGAGGTATTTACCACTGCAAAAAATGAAAAAACTGAAAGCCTTTATCAAGATAAGAGATGACGTTCTGGAAAAACAGTTTAACAAGCACAAAAGTATGTTTGATGGGAAGAACCCAAAAGACTTGATGGATCATTTTCTCAATGATGTTGAAGAATCAGACAAGAAATTATCTGGTGCAGTTCTGAGCAACGATGAACAAATTATGTTAATAAGCGATTTGTTCATTGCTGGTGAGTATAAACATGGCTATTTATTCATCCCTAGATTGAGTTAGGAAAAAATTTCATTGTAGCAACTAACAGCTAAATGACATATTCTTTGTATTGCAGTTTTTTGTTGCGGCAATTAGAGCGATGCTAACCCCTCAGTTTCTCAAAATTTTGATCTTCAATGGTATCTGCATATTTGTATAAGTTAAAGTCATGACACTTCAATTTCTGTGAGAATAAGAAAGATTTGTCTAATTCTCCGCTTTTTATGTTGATGACTTTATTCAAGGGAACCGTTTATGGGCGAAAGCCTTCGCGACATGCACTTTCTGTTTCCAAACCCCTAGATAAACAAGGATTTTGTTAACAGTTTTGTTAAAAAATGCATTATGCCAGTAAGGATTAGATTTTAAAGAATAGGTCCTTTACTTATACTGACACATTTTTGTTTGAAATTTTCAAAAAATATCTTCTGTATAACGAACTTCCTTTATTACAAAATTCAGTAAACGCGGGATTTCTTTGTGGTTAATCTCGGAGCGAAAGGTCGATAAATAATATATTTTATAAAAAATTTATTTAGACGATATGATGATGTGAACACAAAAGATTTTCGTAAAACTGTCTCCTATGATTTGAGAGAAAAATCTTCAAAAACTAAATCCTTTCTCTCTGCACTGTGAATTTAAGAAAAATCTATACCAAAGAACATTGATTAGAGAGCATAGGGCCCAGCACTGTTGCAATGGCAACTCAATCTTCACAGTTTAACTCAAAAAAGGACTTTGAGTTGCCTGATGATTGGATTAAAAATGAACTTAAAACATGTATTGAGAACCGTTCTGCTGTGCACACTAAATTGTGTAAAGCTGCGTCTGTATGATGTCGAGCACGCTGAAACAGATGGGCTAACAGCAAATACATCAACTTTTTCGGATGAAATTTCACTCTATTTGCCTTCCTAATAAATCCACCTTGTACCTTTTAAATATAAGTTTCTTACTGACTCTGGCTGACAGTTACGCAGGTTGATAGAATTTGGGTTTAGCATTAGTAACCTTTCTCTCTGATCGCTCAACAAAGTCTCTGATTTCTCACCGTAAACGTCTAGTCCACTGGTAAGGAAGATTCGAATTAAACTTGAAGGATCGGCAAGCAGTTTCCTTAAAGAAGCAAATATGATTATTGCTGCTTTTGAGTGCATCTATTTGAAAACAATTAAAATGTACTTTATTTTAAGCAAATGTGGAACAATTATCAGTTTCACTCATTTTGCTCACAAGAAAAAGAAAAGCGAGGTTGAGTGAAATCCGGTGCAGTGGCAAATATCAGAGTCGAAATTTTGATGTCATGCTCTTTTAAAATTTTTGGTTCTAATTACAATCTTTTATGCTGGACTAACGCCTTTATGTCAGATCGAGTCTTTTATGCCATGGCTATGGCTTATTAAGTTAGTTTTGAAGAATTTGAAGGGTCGTTATAGTTTGGGTTGAAAGTTTATGCCAAGGAGATATTTAACTAAATCATGAATTTTCAGAATTCTTCAATTCATTTAAACCCAATAATTGTTTTGCCAAGATTACTAACTTTCTCTAGCAAGGTTCTTATCAAGAGAAAATAAAAAGATAAAAACTTGTTAGAAAAAAAGTCATGAAACCATACTGGAGGGAAGCCATACTGAAATTTGTTTTTGAATTTTTCAGGTGCGGATACAACAATTAGCACTTTGCTCTGGGCATTTCTGTACCTCGCTGTATGGCCAAAGAAGCAACAAAAGCTTCGTGAAGAACTGGATCAAATCGTTAAAGGCAGAAACCCGATGTATCATGATAGAAAAAGCATGCCTTATTTAGAAGCAACGATCTCCGAAGTCCTAAGGCTGAGCTCACTCACTCCGCTGAGCGTGCCAAGGAAAACAACACAACCAACTACGCTAGGCGGGTACTGCGTTCCAAAAGATACGACAGTTGTATTCAACATGTTTGCCATGAACCATGACGAGCAGATATGGCGTGATCCTAGTAATTTTGAGCCAGAAAGGTTTTTAGACCAAGACGGAGCTTATTGTCCTTTGAAGCAAAAGTTCATGCCGTTTCTGGCGGACAACGGATGTGTTTAGGTGAAAAAATGGCAAGAATGGTGCTCTTTTTGGTGGTGGCCTATACTTTACAAAACTTCAAGTTTGCAGCCTTTGATAACATGGAGTTAGAAGGCGTTATTGGGATGACATTGAAGCCAAAACCGTTTAAGGTTCTTGTTCAACATTGTAATTGATTTAAATGTTGGTGCTATATCCAAAACGACTTATTTGTAAGGTCGTAATAAGGCTGTATTAAGTTTTAAAAAGCTTGGCAATAACTGGCTACGTAATTTGAAGTCAAAACAATAACGTTCTAAGCTTTCCAATGCGTAATCGCTAGTACTAGTTAATCTAGTGAAAGACCGCTTCATCTTATATTTAAGACTGAGATTTCAGGTTTGCCTAAACGTTTTCTCCATCAGCCATTAAAATGTCAATAAAACATTCACCCTTTCATTATCCTCACACTGTTACCCGGCCGAAATTTATCCAGTATGGTCTCGATTACCATATAATGAGCAGTACTCATTTACAATTTTAGTTTCGCGAATACATTCAACAGGAGATGTCTTATTGATTTGATTTGCTCCCATCATTATGACTCGTCGGAACAGACAGACACAAGGAAGCAGTCACACGTCCCTACCGAAGAAGGTGATTCCAAAAATGAACTGAAATGATATTCACAAAGTAAATATAATCTTTGCTACCTGTATTGGCCTACTTAACTAATAACAATATCCCCCACCTCCTCATTAATCTTCTTTTACAAAAAGTATACAATCTTACTCCAATGTGCAGATCTGGGGTGCCTCAAGGATCCTTCATTGTTATGCAGGGCTGCATAAGTCATCAGTATTAAAATGTTTAATTATTTACATCACTTTTTAGCTGGACAAATTGTTTTTAATTTGTTTACTTCAGCATTCTTTAGAAAACAGAAACGTGCTTTAAAATTCATGTGACATCAGCCAGTTGTGATTGTGAAATGCTGAGAGGAAAAGCTCTTTGTTTATTTATGACAACATATTCTGTCTTCACGGAGTTCCTAGTAAGATATTCTCTCTCAATTAAGAAGTTGAATAATTTTTCTAAATACTACATAGCTGTATTTCGAAAGATTTAAGGCATATGTAGTTTAGTAGCTAAATACAGCCAGCCAATGGCTTGATCAAACTTGTTGCTATGGGTGATTTTTATAGTCAACTCTCTGTTGCATTTAACTTAGCAAACATTGGGTTTTTACTGATTGTCACAAAAATTTTGATTAAATTTTGAGATATAACATCTTTCCTAAGAGATACATATTGATGACCTTAGTTGGAACACATTGGTGGAAAGTATGTAAAGGATAATGCTTTTTATATTTTTAACATTGTATAGAAGATTAAAAAGCAAATTATAAACCAATTTTGATTGTGATGGAGCAAATTTTATCACTCTGGTAAGAAAGTTTGATAGTTTGATGATCCTTAATAAACAAAAGTTTAATAGAGAGAGTTAGTTCTAGGGCACTTGCTTATCCAATCATTGTTGATGGTTTAAAAAGGCCTTGCCCAGAAAGGCGCTCAATCAAGCGTGAGCACCTAAACTGTACCTGAATATAGCCATGGAGAGCAATTTATAGTCTGGAAATGTAAAACAATATTGCACTGATGCAAAATAATGTTTGAAAATAATGTTGATAGAGCATAAAACAATCTTCTCAAATGACACTAACCTTTTGATGAAGAGATTTTGTATCTGGTTCCTCATAAAGGCACGTCTACAAGAATACCTTTCTGAGTAAAAATTAATATTTTCCATGCATCATAAATACAATTGTTTGACTCGTTTTCATTAAGGTTAAGGTAAACGTTTCTGACACAATATTTGGCTTTCTCTCTCTAAAAGCCAAACTATTAACGGAATCGAATTAAACTATATATCATTCAATGCACAAGAATGTGGCAATGCCAACCATATCAAAATAATTTACAAATATTGTAAAATTATATTTTTCAGGCAAATTTATTGCTTAAAAGAGTGTACCACTTTCAAAAGCTATTTTGTACCCTTGCGTTCAAGGTAACAAAATCTGACTTATATCAAAAGAAAGAGGAGATCCTAAGCTACCAAAGTGTGTCTCAGATCTTTAAAATTTCTCCCTCCTTTGAAACTATGTCCTGTCAAAAATGGGTGATCAATTTCCCTGAAGCCTGTCCTGGCCGTGTGCAAATTTTTTAAGCAATTCAATTGGTTCCTTGGGTACAAAATAGCTTTTTCGTGCCTGTATATAGAGGAGAAAACGAGATTTTACTAATTGCATTTGCAAGGTACAGTCGTAAACCATAGCGGAGTCCGGTTTAAGTCATTTGAAGCTTTAAGATCAATAAGCCTTTTTAAATAAACACAGACATACATGGCATACATGGATGTGCCATTCGAATCCTAATGAGACATGCAACCATAACCACAAAGCAAGGATAATCGGCTTAATAGGTCAAGAGATTTTCAGACATCAACTAAAAGTTTTGATAAAAAAATTATGGGAACCTTCATTTACATGGGATTTTTTCCATGTTCAAAATTTATGTTAGTTTCAAACATGGTATCATTGCCTGCCTTGAAAGTTCGGGTACTAAAATGTGAAAAAATTGAAAAATGGATGTTGTCATCCAGAAAACGCTTAGCCTAACCTTAAGAAGAAAACGCAAATTTTTGCAAAACAGAAGTGTGAAATAGAGCACCTCAAGTTTCTTAGGAACTTGTTTTATGGAGCTCCTTCTGTTTGCTTAGTGCAAGGCCTGGGTTTAAATTATATAAATGTCTGATAAAAATTTCTGAAGGTATCTTGTAAGATTTTAATGTTTTTCAAAAAACCTGTCAAGAGTCTCAGCACAATTTTTGAGCATGTGATAAAACTATAGCATAAACTCCATGCTGGAAAGAAATATGAATTCTTTCAGTCCTTTCTTAATATAAAAGCCATTTGGGAATTAGCAATCTTGCAATGTTGCAATCTTTGTTTATAAAATTTATCCCCTACCACCCATGTACAAGATGAATGACCTAATCCACTTTCAGCTGAGCTGGCAACATAAAGTAACACAATATTACAAACTCACACTTTCAATACATATAGTACAATTAGAAGAACAGACCAATCAGTATTACACATTCTATCTATGGGATCAAAATTTGATACTTTTATATGTTAAGTGTATATATTAATCTACAGGGGTGACAACAAAATAATCATCAGATCTAAATTACAAACAAATCTGCAAGGCCCCAATCACATGGTACCTGATAGCATCTTGTTTTTGGAATGTAAAAACCTACTAGATATGTTTTTGGTTACATGATGCCCGGCTATACTGTATAGCTTTTCTGTTTGCTTCCTTGCGGAAATCATCACTTTGGTACCATTCTCTTTTATACCATTGTTTTCATTTCCTAACTCTGAAAAAGGGTACAGCTTGTCCTGGAATGCTCTCCATTGTATGATTGTCATGGTACCCTTACTATCAAAGATGAGCAAGCTTTGTATGAGTTGAACTGATAACTGAACAACTGACAACAAACTATCAAGCACCATGTAACTTGAGCCTAAAAATATGATTTTACTTGGTACCTAGCATCACATCTCCAATTGTGATAAAATGCAGATCAATAATGAACTACAGAAACAAATAAAATAAAAATTGATCCTCTGGTGCATATGATTTTTAATTCAACATAAGCAGTATGTTATGTTCAATTTTTGTGAACTTGAAAATATATCTTGCATTTACCATGGTTTTAATTAGTAGGTTTACCTGATAAGCACCAGGGGTCTTGTGACAATTCGGAAGTCTTCAGTAATGCCCTTGCCAGGTATGTTTGTAGTAATCTACCATGCTTGCAAATTATACAATTTCATCCTTTACTTTTACTCAACCTGCATAGCTAAATCTTTCTATCAGACTTTGAACCACAATCTGTTACTTCATCTTTTCTTCTATAAAGTACCTTTGAAGTTATTGCTGGTTCATACTCCATAATGCCATGAATTTTTTCCCCAGAGAGCAAACTAGCTTCACTCTGTTCATTTAATGAACGTTTCAGTGGCACGATCAGACTTCCTGGGACTTGCAGTTTATTATAGACCTTCTTTGTAAGATCATTCATTTCTTCTGAAAATTTTTCAAAATCACTAACTTCGAATGGTTTTACACCGTACCTTGCATGTTCATACATTGTGACAACCCTTGAGCAAAGGTCTTTACAATCTACAAACGGAGCATATGGTGGCTTTTGCAAATTCTCTATATGCTCTTTCACTGACTGGCCAGGTTTACGAGCCAAGCAAACATCAACGCGACACAGAAGGTCATCCAAACAGCTCATTAAATCAAACGCTTTCCTTCGATATAAGTATGTGCTCTCGTCTCTTCTCTCAACAAACGATGACATGACGGTATCTTTACAACCTTGATCACTCAGTAATCTTGGCTCAATTGAAAGCTTATTTATCAGTCCAAAATACCTATCAATCTTTCTCTTCAAGTCTTTGGTTGCGCCGTTGCCAACATTGGCATGTGGCCCCTTCTTCGATATCAGGAACATTCTTGATATATGCCGATTTGTCCATAATATACAAAACAACACAATTGTTCCCACAAAAATGATGGTAATTAAAAGCTTTTCACCGTTATCAATTGCGCCCCCAGACATAACGAAGATAAGCTGTTTGGTGGGCCCGAAAACACTCCTTCTTTGCTCAGCTCTTGCTCTTCATCAACATTTGGCTACCATTTATTTACAACCTCCTTTTCACTTCCATATCTGCAATGAGGGCGAACAATAATAACCCTAGAAAACAATTTTTTTCGTGACGAACTTATGAACTTTAGGATATTTAAATTGTCATTTTTTTCTTACCATTATATAAAGGACGCAAAATATGGATGGAAGTGAAGAAGAGAGATTCAGTCATCGTTTAATCAATGATAAAAACGGTGTTCTTAATGATGGGATTGAAGTCGAAGGGTTGTCAACTTGTCTAATTGTGGCAAATGTTCCAAGCACCGTGTTTGACAATGCACACGATGACCGAGAAATGTTCGAGAAAATATTCAGAGAATTTGGAGAAGCGTCTTTTATTTATCTGAAGAGTTTCAAGCGTATTTTAGTCAACTATGGTAATTCATTGTCGGCAGCAGTTGCTAAAATTGCTATGCACTTCACAGTCTTTAAAGAAAACGAATTGAAAGTCTACTTTAAAAAGGTAACATTTGATGGCCAAAAATGCATTTAAGTCCATAAATTTCTTGATTACCATCTACTTTCAACTCTTTCGTGATGTTTTAAACATATGAATATCTATGTAGTCCAATATTTTTATTTTTAAGTTGTTACTTTCCTTTTCAGACACTCGCTGGATCTTCGAGCTCCCTTCAGCTTCCTAAACCAGAAAAGCATTTTCTTATCTCGCCACCCGCATCACCTCCAGTTGGATGGGAACCATTAGAGGAACCTATACCTGTAGTAAATTATGATCTTCTATCAGCAGTTGCTGCCTTGTCAAATGAACCCCAAGAACTGCATGCTGAAACTGAAGATACACCAGGCATTGTTGTCCATGGCTGCCCTAATCCAGAAAAAGAAATAAATGTTGAAGTGGATTTCCATCCACTAAACATCCTACCAAGAGGATATGTGCAAACATCAAGACCACCCATACAGTGACTGCTATAGAAATTAATTAAATGTAAATAATTGTACATTTGTTAAATAAAAATTGCTTATAGCCACAGGTAAAGTTGTTGATGAGTTGAAAGTAATTGTCAGCCATTGTCAGAGCATCATGTTTGATTGTTGTGAGTTTATTTCAACTAGAGGTGTCTTGAAATCTTTGGATGTAATTTTGTTTGTTGATGTTTTTGTTTTACATTTTTAATTCTTTATTTCAGGAATATGCTCTCTTTACTAACCACCATAATGAAGTTTTGATTATTATAAACTTACGTGATAGTATGAATAGATTTGATTATTATCATGCCATTACAATTGTTGTAATAAGAAAATAAAATGCTGCAGTTTCAGTATTGTCATTGGTGGTTTATTTAATTTTTTTCTAAAGCATTTCAAAGATTTTTTTCTACCCAGCATCTAAAGGTAGTCCTTAGGACACTGAGAAGGTATGCTTATTGAGCAGTGTCTTGGTCCTTCCTTTCAATGTGACTACACTTTGTGATTCCAGAGCCTGGAATTGGAGAGAGCTGGCGACTCTCCTCACTCTGGGTGAAAGTTTGAATACCAGGCCTTGGATCTGTAGTCTGCTACCCTAACCACTGTGTCATTCATAACTTGCAACATACTTGTGATGTTCACCCATTCAAAACTAGATGGATCTGGTTGCAAAGTTGCAGGTTACGAGTTGGAGGATTATTGTCTAGTATCCTGGGGACCCTGTGGAAAGTCAAACAAATAGAGGCAGAAGTTGGCTGTGGAGTTGCTTCAGTCTGCTTGATTTGGTGCAATATGGTATCATTATCATATGGGAGCTAATCATTCCCTTGTAAGAGAATTGGCACCCAAGGATATTACATGCTACATAAGTTACTTGCACATAGTTCCCGTCTTTCTTATTAATCAGATTTTGTGTTATACAGGCATGGGTATTCCTCAAAATGTTCAAACATTGGGTTTTGTGCCTTGGAAAACCATTCAAACTTCAACTTCACTTCACCATCTTGACTTCTCAGGATGATCTTTCTGCAGTATTGTCATTGGTCAGTGACCTGCAAAATAATGCAACTTCACCTGAAAGTAGGATTTTGGTCCTAAATTGGTCCCAGGTTGCAGTAGGTTGCAGGATGAAAGCCTGCTTTCACATACTACATATTGGCCTCATTATTATTGTGCAACAAGTTGCACAAAATTGCATAAATATAGAAGTTGCCAGTGATAAACTGTGCTTGCATATGTCATCTTGCATATGTGTTGAAATCAGGTGTTCAAATGCACTGCTGCTCCCTAAGATAATGCAAACCATTGAATTTAGTGTGGACAAGCTTCTTCCTGTTTCTATTTTTGCATATCTGCACACAAGGGCTTTAAAAACAAAATAAACTTCATAAACAGCACAGGAAATGAAGGAACTATAATGAAAAAGCAAACCTTTTTTGTGTTTGTCCCTCCTAGATAAAAATTCTAAGGATGCACCTCACAAACACCCAACATCAGGAATCATTCGAAATTTAAAGCTCGAGTTAATGTTTGTATCGGTCAAGTTCGAGGTAGTGCCTTAATTAAGCCTTTTTCCAAGACCACTGATTTTGCTAAATGGAATGAAGGGGATACAGGGGTACTCACCCAGAGAGAAATGTTGCTTATCACACCCTTCAAATTGCTGGAAACTGACATCACATCCAATTTTTATTGTTAAACAAAACTTTCTTTATGTTATCTTACTTTTTCGTGAATTTGTGACATTTTAAATCAATACGGTAGAATGAGCAGCCAAAGCAATAATCAATCATCCCTAAAATAATTTAAAATTTCACATATTTTTTTTAACTTTTCTCTGAAAATCTTAAAACATTCACTGAATACCTTCAATACGGATACTACACCAGAGATGGCGCTATGGGGTGTCATTGGGGGGCACCTGCCCCCAAAAGTTCCCTATAAGGCTGGATTGTTCACAACTTGTTCTTGAGGGTGTAAGCAGTGCAATTGCTAAATATTTTGCTTAAGGGGAGTATTAAGGCACCATTTACAAACAAAGTTTGAAAAATTCCGCGTCAAAGCACTTCTAGATGGAAAAACTTTGTTCAGAATTACATTCTAAAGTACCTCAGCCACGTTAATTCTTAATATCTTGACCAATTTGAATCAATTCAGCTCAGCTCCATGATTTATTAGGAATCTGAGAGGCATAAAATAACCAGGACCGCAAAGAGGGGGCAAGGGGGCAACGAAGTAAATTTCCCCTTAAGGCTCTATGGGGCCTTGTAAAGTAATGAATTCAATTTTTAAGATAGAATTTAATCAAACATAACAAAAGGATACCCAAGAATAGTGAAATTTGGTTGACATTTTTTCATTCATTTTCAAAAGATCTTAGGACTTAAAGATACTGTAAAGGGGAGTTCATGAAATATGTCGGCACCCTTTTTTATAGTCGTCGGCACTTGACTTTTTCTAAGACTTGGCTACTACACGACTGGTTATAAGCACCTTGGTAGGATGTCCCTCTGTTGATAGATTGCAAAGAGTGACAAGCACCTAAACAGGATAAGTACCTCAACTCCTCATCCAAAAGGACCCAGTTTTCCCCGATTGATTCTTCTTTCAAAGACTGTTATTTAAATTTCCAAGACCTTTATTAGTGGCAGATACCAGATGGCCACCGACGAAGGGAGGGGCTGGGGGCTGAGGGCCATGGTCCCCCTGTTTTTTGTAAAATAATAGGGCTTTTTTCAAAATCTTTGCTATGGGTGCAAAATTTTTCCTTGCCTCTTCCCACTTTCTAAACAGTGTCGGAGCCCATGATAACACTCTAAATTAGGCACTGCTTGGAGAGTTTTGTCGGCTAAATGACTAAATCGATAACGTCATATCCTTTTATGAAAGATGTTAATACCACTTCTCAATGCCTTGCATTTCTTTATTAACGAAATGTTGAAGTTTTTCAGAATTTGTTTATAAGCAAGCAATAGTCGTATCATCATCGTATATCGCCTGTTTCTAGATAGATGGCAAGTCGTGTCTGTGTAGTAAAAAGATAATAGGCCTAAGCAGGATCCCTGAGGTACCCCTAACGTAAACATTTTCGATCTTTGATACAAAGCCATCCGCAAAGGTTGCTGTCGGTTTTCCGATTAGAGTAACTATCTTTGCATATGTCTCAAACAATAGAGCTTTAATTAATCAAATGGTGTTTGGCTATTAAGCGTGTACAAGGTTTTTTCAGATCTACAACAGACTTGAGAACTACGACAACTGAACCTCTATAGACTAAGACTGGTGTTTAGTAAGTAGTTTCGTCTGTTTTGAAAATTAATGAAGCTGATGTAATGCAATAATTTTTAAAAGAAACCTAGTTACTACCGGCAACACTCATATTGGCTGCACTTTGTCTTGTGGTCTGTTTAGTCACGTATTATCATATGGATGACATGGGCATCAGGTCCAAGCCCCAAGCATGTTCCCCTTTAAAAGCTGATTCTCTTTGATTGATTCGAAATTTAATTTTGTTTAAAAGCATTTTCTGATTTGATTGATTTGATTTTTATACAGGGTAATACATTTAGTAATGAACATGTTTATCTTCGCCTCGAGATGTAGAAGTTGAGTCTGAGGTATTGATCGACAGCGAAAGTAGAGACGGAAAGTAAACTGTGTTTGATGCAAGAATGAAATGAACACAGGGCATGCCCCCCCACTTTCTGCAAAACAAGAGAGCTTTTTTCAAAATCTTTTGTTATGATTGCTAAACTTTCCCTTGACACGCCCCCCTTCCAATCCTGCGTCGGAGCCCATGGAACATTGACAATTTTAGAAGCATCACGAATCAAAGCATGAAGAGTATGCCATCTCAGAATACGTTGTTCAGAACAATCAAGCAACATTTTATTTTCCAAATGTATGAAACCTTCATCATACATTCATAAAGAGTTATGCCCCGAAATTCTCTTAAGATTTTACACTTACGGCCTGAAAGTATTGCAATCTTCGACAAAAAATAGCCGTACAGCTGCCAAAGTTTTTTAACGAAAATATTAAAATAGCTGTAACAAGTAACAGAAAGTTTTAAGCCGACAGTTCAAACGGGAAATAATAGAAAATTTATCAAAGAATTGTAATTAAAGATATGATTACGAAAAGATAATATCAATGATTATGAAAACACGAAATTTGAGCTTTGATGATAGGTGTTGAAACATTGTAGTCTGCGTAGCTGTTTCTAAATTCTGCGTAGCCGTTAATTAGAGTGTCCGCTCATTTAGTGTCCGCTTTTAAGAAAGTTTTTTATTAGACTTTGACCAGAAAACGATCGGGGAAAAATAATTGTCCGCTAATCAGAGGTGTCCGCTTTTTAGAGTGTCCGTTAATTGGAGAGAATACTGTATAAGAAAGAAGTTGGTAGCAAGTAGGAAGAGTATTGGGAGTGACCGTGTTGCCTCTTCTTGGAGTTTGCCTCGATTCCCTCAGCTGATGTCAATCACAAATTGATTGTCAAGCGAATTTTTACAGTTTAAATGTAAGCTTTGTTTATGGTGCGTTGTCAAGGAATTCCGTTTGTTTACAGTGAGTGACTTTCATGTTTTCCATCTGAGATTTATTTAGCTAAATTAAGACAGAGGGGTGTTCCAGCTGCTGTAGGAACAAGTGCTTTTGCTAGGCCATTTGAGGAGAGACGTTATGACGAAAGAGGATCGTTTACGTTTCCGCACCTGTTGGGAATCGCCGTATCATAAACATGAATAATGCATGAATTTTTTTGAGTTTACAGCTTACACATTATGAGCAATATCCATTATTGTTTAATATGCCGTGGACTTCAACCATCACGATTCCGACGACCACAACTAAGTATGCATTTTCCAGCAATGCTACAAGCAGTAAAACTAGCACCTTCAATGTTGGACAGACTGGACGTGTCTTTCTGACGCTGATAATGCTGTCGATGATCTTCATATGTTTGTTCGGAAACCTGCTCGTGTGTTACATCGTATACAGGAGACCAGCGATGAGATCTGGCATCAACCTTCTCCTTGCAAATTTGGCATTATCTGACATTCTCCTGTCCTTATTTTGCATGCCATTGACGCTGGTTTATTTGAACCTCCAAAGTGAAAGCATAGAAGAATCTGTATGTCAACTGGAGGCAGTTTTATTTTCCCAGTTCCAAACAGAAAAAATATTGCTGCTGGTAGTTATATCAGTGGATAGATATTACATTATTGTAAAAAGGAAAGACAATTTGAACACCTTTAGAGCAAAATGCATCATTATCATGACATGGCTGGCATCAATGATTTTGAGTATACCTCCACTTATTGGTTTGGGGAAATATAAATATTCTGCTTTCAAACCACAGTGCACATTAGAACTTACTGATGCTTCAACAAAAAATCTGGTATGGGTCATGTCATTCAATATCATTGGAAGTTTTCTTCCTTGTGCTGTGATGGCAACAGCTTATGGTTTCATTTTAAGAACAGTTCGTAGAAATTGCTTTAGAGTACAAAATCATCCACCAGTTAACCCAACTGCAATGCATCGCAAAGGAAAATTATTTATTGACTACAGCTATAAAAGAAGAACCTTTACAACAATATCTCTACTCTCCCTTGTATATGTTTTTTGTGTTCTGCCCCTGAAGGTTTTAGAGATCTATTCTGTGGTAAATGGAAAATCAGTTTCCATATCTGCTTCAATTACAGCATTATGGCTCAGCTTTGGACATACTGCACTCAATCCAATCATTTACACAATTCGGATAAAGAAATTTAGGGAGGCATGTGTGGAGATTATACCAAAGTCAGTTCTGACAATCCCAAAGTTTGTGCCACTCAAAACAAGACGCCGTGTGAGACCCCATGCTTTGTACCAGGTGAACAAACAGCCAAGTATTGTAACAACAGTTATATGAATGTTGATTTTATTTGATATTTGCATATTTCAGAGATTTTAGTAAAACATATTGCATATTAGAGTTTACTAAAACAATCAATTTTAATGCCTTGTTACAGCTTGATGCAAATGTTTTCTAGTAAAATTAAAATGAAATCACATCACCTGCTGTATCCTCACCAAACATTTTCCTTTAGAAACTAACTGCATCACAACAATTTAATTTCCTTTATAATTTTCAGAGGTATTCATTTCTATATCAAATTGTTTTTCTGAGTATGGGGCAATCTTTTTTCTAATTAGTGAAATTTAATGGATGACATTGATGTTTGAAAAGATGTGAAGCTGGTACTTTACTAAGATTGATTTATATAAAATAACAAGGTAACAGAATAATTGTACATTTATATATTTTTAAAACAAATCTTCTGATTTTGGATGAAATGAATAGACAATATTTTGCAGCTGTCTTTATTGTTGTGGTATGGTCTTTTCTTGTTCTTATCTAAAAAAAATGAAGTGCTTTTTTCTCACATCCCCACCTGTCATATTGACAGCTGAAAGCTTGTTTGACTGTTAATGAGAGATACAAAAAGTAATTTTAATACTTTCAAATTCATCACTGTTATGATGACTGAACAATGGGCAGGCTTTTTGGGAATTATTGTCCCTGAATGCAAAATTATGTAAAATTACAGGAGACAAAAGACGGTATGATTGATGATTTCAATCCTTAGCTGCTAGCTATATTTCAATTTCTTATTATTTAGTTAGCTGTTTTCGATTGATTGTGATGCATGATTGATGCAAATGCTTTTGTCATCAATAGTGTGACAAATTCAACTGCAGAATTTGTTATCCCAGCTTTCTCAATAATAGTCACTGACAATTTATAAGAAGCATTATTCAATTAATGATCATAACATTAACTTAAAAACTTATTTCAAAAAAATAAAGGCTTCACACGGTTTTTTTAATTACATAGCTTGCTGAAGCATGTACTCATAAAGATAAGAAAATTTGAAATTTAGCTGTTGCAACGCTATCTATAAACATTTCAAGTAGCTAACAGAATGTTTTAAGTACAGTTCTTTTACTCCTGTCCATAAACTTGATAGCCATCTCTTGAATGCAGTGGCTTTCACCTTTAAGGTTATGCATAAGCTAGAAGCATCTCCTGCAGGTTCTTGGACAATTTGTAAGCATGAATTTACGATTATTTCCATAATAACAGTCTTTTTTAAACCACCTGCACAAACGAAGCCAGTCCTTGCATTCTGGAATGAGCAAAAAAATTATTTTGAGCATGAATCCTATGGCTTATTTCACAACAATGAAACTTTAAAATATTTTGATGTGACTTGTGGTTAAGTTTGGATGGTAGAAACAAGAACGTTTTTACCACACTTGTAGAAAATTGGTGGTAATTTTGAACTCCCAATTTTGAACTTTGAGCTAGCTTGAACTGACCTGCCAAAGTTGACGACTAGCATCTTTTGAAACTTCATGAGGCTACCTTAGAAAATAATTTGTTAAAATTTGTGAGTGCCAAATTTATTTCATGATATAGGCCAAAGGGGTCATGCTAGTACAGCCCTATGGTATCAAGATCGTGAGATGCATTTTCCGTAGGTTTAAGGTGTTACAGTTCTATGCATGGGTATTTGCCAACTTCATCCTCATGCAAACTGGCCATGATTTTAAGGACAGTTTTCTTTTGTATGGCTTAACTCTTATGCAGGCCAGAATTTTTCCTCATATTTTTCAGATTTCCAAGGATTTTCAAAACGAAGCAAAAAGGCAACTATTATTAAGTCTCAGCCAGCAAACAGCTGCTGCACATTTGAAAAACTCCAAGAAACTTGCAATCATGCAATTTTTAGCGATAACTCAAACCGGGAATTTCCAATTATTGGGATATTTTCGCCGTTGTAACAGTGTGAATCAGCCGTAAAATGCCCGACAGCTTCTCACTTTTGCTTATGGCAATCTGATAATTTCAGGGCTAAGAAGCGGACCATATAAAACCCAGTTTTATTTAATTGACTTTTTCAGAACATTGAAAAATTTTGCAAGTAAGGAATACCAATCACCAAACTCCAAAAATAATGCACTTTATTAAAAAAATTCTTTGAATACGTCCACCATTCTATTTGGGAGCCCAAGGTTGGAGAGGAATTGAAAGTCGTGATTGAGCCAGACAACTTAGCGACAAACACGCCATGTGTGTACAGAAAATCGAAACTATTGTAGGACATCTACCAAAAGAATGGCTGGCAGATTTGCAAATACAATCTTCTTTTTAAGGGCAAATGAATTTAGTTCCTGCGTGACTGTGGTGAACGTGTATACTTTGGAGATAGCAAAGGAGTGCAAGTCCCTTGCAATTTGATAATTTTCTAATGAATTATCATTTTTATGATAATAAATAGCTGAAAGTTTTTATCACTTTTTGTTCGAGGTAACCAGATTTTTTCTTTGAAGGGCATAAAACTTCGCTCGAGATAGCGAATAGCTTGATTTAAGTGAGTTCAAGATAATGAGTTTCATTTCTATACCAAGCCCTGTAGGAAAACGAGGGCAAGTGGGAACCTGTTCGAGATGGAGAGTTTTTGAAGTTGTCCGCAAACATAGGAATAGTTGAGGACATCACAACTTTGCTTATTGTACCTTTGGCTGCTGATGGCTGCTCCTGGCAGTTACAGCTATAGGATTACAGGCTTAAGTTAAGATTTCAATATTATGTATGGGCAGAGAGGTTGTTCTAAGAAAATCCCAGGATTTGAACGCCGAAATGAAAGAAAAAGGAAGATTTCCAAAAGAACTGAGTCGAATGTACGAAAGATCAAATATGAAACAGCCAAAGAAGAAGATGCCCACATTGAAAAACAAAACTGAAGAATGTGAAAACGGAGAAAATAACTTTCAGAGATTCAGAGGATCTGATCAGACAATTGGTCAGATCAGAACTATGATTGAATACAAGAATCCGCACCCTAATTTTGATCAAAGCAAGCACCATTTTCTAACATCCTCAACAATGTTTCGTTTTTCAGATTTGTTCCTTTTAAAGACAAGCCACAGTTTTGAAGAGGAATTCATTGAGAAATATAGGACGTCTCTTCAACATAAGGAAGTAGCAACCCAATTTAAGTTTCTTCCGAGCGTTATACAGCAGGTGTTTTCGTGTCTAAAGGAAGTATCATCAATGGACACTGTATTTTGACTCTTTCACTTCACATAAGCATTATTTTCCCAGGCACCGCGGAGAAGGGGGGCTGGGGTGCTATAGAAACCCATTTTTTGCCAAAAAAATTACCAACAAATCACAAGCCACTTTTTATTGGGCTTTAGCGCCCCCCCCCACTTTTCTAGACCTCCCACTTTTCCCAACGCTCCGTGGTGCCTGTTTCCTTTGCAATAGAAGCTGTTCATTTACATCTCTTGGCGCCAACTAGTGCAGGTTTCTGCTTTTCCTGAAAAGTCACAAAGAATGAACCGACGCTATTGAACATAATCATATCGTCCATTATTCACTTAGAGAAGGGATACTTTAGAAAATAATGAGTTACTTTGGAAAGTCCCTTTATATCCAAGACACAGTCCCCCTTTCAACCTTTGTCCTTCCAACCTTAAAATGCTCCAGATGTTCAGGTCTATGCTTCTATACTTTCTGCACGTAGGAACACTTTAAGTTACCTCAAGGTCACACCTGCTATCAGATGTCAACGACAATTAACTGCAAATTTGACATGAAAGTATAACTGATTGTGGATTACGAGCTAAAAAGAATCAGCTTTGCAGATTACGCTACCCGCCTACACACTCCCCAGCCACCTCAACATTTATACCCGTAAAGTAACATAGAGGATTACGTAAGTAGCATGAACTGAATTTGACTTAAGAGTGTTTCTTGATGAAGCTTTAAAAACATCGCAAAATCTTTTCATAGATTTTGAAATTTGCAGAAGCATGAAAAAATAAACGTTGCACACGTAGATGATGAAAGGTAACCCAATTTTTTAAGCATAATCTGCAGCTCATGAGCAAAAATCAAATGCTATAGAGAAAATTCAAATGTTACCCTTACCTGGGCACTCTCCATTTGGTCCTTTCTCAGTCTTTCTGTCCCAACAACAACCAAACTTTGAAGAAGCACATTTCGGTTTAGGAGGTGCAGCAGCAACACCTAGTCAAATTTTAACGTTGAAGTAAATTGGTGCAAGCAGGTTTTTATAAATGGCTTTGAAAAAGCGAACATTTTAGAACAAGCTTATCGTCAGAAACTCTTCAGAAGATAAAATGTCAGAAAATAGATCAATACACTACGCTAGGAAATAAATTTACCCAGCTGTGGATCGAAATAGGCCAATCGTCCACAGGTGGGGGCATATATTTCCTAGCATAGTGTTTTGACCTATTTTATGACATTTTATACTCTGAAGAGTGTCAGACGATAAGTTTAAGTATGCTCTAAAATGCTCAGTCTTCTCAGTCTTATCGAAAAAAAAGAAATACTTCGATCACAGCATCGAAAAAAAACAGTTTTGTGATTCAAGCTTACAAAAAACTTCGAAGTACCATCTTAGGAATAAGTAGGCAAGTATTTTGATAATTTGCCTTTTCATAGAACCAAAATAACGCACTATTCATATAGGTAACAATATTTTTCCCGGTTTATTTGCGTTTAGGAAAAACCCAAAAAATCAAACTTGATTTTTCCAAAAAACTAACAGAAATCGTTCAAATCAACAAATTATTCCGAATTCCGGTTACCAAAAGAATGTTGAGGGGGATGGGGTTACTGTATGTTGACGATCCAGTTGTAATGGGAGTGTCAAATGACAAATGGCAAATAAAAGTAATATCGGAAGAAAAAATTCAGGCCATGTTGAAGAAAATGCATTTCATGAGCTATGTAAACACCAGAAGTTGCAAAAATTAAGTGCATGCATGAAAATATGAGGGGGGGGGGAAGGAAAATATGAAAGGCGATGCAAAATATTGAAAAGTAAACAACAGATTCAAGAATATCAAATCCAATTGCATCAAATAAGCTTATAAAAGGAGATGTCAAGCTTTGCCCGGAATGGTCCTTTAAATGTCTTATGACACAAAAACCCCTCTCCCGATTTTGCAGTCGTCTCTGCTGAGTTCTAGAGGCTTGACTTGGCCAGTCGACGACACTAAGTGCCAATATATTTGATCTAGTTTCAAGCAAAATATAAATTATCAGTTGACTACTTACGACATCTCCCACAACTCTTCCGGCAATATTTGTGTAGGATCTGTGGATGGGTATAGCAAGCATAATGCGCCTGCCACCACGGGCACCAGGTCGGCAAAAAGTCTTTACAATCTTCCTCTATTGAAATAGAACAGGAGCGTTAATACGTTTGAGCCAACAGGGAAGGCAACTCTAATATTTGAACTAATACAACTAGACAAATATCTCATTCCAGTAAAAGGTTCAATAACTGAGTCCCAATCAAGCCTGTTGGATCTAATTTAGCTGCTACAAAAAGCACTGAATACAGACGAATATATACAGAAAATTCTTAACAAACTGAACAGGTGAAGTGACTCGGATAGGTCACCAATGTCAGTAACAATGAAGTCCAATGAAATTGCTCTGCCTGGAAATGAACCAAGGAAGAACTATTTAAAGATTTGAAATGAGACTTAAAGATATTATTTTTTGCCATCTAGGTGTGCTTAATCGGTATTTTTCAATTTTGTCGACAACTAAAGAATGAGCACAAAAGCTAGCGACGGGCCTGAGTGCAGGGTAAACAGCTAGAAAGCAGCGTCGCTTTGAGAACCGGGTTTTCAACGTATATTTAAAGAGGCAAAAAACAGAGAACGACAGATTCTTTGACTTTTACTCCCGGGCTTTTACTGGTTTTTGTTATGTGGCCCCTTTTTTCTTTATTGCAAAAGTCTATTTATTTTCTTTAAAGCAGGTCTGTAGGTCTTGATAGTTTTATTGCAATCTCATTTTCACCCTTAAGTTGCTTTAGAAAGAGATCTAAAGGTGAGCAAATACTTGATCGAATAAAAGTGAAGCTGTATCAACCGTTCGGTCTTCTAATTTTCTTCTACCATTACTTAAACGTTCCGCATTGCTAGCACTGCACATAGCAGATTGTGTTACCATCAGACACAGGCCACGTCGATTATCTCTGACATGACATGGTAACTCGACCACGCCTTTTTCCCCATTAGAGTCAGGTCACCCAATTAGATTAGGTATTACCCAATTAGAAATTATGCAAGCTTTCTTCAAGCAGTTTTACTAGAGATTCTATTTCCTTTTTTCGAAGTTGCTCCTTTGGAGGCGAATTATTATAAAAAGAAAAGATTCCTTCCCTTGTCATAGCATTTAACAGAGCAAAGCACTAAAAATTCTCTATTATGAAACCACAACAGGTGACAAAGTTTTGACCTACTGCAAAAATGGCATGTTTTGCGGCATAACAGCATCATCCGCTTAATTCCTGACACGCAAGCTCCGTTGCGACGAAGCATTTGACAGTATTGGCTTGAAATGCTGTCTCTGCAATCTGAAAAGAAAGAATGCATTCACTTACTTTGAAACTGTTTAGCTGCGGCGACGGCTTACTTTCTTAGTTCAGGGCTGTCAAACGAGGGGGTTCAGGTAGAGTAGTGGCGTAACGCAGTTTGGGGCAACTTAGTCCGATAACTAAGGTCAAATTGGGCCTCCAAGAGATCTTAGCAACAAGTGAAAAAGTTTGCAGAAAGAAGAGAAGAGCTACTTTTGACATATTCAAAATGTTTCAGCCCCCCTCATCAAGTTTAAGTTATAAGACTTTTTTGCTAGGATGTATCATTTCTGACGACAGTATTTCAGAATGACGATGACTCAGTTTGAAGCACGGCTTGTTCCTGAAGTTCTGTCGTAATGCTTCGAACTTAATCGGTTGAGGAATCAAATCAAACGATATGAATTGCTTTGATTTCAATATTCAAAAACAAAAAGCGTGTCGGTTAGCGTACCGTTCCTGAATGTCAAAATATCTCCTGCGCATGCTTGTACTTTGAAAAGTAAATCCCTTTTTCAGGCAACGTAAATTCAGTGAAAAGACATTTCAATAAATGTATTGAAATCGAGGAAAGTTTTGTTAAAGCTAGATCTGAAAAACCATTTTTATTGGCTGATCTAATGGACACAACCAGCTTATCAATAAAATTGTTAATAGCTTTGAAAAGGGCAAACATTTTACAACATATTGGCTAAAAGCTTTTTCTTCTGACACTCCTCAGAGCATAAAACGTCAGAATCAGGGTCCGAAAGAACACGATGAAAAATATATACCCAGTTGTGGATCGAAATAGGACAATCAGAAAAACGCAAACACAAGACCGGTATAGTTCCCCTTCCTATGTGAAGCCAGAAAGTTTGCATTGCAAGTGGTAGTAATAACAGTTCTGTTGAAATCAAGTGTATTCTAAAGCTGGCTAGAAAAACCCTCTGTGTAAAACGTCTTGATTTAGGACCCGCTGTTCTAGGTAATCGTTAATTTATATTGTGTACTAAACCCGAACTCTTTGAGAATCGCGTTTCGTTGGAGTAAAAGCCTATGTGCGAAATAACCTCGTTTCTGGGTTAGCGATTAAGAGTGCACGAATGTAACTGGTTATTAATTTATTATGCAATTCCCTTTGGAAAATTCTAGCAAATTTATAACGTTACGTAGTTCGATTATACAAGTAGATTTTAAAGTAGAGTGTAAGAGTCGATTGACGAATGATTTAAAGGGAGAACAGTCATTTTCAATTTGACGGATTCTGCAAAAATCCGCTATGTCTGAAGAGACGACTTGTGGGGATTTTTTATTTCATAACAGATATGGCTGACAAAGTTCATATCTGTTAAAGTCTTTACTTGAGGGACAAGTGTATAATAATTTTAGAGCAAATTCACGGCGAACGAGAGCCGAACACTGTGAAGTAGCATTGTCACCAAATCGATTCGGCTTTTTCGTCCTTTTATTTAAAAGAATAATTGGAATTTTGTAATTAAGGAAGTTTTAGCATAATACACGTAGCAGAAGCTACCTTTTCCGTCGATTAAAATAGATTTATAGAATTCAATATGAAATTATTCTGCTTTCAAGCGCTTACACTGAGACGAATCGCATTGTTTTCCAACCGCTTCGTTTCTATAATCGTCGCTATTTTTACCCTGTTCCGAAATTTTTCTCTGCACACACGACACAGAAGGTGTTTGTGAAAATGTTTTCATCTTAGAAACAGAATACTGTAAACAGGCCCTCAATTTCCTAGAAAATGATTTAGATTGGAGAATCCTTTTTTGAATTGTGGAACTGCATGCAAATCTTCAATTCCACAATGTCCACTTCGCTTCACCACATCGAGTGGAGCCTTGATAAAAGTTGTAAAGAAATGCCTAACTATATATTTTGCAAGCTATTTTTTATCGACCAATTGAACCAAGGAATTTTCAACACTCTGTTACCTCATTGTTGCGATGTAGAAAATGCGACTCTAACCGAAAAAGGCTAAATTTGAATTAACTGGCTATGTGAGCAGAAAGCTTGGGACGAAACCTTTCGTGCAGCCGAATAAGAAATCTTTGAATAGTTCCACTAGACACCTGATTGAAAACATCTGATTGGCGCAAGTTATCAAAAAAGACTTTGCTTACCTTCAGGGTTTCGTCGCAATGTCGCATTTCGCCTTTCCTCTGCAGCAATACTTTCCGATGCTATAAGACAGGTAAGAAGTACCTTTAGGAAAGTTTCCATGCTCGACAATACTTAAACTTTCTCTTCAAATTCTTTTTTTGATATCTCTTCTTGGAATGTTCCTTCTGACTTATCTCACACTTCCTTGGTAATGTTATGTATCCTCTAGTTTCGTTTCGGGCTAGGAGTCTTTATCTCATCCTATTATCACCGGTATTGAACTCAATTTGCTAAGGTTATTATGAACATAAACAGGCATTTTCAATATTCCATGTACCTTGCAAATAAGATAATGGGAATATTCTAGATATTGTCCACGTACTGATCAAATTACCCAGTCAATTGTCTACGATGAATTCTCATTCTCAGACTAAGCCGCACACACAGGTGACAAAAAGTCTGAAAACAGTAATGGAGGCCTTCTGGACCCCCACAATCCAAAACCCTCTTCACTGATAACAGATAAAGAGACGCCTGGAGAAATCATTACAATGATATGACAGAATCGATTGGTCAGGAGGGATCCAATGTTTCTTTCTGGCCGTCAAGCAATATACTTCAAACACGAAACTGCGCACGAAAAAACAAGGCGTGACTTTAAGTTAGGGACTCTTTTGAAATGATATTGGCTCTTTTAAACAAAGAGCCGCAATTTAAAGGTGTTTCCCGTTTTGGCATCATGAAATACCTGAAATTTTTTAATAAAAGGAGAAAAGATTCTTCTTCTTGATAAAGCAATTATGCATGCATTTCAGACTAAAAATTCGGCACTTTTGCTGATCCGGAGTGTGGCAAAGCCCTATTTCTACTGTGACGTATTGGACAGGTCACTGGAAACATTTCGTAACTAAGATATGAGATGGGGAGAGAAAAATAACTTTCTCAAAGGGATGCATCTTTTCAAAGAAACCAATAAAATTATAAAGGATTCTGTTGTGACATTAAACCCCAACCCTAAAGAGCCAATAAGAACAAACAAGAAGCATTCCTTGCTATATATAAGCGAGGATAGAGGGACGGGAGGAGAAAGTTGCGTGGCAAGAACCCTGAAAAAAAGCCATGTGCCCTTTCTAACCATTTGAATAAACGCCAAAGCCAAGGGGTAAAATTTTTATGCAAATAGAAAACCAAAATTTCCTTAAATCCATCGAAGGCAGCAGACAAGGCTTAAGACAAGAATAAAGGATAAGTCTCTAAGATCAAATGCGAATGCCTTGCATGTGATTTTGCCAATCGGTGTTAAGCTCTCATCCACACCCTATCCTTTACCAGCGCTTACTATTACCTAGATCTGACTGTACACGAGCTCTGTAGGTCTCGTCCTACATGAGTCGGATTATCTATCCATCCTTTTAGATTCTGCCTCTCTAACATCCATGAACTAATATAATCACGAGAAGTTTAGAAAGAGGTGCGCTTTCATTTTCCTAACCAGATTAAATCTTTAGGCCTTCCAACCTGAACTACGCAAGTACAGAAGCTAGTTCCCATGCCAACGTGACCAGTCATTGGTTCAAGTCTCCAACACGCCCGTGCTGACGCACCACTGATCAGTGTTTCCTGCTAAGCATAAAATTTATTCCCATTGACCATTTGTAAATTAATTTGTCGCTTTATTATTCCATTAGCGCTTAGCAAAGCAACATCGTCATCAGCATCAAGGAAACCAAAGATTTACTCCCTGGCAGAGAATAGAATTCAGAAAACAAGATAAATGCTTTTGAAGCAGTTCACAAATATTTCAGTTTGGAAGGCATTTCGGCAACTACAGAAAAATCAAATAATATCAATTTATGATAAAGTCAGGTTGTATTAACAAACATTTGAACCATATTAACATATCATTAAAGAATCATTAATCAATCAAATATTGTCATCAAAATCATTTAAACCAGGAAATGAAATCATGCAACTTCCCTGGCTAATTTTTACAACCAATTAATTCGACTCTTTTTCTTATTGTATTAATCATATAATATGAATTTGGAGACTTTAATTGGTAAGAGTTTGGATAAATATTTAAACAAGGTTAAGTTTGTAATGTTTGAAAATTCTTAAAATATCTACAGTTTGATATAATTTCTTACCATGTTTGACAAAAGCAATCAAATTGATGACATTGATATCAAGCATTGGATAGATTTTCAATTTTTATTAAAACTGCCGAAGTTCTCAGTTCTTTTCATAGGGTGGGGGTGGTACACGTTGATCATTAATTGTTACAAAGTCCTTGTTTGTCCTCTTGATTGAAACGAAATTCTCTTTGCACTTATTTTACTTTGACTAATTTCTGTACATTTGTTTATGTTACGTTCTCGTATTTACCAAGAAGGAAAGGTTCACTATTGCAAGATTCCTGTGTTGATATACTGCAAGATTCCCATATGAAAGATTTCGTAGTATCAAAACGTTCTTGGCATCGATCACAGAAATCTATTGAAAACATTAAAGGTCATTTTCTACTTGGCCTAGACTGACACTTGACTGGGTTTCGCCAAACTAATTCAGATCGTCTCAAGGAATTCAAAGTTTTGCAAAAGTCCAGAAAGATTTTTTGTCAGGTGCCAATTGTGTCTTTATTGGTTTTCAAAAAAGATATTTTCGAAAACACTACATTCTCCAGCAAATGGGTAATAAGGCGGTAAATAAACGTTGAACGTATTCTATTATACATTTTACTTTACTCTGGTATTCCACATAAAACAAAACCATTCCCGTTAATAATTAATACACTTTTCTCACAAGGAAAATATATAATTCAAATGGCACTGGCCAAATTCATAAATAAATAATAATAATTGTTCAAATCTCGAGACGGACATTTAATCATACTGAACATCTAAAATATTTAGATTGACAAAACACTGAAATAATTTGATATCTTCCCCTTTGAATACACGAGGCATCCAAGCAACGGGTGAATTAGCCAGAAGTAGATTGAAAATCGTCTATGGTTAAGAGTACACTCTTTTTCAAGAATAATAACACCGAGCATCAGTTAACAAAACATATTTTATCAGGGAAGCAACGGTGTGCTAAAAATGTCTCGCAAAACTTCTATTTGGTTGTTTTGGAAACATTAATAGTATGTAAATGCAGCAAGATCATTGTTGAAATTAGAAGTATATCAAATTACCGTGAACATCAAATTATCCAAAACATTTCGTAGCCCTCTGCAAGAATTTTCTGGTTCTTATAAAAAGGTGTTAATAACAAATTTGCTTCGTTCAAGATATAAATGACAGTATATAAATGACAGTGCATGTAGGCATAGCTCAACTCTGTTTGAATACATGAATAATAACGGGGAACAAAGGGGTGACTGACAAATTAAATCTGAAAATTCTTACGTAAGCGTCGCTGGACCTTGAATATTCTAATCAATGGTTCTAAAGTTTGGCTTTTGATGTCCATTTTCCATAGACCCCTTAAGTCTGCATATGAAACGAAATATACTGATGGGTAGGTTAATGGTAACGGAGAAAGGCCAGCAATTCGTTATCAATGTGGCCTAGCCAGCGGCATTTCTGCGCTTTAGTCTTCTTTCGATACGAAAGTAACAACGTAAACAAACTCATAGCGACATAGCATGAATAACAATTCTAAATATATACTTACGAATTAAAAATATGAATGATGAAATAACGCTTAAACTGACACGATTCAACAAATTCTTGTTGACTAAGCTTGATCTTGGAAATCCTTTTCTACCAATTCCTCTAACATTTCATTGGTTAAAGAGGCAAAGTCCAATTTGCTTTGAATCTCTTCGTGTAGCACTGCCCGGCTATTTGTGATTGATAGAAGAAATGGCAACAGCTCAAAAATGGAATCGATTTTCGCCAGTTGTAAAGGGTGAGTTGTCTTGCCTTCACTGCCGTCATTTTCAGCATGCTTCTGTACTATCAGTGTAGCCAGTCTTGATAAATAAGGAGCAAACCTCATCCTTAGCACATTGTCACTCGTCTTATCATGGCTTGTCTTACTCTTGCCACCTTTCTTCTCAGATTTTCTCAACTTCGACGATAGCGGAGCGTTCATCACGCTAAGTTTTGACACCGAATCTTCTACACTTTTTGCTGGCTTTGCTTGTGAATTACCATGTGTTTTACTTGAAGTTGCTACGACTTTTCCTTGCGAGGTTGCTTTTCCATTTTTGTCACCATCCCTGTTATGTTCGACTTCTTCTGCCTCGTATTCTACACCTGGTGTATCTATAAATGCCCATCTATACGACTGGAAGTGAGGCAGTGTGTCGCTCTGAAGAGAAAATGACAAGTCAAGCAGTTTGCAAGCTTCCAGGTACAAATTCAGCCATTTGCCTTTGTTTCTGAGCATACCGTTGAAAGTAAAAAATGACTCAAGGGTTCCCATGATGCTACTTTTAGCTTGCTGAGATTCTGCCGGCGATAAATCCTTCTCCATTTGCAAAAAGATAACAATCAGTTCTGTGATAATGGGAGGCCAGAGGGATGTAAGATGATGTGGAGACATGCGCAGAATAAGGACTCGAAAGCAGAAGAAAACTTGCTCGTAGAGGACTGGTGCCTAAAAAGAAATTTTCATTAATAATGTCACCGAAAAATGTTAATTAATACCATCTATTCTATGATTCAAGACTATCAAGTGTACGTTCTGTCCAACAATTTCACAGCCATGCTGAAAACTAATAGATTACTATTCGAGAAAAATAAGTTTATACAACAAACCTGCATCTGTCTGAGGCTATCTACAAGCCTCTCTTGGATGTCTGGCATATAATTATGATACTGATCAATTTCACCGCAGAACAGAACGAATGTGAGCCTTTTGAGTAAACCCGCTCGCAGCTCTATTTCCTGTTCACGATTAGCAAAAATGTTTATCGTCCCACTTTGCGTAAGGTTGATACGAGCCATCAGATCTCTAAATGTTGCAACATCATAAGTCATCAATCGATCGATTATCGAGCGCCAGTATTGCAAGGAGAGAAGGTCCATTTTGAAAAAGCCTGGATCGAGGAATAACTCGTAAACATCTTTCTTCCAAGATCTGAGAGTGTATTGGAAATCGGTGATTGAGGCAAGCAGAGCACTGCTGCCTCGGAAACTTGTCACGTTTTGGTTGCTGCAAGTAAAAAAACAGTATCAAACAGGAGTAGCTAAAATAACTTCTTATGTTCAGGAACTGTTTGTATTCTGTGAAAACAAGCAGGTGGAAGTATCGGTCCTGATGCTTAGCATTAGTGAACAACTCTATTTTCAATATAGCGGTCCCTTTAAGAGTGTTTCAACAATTAGGGACAAAGATATCTGTCCGCTGTTGAGGGGTGTCCATTGTATTGAGGTGTCCGTTGTTAAGAGATGTCGGTTAATGGAGGTTTAACCGTATACTAGAGATCGAATACCTATAGAGTATATAATCAAAGTCTGATGACCTAATGATCACAGATGCATTTCTCTAACCTGTGATTCTTCAAATATGGCGTGACGTTGTATATAACATAGAACATAAAGCTTGTGATTTTGTCCTTCTCTTCACTCAGATACAGCAAATCCAGCATCGAAGATAATATCTGCGAAAAATTTATTTATTACTTTTTATATTTAGGAGACAAAATAATTTATACAATGCAGAAGTGGAGACGCTACTATGCAGAAGCACAAGAGACACCAAACAATAGGTGGTTGGGTACAAACAGTGTCAGGTACCAAGTTTTATGTGGGCTTCATGTTACCAAAGTGGGACATTTAGAAGTGAGGAGATACTTAAATGTCATAACACATTACGGAAATTCTGAAGAAGTGCATGGTCTAGATCTGAAATTAATTAATTTGGAACTTTGAAAACAGCGTTTTCCATTGCTAATGGCACGCTTGACAATAAGCTTAGACTTGAATGATGACAATACCTCAGCCATTAGACACAGCGCACTCGCACTGTATTGGGCATTACGAGTTTGCATTGTCGGCGCAACCGGTACTGTAGGCTCTGGATTATCGTTCGTGTGCTCTTTGGGTTTAACCAGCGGCTCGTCTGGATTTTGGTCTGACTGCGGAAGCACTGCGACGTTGCGCCGGAACCACGTCGAATTCTCAAGCGAAGCTCCAGCAATGGTATTGACAGCATCGAAGTATTTCAGTGCAAGGTCCTTTGAAAAAAAGAAATAATGCGTCAACCTTATCAAACCTGGCCCATTAGAAGTTGGATTCGACTTAAAGCCAAAGTTGAGACAGTTTGTTTGAAAGAGAACCAATGAGAGATCAGTTAAAAAACCTTTTGTGACGGTTGGCCAATAAGATCGAGAGAAAGTGGTTTTTCCTTCATCTTTCTTCATAAATCTTTTTCACCCAGAAGTTGCCTCCTTATCATGAACAGATTTGCTATCACGGAATTTTTGGCACCAATTTTTAGAAGGACCAGATAGAAGAAAGCAACACAGAAGTAGAATAGGTGTTCATTCAATGAGTTGTCTTTCCTTCATTCCTTGCTGCAGAATATGGCTCTTTTTTAATTTCATTCAATTTGAAAATTGGTAAAAAGGAGATTTTACCAGAAATTCATAAACACGCGAGGAGCCCTATGACGGATTGACTTACAAGAGAAGATAGCGATTTCTTGGTGGAACTGCTTTAGAACATTGAATTCATTTCTGTCAAATTTTCGCACTAGCGGCTTTTGGCGCCTATTGCCTTGCAAGTGGCTCTTTCTGGGGGTCTCTGCTGCTGGCAGTAAAGCCTAAACCATATCCTGATTTACAATGGATTTTTCGGAGGGTTTTAAATATAAAACAATGATGAATGATACGTAGCGAAAAGTAGACCTCAGATCAAACCTACTTTTACGATCGAATCTTGACCGGAAGATCGAATAGAGTAAAATGCTTTTTCTAACCATGATTTATCTCAATCAATTTTCAACTAAAGATTCACACGAATAGTTCGATCGAAGAGTAGCAGCGAACTGTTCTTGTATCATGCAAACAGTTCACGTATAGAGCAAATAATACGTTATTTCACAACATGATGAAAGAAGCGAAACGCAGCTGGAAAAGAAATCGCTTTAAGCATTTAATTACACGTATAAAGAGCAGCAAAATGCGAGCGTTGGCGATTACAGGGAGAAAATGACACGGTTTAGCATGAAGCAACTGCAACTCAATTATAAATACTGAGTGGAAATGGGCTCAAAAGTGAATTTCCTTACACTGCGATTTCCAAATCTTGACAGCAAACTTTTATTTTGCTAGTTCATTAAGTTTAAATTCTTCCATTTCGTAGCATAATGTAGCCCTTATCTCGAAAATCAAGAAAAAAACAACCAGACTTGCTTCTGCATCTAAATACGTTGCGGTCTTTCACCTAAATACGTTAACAAGAGAGAGTGCATCTAAATACGTTGAGTTGTCAAATTCTCTCCCATTGCTTTTGAAAGCAAGTATCGTCAAAGGACAGTTGTAAACAACGGATTGCTGAAATCATGCGAAACTACAGCAATCGTAGCGAAAGCAAATCAATGACGTTAACATCTATTCAGCTGAACTATCAGGTTGCCTTTGAATTGCAAATCAAAATGCGTTTAGAAGGGAGCAGATGGTTTCATACAAATGGCTGGCTTATAAGAATGATAGGTGTTCAAATGAATGATAAGCTAAAACCAGCGCCTCAAAGTTGGAAGAAAGATTTGACATTAATACCTGTAGCTCTTTCCTTGCTCGTTTTTCCTCCGGGCATTGAATTCGCAGAATGAAAACGTACAAAATATTCAAGAGCACAAACAGCCCGGCTGGGGCGACATTCAGGTTGACGCCTTCTTTCAAAAAGGCCAGCAGTACGGGTTTCATCAACGAAAGCTGATCATTTGAAACTCGTTTCAAGTATTCAAAGAGGAACTGGAGCAGATTAAGCTCCAGCGACTGGCTTCCTGTTGATCCCTTCTCTTTACCAATGAGAGTTTGTCGCAGCACTTGTTTGGTTGTTAAGACGATTGTTTCTGCTGATAAAACCTAATGAGGCAAATAAAAATGAGTTAAAAAGATGCAAAAGGAATGCATTTACTCAGGAGAGTTTTTCTAAAGAAAATATCAGAGATAATAAAGCTTGATGAAAAAATCAAGCAAATTGTGAACTGCCTTTAACAGCTCATGCAAATATGTCTACAATGAAAAACAGCTAGATTTTAGAAGAGACAAAGTTTTCTTGCAGAGAATATGAAGCGAAGGCTACTCACTACATTATTTTGAAATTATCTTGATGGGGTAATATATTCCTCAGCTAAATGATTTTTACCGAATATATCCCTGTCGTGAATAACATCTGCTCATTCCTTTTGTACCAAGTGCCACAATCTTCTAGCTTTAACCCTAAGTAACCTAAAGTTCTGTTCTATCTTTTTTAGCTTATTCTTGGTATCTGAAACCGTCATATTCATTTAAGTAATGTCCTTAAAGAACCAACTTAATCACGAGGGGAATTCTTGACGGATAATCTTTGTAAATCATGAAGGGAAAAAGAGGATCCATTGTTAAATTTGTTAAGTCAAGTCAGTACACATAGCATATCATGAGCAGGTCTGATACAATTTGCTTCATTCTAGCAAACCCTCCCAAAAAAGGCTTTTTATTCACGTGAATTGAAATTATTGATATTGCCTGAGATACGCAGTTTAACGTCACCACAAAAATGTCGATAATATTGCCACTTGAGAATATTTCGTACTTCCGCAGCATAACATCGATAATGACTCACTTTTATGGCCAATGCAATATCAACTAAGCCTTGTTGTTCATCTGTGATAAACGGGACCGTTTTCTGGTTAACAGATGACAACCATTTCTTCTCCTTTCTCGTCTGCTTATCAAGGTTAGGTGATTTTTCGGTTTCACCCTCCTGATTTGATTTCTTCGATGAGTTCCAGACATCAGCCAAAGCAGCAAGAAATACGGGAGTATGCTGCATGGCCACGGGGGTTAGAAGTTGAAGAACTGCTTGCTTTATGCTCTGTTGATTGAATGCAAAAATTGTATTGTTGAGCGACAAAGTGTCTACCAACAAAGCTTAAATAGGGTTAGTACGAGTTTGGAACTTTTGTTTCAAACTTTGGAGAACTAGTAACTGAATCAAATAAGAGTAATTCACTTGAAAGGCAGTCTGTCCCCTTTGTGATTGGCTAATTCTGACTTGAAAGCTCGGGAGGTAAACTATGCCTAATTTTGGACGGGGACGTGTCATTTTGGTTAAAATTTTGGATCCATAATTTCGCAAATGTTTGAAAAAATGTGACCCATAATTCTGCAAACATGACGAAAACTATACCCATTATTAAGCAGAGCAAATAAAATTTTTAAAGCACAAAAAAATCATTATTTCCACAAAATCAAAATTAAAAAAAAACATATTTCCACAAAATAATACCCATAATTCTGCATGTTTCTTCAAATGGTAACCATAGTTTGAAATGGTGCACAAATTTCAAAAATTAGTACCGATAATTTCGCACTTTTCAGAAAAAAAGTAACCCTAAATAATGGCACGTCCCCGTACCCCCCCCCCCCCGAGCTTGAAAGCCTCGCCTTAAAAGAGGGACTTCACCTGCCTTCTTAGCATCCGACATTAGTTATTGTGGGTGAACACGACAAGAAATGCCTAATCTTAAAAAAATCGAAGCTGACTCAGACGTTTGAAACCTAAACATAATTCATAGCAACGCGCTCAGGGAGAGGACACGATGGTGGTTTTCACTCTATTTGGTTATTTGTGCATTAAACCAACGATGCATGAATATCCTGGCCATGAAAAGAGATTGTAAAAACAATGGGAGACAGACTGCTTTTGAAAAGATACTTTCACACAAGTACACACAAGATACTTTCAAAATAGCATTGCAACAGCTAAGAAGCTTTCCATGTTGACTGAAAATATTTTCCAAGCAAGTCGATTGATTCAGCTGTTTGGCTATCATTCTTCCCACAAAATACAATCAAAAATTGATCTATGCAGTGGATTCAGTAATTGTGACGAGAAAATTTTGCGTTTTACTAAAGGATGTATCAAATAACGTCTGCTACTGTATGAGTTTTTGTTTCTTGCTTACGTAAGTTACTTTAATAAATAATTCTCTATTTAGCATATGATTATAGACCACATGAATAACAAATTTTAAAAAAACAAGAGTCTAAAACTCTGTCCAGATTAGTCAAGGTACATCAGTACCCTGGGTACCAGAGCCACAGAATTTCGAAGGCGTTAACAGAATGCTAAGCAGAGAAGCGGAGAAGCGTATAGATATGAAGAAGAAAAAGCGGCTCTGGGCTACTCTTCACCCCTACGCTCCTCCGCTTCTCTGCTTGGGTACCCAGAGTAGGTACGTGATATGGTCTTATCTAAGATGTACAAGAAATTAAAGCAATCAAAGACTTATTAAAACAATTGCTAGAGATGACAATTCGATATCAACCACCAAGGAGGAAACTATACTGAAGGCCTTCTTTTCCCGCTTTTGAATGACACCAAACGCATATACAAATTTTTTCAATAAGAATATAGTCTATAAGAATATTAAGGCTCAAAATCGCTGAAATTTTAGAATAATTTAAGAATAATGCAAGGCTCAAGCTTTATCAAGAATTAAATTTTTTTTTTGGAAAGCAAATCAAATGCGAGTTTCACACTATACGTTTTGAAATAGACGTATCCGACCTTGGAGTAGTTTAACAAATCTTTTGCTAAAACAGATTAATTTTTGCAGGTGATATCGAGGACAACATTGGAGCTGATGAAATAGACGGAGTTGAGATGGTGCTGTTTGATTAAGTTTTATATTTTTATTCCATATTTATTGTTCTTTTCTGTTCTGTTTTTGTTTTGTTTTTGTGACGTTGTAACGCATAAAAAAGATTTGAATTTTTTCGCTGATCTTCAGGTGAATTCGCACCTTGTGTCGCTTAAGAAAAATTTATGAATAATCTTAGGCTCTAGCACGTTGCGCTTTGCGTTGGGTAGCACGAACAATTTGTCTACAAACCCTATGCGCAACGATGGCAGCAAAAAAGGGTTCCGGAGAGACGACGTATCGCATTCTGATAAAGGAATGATTATTTTCTTAAAAAACGACACAGAGGGTGTCCGATTCAAGGGTTGACGTACGGACCGAAAGCCTGTTTGGTATGAATTGTAATTCGATACGGTGTTGTGTGAATACAGGCTAGAGTAAACATGAGCAAAAGCAAAAGGTTGTTTTCATATACAAGAAACACCAATGCTGTTTGCTTTTTACAACCAAACACCAACAATATTGCACGGGATGTTCCTTTGTATGTCATATTGTTACTGCACTGCAAATCTTCGAAAATGATTGGAACTGAAGTGAATGACGTAAGTAAAGAAATCTGTCTACTAGACTGGGTTGTATAGAACCAAAAGCCCAGGTTATATTAATGCATTTCTAAAATAAGACACATAGGTAAAATAGCTTAATCAATTAAGTAATTGTGCATCGTTAATAAGTAATTAACTACTTAAGGGAAATGGGTTGTAAATTATAACAAACATTGAAATATTGACGATAATAGTAATACTTAAAAACATGGTTATTCATCGTGTCACCCAGCAACGCAGTGGTAAAAATAAAGTACTGGACTGTGTCATGGTCGAAGCTAAACTTCAGCAATATACTCATTTTTATAAGAATGCGATACATTTTTTTCAGTCCCAATTTCTTAAGAAATTCGTCGTTTTGAGCCTAAATATATTCTGAAAATTTTCTTATTTTTTCAAAACTGATATGGTTTTAGGAGAACAGCTTCCGCTCTTGAATAAGAACTAAGAACGAAGTCGAGAAAAGTCATTTCTGCGATTCCGTGTTACGAACATTCCAAAACAGTCAACTGCTGAAAAATGACACACAAATATGCTAGTTCAGGCTGAGTAATATTCCCATAGTATTCTTAACATTGGATTATTCGGAGCCTGAATATTTACAATAGACAAAATTTTTATAAAAAGAGAGTTTAAAAAGAAAAATAAGGGTGTTGAGGGAAAAAACTAATTAATCTGGTTTTAAAAGTTAAGATTGTTCAGTGCAATGGCATTTATCTAATAAATTGGATGAATGAAAGAACGAACGAATGACTTAATGGGTGAATGAACAAATCAAGAACGGTAACCGAAATTTTCTTTTAGAATATTTATGACTGGACATTTGAGTAAGACATAAAAATTTGAAAATTCAAGGTCATAAATCATGGCGAAAATCATGTTGTACTTCATTTTAGAAAAAGAATAACCGATGTAGTAAAATCAAAATTTAACTGAAGAAGATGTCTTAGCTTCTAAAGCTAATTAGACTAAAGCCAAAATAATGAGGACCTTGAAAGACTGCTTTGATGAGTTTTTGAGTTGAATGTAACTGTATTGCATACCAAGATACATGCATTTTATATTCCTCTAATATATGTTTTTTTTAAAGCTGCAACATCACTTTTAGTAAATGCAGTCAAAATTTACTGTTGGGAAGATGAAAGGAAAAGTTTCGCCTACGGTTCTTTAATGGGCCTCGAGGAATTTCAACTTACCTTAGGACTGCCTATTGGGAGGGGCAACTCAGAGACGATCCTCCATCGACTGGTTTTCGAGTCGGTAGCATTCCAAACATGCCATACCATCAACACAGATGAAAGTATAGTTGGTAGGATGCTCAAAAGTCCTTCTCGTGCCTCAATATACGGGTTGTTAACTGAAAAAACAAAAGAATCGTCTTGTATTCAATAGTTAACCAACAAATGAATAGTTACAATATCACAAATAACAAGCCTGTGTTCTTCAAAATTGTTTGTCTTGAAAATCGTATGCAGCTCCAAAGAGAAATTGCTTCTAAGGAAAGCCATGCCACTGCGTGAGAAAATTGGAGTTGTTGGGAAAACTAAGAAAATTGGACACAGCAAAATTAAAATAGCAGTACATCAGTGGAGCTTCAAAGCCATGAAACATGCAGTGAAGCTTCGATACACACTCGTATGCATAAAAAATGTTCCATAAAAAACCGAGCCTAAGATGACAAAAGTTGAAAAACAATAGACTAGATCACCCTCCCTGAAAAACAACCAAAAAATCTTTCTTTTGAAGATGGTATAGAAATGATGACTTTTCGGTAATAAGGCACCTATTTGCTTTAAGGTAAATAGAAAGAGGAGCTCCTTTTGACTTAGTTTGTGTTTAATTTCATGTTATCCAATGTTACGTTTCTATAAAACAGCTCTTTAGCATTTGGTATTCATGAAATCTTTATGAAATCTTTGACACTTAAATCAGCAAGAAAAGATGAGTGAAATCGGAGGTAAGCTCTTACTTAAGTACTGATATTTCTTAGCTAATGAGATCTAATAAATAGAACGAACAAGCAACTTGAAGTTTGTTTTCTATAGAAGCATAATGCGCTGTTAGTCAGAAGCTTTCTTCTTAACAATACCCTCAAGCAATGAAAGCCTTTGTAAAAACAAATAAAATAAGGCGGGTTGTGGGTGTGGCACTTTCAATTCGTTCATTTTCACTGGCTTTCTTTTGTAGTTGATCACTTGACCACCCTGCTATCTTGGTGCTCCTTTTTTCAGTTGTGCGAGAAAGCAGGGAAACAAAACAATTAAAAGTTCTCTATCAAATTGCAAAAGAAAATAAGCAAATAGCAGATAGCCTTCATGACTAGTTCTATCATTTAAAGACTAAAGCATATAATATGTCATCTTTTAGGCGCTTTCCAAGCTACATGCTTTACCGACGTTGTCATCTTGATACAGAAAATATTTGTCCTGATGTTTGACAAAGCATCGCTATCTAAAAACTTGTTTAGGATTTTAAAGCTTCACTGCTGTCATGTCAAGGTCATACTGGAGAAGAATTCAATTCAATCTAATCTTTCAATGTCTACCTTCTTCACTTGTTGCACCTCGGTTCGGTAAACTTTGAGGGGAGAACACATGAGCGAGGCTCTCCAATATTGACATAGAGTTGTCGCTACGTTGCAGATCCTGGCCAGGTTTGACCGAAGCGCCATGTTGCAAAACAGAAGAAGCATCTTTGTCAACCAAGCAATAGTGGCAAATTGACGTCATTTTCTCCAGCATCGTTAGCATGTAATCAACTGGGAATTCCCGGCTGCTATAAAAAAAGAAAAGATTAAAACAGGGAAGATTCGACTAAAGTCATTTGTCAAAAGCTTGAAAACTCGGTAGATAGAATGAAAGATCTAAAGTCTAGCCTAGAGAAAAAGTGAAAAATTTAGAGTTGAAAATAATCTTAATGGAAATTTCTCAGAATGGAGGGTTGTTAAATTTCTAACCGTTTACTACAAAAATTATCATTTTGTCCCGTGATGTGAGTTCAAGCCTTCTTCTCAGAGTAACAAAATTCAGATTAGAGTTAAAAGCTAGTTCCTGTGTATTTAAAAAAAACTTGAATACCAGCTGAAATCAAGAACCAAAATGCTTGAAATTTTGACTTCAGCTGCTTCAGGATCATAAATTTCTATCTAATTACAAGCTTATTTTTGGAGGCTTCTGTGCTTCTGCTACAGAACGCTTCAAGATACAAACAAACCCTGAGATTAAGTTTCTTCTGTTGTGGTAGGAAGGATTTCTTTTATAATCTCTGCGGGTACTTTTAAAAAACATTTCATAATTTACGCGACAGATGGCAAACTGATGGAAAGTGGGCGAGCTGTTCCCACAACCAAACGCTTCTCGCTCAAATAACATTCGCAAACATTAAAAGCTGCAGAGAAATTGCCACTGGTGGCATTATAAATACAGATAAATCCCACACCTTTTGATAATGTTTCCATTAACAGATTCAGAAAATATCTTTGCCGTACTCTTGAAATTTTGACAAATTTGTTCAACGACAGGGATCACGATCTTTGCCAATGATGAGCCACATTTGGGCAATGTTTCTATAACCACGTTTATCCAATCATCGTGGTTGTAAAAAGATTTATCTCCTTTTAAAGCCATGAGTAATACAGAGAGATACATGGTCTGTGATACTATAGGTGTCTCTATATTATATTCAAATGGTGAGGTCTTTAGTGGCTTTGCCTTGCTCTTTTTATCCTTCCTCTTCAGTTTCTTTTCGTTTGACCCTTGTTGCAAAGATGACATGCCAACTCCAATGTGATCTTCAAGGAAAATCAATTTTTTTACGAATCTTAGCAGGAACCCATGCATGTATACCCGACTCTTTTCATCTTGCGAGGAAGCAGTTCTTGTTTTTTCCAAGTCTTTCCGCGCGGTTTCATTCTCACCAGAGGCTCCGTAGACGACACTGAGTAAACAATGCAGGGCGATTCGCTGAACTTTGCAACGGTTGAACAAATCAGAGACGAAATTTGAAAACCCAACATCATCGTCAGCGACAACTTGAAGCAAGACATCAACAATTTTTGTGAGGACATTTAGGCTGCTAACTTTCACACGAAAATTGTCCTCAAGATCTGACCGACTGACCTTCATGGATGCATGAAAATCAGATCGGATGAAATAAAGACAGACGGACAAAATTATCTCCATGTACTTTGCTGTGCTTGCCTTCACCAGAAGTTGCTGACCTGAGAATTTATAAACAAAAGAGTTGCATCAGCGATCTTACAAAGAAAGGACAAATCCCACAAAAGAATTCGAGAAAGTAACGTAGAACAGAGGCGTCACAAAACATCAGTTCACAGTGTACCAAACAAACACAACAGCAACTTCATAAAAATTCCATGCAAACAATAAACAAACAAAATACCAAGGATTTATTTAAAACAAACCTCAAAACTGGAAAAATTTCCCCCAAGAAAGTTTTGTGACAACTGCAATAATATGTTTGCTTCTAACAAAGTCCATTCATGACTTTTTGCAAATTTTAACATTTATTAATTAACAAAATATTTAAATAGCAAGAAAATAAAAAAATCAGTATTTGGGATTCAAGAACCAAAGGGCCTGTCTCATCTTACTCAATTCAGGGTTGGTCTCAGCAAGTTAAACTTTCACAAATTTCAACACAACTTTAGAGATACAATAAACCTTATGTGCCCACGGAGCACGGACACGAGGACACGGAGCACTTCTTGTTGCTCTACCCCGCTTTTGGGGTTCAAAGGACTGATCTCCTCGCTGGAATATATACTCTTGTACGACCATATGGATATACAATTGCCCCTAGAGAGCCTAACCAAACACTTGGGAAACTAAACAATTACATGACGGGGTATGCTAGTGTGAGTGAAGTATACCAACGTCCACTGGGAAGGCGCCTGTTAGAGAGAGCATATAATCTACGAATCAACATAAAAGGGTAGGGTGGCAAGTTCCTTCTGTCACAGCCTTTCGCTTTTACGGTGTTGTCGTAGGGTACCAATCTGTTGCTGGGTTAACAGAAGGAGAAAGTCTTTATCCCAAGCCAGGCCTATGATCGAGCCAACCAGATCCTTCTATACTTTAGTCGTGAAGATTTAGTTAACGATTTAGATAAACATTAATGACGTCATCCAATCGATACATTAGCTACTCACTATCAGCTAGAGACCCATAGAAATCCTTGCCACTCAGGGCTCTCCTGTGCCGTATCAGCAATTCCCTGAGAGCCGTCTGATGAGCTGTGTTGCACATATTCATGCTGGTTGTTGCAGAGGCAAAAACGAACGCCTTTCCGTCCACTTCCAATATCGACATGACAGTCTTCAGGGCGTATATTGTTTGGGTCGTGTCGTAGAGCTGTGTGTAAAACAGCCTATGCACATGCAACGGGTGAACAGTGACGCGGGCGTGTTTCTCTGCAATAAAAAATGTGACTATGTGCAAGATCATTTGATAAAACTAAACTGAACTAGCTGCGCAAGCTTCACTAAATGCCTGTCATTTAATGCCTGTTGTTCAGAAGAGATAAACTAGGAAGCAAAAAGATAAACGATCTCAGAGCTTTGGAAATCGATTGTAATCAGCAATCATTAAATAAATACGCAGGTAAAATAGAATGTTAGGCACGTATGCTCTCCTTAATGCAGCGAGTCTTCTTAATGCCATTGGAATTAACAAACACCTACCCCTGGAAGTGTTTTCATTCATTTCATTCCTTGATTCTTCAGCATCACCAGAAACCTCCTTGCTGTTACCTTCATCCTCCTGCACCTCCTCGGTCTCAAACTGTTGCTGCTGTTCCTGTTGCTGCTGTTCCTGTTGCTGCTGTTCCTGTTGCTGCTGTTCATCACCTTCAGCAGACTGCATTCGACTCGATGCCTCGCGATCATCGCTGTCCTCGTTGTTCAATGCTTCTTGTGCGTCTTCGCCCGAGGCCCTTGTGTCTAATTCTTCGTTAAATGGCTCTTCTGATATGTCTGCAACTGCAAAAATATTCATCTTCATCAAAACAGTCTTTAAGAATGACGTAAGATTCACAAAAATAGAAATATTCACTTTTGCTTACTACAGAAAAAAGAACTGAAACAATTTCGATCAAATAAATGAGCAATAACTTATTAAAATAAATGATAGAAAAAATAAACTGCCAGGCCATGAATTTAGGTTTTCGTAACAATGCAAGATGAAAATAAAACCTGCAAAGGTAGTTGTGTTAGTCACATCTTGAAAGAGTAAAATTCATGAAACCGTGTTCCACCTCGAACATTGTCAGAAAACCATTCGAGAAGTTCTGCAAGAACCACTTCCTGTATCTACCAGTCTTGTAACTTTCAAGTAAGACAAGGTTTCTGCAAATTACATAGTCTGCTTATAAAGCACATTTTCGCAAATATACAAAAGCCTGATTTCCCTAATCAAACATGATGTTTCTGAAGACTTCAGAATCAATATGTTCCATAAATCTTATAAACAATATGTTCCAACCTGAATCCATTTGGTCACTTTGTGAGTCCGTGCTTGTGGACTGTTTATAGTTTTCAACATTGCTCCAGTTTGGTTTGCCCTGGTGCTTTTCGGAGGTAATGCTCTGTGGCCGCGCAGTGTGCTGGTTGTTTGACTTCCAAAGGAAAGTATAATGAACAGAGATACGTCTGCTTGATGGGTTCAGCATAGTGATAAGTAAAGGCTCAAGGATCCTGCCAATGTCGCCAAAGTGAACAGAGTGCTGCAGCCATTCTTGCGATCGTTTGCTAGAGATTGGTAAAGGTATTCAATCTAATTAGTTGCAGGATCGAGTGATTGGAACATCTTTACACAAGACTGCTTCAAACCTAGTTTCAAACGCTATTTTTCTCTATTTTTTCATAAACAGAACATATATACGGAAGTACAAAAACTGGTTATATCATGAGCAGACCATGTCCAGAAAACCTCGGGAATAACATTCAATAAAAGCTTCGACACTTTTTTTAGCACAAAGGTCATCCTACCCCGAAGAAGCATATTCTGGAATATCCCTAAAAGAGCTTTTCTTGCACAGCTCTAAAACGATTAGAATCACAACCCTTTATAAAATGAGCTGACTACAATGTAGCAATTTAAAAGAGCTAAAAGTCATTGGTTGAGCTGAAAATGAACATGACCCTGTGTAATAACATCATTAATTTTAAAGCAATTTTATCAATACCGATGGTAAATGAATTATTGTTAATATTTTGGAGACGATAGCCTAGACTAAAGTTAGCTTTGGGATTCATTTTAAAGCCTCGTTGTCTATCGTCATCATTTTGCTGACGCATGCGAACACAATTGTATAAAAATATCCACCTTATTGTTGGGTCATCAGACTGCAGGCTATCCAACATCAGCAGCATACACCTAAAAAACAAAACCATAGCATAAAAACATTAAAACCATAAAGAATTCACCATGTTAATGAAAGAAATGAAGATGCAAAGAATGAAATCACATCAATGGATGCTAATTAGTCAACTAGGTCACAGAAAAGGAATTAGGCAGAAGGGTAACTCTCATCGGTTCGTTTGTTGTTCTTGAAGTCTGAGTCAACAATAGAATTCCTTAATTCCCCTTTAACCTCGATTTCATTAGACGAACTTAGCCATGACAAATTGCCATTCATTAATCAGATATAAACGAATTATGATACATAATTGAATTTGTTCACTATCATGGGGCATTTCGTCTCAAATAAAGTTGTCTACTTTCTTTTTTAAAATTCGCCCGACAGATACACGCTAAGCCTCGTATAAGTTAACGCATGCGCACGTTTTTTCAGGCTTCACCTAATAGGCAGGAGTTCCCCTCCCGCTTTATTCCTAATTCGAGACTAGGTAGTCATCAAGTCTCTAGAAACAGCCACCCAACAGGAAGGGGTCGGGGTCGGGATTTGGCCTTTAGGCCTGATGCTCTTCATCAGTATGGGCAATAGGCTTTAATAAAGAGATCTAGTCAAAATAGAGAATATCATGATTCTTGATAAGCGCAACTCATTTTCTACAGCAATCGCCTTAAGATTACACGGTATTTTCTAATCCATTCAAAAAGGGTATACATAAATTTCGAAGATGTTTTCAGACATTTTAAAAGCTTTGACATTTAATATGTAAACTTTGTAAATTTGGAAACCAGACTTTAGGTTCACATTATGCAACATTATGAAGCTACAGTAACACCTGATTGGCTGAGCACGCCTGATAATTTTGAAAACACTAACTTAAAAATTTGATTTAACTTTTAACTTCACTTACAAAAACTTCTACAATAAAAACAGAAAAGACCTTGTTGTTCCACATGTGATTGATAACGGTCTGAGAAGAAATCAAGAGTCAGGTATATTCTTATGCAACTACCATGACAACAATTTCTAAGATCCATACCAATGAAGGTATACCTGCTAATAAACTAAATGTAAACCAAATTCATATAATCCCCATACCTGTCTAAGCTTCTGTTTCCTCCCCTGCTAGACTTGCTGCTTTCATTCTTGTAAAACTCTCTCGACAAATGCCACAAAACAGAAAATTTCCAATGGGCACTCCTTCTTTGGTTCTGTTAGAAAGGAAAATTGGTCAGCATTTTAAGGCTGTTTTCAAATTAAATATACCTTATTCATAAAAACCAGCAAAGAAATCCATCACACAGCAAGTTCGTCTTTCAGTAACAGGCGATTCGAGAAACAATCAACGCTCCATATTATGTAGGTTACTTTCTTTTTCACTGAAAATATTTATCTAAGACATTGAAATATAAACAAATCATTATCTAATAATTGCAAAAGAACTTGATTAGTGACTAATTATAAAAAAGCAAGAGACCAGCCAAGAGATAACACGAGAAGATTCTTTCTTCGTTTTCTTTGTTTATTTTCCAATTTTATTTGCACTTTTCAATACAAGGTTCTTTTATTAAAATTTCTTGCCTCAAATCAAAATTTCCCTAAATACTGGACGAAGAAGATTGCTTACCAAACAATGAGCAACCATCGAGCTTGAAATGGCATCTTCACAAACTAAAGACGATGGTGACACATTGTGAAGCCTCAAGAAGAGCTCAGCACATGCAGAATTCAGCTGGCAATTGGCCGGTCCGATCTGACTCCAAAGAATCAATGCCATGTCCTTTCAAACCAAAAAGCTATCATTAAGTTGGGTTTTAATTTAAAACTTTTGAAACAAGGAAGGAATCAAGAAGACGGAAACATTCAATTTTCATATCAGAGATAAAGTAAAAAACTCAATGTTTACATCGTAGTGATAAATATTTTGGGTTCTTATACTATGAACAAAAATGGTAGTGATGTACCACTTGGAAAGGGTTTATCAAAAGATAAACGAAATCTGATTGTTATGGGCTAGTGAGGAAAGCAGAAACACAGAATAATCTGTGCTTTTAAAACGTTTAACTGGTGCCCGGTGCGTCCACTCTCATTCAGAGATGTACCCAAGTTCATGCAGAAAACCTCTGAGAAAGGGGTGGTTTTTTCTTCAAACCTAGGACAGCAAAACTTAGAAAAAGGGGTACCTTTTGGAACTTGGAGAAATCACGGAAATAGGGTTTTCTCAAAACCAATATAGGCCAAGATCTCTCTCTCTGCTAACAATATCACAGCATCTGATATTTAAGATCAAATATGTTTATATAATTTTCCAATTAATATAATTATGAAACCCAAAGAATTTTTAGAAAGGGCACCACCTCAATTTGATTCAATACACAATTTGGAAGAAAATACTTTTGCTAGTATAAGGTCATTTGCAACTAATAAAAGAACTGTTGGCAGTTTTGTTTTTCAATTGGCTTCTTTTTCGCTTGTCACCATTCTAGACAAACCTTTAAACCATTAAAAATAAGAATCATAAAACTAGAGCTTCAGCATTTTCCAATAAGTAAAGTAAAGACAAATTAGTGTAACAGAGCCATAGTGTAGCAAAGCAGGAACTCCTGTTCACATTGTTTTTTTAACAAAGTTTATCATTATTTAGTTTCATACCACAGTGAAAAGGCTATAGAAAGTTTACAGACAGTCAGGGTAAAGAGGTTTTTTAGATCTCTCGCATGAGCGCGGGTAAACCACTCAATGACAGTGGACACGTCGGGAACCAGTGTAAAATTTGTACATCAATTTTTCAATAGTATATTCTTATTCTAATTGGCTACATTTTCCTCAAAATGGGATTTTCAAATCATGAATTGTCCAAAAACTATTTACAGAAACGTACCTTGTACACGGCTGACTTTTCAAGTATTGAAAAATCTCGATGAGATATCAGTGGAATTATGTTGGCAGCACCCTTTGTCACGTGACCTCTATCCAGCGAAGGAAAGACACAAAGACTGACGTTTATGAGATCCAACAGTGCACCCATGGCAACCGTTTGGATGTCGATGTCCTTGGCTTGCGATGCACAGCTTATTAAAGACTGCAACCATGGACTCAGTGTGTGTTCTGTCAGAAAGATTGTTAACTGTTTATGAAAGGCCTTGATCAATAGGCCTTTAAATCTTGAATCTTATGTAGCCATAATCCACTTAAGCGATATTTTTGCGCTGATTTTTTTACACTGGAAATAGTTATTATTGATTATTAAAACCGGCGAAAGCTCAAGAATCTAGTTATGTCAGTACTGTGAAAAGAACCCGTGCGTATCTAAACTTGAAATCCAGGCATGAATAACACAGCATATCACAGAACGATACTTTTTTCTTGCTAACTATGAATTACATTCTAGACCTATTACAAATTACTTATGTATGCTCTAACAAAATTCCATTATTCCTTAATTTTTCAAAAATTTAAGAAATATCATAGAAAATTAAGAGAAGCCATAAGAAATACATTGTGCCCGCTTCCCTTCTAGGATTTCCAGACATTCTAACAGCAGACAGGTAATATACACATTCTAACATCATTGTAAATACGTCATACAAACTGACAAGGTATATACAAACATATGGGTCAGATGGACTCTATTCATAAGGCTGTTTCAATAGGAGAAAATTCTTTTATGCTGGGATAAGAAGGTAACTCATTTCACAAATAAAAAGACGGCGTTATTCATTCGAGCACCGTTTAGCGAAACTAGCTAAAATTAAAGATGGCATCTAACAAGGCAACTACTCATCGACACAATAAGGAGCACCTCTAGAATAAATGCGATACTAACGTAAATATATAAATGTAAAATATTCAAAGAAATAATAAAATAAAAAAGGAACTTACTATAATTTTTCGTTTCGTCTATCTCAGCACTTGATTCCCAACAAGGAAAACAAGCGAGCTCGACAAGATATCTGCAAGATGCAGCAAATGTCAAAACACAAGTAGCTTCGGTAGGTTTTTTAGAACCCTGGGTCTCCTCATCAGAATGTTCGTGTACGTCAGAACCATTGCATTCATTGGTGCTTGCATTATTGGTAGCATTGTCACTTAACCATGGCATAATACGATGCCTGACAAATGCATGGAAGAACGCTGTCGACTTGGCAACACACAACTGTATACTACTTGACTCCTCGTTGCATCGTTCACTGTCTTTCTGACTATGTGAGTGCTGTTCGTCGTTTGATGACACTGGAGTCGATTGTTCCTGACCTTCGGCCAAATCTTTGTGGTTTTTTCTTCTCCCTACGCGACTAAATAGAGTTTTGCTTGACTGAGACCTTGTTCTTTTAGTAGATGCCGGAGATCTGATATCCGGGGATATCTTGGAAAGGAGTTTTAAGGCCAGAAGCATCCCTTGGTTTATTTCATCAATGTTCATCGTTTTAACATAGTCTGTCATTTCACTGACAAGGCAAATCAAAAGAGAAGGCCAGTGCTCACTCTGGGTTGCACTTGATGCATCCTGCAGAAAGGAAAGAGTCATGATTCTATGCAAGTCAAGAAGATTATTTCGATGATTCCATTATGGGAACATTCAAAAAGATATTTGAAACCCATCCTCAACAACGTCAGTAATTGTAATATTTTCTTTATTAAACAGCAGAAAACAGACAAGATACAAGCAGGTACTTTCTGCATTAAAAGAAAGGGGGGTCTGATGAAAACTCTTTATATTCTTTAACCCTTATCGATTTTTGTATGTAAGAAAGTAAGGGAGGAAAAAGAATGGGGGTTGTTTAGACCAAATCAACAGTTTGAGGCTGTCATGACTATCCCCGAATGTAACAATTAGAAGGACATACCAAGTACACAATATCAAGGAGCAGCTCCGCCAAGGAAAATAGCTCAGAGCATCTTGGCTGCCTGGTGTTGATAACGATGGGAGAAGATTTGCCAACGTCACCATGCATCTCATCCAATAGCATCCCGGAATCCCTTTTATCAATGATAAACGAATTGATCAACGCCCTCTCAAGAAACTCCCATATAAAATAAGGCTCAAATGCATTAAACAGCAAATTTGCGGTTTTTAAGAGCTCGTCATTGGTGCTTAGACGCTCCTCCACAGTCATATGCACTGAACATTCGTGGTGCAGTGCTCTAAAAACTTCGACGAGGACTTCTTCCAAAACTGGCGATCCGATCTCTGGTTTATCGAGCAAGCTAATCAAAATTCTTAATGGCCTAAGTTTTTCCATCTTGCTTTCTGTATGGCTAAATCTGATACTGTCTGCCACAGATTGATCTTGAGACAGTAGCCTGAAGAGGATGATGACAGCTTCAACAACGAATTTCTTAGAATATTTTTCAAAGAAAGTCAACGACGACGCGGTGCTTTCGTCAGGAACGCCCTGGTTGCTCGAATCATTACTGTCTGTTCTAGTCAGTTTGTTGCCCATACTCCCCGTGCCTGTGTTCAAGATCCAGTGATACAGTCTTCTATTCAATGACATGTCTCTACGCAGGACTACATTAAGTGCGCAGACTAGTATTTTCACGATGTCCGATTCTTCAACTTGTTGTGTAGAGATAGGTAAGAACGTCAGCAGGAGGTCAAGGGTAATACGTTGAGCCAATACATTTGTATCTTCTAATGCAGCACATATGGAATCAACCTAGAATGTAGCGAAATAAGGAAAGCCATTTTAAAACACAGAAATATACCAAGTTGAGGCTTTCAAAAACACAATGAAGGCTTTCAAAGACAATATCTATCTTCCTGATAATCTCCAGAAGAAATCGAATATCAGTTTGAAAGAGTTTTGGAAATGTAGCAGAATTACTCAGATTGTTACTTTGATTATAATGTCTTAGGGCCACTATCAAAGATTCCCGAGTCTTTAGTAGACACAAAAAAACATTCGTTAAAGGTTTTCCAATGCTTACCATAAGAGCACGGTTGTTTCCGAAAACGTAACTTGTATCCCTGCCATCTGTAGCCTTGGCCAAGTGATTGAGAACAAATGTTATTGCTGACAAACGAACTTGCGTTGAGTGCAAAACACACCCCCAGAGGGCAGAGTAGAAAGATTCTTTGTTTGAATTTTGACACACAGTTTCAAGGATGGATGTTGTCCTGGAATCAAGATGAAAAGTCAGTTGTAAAGGTTTGATTCAAAAATAATCAGGTAATGCATAAAAAGTAATGTGTAAATGAGAAAGTGTCGAGACTGGTCTAGATGATCCTGTAAAATATATCTGTGTTCGAGGATCTATGTCATTACCAAGTTCCCTTCCTACTTTGTTGCATTCTAAAACAAAACATATAGAGAAAACTGCAGAGCTTGAAATTCTCTTATGAGATATTAAACAGATTCAATTCAGAGCATCTGTACAGCAGTTGCTATTTAAGTTGGAAAGTAGGGGGCAAGGGCAAATCAAAAACCCATACCAAAAGATTTTGCATAAGGCTCTAAAGTAGTGCAAAAATTTGGGGGCCACGCCCCTTGACCCTCGTCATCAGAATACCTGCTGTAAATAATTTAAACATTTTCATCTCCGATTGGTAAAGATATACCATTAAAGATACAATACAGGACAATTTTAACTAAAATCCGACTTGTGGAACTCTAAAATTTTGTCAAAGGCAGTTTGGAAATATAAAGCATATAAAAGGGCAGGCACGAAACCAAGGAGGGGCACAGGAGGGGGCATTGCCTGCCCAACTAGAATTGTTTGCCCCTTTGTGCCCATCAAAAAATCTTAGGATCAAAGCATGTTTTTGTTTACAGTACTGTCGAAAAAGGTTTTGCATGAGGCTCTATAGTACTGCAAAAAAATTTGGGGCCACACCCTTTGATCTCTCATCATCAGAATGCCTGTTGTAAACAATTTCAATATCTGTATTACTAATCGGTAAAGATATACTATTAAGATACAATACAAGACAATATTTGTCACAATCATACATAACACTATAACTGTAAAATTTGCATACTCTAAAATTTGCATATTTAGATATATAAGGCATATGAAAAGGTTGTTCCAATGAATGGGCAGCCTTATATAAATGTAATCTATAAAACATTTACTGTGTCTTTCCTACAAACAAAGATTTTCAATAGAAATAAATCAATGTTTTAAAAGCCCTGAATTTCCACCAGTCGATAGAAACAATGATGGTAGATCAGTGAAACAATCCAGCCACCTGTAGTCTTTATCTATTGTTTAAAAAGGAAAGAGCAATTTTCCTCTCTTTAAAAACACCCAATACTGTAAAGATATGGCCCTTAACTTTGTCAGCAACCAAGTAAATTTATAATTTCGATATTCATATATACATATATTCAATTTACATGGTTTTTTAAGCCCATGCTCAATCAAGTAAAAATGAAGTATACACATATTTAAAAGAAATTGAAAGTGTGAATTTAAAATGACAAAAGTGAGTTTTTTAAGATCTGTAACAAAAGGAGGTGCCTGCTATGGAGGGTATTTGTTGTATGTCAAGACCATATCATTGCTGTTCACTAGCACCTTAAGCCTCTGGGCCTCGGTCCCACAAAACATGCCATAAACACAAAAAACTCCTCCTGTGCTCTCTCACTCCAGAATGCCTAGCTAAATTCATAACCTTCTCCTACAACTCATCTTCTCTTTCAACACAGATAGAATGTTTGAAACAGTTTACCATTTTCTAAACTCTTATGACTAGTTTACTTTCAAAACTGAAACCAACAAACTTGACATGAACTACCTCTTAATTAAGCACATATAATTTGTCAAAATAATTTCTCCCTTCCTATGCAAAGAAATTATCATAGAAACATAAGCCTTTCCCTAACAATCCATGCACAGACTTGATCCCAGAATTTTCACGTGATGATTCAGCCCAGTAATAAGGAAAACTTATCTTAAATTTCTTATAAATTTAAATTTCTTAACCCCTTGGCCGTCATAAATTGATTTGGCTGAAGTAGCAAAAGTTGGCAGAATTCTGGCAGCATGTTGCAAAAAATCACAAAAAATGCAAAGGGAAATAAATTTTTTACATAGATGATATTCAAATTTGTTTTAGAATTATTTCAAAATTGCAAATAAAGAAACATGAAACAACATAAAAGATAACAGACAATGTAAGATAAAAGTAAATGAAAGCTTTGTAACCTACAAAGCAAATTTTGATTACACTATCACTCCCCGCAATTGTCAAAAATTTAGCTTTTTTGTGTACTGAATTTAGCTGGCTGAATTTGGCTGCCAACCATAAAATATTTGGCTGCCAACCGTTCCAAACACCTGGCTAAACCCTGAAAGCGGAAAGTCACACATTCTTGTTTAAAGTGTTTCCATTTGGTGGTGATAGACAATGGATCAATGGAAACAGCGATTTTTTAAAAACTATTATTCCTAGATTCCAAATTATGCTAGATTTTATGCTAAATAACGATTTTTGGTCAATATTATGCTGAAAGCATTATATTATGCTAGATCTGGTCACACTGATCCAGAACTATGACTTTGAGTGGAGTAACTATCAGCCGATTCAACTTTTCTTACTAAAAGTTATGGACATAACATTATAATAAAGAAGAGGGTTATTATACCTTTCATTATGCTCAGATCCTTCTTCTATGCCTGGTAATACAGCTAAAATAAATCCAGGCAGACCTGGAATGATGTGTCTACCAAGTGGAACATAAAACTCCTCGTACAGATCCAGGAGCACAGGTTTAACTGAAATGGCAGCTTGAGCAAGCAATGGAAACAAGCCTGAACTGTAGATGAAAAGGTCATTTATGAGCCTTCCCTTTCCAATTTGCTTGAAAATCAACTGGTAGGTTTCCAAGGCTTTCAAATGTACACCACTGGGCAATGCAGGATGCAGGCACTGTGCAAGTCTTTTTCCAACAAGAAGTTTTCGTGGGATGAGTGGAAATGAAGAATAAGTTAAAATGACCTAAAAAGTAAAGGTTACTTTCTAAAGGACTAATAAATTGATTTTTCACCATTACTATCTTAAAATCACCATATGGAAAATTCATATTTGGCCTAACTCCAGTAGCATTACCTTTCAAAGTTCTTTAATTTTTTTTAAGTGCCACAGCATCATTTTGTTCTACGCTTGAAATACTTTTACCAATTGAAAGAGTTCCTATCTACAGCAAACTTTTTTTCAAGCTAATCTCAAGCTGGAAAGTATGCATTTCATGGGCAAAACCTTATCCACACATATACTGTGCTTGTCACAAATGATGGTTCACATGACTTCTCCATACCCAAAGTATCCAAACAGTACTTGCACCGACTACTCCTAAAAATTTATAAATAGAAAGACTTTCTGCTCTAGTAGGAATTAACCTAAAAAGCCCCTCCCCCAAAAAAGACAGCACCATCTCAGTAGGGATTTGACTCAAACTATTGTTTACATAGATAAGAAATATTTTTCAATCTTTTTTTCCTTAATCAAGTTTATTGCAACTCAGAAATGAGCTTTCTGTAATTTATTTTCAAGCGATATTTGTAGAAGACTTGTAAAGACTTCAAATTCAGGTATTTTTCCAAAATTCTACAAACAACAATATCTACCGCAAAACAAAGTAATTTCCTTCCAAACCTTGTTGAGTTTTCCAAGACAAGATATCAAATCTGCCCATTCACTTGAATATTCAAATGACTTCAGCGCCTTATCGACGGCTGTTCCATACTGCTTGAATTTTCCATCAGAAAGGTAACTAAGCTCTTCTTCCATTTTCGCTATCGGTTTCACCAGTTCTGGCCTAACGACGGCGGTGAAATGGTTATTTTCATCGCATTTGCTTTGCGCATATTTAGCACAATTTTACTCCATCTTGATAACAGAGGCAAACAATGAGAGGAAAATATTTGGTTTTCTCTATTTTGAAATACAACTAGAGAAATAAGTGCCAACTTTGGTACATTGGTGTTAAGTTCAACATCTGCTTCAATGTTGAAACTTCTCGTAATGAATAAGAGGCTGTGTGACGTCAAGCTAGGAGTATGTCATATGTTGCGTTCTCCGTTTACCTGTTACGTTTTTACATTTGGGAAGAGTTTTGCCGAGCTCCATATCAATCCTATCATATTGTTGCAGCACTCAAAAATTTTTTTAGCTTGTGTCTAGCTGAGGAAATAATTCACCGTATGAACACGTTTCCCTGCCCTGTAGTACTTTGGTGTCTGCGGACTGGGGAAACAACCTTTCGTTAGGAATTTCATAATTTCCTTTTCAAACACAACTCAAAATCTTTTTCTCAGAATCAGCCAGTTAACTACCATATTTTTAAATATAGCAAAAAAATATTTTATCTTCTCATAAAATTATGAGAAATCTATTAAATACTGATATACCATAAAACTTAAAGGCTGAAAGTGTGTTCTGGATTAAGATTTCGTTTGAATAGTTAACAGTAAGGATTGACTGATTATAAATTAAGACTAAAAGATAATGTAATGTAAAATAGCAGTAAGGTAATATGTATCTATTCAGAAATTTGCGCAATAAAACATTACATTTTAATTTAAAAGCAGTTCTTCCTATTTATAACTTTCAGTTTTGGAGGCAGGGAGGTTCATAGTTTAATGCCATCAAAGTAAGGAAGTTTTGTTTCAAGATTGTTGCAACTTTTGGAAGAGAAAAACGATGACATGAAGATCGTATTCATAAATAAAATATTTAGGGTATTAGTTAACTTAAACCACCGACTTGGCTGCCTTGAGCATAAAGAGTTCCTCTAAGCTAAGTATCTTTAAGCGTTTGAAAATAGGTTCACTGTGAGCAGCATAGTGAGCAAAGTCAATTACACTAAAAGCTTTGCATATATTACGTTTTAGAGGTTCTAGAGTGGAGTTATTATCACAGCCTCAAATACGTTTACAACAGAGTATTTATTCAATAATAAATGAAGAGCATGAAGGGTTTTCACAGTTTCTTTTGGAACAAAGTCTCTTACTTTATAGAGAATTCAAATTACCTTTGATATTCTGACGTCTATCTACTTTAAGTTTCCAATTTAATTCATGGACGATTACAGCTCTCTTGGAGTTTCTCTACTGGCAACTTTGCTTGAAAACAAGAATAAGACACTCTAGAGCTTTATTGTATCTAAATTTGTAGGTAAATTATGTCTTCGTTGCTTTATTATTCTGAGCATCTTCTAAGAAATTTCAGTAAGAAATTTTTTTTTCTTTACAGAATGGAATGAGGATGTTTATCAAGGCATTGGCTGTTGCCCCAATAAAAAATTATTTCGACAAAGTAACCACTAATTTTGCTACGAGAATCTGGAATTTTGAGTGATTTGATATTTAAGTCTCAAATATACAAAGCTTTAAAGTTTACCCGTTCAATGCTCGTTTGTCACTTTCACTCCTCATTCCTATAAATTACTCCCATTACGTGGACCTTCCTTGTGGAGTTATGAGGAATGATTTACAATATCTACCGTGTATTAGCCATCAGCGGTATATTTTTGGGATTAAAATAGCCTACCCATGCAACTTTTTAACATTTGACTCGTTTCTTTCAGACAAAAGAATTTTGGTACCGCGAAATTTGAAAATACACAAATTGCTTGAATATGCATTGCTGACACTCCTTATAAAGCCGTAAAGGTATTTTCTACAATTTTAAAAATTGTTCCACAACTTTTGCTTAAGGAACTCGTATCTACCAAAAACATTTTCAGGGTTTTGAGGATATTTATTAGCTTTGTTGGTGTTTGATTGGCGTCATTTTCCTTCTCCCGTTCCTTCAAATTCGCAACTGGATATAAATTATTTCTTTCCATAAAGCAAAACCTCGAGCGAGACAGAAAAAGAACACACAAAGACAGAAATTTGCCCACGAGAAATGCTATAAAATCAGGCAGTTTTACAATAGAGTTGTACAACTTAATAATATGAAAAGGAAAAACTCTCTTAACTATAAGTCTAGAAAAATCTGACAAGGCAATTTAAGAAGACACTATTTACTGCATCTAACGATAATTACAAGATATACTGACGAGGCGTAACAGCACTGAAACCTTTTCAAGAAAATGATGTCAGCATAATGAAGGAATGCAAAATTCTACTTGTTTGTTTGTTATGTATTATTTATCTACTTGTTTTTGTTTCGAGAGTTGACATCCACAAAAAATAATCAAGAGCACTTTCTGCCAAATTGTTTATCAATCCGAAACTAAATGATTGTTTAAAGTACAAATTTCGATTCTTCAAGAAGCACGATATCTGTGACAAAGCACATTCAGAAAGCCGTGCCAGCACCAAACCAAACTCTGGCCTTAATAATAATTCGTCTCCATATTTGACGATAAACCTTTTAGCAAATTAAAAGACATCCGCATACATGAATTTTGCTTGACTTAATAACAATCAACACGATAAAGACAATTGGTAATATCACATGGGGTGGAGTGGCGTTATGCAAGAACAAGGGCTATCTGCCATACATTTCCCTCTAATTGATAGGTCGAGCCGTTACATAACAGAAGCTTGAGCCGTTGCATGGGAGAAGACCTTCCTTACAGCTGCACCCGTTTGTTTCTACAAAAACATCTACTTAAAAAGTTAGTCAGATGATGACTCGGAGGACTGTTTTTGGCGCCGCTGCATGGACTGTAAAGCTCTTTCCCGCAACTTCTTCTCCAACTCTGCACTCTCCTCTTCGCTTGCGCTTGCTTCAGAGTCTTCTTCGTCCTGGGCGAAAATAAAACAAAATGTTGTATGGCCTTGCATCCAAACACATTCACACAAAGAATACCCACACTGTATATGGCGATACGTTCTTTACAACCTACGGATTACTTAAGCTCGTGACACCTAACTAATTTATTGCTTTAAAACGTTCTGTCTTAGCAAGCTTAAACGAAAGCTTAAGAAATCGTAAATGATGTTACTTAAAAAATTGCTGTGGGCCTACCTCCGAGCCTTTTCTCGTCTCCTTATGTTTCTTGTGTTTTCTTTTCTTGTGCTTTGAAGTTCCATGGGAATGAGTTTTCTTGTGCTTACGATGCTTTTTCTTTTTCTTATCTTTGACGCCAGCTTCGATGTCACTTTCCTGTAAAAACAGAGGGCATTTAAACTACCCATAGAACCTTAAAAAAAGAGTCATAAAATATCGTCAAATCTCCCTCTGTATGAAATATCGAATTTCATAAATTTGTTCTTTTCTTCTTGAAAAGAAACCCGCGAAAACAGGGCTAAATGACAATATAGATATGGAAGGTAAAATGAGCCAAAATGGAAGGTAAAAAAAACCAGGATCCATTTTTTGCACATTCGGTTCCTAATTCTCTTGGTTCACCCGAGGGGCTCAAAAAACTACTGAGTGTCCACAGCTCACTTGACCACAGAAACTTTTTCAAAGACATAAATTTTTCATGTGCCAGTTAGTAAAACTTTAGAGCCTGGTCGTATCGAAATCAACAGGATGCAAAGCGATAAATGAAGAAGTTGTCATCATACCCCACTGGTGTGGCGCTCTGCCCCAGCTGCTTCCTCATCTTTATTATCGACCTTCTCCTCCTTGCGTACTGACGATTTCTCTGGCGTTCTTCTCTTTCCTTTCCGTTTTCTTCTGTCCTCCTCACTTGCCTGTTCTTCATCGCTTTCTTCCGACTCGCTCATTCCCTTCCTCCTTCCCTTTCTTTTTGACTTTCCTGCCGGCGAGGCCTCTCTCTCCGGCCTTCGCTTCCTCTTATCCGGTGACAAAGCAGCTGGTTTTGAAGCCGCTTCCTCCTCTGATTCAGACGCCTCTGACTCACCCTTCACTGGTTTTCGTTCCTTCTTTCCTCTAGCAGGCGATTCAGACATCTTGCTTGATCGGCCATGTCTTTCCTTTGATGAATCTGGTCTTCGTTTCTTTTCGATTTTCTCAGATTCTGAAGGCTCCTTCTTCCGCTTTTTACGCATTGGCTCTGGTCGTTCAGGACTCAGTGATGACTCCTGTCGCAGTTTTTCTTTTGACCGCCTATCATGCTTAATTTTCTCTGTCTTTCTCTAAAAGCAAAAAGGAGTCACTTTATTTATAACATGGAACAAGCCTTTTCTTTTTTGATGAAATGTTTTCAATGCAAAATAAGGAAGGCAGAAAATTTAACAGTTCAAATGGGCTCTTATTGAGACATTTTGAGAAAAACATAATAATCATTCTTCGAAACAACAAAACTATTCAGATTGAATGGTATATAAAAATTGCAAATGTCAACAAATTTCACGATCCTTGTTCCTTGACGTGACACTGCCTATGGTAATTCTAAATACTTGTTGTTCTTTGATTGAGCAGCTCGTTTTGTTAAGAACCTTTTTAGGCAGAAAAATAGACAAGGATTTCAATATAACAGGTATCTCCAGGAAATTCTATCTGACCAACGATCATTTTCATATTTCATATTTCATATTATCAAGATACTCCTTCAGTAACGAAAAATTGTATTTAAATATGTAAAAGTATTTACTTACAAAACAAAGCAAATATTAAAACTGGTCTACCAGGAGGTCGTGTTTGGGAATTATTTAATTCTATACTGATTTTCCATTATTGGTCCAAGAGGAAGGTTTCATTTTTTGTTTAAAAAGGTTAGTAGATTCCATGTTTCTTATGTCGTTTGGAATATCATTCCAGACCTTTGCACCGACGTACGAAAAACTCTTTTCAAGATTTCCAACCGTGGTCTAGGTATTTGCAGATCGTTTATTCTACGAGTTTCCTATTTTGAGATTTAATTTCTCCTCGTAAACTTCCTCTTAAGATTTTCTGGGCACATTTCCTTAAGAGCCTTGTGTACCACTATGGCTCGGTCATATGTGATAACCTTCTCAACGTTTAGTCGTGCGGATTGTATCTTACCCCTAGTAGGAGTGGCTTCCACTAGTGCTTGGTATACAAGAAACAATTGTGATTGTGGTAGTTTTTCTCGCATTCGCATTATAAGTCTGGGTGTTGGCAATTTCTGAACACCCCCCCCCCCCCCCAGATAACGTATTGTCAATTTTCAAAATATTCTTAACATCAAAGTGAACATTTAATTCCTATATTAGATATTTTGATTATTTTCTTCTTCAAGAGTCAGAAAACGAATATATCCTTGAAATAAGAACCTTTAACCATGAGATGACCATATGCACCTATAAATAAGGCGGAAAGAAAGGTGTAAATCTTGAAAAAGTTCTTCTTTGTGGGGTTTATTTTACAACACGCTTTGTTCAAACCTACAAAATACATTCCAAACCCCAGTGTATCAAACCCAAATCATAAAAAGCCGCCCAGTAAAAATGTTTACCTTTTCCTTCTGATGATGGCGATGCTTCTTCTTGTGCCTCTCATCACTCTCCGATTCAGATCCTTCCTCGGACGACTCGTCTTTCTTCTTTTCTGCCTTCTTCCGCCTCGTTTTGGTATCTTCTTCACTTTCATCCTCGCTTTCAGATGACGGCGGTGTTCGTTTTCTAACAGTGACAACTCGCTTCGGGGCTTTCTTCTGAGAATGCACGACAACAGGCTCCTGATCACTCTCTTCTTCTGATTCTGATTCAGATGCTGGTGAAGGAGACCGCTTCCTCTTTCTTTCCTTCTCCTTCTTCTTAACATCATGCTTCCTTCTTTCTCGCTTTTGCTCTTTTCCTTTCGCCTCTGCAACTGATTCTTCAGATGAAGAGCCATCTTCTTCTGACTCACCACCTCTGCGCTTTTCTTTCGTCTGCGACAATAAATTCTCATTTCAAAATGTTCCAAAGCAAAGTCATGAAAATTTAGGGTAAACCTTTTCATAATTTTTTCCTTTCACATTCTCCATCATTATAAAAAAATCACCAAATAAGTTTTCTTTTAGAAGTTTACTATAGGCTGGACTCTGTAGTATGGTAAAATTTTGGCCATCTGTTTTTCCTAATGATGTATAGATTTAAAACAAAACCCTCCCTCTCTCTTTTTCGAAAGTCTTAATAATTTGTTCAGAAATAACAGCTAGCATTCAGAGAAAAGGAAACTTCAAAGCAGCTAGAAGAAAACAGCATAAAAATCAGTGACAACAAAGAAAAGAAGCAACATTGTCAACTCTCAAGTTCGTGGAAATAAAAGCAGTTTCTGGAAGGTCAATCAACTGATAAATAAAACAACTTTTTGACCATTGCAGTTATCAATTGGGCTCACCTGCTTTGGCGGCGGGGAAGGAGATGCTGACCAATCTTCACTAGGCGACCGCCTCCTGCGGGGTGGTGATGGCCTTCTTGGAGGTCGTCTTGGAGACGGACTGGCATCTCTGCGTCTTCTAATTGGCGACTGGCGCCTTGGTGGGGTAGGTGATCGACGTCTTGGAGACGGAGACACACGCCTTGGTGCTCTCCTTGGTGGTGACTCTGATGGCGATCTGTAACGTCTCTGGCGTGGCGGCGATTCCCTTCTAAATCGACGTGGTGGTGATTTTTGTGGTGGAGATCGTCTTCTTGGTCTATGTTCTGGGGAACCATGATGGTATGGCGAGCGATTCCTAACACCCCTTGGTGGAGACCTTCTTCTTCTCGGGGATTCGGACCTTGATCTTCTGTCTGCCCTTGAGTCTGATGGACGTTTTTCACGTGGTTTTCGAGCCGCGGAGCCTCTTTTTTCTTCTGCATTATCTTTCTCAGGAGAAATACTGCTTGAGGTGGACCTTCAACAAAAACAAGATACATGGTCAATTCAAGAGTATCTAAATCTTTCTGCGACGGAACAAAATTATACAGTTTGGTGGCTGCTAAATTGTAGTGCATCAAACGATAATTATGAAATAGGTTGGCTTTCGATAGATAATGAATTTATTCATGTTTCGGTTCTATTTTGAAGTCACATGCCTTATTAAGCCGTGTTTTGTTAGTGAACGGCTATTCATAGCAAAATGTTTGTTTATCAACATGCAGTGTGAAGTTCGTATTGCTTGTTGATTAGTTTCCATTCTCATTATTGGCAAGTATATTGCGTTATTCTTTAGTTATACTATTTTCGATCATAGGGTAAGAATCAACCAAGGAATATCTGTTAAGTGTTATCTATTCAGGGCCCATTGGCCTAGCCCATCGGTTCGCTGGCTTTTATACGTTGTACGATATTTACCGTTATAAGTAGTGTCCTTTTTACCGCTAAAATAATAACTTGACAAAATAAACAGAATGGAGAACTGATAGCAGTTGCCAGAAAATCTAATTAAAATTAACACAAAATAAAATAAAACCAGGGCTTTTCCTTTCTACTGCTAGAAGTTTTTACAGGGCCTTAGTAAACCATTCTTGCAGGATTCAAAAGAGATAACCATGCATAGCAGCTTAGGCCATGGCCCGAACTGTCATCCGAACTGAATTGACTATGAACAAACCTTTTGGTTCTGTACATTCTCGTTTGTGCTTTGTCAGCTCTGTGATATGACTCAGGCTCTCCTCTACTTGTATCAACTACAGCAGGAGACTTTGACCTCTCTTTTGCGCTTCCTTCTGACGAGCTGCGACCACTCCTTCTGGCAGGAGCCTCTTTAACCTCCTTAGCATCTTTCCGGTGCGTTGGGGGTGGTGAAGGCGAGTTTGCCTTGGCAACAGCCGCTTTCTTCTCTGGCGTTGGCGACCTTGACGAGGCCGAGCTTGAATATGACGGTTTCCTGGCAATTCTTCTGTAAAGCAAAACAGTATCAAACATCTGAATAAGAACAAAGCAGATATTCTAGATATGAAAAAGATACATAAAGTATACAGAAGGGAAGTGAGTTGAAATAACAGAGAAAAAGCTGCCAATTATTAACTTTCAGCACCATTTAACTACAATAAAATATGAATTTCTCAGCTCAATTTCAGTTAAAAATTCGAGAATAACATGCCATGTAAGCTAGGCTTACTTCAACATTAAATATTTTCAAATAACCAATATTTTCTCAAAAGAACCCTATTCTAATATTGTTTCACAGACATGAAGCTAAACAAATGCAAATATAATTGTGATGCCTTATTTGTCTTTGCGGGGCAGCTGAAGTGGGGAACGTTTCGCCATTATAATCAAAACATAAATGAATATGCAATAGTCAAGACTGGCACCTTTCGATCATAAGGGAATCACTTGGAAAAAGTCGGAGATTTCAGGAGAGAAATAATATAACAAGATGAATACCTTCCACGTTGAGGTGATCTTGAAAATGACCGTGAGAATCGTCTTTGAGGTGAGAATCTTCGCCTACGAGGAGATCGGTAGCGGGCAGGTGAACGCGATCTTCGCCGTGGAGAAAATGACCTGGAGCGGCGTCGTGCAGGAGAGCGGGACCTCCTTCGAGGTGAACGGGATCTAGATCGGAACCTTCGGCGTCTAGAATGCGAACGCGAACGGCGCCGAGATTTACCCTGTGATTGACTTCTGGAGCGTGAACGAGATTTACCACGAGAACGAGACTTGGACCTTGAGGGAGAATGTGAACGTGAACGGCTAGGAAATAGAACAACGTTGATGAGAAATAAAAAATTAACACGTGTTTAACTTCTTACTGATTTTACATGACTTTGAACGCACATTTCACAAAAAGGCCTGCCTGTTTTAAAGCATTGAAAATATCAATGCAACAGTAACCTTAATTTGCAGATATATTTTCTTGATGCATCCTTCATTATTATCCAACTAACTTTCATACTGAACGTAAAATCCAATCGCCACATATTGAAGAAACACTCTCGTTTCTACTGGGTAAAAAATTGCCACAAGAAACCAGAACATAATACCTAAGCTTTAAAAATGAAAAGAAAAAGAGCTTGCAGTAGACATTTTATTTTTGAAACAAAGAAATAAAGTGTTATTAAAACATTGCCCGTACCTGTCCCTTCCTTTTCCTGCGAAAGAAAAAATAAGTTTTCAGATCAATTGTATTAAGCAAAGCAAGTTGCAAATAAACTGACTCAGAACGGCGCTGAAAAAATCTAACGGCGCTAAAAAAATCTAAAAGCTTAAAAATCCTCTCTATGATTAGTTATAAGTCTCGTCTATCCACACTAAACAGGTCGCAAATGCTTCTATTAGCAGTTCTATTCGAATAGACTTTGGTTTACTCACCTGGCCTTCCTTTGCCCTTGTCTGTTTTCAACTGAAACAAGATAAAGAATACTTGATTAAGAATACTTGATTAAAAAACTTAAACAAGATTTTTTGATTGGTATAAACTTTTCATACAGATTTAAAAAAGCTTGCAGATTAGATCATGTTTTAATATCAGTCCAAAAATTTAACTCGCAAGAAAACTTGCAATTCATCAGAAGAATCGTTTATGGCTCGTACAATTAGCACCCCCAAACGAGAGGTGGAGTGCGAGGCAATTTGTCCAAAAATTGAAATCAAAAGACTTTTTATGAAGAAGCTAGTTTTGAAAGTTGGCAGTTTTTGATGGGCGCCATATTGGAATGACTCGTTTCAGTGATAAAAATTCAATTACTATCAATTATAGAGAAATAAGAATAAGCATGGAGTAACCGGATACAACTGTTCAACTTGAAATAGAGGCTGTTTGATAAGCAAGATTCTAAAACAAAACCCTTGGTTTTCATTGCATTAAAACGTAAATTATTTTAATCTTTGCTTCCAAATCATAAGGCACGGCCCTACACTTAAAAACTTCTGCCTAAGCATCATTGAGAGGTGTATATTTCAAACCATTGAAGTCCCCTTCAAGCAAATCTCGAACTAAAGTATCTAGCCCATAGTGCTTTGTATCTAGCAAGAATGCAAGTGACTTGACCCATAACTTAGGGCGGAACGTACAACGGGACATTTTCTTGTTTGTCGCTACTCCATTCAAACAGCAATTTTACCTCTATCTGAACAAGATCCACTCGACATGATCAAAGCTACCAAACACGCTAGTTCTTTAACTTAGAACTTTAGCACATGCTTGTTTTTCTTGCAAGGAAGTCTAGTTATCTTCTTAAAAAGACAACTGCATAATGGGGGTGTTGACGATATCAATATCCACAATATCATCATCCCTATGCAACATTTTTCGGTTTTCAACGATGCAACCTTAAATGTGTGGAATTCACTATGAGTATATTACACTTGAGTTTTGCATGGCAGACATGATCGCATTGATTGGCTGATGGCATACAGTATCATGTTGATTGGCTGGTGGTAGACAGAATCACGTTGATTGGCTGATGGTGGACAGGGTCGCATTGATTGGTTGATGATAGACAGTATCATGTTGATTGGCTGGTGGTAGAAAGAATCACGTTGATTGGCTGATGGTAGACAGGGTCGCATTGATTGGTTGATAGACAGTATCACGTTGATTGGCTGATGGTAGACAGGGTTGCATTGATTGGTTGATGATAGACAGTATCATGTTGATTGGCTGTGGTAAACAGTTTCACGTTGATTGGCTGATAGCAGATAGGAGCGCACTGATCAACTGATTGCTCTTCCTGGTGATTGACCTGATGAGCTTTTATCTTTTGCGCAACATTGTCATGGCAGTCCATCCCAAATTCATCTATGAAATCGAGTAACAGGCACGATTCTGTCGTTTTGATAGCATTTTTCTACAGTTTGAACGAGGGACATGAAATCTGCCAGGTCCAAAAAAAATCAGCCAGTGACAATATAGTCCAACATAAGACACAGTGTAATGCGCTTCCAACAAAGATGGTGAAAAGCCCAACAGCAAGGTATTAGATCCTTTCTCGAGATATAGCTTCAAATTAGGCAATAGCTGGTTTCTTCGTAAAAAAGCCTTTAATAAATGTGGTCCAATTCATCACAGAAATTATGTTAACTTTTCCAAAGTCATTCTTGACACTGTAAGAGCACATGGCCAAATATCATCCTTCTCTCTTGAAATATATCGTATACAGAATCGCTTCCAACAAACTACTTCTCTTGGAAGGATAACAAGCAAAAGGAGTCTTGTTATGCTTATTGCGGCCATTCGCCATGATTCTTCTGGCGCAAATCGACAGCTAAACATCGCAACAGTGAACGTTTCTTCAGATCACATGATCTACCAGATCAGATGGCCAGGGGGTACTCGAGCAAGGCACCCATATGGAAATTGACCGACCTACGGCCACAATAAATGGCGCTGCTATTTCGACTTCAACAAGAGCAATTCCTCTGATTTCAAACAGATACAGAGCTTAAGACCGTCCAAAACTTTTGCCTTTTATAGATTTTTGAATCAATGAACTTGCAATATTTCCTATAAAATCATACTTCTGCCTGACAATTGTTAATCTTTTATCTTTAGTAATTAATTTCAAATTAAGAAAAGGAAGGATTAATCAATTGTACGTACATTATTTAGCTTATCCCGCAGGTCTGTGACAGGATACTTCAAATCGGAATCCTGCGGGAGAACAAAAATCAAAATTAATACCCTTCTATACCTTACTGCTTATCACTTTTTTGAAATTTGCTTTTTTAAAATAATTCCTCGTTCAGAAACTAGAATGAAAATTTGCAGAAATTTAGTGCTAATTCATAATTTTAGTGATGCCAGATTCTCGTTAATAAACCTTACATTATTAGAGAGAAAACTAGAGGAAAGAGTGCTAATATTATGTGATTGCCTATTGACACCTACTCCTAATATAGAAACAATTACAGCAAACCTGTCTCACTGATATATTAGGAAAAGTAGACCTGAAATTCATCTTGTCTCCTCTATGGGTATTGACAAAAATGGCTCGAGTCTAAAATAATATTGAGCACAGAAGAAAAAGGGGCCTTAGGCTGACAAAATGAGTATTAATGGAGAGTGATTTATGAAGCCTGGTACCTCAAGCTCCATATCTTCTTCGTCGCTGCTGAGGATATAATCAATTCTTTCGCCTTGCATCAACTTCATTATCATGTCGTAAATTGACTTTGCAAACTTTTCGTTGCCTGGCTCGCCTAAATGCAAGTAGTCAGTGTAATAAAGCTCTGTTCTGAGCATACCATCCGGTAACACCCAGTCATTGTCCGGCTTCAGAAAATAAACGTTCCTCTGTGAAGGTGACTGACTCCATCTTTTTAGCTTCTTGTTGACGCTGCGGATGCTATGTCGCCGGTATCCATGCTCCAAATCACGTGGGAGCAGTCCGGCAATTATTACCTTGGCGTTCGGTTTCGCAGTCTGGAATACGGACACTATGGATGTAATGCCATCGGTGATATCAGAGGGTGTGTCCTTGTCAATGTTATTTGTTCCGCAGTGCACAACACATATGTGCAGATTCATCGGAATCTCGCCGTTTTCGACTCTCCAAAGAACATGCTGGGTGCGATCACCACCGATGCCAAAGTTAAGTGCCCTCAACGGCCCAAAATATTTCGACCAGACACTATGGTAACGGGACAATCCATTGATTATCGAGTCCCCAATAAGTAGTATACCTGCACCAGCAGTCTGCGAGATGTGCACAAACTTGTCATGCTCCGCGTACCAACCCGGTTTCGTATTACGCCCTATCGGCGTAGAAGCTGGCGATGACGTGTATCCGGATAGGTCTTTCATGACACTCCTTTTAGGGGTCACCATTCCAGCACCAAGCACAGTTATAGGGTTTTCCCCTGAGTTATCACCAAATGACGCATCATGTGCCGAAGGATTCTAATCATAAGGCAGTAGCTATCAGAATGACGCAAAATAAAAGGTTTTATAGAGATGCTTGGAGGTTTTCTCTTTAGGGATCTCTTTTTTGCCACTCATATCACGATGGGTCCAAGTTATGATCTCACTTTCACCTTGGATAACCGTTTATTAATGACTAGGTTTTCATGTTCACAGAGCAATGAGATAAGTGGTTTTATGAAGGGCTTTCCTAGCTAATTAGCAGGACCTTCAAAGTAACATGCTTTACTTAAGAAATAGAAACAAGTTTCTGGTGTGCGAGTGCACAAGCCCGTGGTGCTAGGCGTCACTTTGATGTTTCGAAATATGATGGAGCAGTATCAACACAATAAACTTCTTAAATTATCTTCTTTTACAACAAATGATTATTAACAGTTACGTGACAATATCCGGCTGAAAACTTCAGCAGAAGGAATTTTGTCAACTGACTGGTTGCATGCATCTTTCGTGGACAAGAAAAAGTAACTCAAATCTATTTTGAGATTAGAAAACATAGGTTAATTTGGGTTCCGATAAAAGATACTGAGGACGATTTACATATAGCAAAATCGAAGTACTTCAACAAACATACAGTCTTTGTTGTGATTACAGGCGACTAACGAATTGCGAGTATATTTTCACTACAGAGAGAGGGACCAATTAAACGGGGGGCTATTGTGAGGATATCGATAGACATCATTCCTCTTCTAAAACTGATCAAATGCCCAAAGCATTTAACACATTGAACCATTTCCAATCGTCCGTAAAAAAAATAACCTTTTAAAAAGGGAGCCTTGAAGCAAGCAGAATCCATTACAGTTTTTTAATACAAAAAGATCATATTGAAAACAGCTTTTATTCATAACAATGGCAGCTTATCTAAAACCAATTTGCAACTCACCGATTCCTTGGCAAGCTTTAGAGCTTGCGCCTTCACAGCCGCCATTTCCGCGGGCGTAAGACCAGCATCGGAGGGATCAGGTCCAGGGATAGTGCTGTCGGCCTCTACCTGGAGGTCACCGGTCGTCCTTCGAATATGGGCATTAATGCGATCTTGCTCAAGCTAAGGAAAGTATCAAAATGAAAACAGTTACCAACTACAGTAAGCAATGGAAAGATAGGCTTAAACACACTGATGTGAAAGAGTTTGCATGATGAACTCTATTTACTATCTTGTTTTAAGAAAAACTAGGAGTATTTGCGTGGTCCATTAACGCGGTTTTATTAAAGACAGAGCGTTTAATACATATGAAGATTTCAAAATGAACATCAATTACAGGAACAAAACTTACATGGCAACAAAGACAGGAATATGAGCTATAATAAACCATGATAAAAGGCAATCGAAAGATACTAGAGCTGCACAGGCTCCCTGTGAATCGACTAAGAGTACGTCTCAGTGTGACGTCACAATAAAACTCCTATATATGCAAAATCAGTTAGATTTGTCAAAAACGTCATAAAGTTATGAACTGAGACCAAATTACAGAGGTTTGATGGGACCAAAACTTGTGCTCATCTGGTTATATCTCAGCCAATTCGTGACACCTTTAACTGATTTTGCAGATTTAGAGGTATTTCATGATGCTCTTTCAAGTAAAGGGAACAAATTTGAAAAAATTCAAAATTAGATTTTTGTGACGTCATCACTTGACAACTCTATTACCCAATCAAAAGGCTTCTGAGTGGCAACACGCTTACTGATTGGCCAATTGTTGACTGGCAGATGGCTTGAGCAAGTTTAGTATCTGTCTATTGCCTTTAATATTACAAAGAGGTATAATTGTTTCCTATACAAAACTAATGGAAAACAAAACTAAAAGCCTTTGTTTACTTGCAAACAAAACTACGAGTTAAAATTGGCGACGAATTTGACACTTACGACATGTAATACCATAAATCATTTAGTAAAAAAATCAATAATTAATTTTCACGTTATTTATAAACTGTATAAAAGAAAAAAATGAAATTTGACTTTTTAAATACAAGAATATCTATAGTGGAATGAACTTTAGTACTAGAAGTACCAATAAATAGTCTATGGATGTTTAAAAAGGAATGGAAGCATAGTTTGACATGTTAAGGGACTTTGTAAATAAAGCAAAACGGGATAGCTCAACTCTTGGAAAAATCTAAATTCAATTGATTTATTTAGTTTAACTTAACTGACTCAAAACTAACGGGATAAAATTCTTAACAAAGGTGATTGAATACAAAACAAGAGTACTTAAATGACAAGTAAAAAATAAGACAAAATACTGAAAATCTGACAAAAATCTGGGTCTGAAACCTAACCATTAAAATCTAAACATCTAACGTAGTGGGTGATGAACAGACAACTTTGAAGGAGCTATAGCTACAGCTGTCAAATGTTTTTACTGTTGTGGTAATAAGTCACTTGGCATCACATTGTTAAATCCTTTAGTGTAGGTAGTTTGTTGAGTACACATTATCTGAAGGTTGGAATGGTATATTGCAAGTAAATTGGCATACTTTTTGTCATTTTGCTCATTAAAAAAGAAAACAACCACAATCTGAAGTGCTGATATGGGGTAGGTGAAAGCTTATGGATAATCTCAACATGACAGTCTCAGGGAGGAGAGAAAGGTTGCTTGGAAAAAAACCAGTATGACCATAAACCATTTTTAAGAGCTTCAAAAAGAATCACAAGAATACATTGTTTACAGGGAGCCATGTTACTTGCTACTGATCGTCAGTGACTAAGGGCAACTTAAGAGTACACAGGTTTTTACTTGGTGCATTACAAGTATAAAAGATCATCACAACCCAACACAATGATGTACTCTATAGCAAAAAATCTATAATGAGTAGTTAACTCAAACAGAAATTATGATCACTTAATGCTAAATAAAAAGATTCGTGGAAGCAGCTGCATTGACTTTATAAGTAAAAACACAAAACCCACTTTCCTTGGGCTGCTATTAACTCATTTCAATTTTATATATACCTCAGAATCTAATTTTACATATTAAATGAATTGTATACATCGATATGTACAGATATTAGGGCACATCAAATATCAGGGCACAAAAGACACATCAAATTTTGCACTCAAAAGTTAAACATTAAGAGAAAACTAGAAAAAATCATAAAATTTACTTTAGTTAACCCTACCAACAATACAACATAGATTCAGGTTATACACCCAATAAATAATTAGACAAAACAAACTTAGAGCAATCTATCTGGACATAAATCTAAGTGATAACCATGAAGTAGTTATCTTTAGTATACTTTAGCTGTATTTTTGCACTGTAGCTCTAGAATACTATAGTTGTATTTTTGCACTGTAGCAAAAATGCATAACATTCAACATAGAATATAAGTTTATATCTAACTATGTGATTTATTGTATAAATTCACACCTTTCAACACACAATCAAACTACACTTGATGGGGCTTTTATCTAAAGATTGTAAACAGATTTGACTATGGGTTTTGGCAATTTTGGCTATCATATCTTTAACAAACAGTGTTCACTTTGAAAACTTATGGTAACTATAATGGCATGTGCTCAACCAAACAAAGAAAATCTTGTGCAATATAAAGTTAGGATTTCTTTTATCTACAAGCTAGAAACTATGTCTACATATTATGGAAAGGCATGCCTATAGATTCTCTATGCCTATATTCATTTTAAGTTCTATGGTATTCCATGGTTGAGCTATGTGTCTTTACACTATCAAATGATTTTAAGGTGATTGCACACAAATTTATGCACAAATCTAATGTATATAATAAATTATCCTGTAAATTAGTTCTACTACCTAATGCTATAAAAACTAAATATATATATATACTTTAAGAATATTGTCGTTTTAAATACATTTTTACAATACAATCCTGCTTTGATACTTACCATTATCCGTTATGAAACTGAAAAACGAACAAACACAAGAAAAATATTGGTATGCTCATGCAATCAACCTTAAAGGGCAAACAGTTATAAACAATTATGAATGTGCTAAGGTCAAACTGTGCATACAACCAACGAATGAAAATTTTACTACTGTAATGAAAAATTATTTCGTGGTGAAATATATTATTGTTCAATAAGGTATAAAGGCAGCCTTTCAACTGCTGGCTACATGATGGCTACAAAAAACATCAAATTGAATTCCCTTGGTCTCTCTACTAAGGGTGGTAAAAACGTAAAATAACCAATTGTTAAAAAGTACATACAGTAAAAGCTCTGTAAAGCCTCCCTCTCTATTAAACCCCCACTCTCTATAAAGCGTTTGATGTCAAACAAAGAATTTTGTGGGTCTCTTGACGGGTGTGGTGGTGACAAGATCATGTGCATTAAATACAACCCATGCAAAGACAATAGAGAAGACTTGTGTGCTTCAAAAGTCCAGTGAATTTTTTTAGAAGATCTCCCAGGGTTATCAATTGATTCCATGAAGATGAGGACCTTATAATTGATTAATTAAACTTTCATGGTTGTTAGCAAAGTTTTTTGAGCAATTCATATGACATTTTAAAACAAAAAAATTGACAAGGGCATTTTTAAAACAAATTTAATAAGCCCCCCACTATAAAAAAACCCCTCTAGGATGGATAAAGAAATAAGCCCTCCCCCAGGGCTTAATAGAGCTTTTACAGTATCTTTCAAAAAACCTCATACCTCAAAAAACATAATGACAGGCTTGTTGTCACAGGCAGTTCTCTTTAACAAAACTGTCACAACATGTTATGGTTCATTACAATGCATACAACCTTACCTTTCGGAGTCTTATTTCCTCTTTCTTCTTTTCCAAAAATACAGTTGGAATCCCCCCAACATTTTCTTGAGCACTAATAAGAAGCTCCCACAGTTCACCCATAAAAACTCTGGCATTTTTTCCTTGTAAAAACCCAGTGAGCTGTATCTGAATGGTCTTTGGATCTGGGTTCTAAAATAGCAATCATAAAAATTGTCATTCTTATTTTCTGTTTTTAATAATATGTTCTATTAACAACAGCAGATTATATCTAGGAGTACAGAGGAGCTGGCATGGACCTGCAAATGAAAACAGTTTTCATAATTAAAGTAACAACAAGCTAGTTTCCAACTGATGCTTCTTTCTCTATTTTACAAATTAAGCTTTTTCCCAAATTCTAAATGATAAAAATATGAGAGCCTCTGATACTCAAACTCCCTTGGTATTGTAATGCTGTTTGTTCCTCTGGCTCACACATATTTATTCTGTTAAAAAGATTTTAGTTTGTAATTGTTAATGCTCTTTGTACTGCCACCTTTCTTCTGTAAATATAGCCTATATACTTGTTTTCAATTAGCTTCCTCTAGCAGACACCCCTTATTTCACATCAAATATCAACAAACTACCAAGATCTATTTAAAATTCTATAACAAAATTCTCCATTTCAAAACAATTTAAGCATTAGATATTGTTATACAGTCAAAATTATTGCCAAAACTTAAAAAATGTTATTATGAGCGATGAATTATCAAAATCTACAAGCATAAACTGGCTGTATAATAGATAGGGGTTGATGAAAATTCAACACAAATTTTATTTAGAATGATTCAAATCTATTGCACTTGTGCCTGGTAATCAATAGTAAAAACGCTTTTTGAGGAGTTCTAGAAGACTTATTCTACCTTTAATTCTATGATATTAGTCACTTAAATAATGGGTTCAATTGCATTTGATGATACAAGAAAGCTAAATTCTTATCAACATATTTTATATTAAGATGGTAGCAATATAACTATAACTGTGCTAAAGGCTAAGAGCCTGTCACAGATCTTTGGAGTGACTTCACCCAAGACAGACCATTATACTGACAGACCACTCATGTCAAGCCAAACTCTAAATAACAACAAGTGTAACACCCAACTGATAGATAATGGATGTCAGAAAAATAGTCTGTCCTGGGAAAAGCCACTCCATACTCATTGTATTTTCTGAAAAGATAATGTTGTTGTCTTTATCTAAACTATTGAAAGAATGTCTTCTTTACAAACAGAGTATTCCTTCTCTCCAAACAAATTGTCCAAATGATTCTTGAATGAATTCAGTGGGTCTGCATTTACAAGGTTAAATGGTAGCTTATTCCATAAAGTGTTGATCCTCAGGCTAAAAACTTTTTCTTATGTCTTTTCTGCAGTGCTCTTTAACAATTTTTAAGTTCTGGCTGTGGGTTCTACTTTCTTCCTCAATATGACAGAAATCTGACAATATGATTTACTATCATTTTACTATTCATTATTTTACTTGGATTGGATCTTATATTCCTAGATTTGATAAGAAAGCTTAGATTTAGCTTTATTTGGCTTCTGAGATCGTTTAGATACCTTTTTGAAAAAAAAAACAAATTACATGGATATTCCATCTGTCACAATTCTTAACAAAAGTTGCTAAATGAGTATTTTTACTTCAAAGGACAAAAAATTAAACCTTTTTGAAAGCTAAGTTTATTTTTTTATAAAACTTAATCCCTGTGAGACATTTCTTTGATAGGTGCAAAAAGATAGAAAAACATTGTCAATTAGATAGGCAAAGATGAAAAAGAGAGGAATATGTCTATCAATTCAATATCTAGATTACTTGATTACTACTAACTAGCCAAACCAACTAGATTACTTGGGCCCTATGTGTGCACATCTATGTGTATATAAACTAGAAATGCCCTTACCTTAGAGCCCTCCAGCAGTTCAAATATGAATTGCGTTACAACCTCATCCTCCATTCCAAGAAGCTCAGTAATTCTTTTTGTTACCCATGGCTTTATTGTGTCAAGGTTCACTTTGTCCATAATAACCTAAAATATAACATATAAATATAAATATACATAAAATAATAATGTAAGAGAAAAATCAGCTTTGAAATGTGGATGTATTGAAAAATTCTTAGGATCTCATACACAAGTCACACTACCATGAGGAACGTGTAAATGAAAAAGGTCTGTCACTAGAAAAGAACATAAAAATGAGAAAGGCGCAGTATTTTGGACACTTAATAAGAAAAGATAAAATGCAAAAATCATTGTTGGAAGGAAAAGTATGTGCGAAAAGACCAAGGGGACGTCCCCGTCAATCGTGGATGAAGAACATCATAGAATGGACAAAACTAAACTTTGAGCAGTGCATAAGAGGAGCTGAAGATCGTGACTACTGGAGAGGAGTAACGACAAAACTTTATAATTGAAACCGAATGATGATGATGATGATGAAAATAATAATTGTGAGAATTACTCTTCAGGAGAAACTAAACTGTATGCTAAACTTACATGTATGTTACTGTATGTTAGAGTTGCAAGGACTAGATGATCACCAGGCAACTAGATAACATTGTTATAACAGGGACTTTTTGAATTTTTTAATGACTTTCCTTTCCAATTTCAGTACATTATAAGCATTTTTAAATGTAGCTTGCCATAAGAAACTAGATGGCCCACCATTGCTGCAGAAGCAGGGGTCTTGGCCTCCCCTTATAATATCCAAAAGTACTTAAAACCATAAAAAATTATCCTGCTTTTGGTTTTTAGCATGTTTATCTGCCCAAAAAACATTTTGGCCCCCCTCCATCAGTAACATGCTCTATGGTCCTTGTGGCTCACGTAGCTAAAAATAAACAACCAGGTCTCAAACATATGGTCAATGCTTTTCAAATAGAGATGGAATTGATGCGGAGACAGACCAGAATTTTTTTGGAAGGTCCATTGGCTTTCAAATTTTGCATCATATGCAAATGGGCAGTTAAAAGAGATGACATTACTCGCATGTCCCATTATATATTCTTTATTAGTAAATTTGTGGTCTTTACAGGAATAAGCCAGTCTCAAATCAAAAGATAAATAAATTTTAAAGAAAATTGTATCACGAGAAGTATGTGAGAATGAAACTCTGGTTTATATATATACAAAAGTTTATAATGACATAAATATAATAGTTTATAATGATTTATAATTGTTTTGATTGAATGCTGTGAAGAGCTATGATATGTTAATTTTGTCCACAAGCCTTTGCCCTAACGCACATGTCATGATGTGCATCATTTTCTTAGTGGTTCAGACAAATTAATAGAATTATAGCCTAAACAATAGGAATTTATACTTGTCTTCCCTACAAAGAAGGAAAGTAACATCAATTATAAGATGCTTGCTTATTTCCCAATTTGAATATTTTGCAGACATTGTCATTGTCATTTCCCCATTATTTGCTTGCAACAGAGCATTTTAAAAACGATAACAGAAACATTAGTCCAAGCCACATTTAAAGTACCTTGTTTCTCGTCAGTTTGACTAAAATCTAAACACGTCAGTTTGATTCTCGGTCTATAATGCTTTACTTAGCAAGTACATTCAGGCCTAAAATCTTCATACCACACTTAAAGTTCCATTTATGGCCCTGAAAGAGAGGACACTACTGGGCCTACCTTTTTTTCCAAAACTGATTCGAATCTCATAGCTTTGATGAGTTTCTTTTCCTTGTCCGCAAAGCGGCTGTCTTGATCAGCGCTGGTTCCCTGCAGAAGGAAAGGTAAATTTTAGTTTTCTGCTACAGTATTTAAAATTCGATGCATATTTCATTGAGATTATTATCAACTTACTCGAAAGAAACCGGCATCCATCTTTGCAGTCCTTGATTATAACGAAAAGGCATCGAGGTCACGGACAAAGGCGCATGTGCTGTGGTAAAGGATTGTCCCGCGAATGTCTTGCGAGATCCCCGAGGTAGAAAGTGAAGGATTATTTATTGAAGCAATTTTTGAATAGGGGCTAATTCAAGGGGGACATAAAAATAATCACCAAGTTGCCACACAAATAGCTTCTTTTTTAGCTCTCTCACAATTCAGTTCATTTAAAGTTGATTTCATTTGCAATATTGCATGATAATCGCATAATGAACATCAAACAAACTATTAATCAAAGCACAAAAATATATTTTCGTCCAAATATGGATATTTTCATCATCTTTGTTTCATTCACCTCCGACAAAAAGTTTTTAGCGTTGCTGCAATTTTTTGGCGGATGGTGCAATACTTTTGCTCACCAAGTGTAATTAATCGTTGATCAAAATGGGATATTTTTCTGTTGTATCTCGGAAAAGCCCCCATGGGATGACATGGTAGTGTGAGGGGATTATCTGAGGGGGGAGGCTCATTTTTTTCCAGGGTGGGACATATTCAAGGGGGCTTATAGTTAGATTAAATTATCCTAGAAGCAAACTAGCAACATTTGAAATTAAACGATGCTCTGGAAATGGATGTTATCTTGATATTATTTGATGTATAGACTGTATTATTTTCAGATTGTTCAGTCTAACTATCATGTTGCATTACTGATCCGGAGAGGAATAAAAAGTTTTGGTACACGGCAAGAACATTTTGGTAATTATTGAGGGCCCCCGCTCGGGTTTTCCATCTCTATGGTAAGGATTGGGGCATTGATGATCGCTGCGGTGGAGAATTCGTGTTCCGGACGAAATTAAAAATGGCGGGTCTTGTTGATTATGCTGCAGACAGTGGAAGTGAAGAAGAGACTGGAAATGCCGTTAATGAGGAGCTTCAATTGCATCTAAAAGGAACTTCAAGGTCAATTGAGGATATGAAGAGTAATATGAAGTTGAATATTAGACCAGAAGTCACATCTAAGGTAACTTTTTATCACATCTAAGGTAGCAATTAATTCATAATGGTTTAGGCCCTGTCTTTTATGACCTGAGCCCCCAGGTTTTAGCGAAAACAATAAGTACACGCTTTAAAAAGATAGTATAACCTCCTTGTATTGGCAAAAATGAACAAATTTTCCAGAAGGGGGCCCTAGTCGGAGTCGGTTTTTTATTATACTTTCACTTCACCCTTTTAGTGCCCCTCTGCCCCTCTGCTGGGACTCGATCTCAATGCAGGAGACTTCTCGGAATCTAGGACAGGTTCAAAAAGTTTTCAGCTTTCAGAATATGGGGTGATATCTATGACAAAAATTAGTAATCAAAATCTTGAACCTATAAACTGCATTTCATGAATCCGCCAATTGCAAAATCCTGAATGTTCATTTAAAACATAGGCAAGGTATGTTAAAAGTTCTTGGGACATACCCCTCTTTTATCCATTTAGAAGGTACAAAGGGCGACACCACCGTATCTCTATGTATAAACGCAACGCCTTATCTCATTCACCTGGCAAGTGCTAAGTATGCTGACAGGGATATTAAATTGTTGGAGAGATTCTCTAACTGAACTGGATTGCTCAACTCATTTGCCTATTGGAATGAAAATCAGCAAATTTTTTGAATCATGAATAACAGACTGACAGATGTTGAAATGCAGAATGCAGAATCACAGATTAGTGGTTCCAAGAGGGGCGTTATCACAAATGGCAGAATAATGAAAAGGTGGAATATGAAATGGTTGATGCATGATCGCAAACCAAAAAATGACTGATTGCAGAATGATAAATGACTGAATGACAAAATGATGTTTACAGCAAAAATAGACATTTGGAAATCAGAAATTGAAGTATGACACATTAATATATTACGCAATGGCATCTAAAATTTGCCAAATTGCATATTGCCTGAATGAAAAATTTAGGATCTTGCATTTGCCAGATTCATGAAATGCAGTTCATACTTTCCAGATTTCAATTAAGTGATTTTTGTCATAGGTATCACCCCATATTCTGAAAGCACATCGATAAATTTATCCTGCCTCCCTAATAATCCTTTCTCTCTTATAATCTTGCATTAAATTAAGAGGTTTGATAGATAAACCCACAATGGGAATACAAGAAATAATATGGTATTCAGATATACAAAATATAAGATTTTAGGGTTTTCTTCTAATGAAGAGTTGAAAGAGTAACTTTAAGGAGAGATTTGTCTCTTGTACCAGCTTAGACCAAAACAGAGTTTTTTTCAAATTCACCATTGCAAGTTTGTAATTCCTGACTATATGAGGTGTTCTGTAAAAACAATACTTTGCATAGCATGTTTTTTTATAACCTGTTGTATAACAAAGTTCTTTTTTTCCAGAATGAACATGATAAAAAGTTTTTAATTGACCCAACCAGCAAACAACTTTCTTATAATCCTAAATATGAACAGCTTTTTGCACCGGTGGTAAGTATGATGGTTACAAATTATATACATAAATGTACATAAGTCAATGAAAATATTTCAGACATAGCAATAGTAATGTTTGAAAACTAGTAATTATTGATTTCATGTATGCTTTAAATTTTAATGCAAGCTTCCCCTTGAAAAAAGCATTGCTTGACAAAATAGAAACAGAAGCATTTGGTAGTGTTTTATGTTTTAATTCTATGTTTATTACCTCTTGTAATACTACCATATGATATCACCTCTTGGTTCATATTCAGTAGCTTCAGATTGCTTTCAAAAAAGTTTCTACTTTACTTGTGACCATTTTGAATACAAAGTTTGATCAACAAATGTTGGCAAATTCTGGGTAAAAATCATTACATCTTTAAATTACATTCTCAGCTATCCTAATTGGCAAATGAATTTCCCATTTAAAGGTTTACTGTCTCAATGTTATGTTGTCAGGTCCTTAAACTTTTTTCACTCTTGTTTTTAAGGTTGTAACAACTTACAAAAAGTGACATGTTTGATTATTCATTTGTATTTTATAAAAAAAACGTACCTCATTTCTAGGTTGGACCAGAAAATCCATTCAAATCAAGGCAACAAAAAGCAACTAAGAATACTTTATCTGGTAAAAATGAATTTTTTTACAAGTTTCATCATTATTTAGCTGTAAACCGTTTAGTTTTTATTTAGGGTAAGAATTAACTATACTTTTTCAAAGCATCTTCTTGGTATATGATAGAATGAATACTTAATACAACAGACCCCTGGCAATGCTTGGATGATGCTTTGACATTAGGAAAGAAATCTAGAACAAACAAATATTTGCTCATTATTTGGAGGAGCCTGTTACAAATTGGCGTTGCCTAATGTCACTTCACTATTTATGTGTGATGGAAGCCTTTATAGCTGTGTATGTGATTTTTGAAAAAGGGGGATGGGGTTATTTCAACCCAACTGTAACCTATGAATCTGCTTTTGCTTATCTTATAAGAATGTAGTCATTGTTGCTGAAAATTGTTTGAAATATCTATATGCTTACTTAACTGAAGACAAAGCAATCAACCAAAAAATTGTAAAATCCCAGAGCCAAAAACTTGATAATAGTGGTATGAGAATGGAAGTATATAAGTTATAAGCAGAAAAGCAGGGCTTTGTATCTCAAAATTTGTTAAGTTCAATGCTCTTTTTTTACTTTTAAATCTTGTACATACAGTTTTATTTTTTTGGTTCAAAATCACCTTCCAGACCTGGTTTGTGAACCTTCCAGATGCTATTTCAAAATCACCTTCCAGATGCTATTTCAAACATAAATCAAAACAAAAGACGGTAACTTGCATTTGTCACATCTATGAGCTTTTCTTTTATTGCAGGTTTTGTGGAAGAAGCCCACATAAGTGATTTCCAGTTTGATAACCAAAGAAAGACATTCCACAGTTATGGTAATAACAATTTTTTTGTCTTGCATACTTTAAAAGATTAACACTTTCAATTTCTGTATCATAACCTCATAGTAAAAATTTGTGAAGATTTTTACACTTAAAAGTCTCACTAGCAACTGAACCTACCTTCTGCTCCATAGATTAAGAAATTAATGTAAATGCAAACTTTTGGTTCTTTAATTAATGACTATTGCATTATAGGGTATGCAGTAGACCCAAGTGAAGAGAATGCAACAGGAGAGAAGTAATTTTCCTATGCTGTTTTTGTATGCCATATATTTTAGTCCCATCTTATTGCAAACTTTTACTGGTGGCATGTTAGAATCTATAAGGTGGTAAGATCAAAAATTTTCAAAAGTGTTGCATTTTTTAATAATGAATGCCATGAATTGAGAATCATTTGTTGGTTATTATTTCATTTGTTTTATCAGTTCATAGCATACTCCTATTTTTACTTTTTTCCTTATTCACATTGTTTGTTACATAATGATTACATTAAACTTGTTTTCTAGGATCGTTGGTGACCAGGAGAAAGCAACCTCATTGAAAGGTGCATTGAAGTACTTTTGAGCCTCCAAATATTATACAATGAAATTATTATCAAAGCCACATGCTTGCTGCAGCTTGTTTTTTAAATGTGCTCCTTAATTCTAAGAGTGCGGAGATATTTTTAATGAAAAGTTCTAAACTTGGAGCAAAGATTTAAGAATAAATGTATTATATCTTACTTTTTATCTGCTTTTCATTCCTAGGTGTTACAGTTTTTGAAGACACAAAAGCACGACCTGGTGACAAGAGACGTCGAGAAGAAGTAGGACAACCATCTGATATCGAATCATACAAAGGTACTTTGGCAATTTCAAGTTCCTTTTTCTTTTACATGTTGTGGTGCTACTTGCGTTCCAAGATCGATCTAGATCTTAAATTCGATCAAGATCTTAAATTCAGAAGCAGTAACATCTTTACTGATAAGGATGTCCTGTATAAGTATGGCATATTATTGTTATTTTTTCATGTCAGTGTCTGGTGATCACTCGATATATATCTATTGTGATTCCAATGAAAGTTACTGTCTACCGGTCTTTCTTAAATTGCCAGAAGGTTCATAAGCATAGCTGTACAGGCTTTTGGTGTATAAAACAGGAAGGCTCTAAGTTGCTACTCCTAGTTTGTTGCTTCTTACGATCATCAGGCAAATGTGCTAATGTGGTTCGAATTCTTTGTTTATGTGCTACCAGGTTCTCTGCAACAAGCCAGTCAACAGTAGTCTCCTTTTACACGCTTTAAGTGATGTAAAAGAAGATTTGATTCATTACTAGATGATAAATTTTGGTTTATTCCCGATGTTGAACATCATAATTCATTTGTATTGCTCTGCTAACAATTTTTATTTTAGACATACAGTGTATGTATATGTTTATATTGTGAAGCATTTTGTTATAATTAATGTTGTTACATAATTGACGCTTTGTTTTTTCATTAGGCCCCTGGGCGAAGTTTGTTGATGAAGCTGAAGTTGCAAAGCCCTCTGAGGTACGAAATCTTTAACTTTTTTCATAATTAGCTCGTTATATTTCCATATAAAATCCTATTGCGAAAATTGTCATTGTTTTGCTGAGGCAGCCCTTTGCTTTGAAACTTTTTTCGATTTTTCAAATAGCTAGAACTACAACTAGTAAGTAGTAGCCGTGAAAACTCAATGAAAAGGCCAATTCTTCTTGTCTTGACCGTACAACTGCCAAACCTTCTTTGCTACGTTTAAGCATATATGGGTCCATAAGCTCCATAAGCTTAAGTGACGCGGATACGTGCTTTGAATCCAATGTAATCACCGTACAATCTTTTTGCCATCAGGAAGAGCAAGCAATACTTGAAAAATACGAGGAGGCAAAACAGAAAAAGGGGAAACAAGAAGAAGAGAAAATTGAAGAGAAAACGAAGTTACACAGTAAGTTGGTGTTTGAATTTCATGTTATGGTCAGTTTTCGTTGATATTTGTATTTGATGAAAGCAATGCGACTTAACAATGTGCAAATCTTTAATTTAGCCATAAACGTCCAATAGCTTTGCAATAGTGGTTCTTTCACTTTTTGCAATCGATAGAAATTGGTAGTTGTAAGCCCTTTATGCGATATCTACGTAGAAAAATCGCCTGCTATAGAGGGTACTAGTCAGTGGTGTAATGCTATCAGAATAACACTGAGCCCCCTGAGCCCCCTGAGCCCCCTGAGCCCCCTGAGCCCCCCTAGCAATACATCCCTGGACTACTAGTCCTGAGACAACGATATGATGACCTTTGCCCTTCCTATAGAATCTCTGGATGAACCGCGACCGAGCTTTGGAATAATTGGCTAAACACTGACCACTTCTTCTCTTGACCATAATGGGAGACTCAAAAGATGATTATTGCCGCAAGTGGAGTGTAAAAGCTGATCTGAGCCCCCTAGCACCAAACCCTATATAAAGAGCTGACCTAATGTAGTCCAAACTCGCATGACCCAAACCTAAATTGTATACGTCGGAAACTTTTATTAGTAGCAACCATGTTTTGAATTTTTTTTGAGTAAGCAGACAAGAATATATTAGCCTGATTTTCTTGTCTACTGCAGTTGCTGATGCGTATGATTACCAGGGAAGATCGTATCTCCATATTCCCATGGATCTTGGCGTCAACCTTCTTACGGACGATCCCCCTGAAAAATGCTATCTTCCGAAAAAGAGGATTCATACATGGTTAGTTCTCGCACCATTACCTTGAGTTCTGTTCATTATGACAATAACTGATTGCTCAGTCTAAAGTAAGGCGACCTGGCAAAACCGTCCCTATTCTTTAGAGGGCTGTGTAAGTTTAAACAAGTTTGGGAACGGATAATGGAGAGATTGCTTAGCTAACTAAGGGTTGTCTTGATACAGATCGTTAAAGTGTGATTAATGTAATCATACACATATGAGGCCTGCTGTTGTAATGGCTTCATGTATGTTGGAGAGGGTCTAGTGACAAGTTTTCTCTGAACCTCATAAAATGTTAATGAATAGGGTAGGAATACACGTGCATCTCATTTTGTCTTTCATCCTGTTTGTCTCACAATAAACCATCATATAATTTTATGCTTTTACTGATGAAACAGTTATTATTGCTAGTGACTTATAAGAACACTGTTTAGTTCTAATGTTCTGCAACAGTTTGCCCGAGCTATCTTTGGTACAATCTTGTTCACGTTAAAGACAAGCCTTTTTGAAGAGGTTTCCTGGCAATGTTTCAGTGAACGCACGAAATGCAAAAATGCAAATGTCCTGCCTTGCTACCCATATGGATTTATAAATTGACAGCGATTTCATCTCTTTCAAGGACTGGTCATTCAAAAGGAGTGGCAGCTGTGCGACTTTTCCCAAAATCTGGTCATCTGCTCCTATCGTGCAGTATGGACTGCAAAATCAAGGTAGAAATTCACGCTTTTTTCAAAATTTGCTGTTAGAAAAATCTTTCCAGTTACTCTTTCTATGTTACTGTCATATAGATTAACTGGTGATTTATATTAGTAATATATCTAATCCATGAAAATTACTGTTTACCGGTCTGTCAGAAAGTGCTCGATGCTGTATAGACAGCTGAACACGCCTTTTTGTGTATTGAACGGGAAGGTTCTAAGTTGCTACTTTGAGTTTTACGCTTTATGCGATCATTAGGCAATAGTTCAGTTACCTGACAGGTGACAGTTGCCTGGTGATTGCATTAAACGTTAAATTGGAGTAGCAACTTAGAACTATCCTGCTCTATACACCAAAAGCATAATAAATCTATGACAGTTTAATAGATCATAGATCTTTTATAAATCTTCCTAAGATCCATCCTTAAAACCTTTTCATTCTAGGCTACGTCATACCTGATACAGACTTCTCACATTTTTCTTATTTTCCTCCACAACTTGAGTCCCTTCCTTTCTTTTTCCATCTCTATTTCAATGTTGTCTTCATTGTCCCTCTCCTTAACACGTATTAACTTTCCTTGCCAAGGTTTGATCACATTCTCATTTACACCGTATTCTCCCTGCTTTCTCCCGCTTGTCCAGAATTTATCATTTATAGAAATTTGAAAATGGCTTTGACAAAAGCAAACGTTTTATAGCATATTGGCTAAAAGCTTTTTCGTCTGACACTCCTCAGAGCATAAAACGTAAGAATAAGGATCCAAAAAAACACGATGAAAAATATATACCCAGTTGTGGGTCGAAATAGGCATTTATAGAAATTTCTTGTCTATTTTGTTTTCTAGTTATGGGAAGTATATAACAAAAGACGTTGCATTCGAACTTTCATTGGTGAGTCTTTAAAGAATCTTCTAAATTTCGAGGAGCTGTCCTATTTTTCTGACGCCTCAATTCTTTAAACACACATAAGAGAGTGAACTTTAAGTCTTCAATTATTGCCATCAACTTTGTTCAGTTTAGGCTACTTTTTTGCGTATTATAAACAATAACTGTTAGTTTAGTGTTTATCAGCACATGAATATTGTAATATTTTGAAATATCGCCTATAGTTAATTTGAAATCAACACTTCAAAAACTTTCTTTTTACGTTTCTTTTGTCTGCAGGACATGGAAAGGCTGTTCGAGATATTTGTTTCAATAACGACGGAACGAAATTCCTAAGTTGTGGTTATGATCGGTGGATAAAACTTTGGGATACCGAGACAGGTAACTGTTTTTAAGCGTTTTCTCTCTGTTAGATAACTCTTGACGTGCTTTTTTCGCATCTTTTTATCTTAGTCTACATCAATTCTACAACAAGGCACTCTGGTTGCCCTAAAGGTTACACATGCGCAAATTTATTCATTGCAGCGTATGATAATTTGTAATAATGAGTATTCTGATAGAAACAATAGAAGCTCTTTATGACTTCATATTTATGTGAAATAGCAAACGATAGGTGTTCATTATTTTGAAGCTGCATTATAGGAGTGCCTGCTCCTCAGGATAGGAAAATGTAACTGACTTTTGTTATTGTTGTGTAACTTTACGTAGGAACTTAATTGAACGTTAAAGACAACATGTGCTTTTGTTAATTTGTTGGTTTGCATTTCATCTATTCAGGAGAATGTCTTGGCAGATTCAGTAACAATAAAGTACCTTATTGTGTTAAATTCAACCCAGATGAGGTATTAACCCACTTTTTTCAACCTAATAGTGTTTTTCTTAGAAATGTTTCTTTATTGTCAAATTAAGATGAATTTTTCTTGCAATTTAGACCTTTCCTCTAAAAGGGAACAATTTTTGGAATTCGAAATTATTTTTCAATCGTAGTATATTGTCATTTTGGCACATTTAATTGTTTAGCGTTTTTATATGTTTAGGGAACGCTCTGTTAAGTTTCATATCTTAGGAAGAAGTGATCGAGCTTACAATATGACAAAGTTCTGCATTTTCAAATACAAATTCGTATCTTTTTTGTGTGTCTTTTAAAGATCCTTTCTGCAATGGGAGCAAAAGGCAGGGACAGAGGAATTTGTACCATCATATTGATTTGCAAATCGTATTTTGCAAATCGCAAGACGTATTTTCTTTAGAATTAAGATTGATATGTTCACGTTATTATTGTACGACCTTTTCATGGTTTCTCAGTTCAAATGTGTGATTGTTGTTCTATTTTTATCACCAAGGCTCCCTGTATGTATATATTTAAAGATCCCGTCACCGTTTTTTGCCATTCTCGTAACTTTTCTTATTTTCTACAGGATAAACAGAATTTATTCATCACAGGGATGGCAGACAAAAAAATGATAACGGTAACGAGTCTTCTTGAGTGCTATTTTCTATCCTTTGAATTCTTGCAATAGTTTTTGCCTACCTTTTTCTTAGTTTTTTGGGTAATCGTGTTTTTAACGTATTTTTTATGTAAGATGTTCTAAAAACAGTTCTTTGAGAGTAAGATCGTAGCTAACCGCCCCATTGGAAAAGCCTAAGTGATAATGTTTCATGGTTATGATTATGATTATAGAAGATATTTGACAAATATAGTATAGCAACAGAATCCACCAAATTTGAGTTCAGCATTTAAGCTGGATTGTGATAGTGATACCCTCTCTTAAATATTCATAAAATTTGTTTTTTCTTTCCTCACTCGTTTGCAGAACTAAAAACTATTGAAAATCATGTTCCTTAAGGACTCGTCTAGTTTGCGTCTTCAACACAGTTAAATATCCTTTTAAAGTTATGCATGATTGTTCTTAACTGCTTAAGGTTACGGTAAACGTTTTCTGGATGACAACATCCATTTTTCGATTTTTCACATTCAAGTAGCCGAACTTTCAAGGCACACAATGATACCAAATTTGAAACAAGCAGAAATTTTGATTTAAACAGGCTTATTGATCTTAAATCTTCAAGTGACTTGACCCGGATTACACTGTGGTTTACGAGTGTATCTTGCAAGTGCGATCAGTAAATCCCGTTTTCTCCGGACTCGAAATTCCTCTACATGCAGGTACGAAAAAGCTATTATGTACCCAAGGAACCAATCGAATGGCTCGAAAATTTGCACACGGCCAGGGCAGACGTTAGGCAAACAAAGTGTGTCTCAAATTTTTTTATTTTCTCTGGTCCGTCTTTTATACCCAAATACAGCTGCGGGAGGGTGGAACAATTATTTGCCAATTTTTGACAGGGTATAGTTTCAAGAAGAGGAGGGATTTAAAAAATCTGAGACATACTTTGGTAGCTTAGGACCTGCACTTCCTGCTGGTCTAAGTCAGATTTTGTTACCTCAAACGCAAGGGTACATAATAGCTTTTGAAGGTGGTACACTTTTTGACCAGTGAATTCGCATGTAAAATAACATTTAACATTATTTGCCAATAATTTTTATCTGGCTAGATACGCCATAATCTTGTGCATCGAATGATATATAGTTTATCTAGATTCCTTGAGCCGTTTGGCCTTTAGAAAGGAAAAACCAATTTTCGTGTTCAAAACGTTTACCGTAACCTTAAAACCATATGAAAACCCTATTCATCCGACAATCGAGGTTCGGTAAGGCTCGTAATAGCATCTGAAACCTAAACGTCTCAAACCTTTTTCTCAAAACTGGGTATATATATTTCTTAGCGTAGAGTTTTCGATCTATGTTCTGACGTTTTAAACTCTGAAGAGTGTCAGACGAAAAGCTTTAGTTTACTAAATGTTTGCTTTTTTCAAAGCTATTTACAAGTTTTGTACCACCAAAAGATTGTTTGCAAACCTTTTTCCTTTGATTAGAAGATTTAATTATATTATATTATAATTTATTAAAGTTGTCATGTTTTTACAGTGGGATATACGGGAAAATGAAATCGTCCAAGAATATGACAGGTAAAATGTTTTCACCAAAGTTCGATAAAAACGTAATGATTCAGTTCAAAGTGGATAGATAACATTGATAGATGATTTTTAACAATAAATATGCTAGGTCTTTTAAGTGAAAACAACTTTTATGGAAATGCATTTGCCAAAATGATCGAAAACTTTTTATTTTATGTCAAAGATTCAAGACCGTTGCGTCAATATGAAAAAGCTCACCGAATGAATTTTTTTAAATATACTTCTATTGAAATCTTTATAAAGTATTAAATTTGGTACTTTGTTACAGGCATTTAGGAGCTGTTAACACCATCACTTTTGTCGATCAAAACAAAAGAATCGTGACAACTTCGGATGACAAGAGCATCAGGATATGGGAATGGTATGTTTTCGTTCTGTTTATATCAAATTGTGGTCATGTAGGGTATCTACATGGCATAATATGATTACATTATCATTTATAATTTGGCTGATAATCAGTAGTGAAAATCAAAACATTTGGCCATCAAATTGCTTTAACCAGTCTTTATGGCTTAGCAAATAATACTAACTGTTTCATCAGTAAAAGCATAAAATTATGTGATGGTTTATTGTGAGACAAACAGGATGAAAGACAAAATGAGATGCACGTGTATTCCTAGCCTATTCATTAACATTTTATGAGGTTCAGAGAAAACTTGTCACTAGACCCTTTCCAACATACATGAAGCCATTACAACAGCAGGCCTCATATGTGTATGATTACATTAATCACACTTTATTGATGCCTTCTAATTTTCATTCAGTTAATTTTCAGATCTGACCAACTTAAAATATACTTTTGAACTGTCTCATCTTATTTGATCTGTCGTCTTTGAACATTGTGTTAAAAAAGTTGCTACAGGCCGTACTAGTTTGGGTACTTAGTACCGACAATGAATGGTACACTTTGCTATTTTTTTGTCACATAGATTCGTTCGTATTTATTCCAGGGATATTCATAGTACCGACAATGAATGGTACACTTTGCTGTTCTTTTGTCACATAGATTCGTTCGTATTTATTCCAGGGATATTGATAGTACCGACAATGAATGGTACACTTTGCTATTTTTTGTCACATAGATTCGTTCGTATTTATTCCAGGGATATTCCCGTCGATACGAAATACATCGCAGATCCAGGAATGCATTCAATGCCATCTGTCTCATTGTCTCCGAATCGTGAGTACTGTTTTGCGATTCCAGCATCTTCATTTTTAAAATTCTTTTACTTTTTTTAAGTTCTTCTTGTTACTAGTTTTTGGAGTTGTCAACCACACTGGGGTAAATCTTGCGGTACTTCAACAGTCTTCTTTTGATCATGTTTCTAAGTATCTTGACGTTTTTCGTTGAAGTCCTAAAATTTTGTTCATTAGTTTCGAAACTTTACATTTCACAACTTACAATAGGGGTTATGTACTTCGTTTTCTTAATACCACATTAATTCGGCGTTTTTTGAAAATTCTTGGCATTCAGGATTGTCCCGAGTTATATCTTACTTATGTTGTTGCATTGTTAGAAGGCTTGAAAGAGGAATCCATATTTTAAGGGTGTTGTAAGTCTATGGTTTTAAGCAAGATAAATTTTGCATTATTATGAATAAATTGTTATGTCAGAAATAGTACATGGTGTAAAGCGTTCACAAAGAAAATATTTATCGCAAATAATTAGGTCCTCGTTGAAGAAGTTGTTCGTTTTGTATGTCTCATTTTATTTATGAGCAAATTTTTAATGAATATTATAACCTACTTGAAATTATTTTTAAATTTTCCTTTAAGAAAAATGGCTTGCGTGTCAATCGATGGACAATCAAATTGTCATCTACAGCGTTTTAAATAAATTTCGTCAAAACAGAAAGAAAGTATTTAAGGGGCACATGGTGAGTTGAAAGAACAGTGATGGAGTATGCTCTCTTTTAGCCTGGTGTGATGTATGATTTAAAAACTATTCATTTCTTCTAGCTCGAATATGAAATTAATCTTGTTTTATATTTTCTAACTGAATAGGTTTCTCGTACAACGTCATGAGAGTATCATAACATTTGTTAACTGAGACTTAACGAATCATATAAGTCGTTTTTTGTTCAACACTTTTCTTAATTTACGTATAATAATGATAATAATAACAATAATAATAATAGTATAACGATAAATATTTATACGGGGTAAAACCTACGAGTATTGTTATCAATAAGGGCCCTGTTATTGTTATACTTTTTGTTAAGTTAGTTTAATGTTAAAACTATGTCTCCTAAGCCTTTGGACCTAAAATAGATGCTGACTTTTTAGACTTCACTTTCTGTTCTATATTTTCATTTATCTGTTGCTTTATCAAAAATTTGAAGCTTTGAATTAATACTTAAGTTATTTGATAAATAATTAGTTGATAAATAGCTCTTCGCGGCTTTTGAATTAGATTGTTTATTCTGAAACAAACTCTGCTAATCTCTGTATGAAATATGTTTTAAACAATTTAATTTATGTCTAGAATGCTGGCTACGCTTGTCAAGTCAACTTTTCACCAGATATGAAGTAAGTCAAACAAATTTAATGCTACGCATGTGGCAAGGAATACTGCTTGCGACCACAGTCCATCGATAACTGTGAAAGAAATAAAACTACATCCAAAAAGTGAAAACTCATTCAATAACAATTATTCTTGGCTTACTGTTTCATGAACAATTTGATCATCGGGGCGGCAACTAGGAACCATCCTGCTCTAAGCATAAAAGCATATACAGCTCTATCTACATGTATTCCATTTCAAACACTCTGCAATAACCATGTTTGCCGTAATATTTTTTCACTTACTTTACTTACAAGTTTCCGATCTATATTTCGTTCTGTTTTTCTTGTGATTATTACAACACTTCTCAACAGTTATCTCATATCGGGAGATGCTGATGGCAAACTGAACATATGGGACTGGAAAAGCACAAAACTTTACTGGTAATTGCTTGAGGTTTTGGTTGTAAAATGTATTAATATTCTTTAAAGTTTGTCTTTATCGCTTCAAGGATTTCTAATTTGCTAGTTGACAAAAGTGAAAAATTTACTGTGACAATGTTTGATGTGATAATTGTGTCGTATTTCTAAACAATCAGAATGTTCAGATATTTTCCCAAATCCTTGTTGTGATTTAAAAATATGTCACAAATGATGGAAGTTTTAAATTTACAATTTTATTATGTGTGCTGCTTGTAATTTAATCAAATTTTGTTTATCTTATGCCTCACTTTAGCAAATTTAAAGCTCACGACGACGTTTGCATTGGTTGCGAGTGGCTTCCTCACGAGACCTCGAAAATAGTGACTTGCGGATGGGATGGCCTAATCAAGCTATGGGATTAAAAAATTTGCATCACTGCAGAATTTTCCCTCTGTCTCCCGTTTGGTTTATGCCACGAAAAACTGGATGCTACTTCTGAGACATGACACACAGTATACAGATATCATAGTGATAGGAATAAAGTCACTTATGAATGGACATATCTTACGAAAACAGTATCGTAAATGACATCCCGTCTGTACATACTTAAGCTCTTGTTATCATTTTCCAATACAAACATTTCTAGCTTATATGTGCAACACTTTGTAAAATGAATGAAAGTAATCTGTATTGTTTTTCCTTTGTTTTTTAATGCTTCTCCGTGAGAAATTTTTCAGATTTCCCGCTGGAGGACATCTGAAATTCCAGGTGTCCGGATGACATCAGATTTTCCAGATGCCAAAATTTCAGGTGTCCCGCTTCTGCAGACATTTATGCCCCCTGTAGTGACTACTATAGTTCTTTTGTCTGTTTTCCATTGAAATAAATGATGATGACGTATAATGAATAAGAAAAACCATTAAACAAGCTCAAACTTTAAATCCTTATTTGATTACCTCTAGTGATGATTGTTTTTGTAAGAAATCCGCATGTAGCAAAATGGACCAAAGACGGAAAAGGACGCCTTTACCTGTTTTAGATGTCTGTTTCATAAACCTGGAGCCAATCGAATAAAGAAAAAATGAAATGCCATCGATTTTTTCCATAAATGCCAACATGCCCAGTACCTTGTATAATGTCACAAGTGTCCTTTCTGTTGTTTGTATGTCAAATAACAAATAAGTCAACTTTTTGAAAGTATTATTGAAATATCGATAAAAGATTTCTGGGACTTGTGTGTGAACGAAACATGGTTAAAAGTACGACTTATGAGAATAAGAATATGGCAATTATTCCTATCAAATAGAGGATATGATTTTATTTTTGCTAGGGCTAAATATTCTTATGAAGGCAACGACAAGAGAGCTTAAGACAGTTGGTGTGAGGTACCGAACAAAGTTTGACATAAAACTTAACTAGGCCGAAAAAAGAATCATAGATTGAGAAAGAAGACCGTTGCTCTCAAACAGTTTTAAGACTGATGAATAGGCAAAATGCATAAAGAAATGCTTTGCGATTTCTCTTTCTTTCTTGTGTAAGAAACCACTCCCGTAGTGAACTAGAAAATATCTTCGTTTAGGCACTATTCTTACCAACTGGCCTGACCTGACTTTGCATTATTAGGTTTTAGTAGCTTGATACTTTGAATAATGACACTTGTATTTAAAAACAACAAACTTTGATTCATCCCTTTCGATTTCTTCTTCGGTTTATCTTTCTTCTGTTATAAAAGACATTATTTTACTAAATTGGGATCAAGTAGCAGATTATTTTCTTAAAATTTTCGGGACAAAATTATATTTAATGAATGACAAATCTAGAACGTTGATTTGGTTTAAGGCTAATCGCTTACACTCCTTCTACGTGAGAATGAATTTTGAAAAAAATATTGAGGCTCGAGTTTATCTATATGTGTTTTTGAGCCAATACGACAAGCGTGACAATTCACGCAAAATGTTCGAGCAACACTCATCAAGATTGTATCGTGTTAGTATGATTCACGTCCTGTAATGTCTTCGTGACTAAGGTAGAAAGTGGCAAAGACTGAACTTTCATTTTAAGGATTATTCAAGAGAGTAATTTCCGGCTCAGAATCAAATATTTGTAAGGCTTTTGGGGACTCAAAAATTAAGGTATACTTATAAAACCTATGTACCAGGTTTGGTTTTATACAAGGGCTTCTAATGCAATTTTTAAAACTTATAAGGAGCGAAATGCTCTTATAAAAATTATTTTATTGGGATTTTACTGCAGGTCATACATCAAGTACTTGAAGTTTACCTGTTGTTGCTGTTGTTGTTGTTGCTAAAATTTGCAGAAAATCGCGGGTTGTTCAAAAGCAACATGTGTGAAGTAACAACCGGTCGACAAAAACCAAGTCTAATAACTCAGTAAGTTTATTTCTGTAGCTCTTCAGCTTAATATTTAAGTTGATAAATACACCTTTGGTTGTGTTCGTTTATGAAGCCTAGGTGTCTAAAATGTTGTTTATACCTCTCTTTTCCTAATGTTTTCAAATTTACGTGAGAGATTCAGACTTATCACTACCGTGGACATCTGGTAACACTGACAGGCTGGTAGAAAAGCAATACAGGTGTAATCTTTTAAAAGAAGCACGTGTCTTAAAGAGCTTTAAGTGTTTATAGATTATAGAAGTAGTTTGTTGTATGCTGCCGTATCAGCTACAGTTAAAAGTCACTTCGTTTAGTATTAGGTTTTAAATTTGTTTAGTTTTCATCTTTTGCTGTCAGAAGAAAGCATTGATTGAAAGAAATTGCTGACAAAATGCTAGTTGGTACCTTTAATGTTCTGTGAAAAGGACGGAGTTTTGAATAGTATGTTGAACAGGAGACCAATTGATGACTGGACAACTCCAAAGCCTGCATCAGCAAGGAGCTCCCCATCAAGAAACAACAGTTTAATGATGATTAAGAAAGGCATTGTCAAATCTGGTCCCAAAATTGGTAAGTTTCTCGATTGCAAGCAGATCTAGCTAATTATGCTAGGATTTTTTAGGATCTATCTATCTGCTACTTTACAGAACCCAATACATGTACATAATTTTGTATGCATAAGTTGTTAGCAGCCAGCGTGCAAAGTATTTTTTGTGCACAGGGAATTATTTTCTTATGCTTGCGCTGGAACAAATCATGTTGCAAAATAGCAGGTTAAAAGCTCAGTGCTCCAACTGCCCGGATTAATCTAAATTTGCAAAAATGCGCAGACAGGATTCCCCATTCCCCACACATACCCAATCTTTGCAGTCTGGGTTGGCAGTTGATGAATTTATATTTACATTAAAGGAGATTTTGTGTTTTCTGGGAAACCAATTGTGCTGAAAAGATTTGTCAATCAAAGTGTAACAAATTAGTAAAAAGAGAGAGTCTATGTTTCTAGCCTTCCAAAAATTGATGTGGTACTATCTGATAAATCTGCATCCTTATTTATAATAATTCAAGAATCTTGTCATAAAGTAATAAGAATTTTAAGCTAAAAAGTAAGATTGTTCTAGCCACATAATAATATTTTGCATAAAATTCATTTGGTCCTAGGCTATGCAGCGAATCTTCATTTCAATGTGTGTAAATTTGCTTCTTTTCTTCAGGAGAGGAATATACGCTAGAGTACCCCAGGAAAACTTCAAAGGAGCATGCAATTGACAGCTCAATGAACATCATCAACTCTAAAGATGAGAGTATTTCTTTCAAGAATGGATCTTGTCAACTGGATGCATTCCTCCCAAAAGCTTCTGTACATATGATATCAAGATCCAACCCTGCAGTGAATGAAAATCAAAGCAGCAGTATGTGTTATAGAAATTTTATTTTTAGTGTCTGATTATCTGTGAATGGTTTAATGAACCACTAAAAATCGTCTTCTCAGCTTATACTAATAGCATTGATTCGGTTTTGAAATTCACACCATAAAGGTTGCAGTTACTTTACTTGTGACCTGTTGAGCCATGAACCAATGAAAATATCAGATAAGGCATTGTATGCATATAAAGTAATGTGATTGGTATCCTCAAAATTGCTTCACCATTGGGGGGGGGGGTTTATTAGGAGTCACATCTCCATCCTACTTGGATTTTGCTTTTCATTATGAGAAATTATTGGAAGAGGGGTAATATTTTGCAAAAGTATTTTCTGGGGCATGGCTCTACGATTTTGAAATTGCTTTTACGTGCACAACATTCATAATGGGCATTCACAGTTGGTGTACTTAGTGGCGTGTGGCTTAGATACCTTCAAAGCAGGGGCGGACACTGGGTCAAATATTGGGGGAGCAAGCCTATTGTTTTAATAAGATGATGTCACATTTCCCATTGTTTTAGAACAAAAGACCATTGTTCTCTAAAGTATTGGGGGGCGATCGCCCCCCCCCAAGTGTCCGCCACTGCTTCAAAGCCTAAAAATTAGCCTAAAAATCACTGGTATGCATGTTGGCTCAAGCTGTCTTGTCAAGTTTTTTATTTCAAATCAATTTCTTTTATGAAATTAAAATGAATTTCTGTTGATGATATAATTTTTTTGATTTGGTCAGATATGTTTATTTTTATGGAAATTAATTTCAGATCCAGCCTCTGATGGATTTTGGGCAACAATGAAACCACAATGCTATGGCAATGCTGTTACATCTGCCAAAAATCACATTGAATACGAGCCCAGATCTAGTAACATGACAGACCAAAGCAAGAGGAGCAATTATATGGAGGTCCACAGCTCATATGGAAATGCAACCAACTATCCAATTTCTCATGACATGAGATCTGTTAAGCACATTGAAAATCTTGGCAGTCTAGGAGCATTCCATTCTAGCCAGAACAACCCTGTAACAGTCAGAGACAGGCAAGTAATGCAGTCCCATGAGAAAAGGTATATGGATGCTGAAAGCAAAGGAGAAGCCCCAGTGACGAGCCAGTATTTGCAATATCAAAGCCAAGGCTCACAGTATGACATTTATCAATCAGTTATGCAAATAAAAGCAATACCAAGTGCATCCAGTTTGGCCCCTGTTAACAGCAAAGATTCCATAAGCAGTGATAGGTCAGGAAAATGGGATCATGTAATGAATGCTAAAGATGATTTGATAAAACAGAAAGATCTTGTAATTTCAAGGTAAAGTCTCCTCAATATAATGCATTTTTATTGAGGTCACTGGCTTATGTCATATCATACCTGTCAAATTTATGCTCCAAGATGAGTGAGATCTATTTTCTATTGTTTGTATTGTTATGTTTATTCTTCATCCTCTTTTGATTTTGCAAAGCACATGCAAAATATGCAAGACTTGGTATTGCCTTTCCTAGCTTGAACGTAAATTTACAGACAGGCTCTTTTTTTTAAATAGGCAAATGATTTTGGGACTGGCCCCAGTTCTAACAAAGAATATAACAATCATGAGATTGCTACTGTTGTTTTGAGTGTTTAGACTTTTGTTTAATGAGTTTTTGTTCCATTTCAGACAGAAACAAACAATAGAGCAGTTACAGTTTCACATTGGAGATATTGAAGAAAGAATAAACCAGAATTCATACAGGTTGTCAGCTCAACGAAAGGATGATGAGAAAAGCAAGGAAAAGTTCAAAGAAGCTGAAGGCCATATTGCTCAGTTAAAGGCGCAGCTTCTCCATATCAGCACAACTAAGCAGGAAGAAGTTGAAAAGCTACAAAAGAAGCTTGGGTGAGTGTGTCTGCAAATGACATTTTACAGAGAAAGCTTTTCAGGTTTTTATGATGTTGACATTGCCAAATGTCATTGCTACCCGAAGCAGGGTGTGGCAATAATTGCCAAATAAGTTTCATTTTCTCCATATCAAGATATAAAATGGGAAATAACTGATCACTTACTTTTTAAAGCAAAATCTAATTCAGTTAACAGCAAAAATACTCTTGATTTTAAAGGATAATAGTATGGCTTCTGAGAAAGTGTTGGAGACAGTTTGGTTGATTGTTTGTACCAGAGGTTTTTCAAAATGATATGACGAAATTTTAGTTTTTCCAAGTAACTTTGTCGACTTTTATAATTCTTTGGGATTTTTTATTTGAAGACAAAAATACCAGTGTTTTAAGGTTTGCTTCAACTGGTGGCTAATGTAATTTGTTTGATTTGTTAGGGAGACAGAGTATGAGCTGCAGAAACTGGAAAAGGGCTTCAAAGATGTTGGTCGAGGCCAAGCCAAACAAATAGCAGAGTTAAAACAAAAGGTTTGAGAGTTGTTTTTTAACTTTATATCTAATTGTTTTTCATAGTCAGCATCATCAATTTAACTATAATGCTATGAAATATTTAGAAATTTTTTATCATTTGTAAAATCAGAATTTTTTTTTGAGAAAGTCTCGATTTTTAATGATGAGCATTCACCCCCATCTTACAGAGTGATTTGCACACTTTAACGCTATTTAATGTAATTAATAATAAAATTGATTTTACAGATTTTGGGCATTAATTTCGATCTTAAATAACCTTAAACCTGTTGTTGAAGTTTTCATTGCTAGTTATGTTTAGATTAGGATGCTACTTTTGAAATGAAAATCTAACTCATAATCTGATTTCGTAGATTGAGGAGCGAAACGAAACTGACAAAAAGCTGAAAAAATCAATTGAAGTTCTTCAAAGTGACTTGAAAAAAGAAAGGTATGAAAATACTGTAGTTGTGTTCCTTTTCAGTTTTTTGTATTCCTTTATTGATTACTTGGTTAACAATGAATGTTAATAACATTGAGCTTTATAATGAAACAGCATATGTTAAAATGGATGGCTGTATCATTGCTTCGATTCCTTCACACCTTTCTGATGTGAGTGAAATTTTCCATAGTATGCAATGGTTTAATGGCTTTTATGATTCAACTGATAACTTTAAAAGTATACCAGTATTTATTTGTTTATCACAATGTAGACGCAAGGCTCAAAGCTTACGCCAATATCTTGAGAATTTGCCAACCGCAGAGGAACACAACAAAAGCCAGCAAGAAATATCCTTTCATTTAAACCCTTTCACATTTCCTGAATATTTCAATGTTGATATTTTTAATGAACGGTTTGTTAATTGTCTGGATGAATCTAAGTGGTAAGTAAACGTTAAGTGGAAACTGGTCCCTGAAAGGATTAGGAAGGAAAATCTAATTTCAATAAATTCATAAATTTTTACGAATCAATTCTCACGATTTCGCTAAGATAACAGCCTGTCCAGCCTTTCTTGGAAACAAAGAATAGCATATTATAACTGCTTATAAATGAAACATATCAACGTGACATGGGCCTGTCAGAATCGGAGATGCTTTTTATCATTTCGATCAATGTGGATTCTTTAACTTGAGACAACGTTAAGGAAATAAAAACAGAGAAAGCAAAATTAGAAGGAAAGATCGAGGATTTAGAAGAAACTTTGAAAGAATTCAAGGAACAGTTAAAACACAAGGTATTATAGATGAACTTAGACACTGCTGTTCACCCTCTATTGCAAAGAATTTTTACCATCGTGGTAATGCATTAACTGCCTTCAGGATACAGCATTTTGCTTCAACAAGATTCAACTTTTGGACTATAAGACCTGGGTGATTGTTTTGAATTAATGAATTGAGTTGAGACCCTGTTGGGTTGATAAATTTTCTCCCTCCTTGATTTCAGGGCTTTATATCTGAAGATATTGCTATCAGCTTTCCTTTAACAAATTAGTGAAATTTTTTGTCATTTTCAAGATTTTTCGTCCATTTTCATCTTTATTATCCTTTCTTGTCCTTTATTGTCCTCGCCCTTCACCGCATCCGCAAAATCATTCAAAATGTCTCCCTTTTCACTGACTCCGTGACCTTAACTTCTCAAGCTTTTTTTAACACTCTTTTTAGGTTAACACGTCTGTTATAAAAAATTATCCACCTCAAATCAAATGTATACTCATGATACTTTTAGTAACTTTAGTTGATTTACCTGGTAATATTTAGTCACAGAAGACTAAAAAACAAAATGAATTAGAATGTTACTTTTTCTCCCTTTTTTCTTCCAAAAATTAGAAATCCCAGCTTGATGAAGAAACGTTGTCAAAAAATGAAATCCAAAATGAAGTTAACAGGTAATATTTTTACATAATTCCTCCTTAATCTTTCACTTCTAAGTAAACAGTTCTAACAACACTGTCAGACATTTTAACAAACATCTCCCTTGGCTTTTATCATGTTGTAAGCGTTTCTATCTCCAATTTGCCACTTTTTTCAAACTGTTGAGTTTTTTTCTTTTCTGGTTTAGCTTTTTTGCATCGTTCAAACTTCGAACAATCAATAATGTTAAGATATCGCGTGACCCCAGAAATGTAACCTGAAACATTTAACATACCTTATAGATTTGATGTTATTGTTAAAGTCGCTGTTGTAGAATTGTTTCTCATTGACTTTCGAATTTTTCCTATAAGAAGCCTACGTGTGTTTTTATTACAGCATCCAGGCCAACCATGTTTCCAGTACTTAATGCTATACTAAAGTCCAGTACTAAAAGTCGATAATTATATATGTTTCAGGCTCAGTGACACAGTGAGTCGATACAAAGAGAGAGAAAAAAACGGACCAATTACGATGGAAGAATTTGATGAAGTGAAATGGGATAATGAAAGGTTGAAAGGGGAATGTGATCGACTGAAGAAACTATTAGTTCAAAAGCACAAGAAGATGGAGAAATTACACCAAGAAAGCCAGGCCACTCTCAAAGCTCTGGAGGAGCGTTTAGGACAGGAAGAGGTAAAGGATCTTTCCTTGCCTTTCAGGTTCTGTGCTCTTACATTTTTTTCATAGCCAAACTTCTGTCATTCTATCCATTGAGTTTCATAGCTGCTCCTCTAAGTAGGCTTCTTTCTTTATTATTGATAACATACCGCCCTGCTACAATATATCCCTTTATGAAATATCTTTAAACATATTTGAATATCGCCTGCTTTTACAATTTTCAATAACAGGAGGAGCTTTTATCACAAACTTACCTTGGTCATCAGTGAAGTACTGCATGCTTGTCTTTTTATAAAAACAGGAATGTACACTTCCTTATCACAATTCTAACCTGCCTGCTTTCTAGAACACAGTCAATGTTCTCCGAAAAGACATTGAAGACAAAGATAACACTTTGGCAGAACTTCGAGGCTCTGTAAAACAGGTTTGTGTTTCTTTAGGCCTTATAGCATTCACAGTTTTTCTTGGCATTTTATCATCATTACAACCCTTTCCTCTATTTTCTTTTCCTTTGTTTTATGTTCCGTAAAAGTTCGATCAAGCATTTGAGTATTTTCTTTATTCAAAACTCGCAATAAACCTTTCATTAATTGAAAAGTAATGTTGATCAGAGAATGAATCGTCTTTTTTTACCTTCTCGATTCCTTCTTTCTGGTTCGTTCACAATGCTATTTCTGTACATTTGAATTAAAAGCTAATCGAAACAGTGGCTCAGCAATACAGTTAAAAGCAATCTCTCTAGTTTTACGCAACAAACAATGCAAAACAATTCTTGAAGTATACAATTTTTCTTTATATGCTAGTCTGAATAGATTTTTCATCCATCTTGGCTATTGTACAAAAAATCTTCACACGATTCTTAAATTTATCCATTTTCAGAATCATTCTCAAAAGTATTTCTTCATTTGTTCTAGTTTGCTGACAAAAGTCAAGATCTGATGCGGGAAAATATTTCTTTAAAAGATCTACTGCAAGAGGTGCGATGCGAAACTTACATTTATTATTAATTCTATTTGTAATTTTGCAATTATCAATTTGGTTTTTTGATTATTAAAGCTGCAAATTGATACCGTAATAGAGAATAAGGCATAACAGAATTACCTTGTGCTAACTAAACTTGTTTATAGTTGATGAGATTATTAAAATATATCATTGTTTGTAGTTTGAAAAGTTGACGAGCTCAGAAGTACAACAAGCGCATCATCAAGTTCATAAGGAGGTAGATCGTTTTGGAATCTTTTATTTCATTTCAAAACTTAGAATGTATGACTGAAATGACAGTTTTATGTGGACTGAATACCTTGAGTGAATAAAAACAGGGCTGAGGCGTCCGTAAAAATTGTAAAATTTTTTGTTTTTAATTGACAGTACCTCGTTGTTCTTGTTCTCAATAATGCCTACAATACTTTTACAGTACTTTTCCTTACAGTGCTGATAAAGAAGTTTAGAAGGTTATTCAAACAGCTATTGTTTGCGTATCTTTTTTGCTGATTCCTCCATGCTACTGCTACAAAAAATAATTTTTTTCAAAATAAATTTCTTAACTATGTTTTCAAATTTCACCTCTTTAACTTTCTTTAAACTTTAGGTACAATCTTTGCATCAATATCGGTGGAAAAAAACGATTGGCCACTTGACATTTTTTAACTCCAAACGTTTCCAGAGTTATCCACACTTGCCCAAACGTATTTAATTAAGACTTGGATATTTGAAACTTAGCAAGTCCAGCTTTTGCAGTCACGATGATATTGCAAAAACTTTACTTTACAGAAAACTTTCACAAAGTGGTGGAAACATGCAAAATATTTATGTTTTTATTATTTCTAGCTTGCATCTTGTGTTTCCGAGATACAGTACCTCATCGATCTTTGTTCGCAAATTGCAGAAGGCCAGGATCCAAACATATCAGCTCTGCTAGGAATCAAAGGTATCGAATTTTATACATACCGTATTTCCTCTAATGAACGCCACCCTCTTATAAACGCCGCACCTTCAGCCAACCATTTGTTAAAGACGCCGCCCTCTGATAAACGCCGCCCTCTATTGAACGCCGCATCTTAAAAAGCGGCGTTTATTAGAAAACACACCAAACAAGAAGTAAGAAATCGTTTAGACGCTTACTTTTCGAAAGCCATATATTGACATTCCCTGACTCGACTTGACATTCTTTTTATCTTTTTCATCGCATTTTTTTTGTCATTTTTCATTTGAAAAACTTCTCATTTTGTATTGAACGCCGTCCTCTGATGAACGTCGCCCTCTATTGAATGCCGCATCCAAAATTTGGAGTTTGTAATAAACGCCGCGGCGATCTTTAGAGGAAATACGGTATACTAATAGTGCTAGTTTTGGCACATTTTGTTTTTTTAAGTAAAAAGTATTCCTCTTTTGTTTCAATTAAAATTTTTGTTTTATTTCAGTACTCAAAATTTTCTAAAAAGAAGCTCATAAGGAAGGGGTTTACAAATTTATCGACAAAAATTAACAGGATTTTGGGGGAAGGGGGCGCTTATCAAAAGCTGACATCACTTTCTATGTAAAGGTTAAAGCTAGTTTTAAATAGTTTTTACTTCAGTAAGAGGAGTGTGCAGTTTTATGAGCACTGACAATTGTACCGAGTTCCCTGTACTCGAGGTTGGACCCATGGGTTTAAAATACTTAGTCTTTGTTTTGTTGACACCCTACTCCCATCTGCCTTCTTTTCTTACCCAATACTCGTTATGTCCTCTTGTCGTCTGTTCCATCATTATCAAGTTGAGTCAGGGCTCCGCCTATGTCGAATTCTTTTTTTTTTACCCAATACTCGTTATCACTATATGTCCTCTTCTTGTCTGTTCCATCATTATCAAGTCAAGTCAGGGCTACGCCTATGTCGAATTGGTTTTTTTACTAAGGATAAAACTGTCCGAGTCTGTGCTAGTTTTCGTAGTCTGGACGGGACTGTCAAAACCATGAAAAATTAAAATAAGCTTAAAGGGAGAGGGGGTGCGTGTTAAAACTTGCCAAATGTTCACAAGGGTTGACGAGAGAGAAGAATGCGTCTAAAGTGGATAGAAAGTAGTTGAAATCAATTTTGGGTGTTTTCAAATGTCAATTTTCTCCCCTCAGGACAAGCCGAAGCTCCTGCTACAGAAGACCTGGCCATCCTGCTAATCCATTTGGTATTGAAGCTGCAAAAGCCAAGTTGAAAAAGATCAGATTGCTAAGATCTGAAATCGATAAGCTCAGAACTTTTGTTTCAGATAAGTATGCCGAAGAAGTAGGAAATAACTGCATAACACAATAAATTTTGTTCTCCTTGTAAAAGTTACATTAAAATATGATAAATATTTGACGATACAGTGTAAATAGTTGCGTTCAGACATTTTCTCGCTGCATTTGCAGTTCGATATTTGTAGTTATATTGTCTAATTATTTATTGCTGTAAATTTGTTTGGAAAAAAATGTCTTGATTTAGCTCTCTATAAGAGATAATGAATTTGCTTGATAAAATTTAGCGTTTAGATGATTGTGTATTATAGGATAAAAATTGTAATTTTTTGATGCAACAGATGATATTCAGTATATTACTAAACATGTCTATGTGTCCATGTCCTTTCGCTATCCGGTCAATGATTTAACTGTTTTGTTGAGTGACCCTTTTAAGTCAATGTAAAGCATTCCGTGTCTTAATAATTGTTCAAAAAATCTCTTACAAAAAAACACTAAAATCACGGTTGTAGTTAGTAGCAAATGTTGTCGGCTAATGAAAATAATTAAATTGTTCTTCCGAGACTCGATCAAAGACCGCCAGAAAGGTTGAATACATGAAAAAAGTTTCTTCATTCTGCTGCATAAGTCTCGCATTAAAAAATTAACGGTTTCTGCCAGTTTCCTACAGCCCTCTGCAACACGCACCCCTCTCCTCCAAAACAATCAAGGTTTTAGTGTTATCATAATAGCGATTTTTGCGATGTTTATAGTCCGGCAATGTTATTTGGAATTCCTGTGAAAATTAAAAAGAGCCTTGATTCCCACCATCTAGCCACGTGGCCATTTTGCATTATTTAAAATGTAGCAGTTCATTTTAGACATTAATAAAGTGTAGCACTATTTATAATTTCGATGAAAGGAATCATTTGCAGCTAATCCTAAAAATCAGAAGTTTCATGTTCCAATGTTTAAAAGAAATTAAATAACCACTACAATTGGCATATTTTCAAAAAATATGATTAGAAGAGACATTGTTAATCACTATAGCCCAAGTACTTTAAAAGAATTTGACAAACATTGATCGATTTTTTTCTTCTTTGCTAAAGTTTCTCTTGATTCTCGATTTCTTATGAACAAATTGCATGATCATATTAGGCATTGAGTCTCAATAGTTTTAGAGAGGTTGTGCTTCTATTTCACTTAAAGAAAGTTCAATTCACTTATGGAATTAAAATGTCATTTTATCTCAATACAAGGTTGCAATTAATTGCGCAAATTATATATAAGAAATGAATTAAAATTAAGATGAAACGAGAAAATGGGCAGAAGAAATTTTTTTGGCAGTGAGGTAGCACACTATCAGTTAAAAAACGAAAATGGAAGAGTGGGGAACCGCAGCAGCCCCTTGTTAATGGAAATAGAAACAACCCTGGTGTAATCTAGCAAAACGATTATGTTTATCGCTGAAAATCAAGAAGATGGTGCTATGGGAGCTGTTGATCAAGATTTATTTGCTCAAATAGAAAAATTTGATGAATACAATTAACGCTAGAACAGTGGAGGGTGTCGCGGAGGGGTGGCGGCCTAGGTTGGCTCAGTCCCCAGGTTAAAATTCAGAAAGATTCTTGGGGTGTAATCGTGAAATTTAATTTCCAATACTGTGTCGTGAAGGGATAGCTCAGAGGGGCTCAAGCCCCCTTATTAAAATTCAGAGAGATTCTGGAGGCGTGATCTTTTAAGTATAGTTTCCGTGCAGTGACGGCGGATTTGCACTTATATTACGCGTGATTGCGTGATTCAGCATGTACAACTGGCACGCCCTAGCAAGTGTCCTGCTTCCTTTCATTCAAACAGTTGCATTTTTCAGTTCGTTTTGATACTTGTATGCTAATAAAAGCTGATGTTTGCAATGCAAAGCTATTAAAAAATGGACTTTCTATTATGTTTCAAAATTATCTTAGCAGCTTAAAAATATTGTATTGCATATTTTCTTATAGACTTGATAGGTTTTCTTATAAGAATTCATTTTAGCTAGTTTTAGATTTGTAATAGCTTTTTGTCATGACATAAAAAAACTTGCTATAGAACTGAAGGCTGTAAAGACAGAAATCTTCAGTAAGGGTTTGATACAGTGACAGTGATAAGGTCATTTTCTCTACACTGACTTCTTTCTGTTATCTTTCATATTAGGGTGAACTCCTTGTATATACCACTCTGTTTCTTAAGTTTGGTTGCTTTCAAATAACAGAAAGCAATATAAGTCTACAAAAAAATAACTTTCTTCTTGACTTAGCACTACATTTATGCATCCCTTGAGACTTCAATTTAATTAATAACACAGCTATCAAAATGTCTTCCAGCTCCTCTATGCAACAAATAGGTTTTGTAAAGTATTGTTACATACTTGACAAGAACTGAAATATTGCAAGATGCTTGAAGTTATTTGTGAATTTGGATTTTTATCTAAACTGCAAAGCAAATTATGATAAACCTTTGGGTCAGTTAAGCATATTGACTGAAACTGTAAACATCAATAGTATTAGATTAGAGACAAAGACTGAAATAATATGCCCAATAATTTAAGTTTTTAACAGATTTCTACTTTGTTACACATAAGTATGCTAGACAATAGTGGAAATGAGCTGAAATTATAAGAACAATCCATTGAAAGCTTCTGAAATGGCTCTTTGACATGCAATTGATTCTGTGTATCCTGCAGCTTTTTCAGGAGCTGTTGCAGGACGAACATTCTTTGAGTACCCTTTTCCTTGAATATCTTCACTGCTAGGAACATCAGGGCCACAAACATTTATACTTAAAGGTTCATATTTGTATAATGGTACTTCCTTGATGGGTAGTTTCGAAGTTCCAGTATTAGATGACTTGGATTTCCCTTGGAAAAACATGGACTTTTTCTCTTCATCTTTCTTTATTTGAAGCTTTGTCATGTGATGTCTTGCCAATACTTCGTCAGCTGAAGCATTTGCATGGATTAGATCATCAATTAAAGCATCTTTTTCCTTATTTTTGGCTTTCTTCTCATGTTCTTCCTTTAACTCAAATTTCTTTCTCCTTTCTTCAGCTTCCTTTTCTTCAACCTCAAGCTGTAGTTTTACTCTTTCAGATTCCTGGCTTAATTTTGAATTTATTTTTCTAATGACAGCTTCATTTTCTTTTTTGTATTTTTCAACTTTCTTTTTAGTTGACTCCACATCTATTTTATTTACTAAATTAAAAATTATAACTTCAATTTCTTCAAGATAGTCATTATATGCTCTTAGCGGATCTTCATTCTCCAAGAAATCTTCTTCCCTCTTGTTAAAAACTTTGACAATTTTCTTTCTTACATCTATCTCCCTTTCCACGAATGAATCCTCAAACTGTTGGATTCGGAAATCACTTCTCCTCAGTGGGGTGTTGCATTCTGGACAAGCTGCTGACGGCCTTGTAAAAAGCACATCCACGCATGTTTGGCAAAGCTTATGACCACATACATTTACCAGCAGCTTCAGGTTTGGATTTTGATAAGAGGTAGTCTTGCACCTAGGACATACTTGTTCCGCCATTACAATTGTTCTATTGCCGGAGCCTCGTTTGAAGTTTCAAATGCACATGAAGTTTAAGATGGCGGACAGACACGAGGAGTTGCTGGACCAAGCGAGAAAGACTTCGGCGTATTTTTCATCACTTATCGAATTGATACCATTGAAGCATTACTTGCCAGATGATGAAAACATCGATGGCTCAGTCAAAACCAATTTGGACGTATCTGGAAAAGCGGCTAGGGAAGCTAAAAAGGCCCTAGCGAAGAAGGCCAAAATGCTAAAACTAGATCCTGGAAAGCAGAGAAGTATTGCTGACCTGCAAAAGGAAATCGAGGAAAAAGAGAAGGGAATGCACTCTAGTCATGGTGATGATGCCAAATTAGTCACTAGTGGTATAAAACCAATAAAAGTTAGTGAAATTCAAAGTGTCCCTTTAGAAGATTTAAGAAAGAAACTAGAGGATAAAATTCAGGAATTGAGAGGGAAACGCAAAATCAAAGAATCAGGTAATGCAGACAGGGTAAAGAAAAGAAAAGTAGACAAATTGGCCAGAAAAGAAAAACTGAAGAAAGAAGCAATCAATTCAAATGTTATGAAAAGCAATGTTGAAAATGAAAGGAAGGTAACACAGATTTTGAATGACAAGAAGGAAGTTGTTTTTAGTAAATTTGACTTTGCAGAGACATCTGCAAAAAAGAAAAACTCAAAGAAAAAGGACATAAAAACTTTGCTTAAAAAGGCTGAAAAACGGAAAGCTAATCTAGAAAGTATTGAAACAGAAGATAAAGAAAAAGCAACTGAACTGAAATCAAAAATTAAATGGGACAAAGCATTAAAGCAAGCTGAAGGTATAAAAGTAAAAGATGACCCAAAACTTTTATCAAAAACATTGAAGAAGAAGCAGAAATTGAAGGAAGCAAGCAAAAAAAAATGGGATGAGAGAATACAGACACAAAAGAAGGTTAAAGAAGATAAACAAAAGTCAAGAAAACAGCACCTGTTAGAAAGAAGGGAGAGTAAAGGCACCAAAGGAGGGAAGAACAAAAAAACGAATAAAAAGGTGAAAAAGCACAAGCCAGGATTTTAGACATGTCTTCTTTCTTTTTTGTTCTTCAATTAACATCTTAAATTAAAATTTTTACTTTTTTCCTTAAAAGACGTGCATATGATAATTAATTTGTAATCAAAACCAAAATAGGTAAGCTGTCCTTTTAGCATCTTAAGTAAAGAAGATATGTTTTACAAAATTTGAATTTTACTTTAAATTGTACTTTCTATCTATCGATGTGATGGAATTTGTGGAAAGTATTGAAAGAGTATGAAGAAGATTGATAAAACTGTTAGGACATTATGATGTTTATAAATGTCTCAGTAACATACAATACTTGCCAAAAATAATTGGAACACCTTCTCATCACAGCATGCAAATAAACAAAGCAAGTCCAAATCTACCTTACCAAAATATCACTGCTGCTTCAAAAATGTTGACCCCTCCCCCAGTAGAATGTTGATTTATTTTCTCGATACTTTTGTACAGCTTTCAGTGAAAAAACTTTTATCTTCAGCATCAAAACAGCCAAATTGAACAGGTAGGGGGGAATTTTTGAAAAAAGCTTTAGCTTTGTGCAAGTGTTCAAAAAGTTTTGGCATGGATTGTAGATTTTAATATGTTTTAATACTCCTTTGCCTTCATACTTGATAAGTCGCTATTGATTTTATGCTTGAAAAACAATTTGAAAACTCTCTAGACACATAGAATGCTTCTGAACTCAAATTTGCCATAATACATCTACACCAGTTAAAGATAAAAGTTTCAAACCAAAGCTGTCTTTGTTATTCTAGTGCATTTTGTAGCTTTTTTTCTAATCTTCTTCTTGGTAGTACCTTCATCAATGTACTCTCAAATCTTGAAGAACTGAACAACTTCTCCATCTTGCTTCTAATTTTTTATGGATACAGTCTGAAGGATACAATTCCACCAAATACATTTCAGGGCTTCAATTCTGTATGCCTAATTCTCATGGGCACCCCACTCAGGCAATCCTGCATCCATGATCATGCTAATGTAAAAATACAAGATCAAGCTTATTTCACAATCTGCCATCACTGTAAGGTACTCATTGCAATGGTAAAGTATATGAGGGCACCAACATCGAATAAATAGGGTTGGGTGTCGCCATAGAAGGACTTGGACTGAGGGCTAAGGGGAGGCGTGGGTTGACTTATTTCTGTATGAGGGGATCTAGATGGTGTACAAAGTTTTTCCTCCAAAAGCTTCAATTCTAAGAAATAGAAAAAGATAGAAAGCAATTCGTTGAATAATTCTTTTCCCTTAAATAAACATAATATGCCACAAAAACATATTGATGTAAACATATTCATAACATATTTATAACAAATTAATGCTGATGCAAGAACATGTTTCGGATTTATGGCCTTCATCTTGAATCATCACTATCAGGGATGTAAACAAATGGCTAATTTTTTTTGGGGGGGGGGGGCTGGTCGTGAAAGGTGGAAAATTCCAACTTTACCTGATGAATTTTTTCTTTCGACCTGTTAATCTTCTGTACCTACTAAATTGAGTTTTTGGAAATAGCCTTATGGCTTATTCTGGATTTCTAGGTTCTATATAATTACCAACATTCTACTTAATTAGTCTTAAGCATAAAAGCACTAAAGGAGATAAAGGAAATCTCTAACTCTTGATTAACTTAAAACGTACATATAATCAGCTTTTCCTAAGATGTAAAGCAATATCAAAGATATGATACCAGTCTAGATCTTGGATATGTTTAATGATAAAAAGTAATATTCTTTCAAGTCAATTATCAGCAATTTTGTTCTTTTTCTGCATTGCCCTTCTTAAAGCTATTTGCTGCAGATCAGTTTTATATAAAATATCTTTTCACAATATAGAAGCATCAAAGAATTTACCATTTCATCTTTTGTTCTTGATCGAAGGAAAATTTTTACAATTTTCAAAGGGCTAAATGTCCTTTGCTTTTTGGAACTAAAAAGGTGATCTCAGGGCAAGTACATATGCCCGATTCGTAAGATAAAACACTCGTCTTTGATCAAATACTTCTGCTGCCGCTTCTTTGATCAATGTTTTGTGGCTTCGCATCAGCTTTATCATAGCAATTTATGATAAGATTTAAGAAGGTCTATAAAGTGCAGGGGGAGCCTAGCCCAGTGGCGAAGTCAAAGGTCCTGCTTGTCCTGCCGGGCAGGACCACAAATTTCCAAAGATAACAATTTTTAAAATATTAAAAATTGATTCACTTTATGGAATCATTATATGCCTGATTCAAAGGCATTTCTTGTCTTATTCTACACTTATACTTCGTGGCTGTGCCCTTTTTCAATTTTGAGACACAGGGTGACTGGAATGGAATTTCGAGTATCCCGTTCGTAAATTGATATTGTCAAAAATTTAGCCCTGTGGTCAGTCCTGCTCAATACTCGTAGGCAGGACTAAACCCTATGTTTGGTCCTGCCTAACAATGGGCAAACGCCTTGTAGCCCTGTTTTTGGTCCTGCCTCACAATAGAAGAAAACAATAGCACTCCTGCCCTTCAGAAATGGCAGGACCTCAGGTCCTGCTCTTTCATGAAGGCAGGACCTAGACTTTTGGAGCCCTATGTTTCGGTATAATTTGTTGATTTTCTGCGCCGTGGTCAAAGGTCACAAAGAATTTTCACTCAGGCCATAGTCAGGCTCAACTATTTTGATATGATGTATAAAACTAACTGTAACCGTCATGATTCTGCTGCTGAAGAGGTTTTTGCTGCTAGAAGCTTCGGTCCTACACTGTCGTCACTTGATTGATACAAGAATCGATCGTTTCAAGACGAGTGGCACTTATAGAAATCAAATTGTTTAGGGTCGTTCTGTTGGTCCTATTTACTGTTAAAGTCAGGAATATCACAGACATCGTGAGAAACCTGACATTTAATAGTTTTCTCTCAGACTGCAGAGAGCAAAGGAAGTCATATTCAGAGGCCTATTATAAACAGTAGAAAAAGTTTGCCGCCGCTGCCAAGAGAGAATCTTCGTTTTTTTTGTACCAGAAAAGTCGAGATCGAGAGGAGATGGAGTGTGCATGACAGAAAAATGGCTTGCTTAAATTTAATTTCAGAAGTTCGTCCTCCTGCCTTAAACAGGAACTACCCTACAATTCAGAGGTCCCGATGAAAAGGTCGCTTTGAAAAGGATGAAAAGGAAAACAATGGTAATTACTGGGAGCTTTTGTACTCGGTGACTCAGATTGTATTGTACTGGCAAAATGTCATGGGTCTCCTCTGATATTCAAAACAAATTGATTCAAGACCCTATCTACCGTGCATCAGACATATCCATGCTGTGACAAAATATTTTTATTTTTTTTCAATTAATTTGAATCAATTATGTTTCAAGTATGTATTACAACTGTATATGCCTATCTGTACAAGCAACTTCTTTTTAGTCCATGATTTCAAAATTTTCAATCAATGAAAACATTTTCAAATGTTACTTATTTTAGAAAGAATCTTTGTGATGCTCTTTTTGACTTATTCAATGTAAGGCAGGAGGAACTTGAAAGGATCCGAATCTTTTTCCCCTTTTTTCCAAAATGTGGCAGTGAAAAATGTTTCGCTGCAATCTTGATTTCAACATATCCAGAAGGGCGTTTCCCCCTTTTCCGGGGGTGTCTAGGGCGTGGCTTCACGTGATTTTTCTGAAGGCTATGCCCCCAGACCCCCTTTGGGCAGGACCACCTGTTCTTGGTTAGCTTCGCCACTGGCCTAGCCTACACCCGTTAAGAAGCGTTGAAAATTTCTAGCAACGAAAGATTTTTAATGTTTTCAATTGAATTGGCTACCCGTTGTTTCTTAAAAAATCCCCACTTTCAATTGTTCTGATCAATAGATACAGGGAATGATTTTTCAAAACTTCAGGCTCAATCAATACTGACGGTAAAATTTAAACTTCTTATCCAGAAATTCACCTTGCCTGTTTAATATAATCTTATTCAACTTAACCCCTGTCAAAAAGGAAACAAACGATGCAATGGTGCAATATGAGATCCAGTGGAGACAGGGCTTCACAATTGAAAACGATTAGAAGATGTGCCTGCTCCAGAGTTTCAATTTTAATAAGGTCTAACATTTTTACATTGAAAGTCCCAAAATCCTAAGCTAAAAAGTTCATATATTTGGTCATAATAGTTAGAAAAAATTCCAAGTGAACTTTTAAGTTTTCCAACTACAATTGAATTTTCCAACCTTTGGGGGGGCGTCACGCCCCCACGCCCCCTATTATTTACGTGCCTGATCACTATACATCGTTCTGATAATCGACATATTGCCATTAAAAAGGGGAATACAGTCATCGACTAATCCATAGACTAATCCAACTAGTTTCCAAATCCTGGTTTTTACAAATAATGTCCTAAATCATTGAACAAGGTACCACCTCCTTTCGTCTGACATCTTGAAAACTGTATTCAGAAAAATTTCCAGCCCAGGGGAACTCTAACGTACCTCTTTTGCCCTAAATTAATATTTTGAAAATGTGGCTTTTCGTTTACTTTGCAAAGAAAACCACTAAAAGTTGAGATATTTTCAACGTAACAAACGCGTTTCTGTCGACACAGAAAAATGAAGAGATCGAAAAGTAGTTAATCGAAAGAGGAGATAATAATAAAGGGAATAAGACTAGGAGTTTCTCAGATCGTTCTTTTTCCAGGCGGTGTGCAAGTATGATGTAGTGTAGTAAATTTGTGATGCTAGTTCCCACACCTTAGGGATCATTTTGGTATCATGCAGTGTTTGCCTGAAAGTTTTTTGTGTGAAATTTTCGAAATGCGTTTGGAATTTTTTTGTCCGATTTTTCGAAATGCGCCTGGAAGTTTTTTGTCCGAAGTCAGAAGTGTAGCCAGGGTGGTACTGGTAAGATTGTGGGGGGCCGAAAAGAGCAGTGGTGTAGCGCTATCGAAGTAGCAAGGGGGCTCTAGCACAAAATGTAGTGAAAACAATAGCAAAAGTAGAAAATTGCCAATTTTCGGCATTAACAAATGGGGCTTCCCTTCCCCTCACTTCGCTACTGTCCGAAGTTGTTTAGCCGAAAATTTTTCGTCCGGAAGTTTTCGATTTTCATCCAGCCTCTTTGTGGTGAGCGATGACCAATGCAGATTCAAAATGGCGGAGCAAGCCGGGTTCTAGAGGGTTTCGGCTCGCTTTTAGTCAGCACTGACAGACCCATCTTATACAACGATTTGTGGAATTCAAGTTCGTTTCTCACAAAGACCTCAGTTTTTTCAGTTGTTAGGTGTTCAAGAATGTCAATGTATGACAAACTGGCTTGAAAATTTACAGTTACTTCATCTGCTGCTCTAATCGAGCAGACGCCTGGCCAAGCGAAATTGGAAGTATAATGCACTGAAATGGCACTTCGTTTGATCGATTTCACTAGAAAAGCGTCATCGAAACGCCTTTTATTTGAGAGGAAGATTTTGACAAGCAATCACTTCAGCGCTGTAGCTGCTTTCAATGGATGTGGTTGTTTAGACGTCAAAAAACGGTCCAACTTGAAGCATGATTTTAGAAATGACTTTATTTTCACGCGGCTTAAAAGTATCGACGCAAAAACAAATGGTCTCGGAGTACCAGTTAGTAAAACGCAGGTGAAATATGTTGGTTGATTGATTTTTTATTCGAATAACCAGGGAATTTGTGTAATCAAACATCAATTATCCAAAATTTCCTGGCTCTGTGAATCTCAGCACACCCAAGAAATTTCTAGAATAATTTCCTAGTGATTTAAATAGAATTTTTGAAAATAACATGAAGTTCTAACATTACTTAGTGATTTCTTTCCACAGGAGCAACTCTCTGATGCAGAGAAAAGGCTTTTACATAGCAATCCTGCTGGTATTACTAACTCAACAATGAAGAACCAACTAAATGCACTACCAATCATCAAAACAATGGTTGGATATGTTTGGCCATCTGACAAGCCAGCTTTAAAAGTTAGAGTTGTAGCTGCACTGTCTCTTTTACTTGGTGCAAAGGTATGTCACAATATTTTAAAGAAAGGTTTTTTCCATGCAAGGGTGTCTAGCTAATTCAATTAATGTACACACACATTCAATAAATGTATAAATGCACTCCATACCAGAGTGTTGTCCTCTAGCAGCTTTATATTGGGCTCCTTGAATTCTTGATATTAATTGTTTTGATTTTGGTAATTAAAATGATATCTTATAAGAATTTTGGCTGGGCTGATAGGGGATGCTTCTAATGGGAGAGGTATTGCCAAAAAATCGTGGTTTTACAGGTATTTCTAGAAACCACAAACATTTGGAATCTACCCGCTTAAAAAATCATCCTGGCAAGTGTGAGTAAACCAGTATGGCAAGGATTTTTGTGGTCTACTGTTTTCAAGTTGCAGCAAATTGTTTTCATATGACTAAGTGCAATAATCTTGCAAATTTTTTGTTTGTTTTGATGTAGCAGCAATGACATCAAACTAAAACAATGGAAATTATTGAGCATTGATTGCAATGACATTGAGCATGAAAATTAGAATAACAACCTAGAACTGTCCTATTCTTTGCACAACAAGCATCAAAACCAAAACCAGATGATTGAATTGTCTCAATGCAAGAAACATTCATTGTCTGAGTAGTTGCAATTCACAGATCTGAAAAGTTGAATTTCTTGTTTTGTGAGAAGGCTTGAGGATTCCTTCACTGATTAGCTTCTAAAGGAAGTTAGAATAAATTGCCAACAGAGACATTTGTGTTGCCTGACATCCCTTGCCATACTGGTATGGAGTTTCACGCAAAGCCACATTCAAGGTCCCCTTTTATTTTGGTATTTTAAATCTTTCCTCATCAAAGCAAAAAATCCTGACTTATGTAGGCAGAAAGTGCTTGCTTTGTCTCTTGGAAGCTTCAACTAGGTGCAAAGCAAGCTTTTGCCTACTTTTAATAAGCTTCTGGATATAAAATGCTGTTCTCAATTTTTAGTGCTATTTTGAAATTTTACAATGCCATTTTTTTGATTTTATGCTTGTTTATATTTGCTTTTTCTTAATTTGAAGTGTCTATTTTAGCTGCTGAATGTCCAAGTACCATTTTTATTCAAATATGCTGTTGATTACCTCAACAATGCACCTCTTGTCATATCTGATGCAGAGACTGCAGCTGTTAGCATGGCCACCATCTTGCTTCTTGGTTGTAAGTTCTTATTTATATAAAATTTGTTGAAAGTGCTGTCATAGAATAACTGCCTTTATAGCAGCATTTATGTGACCTAAGTAAGAATTTAAGGCAGCCAAACGTCAAAAAATTTCTAAGCTGCTAAATTGTTAAATTTTGGTTTTACTTCAAGCTTTATACTTGAAATTGTCATGTTAGAATAGTATTCATTTGGTATGGTATTAATAGCAACAATTGAAACCAAAACTCTGATTTCAGTCCTGATGTAAAACCACCCTAGGCTCTTGACATCTTACTCAGTCAGCATTTCATTTGTGGCTATATTTATTACCTCATTAGGTTGAAATATACAGCAATGTACTCTGTTCTTTAAACAGGAAATACTCTTATTCTGTTTTTCTTGGTTGCTTTTAATCTCTATTCTTTTATTCTCTTGCACTTCCAGTTTGGTCTCTGATTTGTCACAATTACAAGTTACGAATTCATAATTCCTCACCCCTTTACAGATGGCACAGCAAGAGCAGGATCATCTTTATTCAATGAACTAAGGAATGCTGTCTTTGCTAAGGTCGCCCAGCACTCAATTCGAAAAATGGCAATGACTACTTTTTTACATCTACATTCATTGGATTTGAGCTATCATTTAAGTAGAAAGACTGGGATGCTTTCAAAGGCCATTGACAGAGGAACAAGGTATGAATTTCGCATTTTGTTGCTCATTTACCATGTCCACTTGTCCAATCAGGTTTTTAAAATTTAATAACAGGCTGTATTGTTTCTTTGGAATATGTCTTTTTCTTTAGATATTTCTGACCTTGCAAATGACGTTTTAACTGTGTAGTAGTGGTTGTCTGCATTTGCAAATAACCCTGGATAGTATTAAACCATTATGACAGCTTATATTTATTTTTTTCAGGGGTATCAGCTTCTTCCTCAGTGCCCTTGTGTTCAACATTGCACCAACAATCTTTGAAGTCAGCCTTGTCAGTGGAATATTGGTAAGAAGGCATTTGTTATTTATTAGGCTTTAAAGTTTGACATTCCCTGTTCTCAGAGACAATAGGAAAACTATGATTAAATATGATTGGATCAAGAAACAAAGGATGTTTAATGGTGAAGTGTGATTGGGATATTTAAGCATTGTTGCTGTTGTTATTAGCACACCTTTGTACACTGTGAAGTCTTCCTCTTTTTAGCTAGCTTTAAGGGTTTCCCTTCATTGAAATTATGCATGGTATTTTCAGTTTTGTTGAGTATCTGTTCGTCATGCTACAATACACTTTCAAGGAGGGCAAACCTTAACTTGCCTGTTACTATTTCTCATCTGGTTGTTTTATTAATATGTTTCATAGTTACTATTATTATGATATCAGAATGTCATTCCTCTGTGTTATTCATTGACACTCTGAACCATAAGCGACAACTATTGGGCATAGGATATTCTATCCAGTGCCCCTGTTTGCACATGTCGCAAGTAGCACAGGATTTGTTGTAAAGAAATATTGAGAAAGTGTTTTTGAAGGTATTTGACTGTATAAACATTCTTGAAGTGGACAAAATGAACAAAGTCTAGGGATAAGATGCTTAATACTTTGACAAGCGAGAATGTTTTTAAACATCTTTTGAAATAATGAAATGCTTGTGCCTACTATCCAATTCATTTTAGTTATTATCAACTATTTTGACAGACTGACAAAGTTTTTCTTGCTCTAGGCTTGGAAATGTGGCTTCCCTTTTGCAGTCACTAGCATCAGTTGCATTGCAGCATACGCTGCATTTACACTATTGTTCACCCAATGGAGGCAAGCATTTTGAATTCTATTATAAGATACCTTTATCTTCGTTTTGTATTGTGCTGTGTTTTCTGTATTGTGTATTTATAGTGCATTTATAGTGTGCACAAAGTTTTGGAATATTTGTTTTTATTGTGATAAAAAAAACTTCGTTTTCTCATCTTTTTATATTCTTTTTGCTTGAAAAAGCTTAAAATTCACTTTTTGCATTTATCCCTTTTTGCAATCAAAAAATTTTAGTTTGCTTTAGAACTAAGTTAGTATCTCCTTCCTTTATGAAAAATTATTGTTCATCAAAAACTACTTAAACTGTCGTATCTCAGTGAAATATCAATGTTTCTAAGCCTTGATTTTTAGAATATTTCAGCTCCGTGTTCAATAATTATGGCTTATGTTTGTTAAAAATTAACTCTTTTGTTTCTAAAAGTTGTGAATGAATCCACCCTTTTTTAGAACAAAGTTTCGTATTCAAATGAACAAAGCTGATAACGAGGCTGGAACAAAGGCAATCGACTCACTGATTAACTACGAAACAGTCAAGGTAAAATGTAAGGAGAAAACGAACTCCTTCTGTCCAAATTTTAAGAAAAAGCCGTTATTGTGTTGGAATCTGGTTTTGATTGGAGCTCTGGTTTGCACAATTTCATTTGTTGTACAAGGTTAAGATAAAATGTGATTTTTTTTGAAGCTTATTTAAAAATTCGAAAATTCTTTTTTTTTCACTTAGTATTTCAACAACGAATCTTTCGAAGCTGCTCAATATGGCAAATTGCTAAAGAATTACAATGAAGCCTCTTTGAAGACAACCACAAGTTTGGCTGCGCTCAATTTTGGTCAAAATGTCATTTTTTCGACAGCATTGACGGGGATCATGCTTCTCGCAAGCCAAGGCATTATGAAAGGTGTTTTTATAATAAAATTTGCACCTGAGTAAACAAAGATTCTCTCTCCTCGATAGCAAACAAAATGTTGATCAGTCAGTTCAAATAAATCCATTTTGGCACCCTCAGTCATTCGGTTATGTAGTGTGGATGAAATTCTTACCTTATTAATAACGTCGCGTGTCATTTATGATTTATATCCACTTTTGAAAAAAAGTCTGAATCAAAGTTTTGTTCTAAATGACTGTATTTGTCTGTTTGCTTCTATCGTGAATGGGGACATCGTAAGCATTTGGTAATTGTAATTGGTATTTGGTAATAAGAGCACTTTGTTGTTGTTGTTAAAGTTGTTAAATGGGTGCTCCTAAGAAAGAGGCATTTTCCATTTTGTTAGGGACACATGATCATGCTTCTCCCCGATTTGGACGTCCCTGGTCGTGGAGCGCCGTAATGTGGTTTATATCAAGTGTATGATGCGCAAGTGCTTGATTTAAAGTTCTTTTGCCAATTTAGGGACAATGACTGTGGGTGATTTGGTGATGGTGAATGGACTTCTGTTCCAGCTGTCAGTACCACTGAATTTCTTAGGCTCTGTTTATCGTGATCTGAGACAGGCATTAGTCGATATGCAGACTATGTTCGATCTCTTGAGCATCAAAAGCGCAATCAAGGTAACTCTTATTATGGCACGTCATTTGGTTTTTTTTGCACCATAATTTTTGCAGTAATCAAAAACTAATATTTTCATTTAACGATCTTCAAACTAGGCGAAAAACACGATTGAAAATTTTTATCAGTAGTCTTGTTGGGTGGGGATAGAAATTTCTTGAGAAGGATATGAAACAATTTATTTGAAATTATTTTGATCCTTTTTGACTTTCTATGTTACTTCCTCGCACTTTTCTTAATCGTTTTCATATCATTTCTAGTTCTTAAGGTTTCTTAGTAAATAAATTGCGCTAATGTCTGTTTTTATCATTCCAGGTAAAAGAAAACTCGTTTCCTTTGGTTCTTGACCCAAAACCTGTGAATCCCCTTGTGGTTTTTGACAACGTTAAGTTTGGTTATTTACCAGATCGAAAAATTTTGAATGGTATGAATCTTGAGATCAGGGGTGGCTGTAAAACTGCTATTGTTGGCGGGAGTGGCTCTGGGTAAGTTCACATTTTGTCTATTCCAGATATCTTGCAGCCAATTTGGATTTTCAGCGTTACGCTATTTGAATAGGAATTTGAAAACTGCCTACAAAAAGTGGTATTTGACTGTTATCCACTGTGATACAGGCTGTTGACTATATTGAAGATAGACAGGATTTTTCCATTTATATGCGCAATTGCCTTGAAAATGAGCCGCTGAAGTCTATGACGTTTTTTATCCGTGACCTCTTTGGTTCTGGCGTCGTACCGTTATTAGAATTCAAACTGGACTGAATAGGCCTAGACAAGTGACCCAGTTCTGATCTGAAGCATTGTCAAGGTGGGGCGTAGTCGGTTACAGCCATTTATCTCCATTCCACTAGGACTCCTCATCTCAAGAAAATGGTCTGTATTGGGCTAAGAAAAAAAATATTTTTTTTATATTCATGAATTGGTATTTTGCTTTTCTCCCACGCTCTCGCGCCCTATCTTAGCGATTAAAATATCAAACTGTAGAGCCGAATATTCGTTTCATAATTAACTAAAATGTTTTACTGTTTTGCGTTTTGTTTGCAATGCAAACTAAAGTTTGGTTGACCCTCGTTGAAAGTTCAAGAAAGCATTGAAGAATAAAATGAACTGTTTGAAGCACAAAATTTTCCAGTCTAAATACACTGTTTTTCATAGAATAATTGTGGTAAAATTTTTTGAAACATCGCATCTCTATCAGGCACCGCGGTGCAGCGGTGGCTGGGGGGGCTTTAGCCAACTATTAAGTGTCAAGCTACCAGAAAAGCCTCTTTTTATACGGTTTTAGCCCCCCCCCCCACTTTTTTTAGACCCCCACTTTTCTCAACGCTCCGCGGTACCTGTCTATCTGATTTTGCCGATCAGTTTACAGGAGAAGTCCATTGTAACATATTGTAAAGGAGGAAGATTTTATAGCAAAGCAAGAACATTGGATTAGCAATAGAAATTCAACTTTTCTTAGCAAAAATCGTGTACTTTTGATTCACCGTCAGACAAAGTCCGAAGGTCAACTAGCAACCTCGACATATAAACAAATTTCTTTTTTAAAGAAACTTAGGTTTTAAGGGAGTCGAAATATTGTGTTTTCACTACTTTGTGTAAAACGATTGTGAATTTGTCTGTATTCTTCCATATAACTCGATATTTGCTTCTACCTCTAGTGTGAGAAAATACTTAGCAAGGCTAAAAAGGTTAAAACCAAATTTCTTGAAGTTGAAGACTAGCGTCCTGTGTATTTTTAATTGATATCTTTACGTAATATCTTTATGTATTATGTTAACATATGTGACTCAAGATATTTTTTTTACCCTTTATCCTGTACATTTTTAGAGCTTCAATTAGTGGCATGTTATCTCTGATCGTTGGCATTTTGCTTCATATTGCTTTTCAATAGAAAATCTACGATTGTGAGACTATTGTACCGATTTTACGATCCTGATGAAGGGAGAATATTGATTGCTGGAAATGACATCAGAGATGTTACCCTGGAAAGCCTTCGCAAGAATATTGGCATTGTCCCACAGGTACCCATACCAACGCATCTGTCAATTAAAGTAATAGAACCAACCTGATATACGATCCAATACCCTATTCTCTCTTGCAAGAGTTCCCGCTGTGGGTTTATTGATTAACCACCCCCCATTTTAATGGAGGATTAGTAGACAGGCGGGAATATTGGAGAAGGTGGGAATACAAGAGAGAATACGGTATGTCCTACTAATTCGGGATGTCCAAGTCAAACTCAAATTACTTCTGACTTGGGTCTAAAATAAGTTTCGGGTATGTGGCTTTGTTTTACTTTAGTTCTACAAATATTTACGATAATTGTGGGGTCTGTCTAAAACAGCTTACGATATTACCACACACAGTGGAATCCTGATATAACGAACTCTGAAGGGAACCAGAAAATAGTTCGTTATATCCGGGATTTGTTATATCGGGATTCCACTGTATCTGGTCGGGATTTGCGTGAATTTTTCTGGGATTACGTATTTTGGGTGTGACATGGACACATAGTACCTATATGTTACTCTTTTCTTGTGGTTTCTATTGCCACATCCCTTTCAACTTTCGGAAAATCAGTATTCTGCACGTCTGTGAAACAAGGAAACCTTGACTGATATCTTAAATTTTTCCAATGGTACCATAATGGTGTATCTACGAGAGTGACACATTTATTTATCTGTATCCTATCTAGTTAAGGCACCATCTATATTTCACTTGCAATTCGGCTATCGATACTGGTTACCTGGTACCTTCTAGTTGAGGTGGGCCCTTGCACACGCGGAGCACACATATTCTGAGCTAGCTGGTAAAGCTTTAACGCTCCCATCGTGGCGTCATCCATTATATTTTATATCCACCTCGTTGTTGGTCTTCATTTGTTTCTATTACCACCAGTCATATCTACCATTATCTTCTTGCCCAAGATGTTTTCGCTTTTGCACAATGACCAAGGTAAATCATCTGCAGCTTGGCTAACTGACCGTCTTATGCTGTAAATTCAAGCAATCTCAACCCCTTAAACTTTCCCAATCCTTGCAAATGAGAAAGCTCGTCTCCTGTTGCATTGCTCAAAAGTTTGTTCTTTCCTCCGCATTGTCTTTTTACAAACCCAACTTTCAATACATCATTTAACATAGGTAAAAGCTTTGGAACTAAAGCTATATACATGTCTTGCATTTTGTATTCCAGGACCAAGTGCTGTTCCATGACACTATTTATTACAACATATTGTATGGACGTACTTCGGCTACTGCAAATGAAGTGTTTGAAGCGGCCAAGATGGCGGATATGCATTCAGCAATTCTGGCAATGCCAAGAGGCTACGAGACTCAAGTTGGAGAAAGAGGCCTGAAGCTATCTGGAGGCGAGAAGCAGAGGGTTGCTATTTCCCGAGCTATTTTGAAAAACGCTCCCCTACTTGTTTATGATGAAGCCACTTCTTCGCTGGATTCTATCACCGAAAAGGTATGGCTTAGCCCAGTCAACTCATATTTAACTTTTAGCGAATGACAGCCAGAAACTGACGAATTATTTATTATTAATAATGATAGTAAGCTGCTTCTTTATAACACCTATCTTCTCTCACAAGTTTTTTGGCACCTCTCAGTAGCCGACTTATCAAAAACCTGGATCGTCGAAAATCTTAATAATCAAGTCTCTACATTTATCCGCCACTGGCTCTATTCACCCATCAGTGTTAATTTCAATGGCATTATTCTGTCAAAAATCCTGTCGTTCTTTATTTGATACCTCCTTCTGAACATGAATATCAAATTTGATATACACAGGAATGCTAGAGAAGTATTGAAGGCTGCTAGATCAGAACATAAAGAGTGCCTTCAAAACTGTATTATATCTCAAGGTCCATTCTGTCTTTCATATTAGCCACTCTGTTCCTTTGGCTTCTAAAATATGGACCACAGCTCACATGCTCAAGAACATTTCCACACGAAGATATTTCAGTCGCGCGATTGCTTATTTTGCCATATGCCAGAAACGTTACTTCATATTGTTGTAGGCTGCAAAACATACCTCGAAGAAGGCCGGCACCACAACTCTGCATTAAACTTCCTAGCTCAGTCTTTTAAAGCTATACCTCATTGCTCCCTTTACGTAGACCTTTCAAATTTTCTCTCCCCCTCTATCATAAGACGAGACTCTTTTAGACCTAATCTATTTCTAATAACTTATGACAAATGCCTGTTCATACACAAGCTTACTGTAGGGTGCGAAACGAATCTGGTTGTTAGTGCTAGCTGCAAGAGAGAGAAGTACGTGCTTCTTGTTCATAACTCTGCAATAGAAATAAAGCTTGACATAACCCTGAGCTTCTTCAGTTCTAACGCTTTCTATTACCTACAACTTCCAAAGCAGACAAAGTGCAAACAAACTTTTTCCTTTTTTTGTTGATTCCTTTTTTGTGCTTGTAATAGTCCTTTTCTTTGTAAACCCAAGCTAGCCAATTGCAAATTACCTTTGTTATAGTGAGATTTGTAATATTTAGTTTAAGGTGAATAGAAAAATTAAAGTTCCTATTAATATTAATATTATTATCCATTTATTGAAATTAGGCATGTACATCATTGTTTAGAGGAAATAGTTATTATGTTTGATTATATAGAATATACGGAATAATTGGCTAAAAGCCAAGAATAGATACATGAAATTTAACAATATTATGCAATTCGTAGAAAAGCGTCGCCGTTTCATAATTGAAACAGCCAACATATTCGTTGTTTGGTGGCTTCTTATGTTGTATAGTATATAATGAGATCATGGAAAAAACATGAATTTGAATCTATTTTCTTTTATCCAAATCAAAGCCAGTATTATATTATATGGTATTTAAAAATGAAAATTTTAAATTCTTGTAGATGTGGACCGAATTTTAGAAGCAACGACAATTCCAATATGTGTCAAGCTTTTTTCAGTAGTGCTTTCGTCGCTCACTGATGTATTTTTGTTTTTGATATATTTTATGTCTTGTCTTTCGTTGCAGAATATTCTTTCTTCATTGTCGTCGATCACGAAAAACAAAACATCAATCTTCATTGCGCATCGTCTGTCCACTGTGGTGGATGCGGAGGAGATAATTGTGCTGGAAGAAGGCAAAGTAAGGGAGCGTGGAAATCACCATACCCTTTTAAAAGACACGAACACTATGTATTCCTACCTATGGAGCAAACAGCACGAGCCCCAGATCCCCTTAGAAAAACTGGAGGAACAAATCAGCGAAAACGAGGCAAAGACCAAATATGATTTCCCTGTACCCGAGGCTATGAGTACTTGAGTATGTTTGCAAAGATTGTTATTTCTAATCCTCCAGATTGTTTGTAAATTAAATTGGTGAAGGCTTGTGATTTATTCTTTTAAAACGTTTGCAACTTTTTGAACATTTCTTAAGCCTGGTTCTCATTTATCGCAGGTCGTCGGCGACCGTTGGCGACCGTCGGCGACCGTCGCCGATGCAAGTGTTCTCATATACATCTTGTCTGCGATGGCCTGCGATCTTCTGGCCCTGTTGTGTCACATGTGGCCTTGAAAACAAAGAGCATCATTTGTTAATTTTTGCGCCAATTCTGATTACAGTTTCTCGACTAAATGAAAACATCAGCCAGTGCATAGGGTCATATTTTGAAACAATATATATTACTTTGCTGATGCCGCTACCAGATTCATTCCATTTTTCATTTTTGATCATTTACACAGGGTAAAGCTATCAACTATATATAAAGAAATTGCTTTCCAAGCTGCCCTGTACAAAGAAAAAAGATAAACCCTAAAATTTAACAATACAAATAATGATGATTTAATGAAATTTAATCAGAGTTAATTTAACGAGGGGCTTTTGCATTGGCTGTTACTCCTGAGTTGATTATTGACTGTTATTCATATTTTTGGTCTCATGTGCCACGCCTTCTCATGGCTCTTTTGCATTTGCGTTGCTCGTTTATTGGTATTGCGAAGTAGTCTTGGCCTCCGGGGAATTTGTTTAGTAATGCTAGGGCAACATTTATGGCTCATGGCGGTTTATATTCCCTAGGTTATTCTTGGGGTATTTAAGGTTTTTGGCATAGTGTTGGTTTCATTTGCTTGATGAAAGGCGACAAATTGAGTGTGCTGTTTATTTTCCCAGCCCCCCTCCCTTTCTTTGTTTTCTGTTTTTTCTTGATGACTTCAATAAAAACTTCTCGTACCTTTAGGCATTCTTTATGTTTTTAGCATTTACTTGGATGCTTTCAGGTAGGACTGGTGCATCGGCTGTTAGTGGGAAAAAGAGACTTTTCTTGTCCATTCCCTCCCCTTTATTAATTAAATTTGGGGGTTATTATGGAAATTTCCAAAGTAACAGCTTCCTGTTTAGGTTAGTGGTTGGTTTAGCGATTTGCCAACTCGCTCTCGATGATGTGGGAACGTAGCCTCATGACTGAATTTCTGATGTCGAGGGCATGATTTCTGAGGGAGCTTTTTGCCCGTCATTTTGTTGGTATTTTATTCACGAGTTAGTAAATTAATACATAATAGAATAACATAATGAAAGCAGTTAAAAGTACTGGAACGAACGCCAGGAATAAAAAGTGTCCCTTTTTGTTCTGGAGTTTTCGAGACAGGATTTAAATTATTTAAAAATTTTTTTGTTAATTTTGATTTTGCGTCCAGACCATTCCAAAGTTTCGCCCCTCCAAAAGAAATGCATGCATTTTTGGCCACATGTTGTTCATAGAAACGGGACACGAAGATCGGTTTCGGTGTTTCGAAGTTTCCGGGTACTGGTTTCTGATAACCTGTCGAGCTGGCACGCAAGATACGAAGGAGCCTCATTATTTGTACACTTGTATACCATTTCAAAAGTTTCTTTTACAATCAAGTCATTAACTGTCTGCCAGCCCAGTTTCTTTATAACTGGAAGAGCAGAAGCGTTGGTTACGATTCTGGCCGCGCAAGTTTGTAGTTTCTGTAGCTTGTCTAGTGCCGTAATTCCGCATACTGGGCAACAATATCGAAATACTTGGCAACAATATCGAAAGTACAGCTCTGCCAGAATTTTATACATTGTTTGCACGACTTTGTTTGGAGGTATTGTTTGGAATAGCGCAGCATTCCTAACGCCGTAGAGATCTTTTTTATCATATTAGCTCAAATGTTGATCAACATATACCCCAAGGTATTTACCAGGGCCCGCGCCACCGATTCTAAAGTGGGATTTCTTATTTAAAGGGAGGTTACCTATTTAATATTTTAAAGGGGGATTTAATACCTATATGGGGAAAATGCTGGCCTAAGTCACTCTGACTTGCCAATTATTATGTTCAAGATGTTCTTGTAATTAAACGGCTTAAAAGGCCACAATCTCAAACATAATCTGGATGATCTGCCTATGTTGCAGAACCCGTTTCCAACTAAAACGATTTTAAACGATGGCCGAAGCTTAACTAGAATCTTTTTCTCAAACGCGTGCGACTCTCAAAACTCTTACTCCCTAACTAACTGATCACGTGATCTTACGTCAACGGTAACAAAACGCTATTTTCTACAACCTATAGTTAAGAAGAAAAGTAGGGGGTTCATGGCCCCTCTGCCCCCTTGTGGCGTGGGCCTTGTTTAGTGTCCTTTATCATAGAGATTGTCTCCCTACCTATTAAGAGATGGCCTCACTGCCGTAGCTTGCTGAATATTTTTAAATCTTTGCCTGCTACCAACACTTAAGCTGTAGGTTTTGGCAACATTAAGTGACAGCTTGTTTGCAGCAAGCCACGTTTTGAGACTGGCTAGGTCCTCATTAACACGTTCATTGATTACAGGGATGAAGTTAGCTGAAAACGATAAGCTAGTGTCATCAGAATATATGTTAACTTGTGAATGTTTCAATGATAACATGACTATGATGACAATGGAAGGTCATTTATGTATAAGATGAAAAGAAGAGGCCCAAGGCAAGACCCTTGTGGAACACCACATATAACTTTTTTTCAAACATGGACACCGTTCCATTTACCTTAGAGCATTGCATCCTGTTCGACAAGTAGGTATGAAACCAGCCAAGCTCTTTATTTCACGCGCCATAGAGTTCCAACTTTTCAATAAAATATCATGATTGACGGTGTCAAAGGCTTTTTTAAGTCGATGAATGTTACCGACGTATATAGTCCACTGTTTATGTTTAGGTACCAGTCATTAGTGCATTTTAGCAAGCAAGTGAGTACTGAGTGCAGCTTTCTGAAACTTGATTGCTGCGAAAACAGCATTTATACAGCTGGTCATAGACAAGTTTTCAAAGATCCGAGACAAAACTGGTAGGAATGAGACGGGAGGATAATTTGACCCTTCAACACCGACGCTATCCTAGTGATTTTTCGCATATCTGGGAACACCCAAGAAGAAAGGGACAAATGAATAAGCTTTGCAAGAGGCTCCGCCAAGATAGGCTTTCCAGCTTTTAAAAAGAAACTATAAATTTCATCCAGGCCATGCCCCTGCGAGGTCTTGAACGTAAAAAGTCTTGTATCGTCGTTCAGCCTCTGTTAAATACATCTCCGCTTATACAGCCTAAACTTATACTCTCCTGGCCTGAAGGCCTTTGCATGGTTGGTTTAGATTTTCTTATTTCTTCGATAAATTGCGAAGCTGATACATTTATCGCAAGCATCGCAAGGCCCTCATCGGTGACGATCGCCGATATATGATGACCAGGCTTCACTGCACGATTGAAGAAATGGTTCGGGGCTTTGTGACAGGGATAGGTCCATATGCAGGACTTTTCATTCCCGGGCTTTTTGTACGTTCACAAAACTATTCAGTTAAATTGGTTTTGCTCTTTTAAATAACACATAATTTCACAATTAAACGCTTAATTTTAATTAGTGCATAATTTTACATAATTACATAATTTGACTGTTTTAGCGAGATTCAGCACCTCTTGTTGCTGCTCCTCGCGAAATGACGTTAGTCGCATGTCTAATCCAATAGAAAGATGACATTTATCACCACGTACAGTGAAGGCGAATAGAACACAAGCAAGTTTTTCTTGCAAGTGGTGACCTAAGACGTTAAATGCATTCAGTTATGATTACATTACGAACTTTATTGTGTTGTCAAGGTCATCACCTAAGCAGAACTCGCTTTTTAAACGATTTCTTTCTTCAAATTTTATTTTTCGTCACTTTTAATCAAAAACTGAAAATTTTCATTACGAGCTCACGCAATTGAATAAACACATACAGGATAAACGTCCTAACATGTTGGGACAGTTTTCAGAAGTCCAACAAACGTTCCTTGGTTATCTTTTGGATGAATGTTCCTTGTTCATTCTAGACACTGCATGAAAACATGTGGACTTCGTTAGCCCTTATTTGCATCCTAGCTAGTTTCCAAATGCTCTTTGAAAGCAACACCTTCTTCACTATGGGTCAAATATTCGTTGAAGAAAAAGATGAATCAGCATCACCCGTAACTCCAACTGATTTCGTTGTGCCATTGAAATATTTTCATCGATGTAATATGGACAGAAGCTGCGCAAAGGTTGCACTAGATATCATTACAGGGGAGATACTTCTGGTTGAGGACGAGTATTTTAAACAAAAGGGCTTCAAAGTGTGGAATAAAAACGGTATGGCCTGCTTTCTATGCTAGATATATGTTTCTTACGCACAAAGATATGCTCATGATAAATACCAGATTCAAAACACGATATTGTTCTTATGCATTTAGCATTTATTCCAGTTTGCGAAAATATAAGAACTTGATCAAAACCAATGCGATTTCTGTTATGCTTCCTGATTCCAAATAAGTTTGAAAACTTTCAACAATTAACCCAGTGAAAAATTTATTCTTACTGTATGCATTCTTATTTCAAGCAAAACATCATGTTTAGCTTTGTATCCAATTTAGGATATTGTCCAGTTCGCTTCAAGACACTCGGTTGCTTTAGAAGTCACCATACATACAATGGAAAAAGAAAACTGGAACATAAAATTTCAACAAGGATGGACCCACAAGATCACGTGTTTGAAAAACCAATGATACTCTGGAATGACTTTAAATTTGAAGCCTTTAAAATTGTGTGCAATTGTGTGTCGAAAGCTAAGTCAGTGGGATACAATATTGCCGCAATTGAAAACTATGGTAAGTTTTAAAAACGTACAGTTTAGAGGAGGCGTTATAAATCGGGATTCTGCAGTCATATGCAGGCTGTTATTTCTTTTAAAAGACCTCTTGTGACCATAAACTCTCTGAAGAAAATTTCCTGTGAAGATAGTTTGTAATTTTTTGGTTTAAAACCACAATTTGCGATGAAATTATGACGTTGCAGATAAGCAGGAGTCACCTAAATAAAAGTCAGGATTTCAGAGTTCATAATTAACATGTTTCCATGCTTATAATAAGCGCTGCCGAGTGGTTTCAGAGGTCCTGGGGCAAAAGCGAAAAACGTGACCCACTAAAAGCAAAGCGTGCAGAAAATCTTTGCGACCACCCCTTTAATATAAGCTTAAAATGCAATTTAGAACATTTATTCCAATGATTTCTTGCAATCATTTTAAACATTTTACTTCTTAAGCAAACTTTTACTACCTTTGATTAATTCCATTCTGTAAATGGAATTCATTACTTTATAAGGCCCCCTAGACCTAGTGGCCCTGGGGCGATTTGCGCCCTTGTCCCCCCTCTGGATAATTGATAATATTGTCATGTGTGAACATGGCAATTCCTGCGTCTTGATGTATGAAGCGATTTTATGAAAGATTGATTCTAAAAACTTCAAACCTACTATGTTGTGGGTTAGGTGCAAGCAGGAAATTCTTGCAAAATACATATGACATAGGAGGTCGGTTCTTTCTGTACAGCACATTCTGTAAAGCATTTTCTGTACAGCTTTTTCTGTATAGCCTGCATTAAAAAAAACTCAAACACACATAACAGTAAGTAGTAAATTGTTATTGTTTGCAAGGGAAGCGGATCCCTTGAGCTCTCTTGGTACAATATCAATGTGCCAAACATGGTTTCGATTTTTTTCCGTGTAACAAAGTAATTTGCTGCGAGCATTTTATTTCCTTCCAAACTGCCTAACTTTTTGCAAAGTGTCTAAACCTGTTAAATTATTTATCAATGGCTGAAAATTTCCTAGGAGAAAATTTTTTTAACTGTGATTTCCTTTTGACCTGTGGTCACTCGGTCACGGGGAAATTAACAACATTAAAGGTGATGATGAATAACGAAAATATTTTTTTATCCAATAGGAGAGTGTTGGGCGTCTGATGTTAGCCCAAGTATCTTCGAACCCAGCAGGACAGCGGATCATTTATGTGTAACTATTGAGTTTGAAACTTGTGAACGGTCAGAGAACCTCTGCATTGGTAAAGACTACACTCTCTTTGCATATAAGGTCATTTAGCTTTTTACACGTGACTAAAATATTGATGACAAAGTAAGGAAATACATAGCCTTGCGTTGTATATCATCACAGAAATCGATACATTGCATCCTCGTTCATCCGAGCCTCGGTTACCTGAACCTCGTTTGATGTGATGTTTTGTACCTGTACGTATTTTCATTTGACAGAACGCTGATATAAGCTCGTCTCCAATTAATTTCAAGCCCTTAAACTAATCCAGGAAGTTAGGAAAGCATCCAAAAGACAAATCTTCTTGATATCTCTGTTATGAATCTATATTTGAGATCAATGAAGATGTGTGTCAGTTATTATCTTAGCAGCATAACCAAAATGGTTTTTTTATTCACATGTTTTTCCTAACAGAGAATGGAAAAATCTGACAAACAGATCTAATCTATCTAATGCCATTCGCTTTTACCATGGTATTATTGAAATTTAAAATGAAATTTTTGACTCTTTCTCATGTATTGTGAATGATTTTTCCTGACCAAAATCTTATCCTCGGCCATCCAAACATTCGGCTGATCTGAACCGCTCTTCTTACATTTTATTCCAAGCTGTTCGTATAAACGAGTATGCACTGTATAACAAAACGAATTTATGACTCAAAACAAAACTGTATTTTCGCCTTCCCCTATAACCACTTTTTACCTCATTGTTTTACCATTGTTTTACCAAAGCATAACAATAAAATGTTTTTTTCGAAAACATCACTGTGTAACAAGCCCGGTGAAAGCCATTCCAGGAAACCATTTACTATTTCCTTATCGTGAAGCCCCCTTTAGAAAATTCGAATTGCCTGGGTATTTTTCCATTGCCCAACATCCTCTGCACGTCCAAAGTGTTAAGAGTTATAAACAAGTTCACCCTGTTTCTAATTTGACCCTGAGCGCTGGCAACATTATTGAAAATTTTACCCCTTATCACCTCTGAATGATACTCCTAACATGTTTTGCATGATACATTTTTTCTTTCTTTCAAACCTTCCCTTTGAAAAGAGGATCTTTAATGAAAATCGAACATCAGAATTTAAAGAATTTAGTGGCTGTCTCTACCGGTCCAGTATTGTCAATGCCTTTTTGATAGGTCTCTTCTGTTTTCACTATAAGAGCTTAGTTATTCTGCTTACATTCGAGTTCTTAGATCGTTCTGCTTTTGCCAGCTTGAAAATTTGCTTAACATTGAATTGGGGAATTACAACAGCTAAAAGTATTCTTGTCACTAGGCCATGTTTAATTTGTTATTTTTAGTGACCAAAACAGACATTGTTAAATAATGAAATTTTTTACAATGCGTTAATACCCCTCTTATAAGAAATTCACTCATATGACAAAGTCCGGAGCATATTGTAAATCCGTTCTCACTGTATGTTAATTGTATTCCTTACAGCTAGTCTATGGTAAAATTATATGCTCTTTTAAAAAATCGATTTCTCCAGCGGATTTGAGTTTTCGTTTTTAAATGACGTCATGGTGATGTCATAGCGCATTATTTTTTGCAAATATATCTTCAATTCAATTCAATTTTACTTCTAAAGCCGAAACCCACTCCGGAAAATGATCCGCTGGTCGGATCAGATCGAGTTGGTCTGACATGTTCCGTTCGATCTGCAACAATCTTAACTTTTCTAAATAATGTAGAACTACGAAGTTTTACAGGGCAGATAAAGATCATAAACCAGACTCCAGTTCGCAATAACGTTTTTTAAATCAAGATTCTTCAGCAGGGATAGCAACCAACGATTACAACCTAACGACTTCGTTCAACGACAACTTTGACTCGACTGGACTTGCACTGAAAGAACATACGCTTTTAACAACATGAGTGACGCACACAAAACCCTAATGACACAAATTAACGGCGAATGACTAAAAACAACTAAAATAGCGATGGTACGATGACAAACAAAATGGACTGACGCAAACATCGAAAGACATCCTCATTAACGATAACGAACCACAAACACGATGCACGACAGACAAAACTAGTTGTATAACAATAAGTATGTTTAGTCTAGGGCAAGAAATATTACAAATGTGCTTTGAAATGCCTAGATTTTCCAATTTTTGTCAGTTCCGTCATTGATCAAAACTTGCTTAGAACAAGGCCTCCAAAGCAGGCACCACGCAGCCATTGGGCTAGCAGGGGCTACAGGCCCCCCCCCACTTTTTTGCAATAATAGGCTAGGAAATTTTTTGGAAGGTTTACTCCAACGCAAATCTGGAGCAAAGTCTACTCCTATGTAGCAGTTTTTCTTGACTGGAAACCTTTTTTGGTTAATTTTCTAGGTGCTTTATCTTGTTTAATGATATGATCGTGTTTTATTACCCTCAAGCTAATTTATCTATTTTATAGATATTGATATCTTTTCTGAACCAGACTGTTTATAAAAATTGAATAGAAATAAGCAGGTATTTTCTAAAAGGGGTATTTTTCGGCGTTCTAGAGGGCGTGGCCTCAAAAAAATTTCGGGCACACCCATTTCAGCCCCTTCACTTTAAGAATGGTGCGCGGTCCCTACTCCAAAGTAGTCTACATCATAGACGGAGGAGCCAGGGGTATGAAGGGCACATGCGATGCTCGCTGCTTCCCCGAAACAGTGGTAATAAAGTACATATTTGTAGCTCACGGAGGTGCCCCTTCTTTGCCTACATGTGCCCCTCCTCAAACTTTAAAGGAGAACTGACACGCAAAAATAACTTTGGCTTATTCGATGCAAAATTTGTTGCTGACTTCAAATCTGGAAAAAGTTTTCTTCTAAGATTCGCCCTTTTTCTGATATTTGCACTTTTATCCGTCAAATACGTCACAGCCAGGACTCGGGAATTTTCCGAAGCGGAAACAGGATTATCGCCAGGAGTTGTTAAAATTATCGGTTGACGTCACAAGTGACATGTTAACAATGCCGTTGTAAAGGCTTTCACCGCAACGGTGAAGGTACAAATGAAGTTTCGTGTTTTATTAAAAATAGTCCGCGTTGAAAAGACAAAAAATTGTCAGGCATTTCATTTATAAGTATAAAGAAACTAAAAAATCCTAGCTACATGTCTGCTAGGACGCTAATATCCACATGAAATTTATTTTTATGCCATGATATCTTCGAACCAGCATGCTTTGAAACATTGAAAGAGCCTCTAAGCTTGTGAAGAAAAGGAGTCGACTTTGTTTGAAAACTGATGCCGTTTCTTCAAAGTTTTTATTTTTATAATTACAAATAAAATCGCAAGATGAGGGGACGGGGGGAGGGGGGTTGAAGCAATAGCCAAAAGACAAACGAAATCTAGTGGAGACAGCGGTAAAAGCGATCCTGCAACCTGCTTTGGGTGCAGAAATATGAATTCAAGAAAAAACCTTGGTTGCTGGGAGCTGCGAGTGTGACTAAATAATAATTTCACTGAACTTGATTATTGTAACAGAGGTTGAGATACTAGGGAATAACCTGGTCTTGCAAAAAGACCATCCCCCACCCAAGTCAAAATTGCTTGCAAAAGAAGATAATGCGCCAGTTGATATTCCTATGACAGCTAAACAGCATTTTTTTCGACTAAGATAAGAAATAAAGTTCTTTGACAAAGAGCTAAGAGCCCATTCCGTAAATCCAGATTTTTCGACTGCCAGGTAACTTATCAGTTCCCGAAACCCTTCACGCCCGGTGAAAATGGCATATAATCCGCACAGGTCGACTTTTAACCCGCCTTTACTATTTAATATCACTATACAATTAACGCGTTTGAAACATTGAAAAACAATCATGGAATGTTATATTAACAATGAATAACTTGCAGTTCCGTTTAGGGCATCATAGGCATTTCAGCGAATTAGGCCTTACAGACAAAGCAGCCTGGACAAAGACCCCTCAATCTGAAATGAAATTCTAGTTTTAGGATACCTGATCTCATTTAGATTGTAGCAATAGCATTTTTTTAATAAAAATTCCATATCAGTTTGTAATTCCAGTCTGTACTTTGTTCATAACATCGTCACTGTTGAGCCATGGGACGACTGTCTGCCCAAGCAGCGGCGCTGGTTGGTAGCAAAAACTCAGACGGCTGAAACTCTCCATTTGTTTCGAAATCAGTGTAATAAAACTCGGATTCAGAGTCCCAAACCATTGAAAAAGTCAATTATGTGTCAAAAATGCAAAATTAGCTCCTTTCAAATGCACAAAATAAAGATTTGTCCGCAGCATTTTCTTAAAGGTTTCTATAGAGAAACACAATACGTGCTGAGAACATGTCACTTGTGACGTCAAAGATGATCGCTCACTCGGGACGATTTTCGCCTCGAGTCTCAAGTTGTCGGAATAATTGTCGTTTCTCAACTTAAAACGCCTGTATTTCAAAAACGGTAACTGTGATTTAAAAAATTTTTTCGATCCCGGAATTTGCTTGTCACAAGCTACCGTTTTAGCCAAACTTATTTTTGCGTGTCAGTTCTCCTTTAAAACCTCTATGGGTTGGCTTGAATGGGGTCAAATGGGAAGGAAATCAAGGGTTCTATGAAGTGGCCATTCTGGAAAATCATTGAACAGTCTCATTATCAAAGTGAGGCGAGTAACGAAAACTGTTCTTGTTCGATTTGTTATGGCGGTAATTTAGTTGAAAAGACCTTTGGGAAGTTGCAATCTTGGATTTTAGATTGCTTGATAAACCGTTGCTGGTATATTTCGTATCGTTTAGCTGAATTTTAACATCATATTTTTTGCTGTTGCGGACTGTATGGCTTCGTCAAGTTACTGGGGAGTTTAGCTATTAACGGACTGGGGAACTCTCAACAGACAAAACTATCTTCTCGCAAAACTATCTAGAGGCCAGTCCAGTTAGGACGACCAGGAAGCTCGGTTTATTGCAAAAGTTTTCTAGAAGCATGGATACGAGAGGCTATTACAGAAATGTGAGTATGTTACCCGCTGTGTTTCAGGAATCAGGTTCTGTCTGGCTTCTGCAGTAAAAACCAGCATCAGAAGAACCACCAATTTTAGGAACCTTTTACTAAAATTGCACGATTTGGATTTCTTAAAAAGGAACACAACTGACCCTAAAATTTTTTTTGATTCTTGTATAAAAGATGCTAAACTTTGAATTTTAACCGATCTGCAAGAAAGCTGGAATCTTCTTTCAAGATAAATACAATATTTTTAAATGCTTACTGAACAGAAGCAAAATGGGAAAATGTTTGTATAAAGTTAGCATTCAAGGTTATTTCAAGCTTAAAAAATTGTATGTTTAGTTATTTCCAATTCACAAAGAGTCCTCTTAGAAGTGTATGTCAAATCAAGAAAAGTACTCAATTAAGAGATCATTAAATTTTTGTCACAACTTTAATCTTTCTGCATTGTATTGGTAACTTGTCTAAGGGAAAGATAACACAATATTAAATCTCATACCTATTCTCATGGAAGATCATTATCAACATAGATTTGAACCTAAATTAACATGAATCAGGACAAGGCAAGAACTCAGGTGACACCATTGTTATATGTTGGTTAACAGTGTACATGTAATATACTAACTCACCAACTCGCAAACTTCTATTGTTAGAATTTAAATTGGAAGGCAATACAGAACTTTCTGAAGTTTTGATTCAGTTAAGCTGAATTCACACTATACGCGTCACAGTGTGAATAGAATGCCTCATTTCTTTGGCTAAGACAATGTTTTTTGATATATTAGTTTCAGATTATTGTTTCATCTGTTTCTGTAGCATACTTAAGTTTTCAGCTTGATTTTGCAATGCAATTAATACAGTACAACTTGTTGAGAATTTTGCAAGTTGCTGTGAACAGCATTGGAAAACAGATAACGTGCCGCTCGATGACGCATCGTGTGTGAATAGCATGAAAAAGTACATGACGCAATGCTCGATGATGCTCAGTGACGCACTGTGCTGCAACGTGTCCAGTGAGAATTCAGCTTTAAATAGCTATTTCAATGCTAATTTATTTTTCTTTGTGTGAGAACTCATTGCCTTAAATCAGGTTTTAAGAACCTTAATAAAGAAGCACTACCCTTAATTTTATTCATAAGAATATTAATTTCCTTTTATAAGAATCTTTTTAGCCTAAGTCCAACAAAGGAGGTTCTTTTAGGCTGGTTTTTACTGTATATGACATTTACTTTGGGACAGCTTTGATGAAGCAACTTATGCCAGATGTTGTCCAGGACAAAAAACAGGACAAAAAGTCAATGAAGATGAGCAACGTTATTGAAATTTTGTTAGCTTACATGTAGCTTACATAGATGCACGAAACTAAAAGTAGTATTGTCAATGTCAATTTCCTGATAGAATTATATTTTTTCTGTGAATTAATAACATATTGTATTTTATTAAAAGCTCCTGGGTAAAGGCAGATTTTGACTTTAAATATTTACCTTACATTATTAATTTTTGTATAATTTTATTTTCATGGAAATATTTAGAACATTCTACGAATTTTGAAACCAACTTTCTTTTTAAATATAGTCTTGCAGTGTTTGTCAATTTTCAAAGGCTATTTTTTAGCCCATGACACTGACTATTTTTATTATGTGACATACTTTAACAATCTTTAGCCGTACACTATTTGATTGAGGCACTGTCCTTAAAAGTTTGAGGTAACACTTGCCTGTTTCACTTTTTAGGACTTTCATCGCCCTTCACCTTATGATAGCCCAGAAACTATATCTCCTTTTCGAACAACTTTTGTCAGTCAAAGATCAACTGAGTCACCATCTGCTACTGGTTATAACAGCTCAAGGACCTCATACCAGGACTACCCAACATCAAGAAGATTAGCAGATGATGATTATGGTGGTTTGAATGCCAGATCTGCAGATATTGAATCAGCTCAGGAGTCTAATAGCAGAGGTTTCTTTTCGCTTTCTTATTCAACTAAACCTATTAAGACTCTATTAAGCAGCTAGGGGCTAGTTTGATCCTGGGGATTGAAAGGGACTCCAAAGAACGCTCATTAGAAAGTTAGAGAGAGATAATGCCTCTGCAGTCAGAATATATCTCATCAGTTTCAAGATTGTTTAAAAAAAGTCATTTTGCTTTGGCATTTTCAAGCATGACAACTGATTTCTCAAATTCAACTGGACAAAAAGAGCTTAAGGTTGGACTTGTTATTTCATGAGGTACTGTTTAGTGTCTGTTTAAAAAGCTGCTAAAGGAATTAATGTACCAAAAGGTATAAAGTTTTATGCAAAAAATGTCATAACCTGATACTGAATTCTAGTGTTTGTCTAGGAAAGGGGGGCTGATAGAGATGGGTGCTTGTTTCAAATTTCTGCATTGAAAGGGGACCTAATAGACCGGGGTTAAGCTAGGCCTTTTCCAAGAAATGGTCCTTGGGATCTAGCCAGGGCTCTCATGATTTCTTTACAGTAAAGGATTACTCCAGGTGAAATTAATATACTCTGTGGCATTTTGCCTGAAAATTTTGAAGGGCAGAGGGTCTTAAAAATATTTTCCAGCCCTGGGGGTAAGATTAAACATGCATTCCGAACACTGCAAACAAGCTCTCAGCTCTAAACTTTCTCCGTGGCCTCAAGAAGTTTATTTTTTATTTTAAGCTAAATTTCAGCGTTGCATAATTGCCATCAACACAATATTTGCTTGCAGAAATTCTAAATAAAAGTATTTACTTCTAAAGCTGTACTCAATGCACTAAAAAGCCTTCAAGAAAAGATTGGCAGGCTTGAGCTTGACAGAGTAAAAGCAGAAGAGAATTTGAAAACACTAGCTGTTGAAGCAAACGATTACAGAGCAATATTGCAAAAGGAGCATGAACTCTCTGAATCTGCTCAGAGTGCAATTGAAGTGCAAAAAAGAGGTATGTCATGTTTGTATTTCGAAAATTTATTAAAAGAAGTTTGAAATACTAGTGAAAAGAATTGTTCAAATTTGGGCATTCTTAATTCAATCTAGCCTATGTATCCCCAAAATTTGGTTAAAGGTGAACTGAAATGCAAAATTAACATATTCTCAAATGAATGTTTATTGGACATCAATACAAGTGACATTATCAGTTTTTTTATATTCAACACTGTTTTCGAGTTGCGGAAATTTAAGGGTAGCGATAATTATATTAGCAAATAAGGGTAGCGATAATTATATTGGCAGGACTGGAAAAATAATGGTAATAATTTGTAATTTTCAGCCTTCAAAATATTTGTAACTAATTGATAAAGCAGTGATAAGCTACAAAACGACTCCTTCCTGAAGGTAGATCGTCCCTGTTAAATTTTATTTTTCTGTTATTTTCTGGAACCTACCCTAATTAACTTGGATATATGCTGTAAAGATTTAGAATTCAAATCACTGTTCTTCGGCATATTCATATTTAATCAAATAAAAGATTTTTAGGGGTTAAGAACCCGGTACTATAGATTTTTCATTTGACATTTATACGAAGCCATCAAGCATTGGCATTATCTTCAAAAGAAATCTAGGAGCCTGTGCTTCTTGACTGGCTACGGGCTCCTTAAAAAGGGTAACCCACCAGCAACGTAACGAAGAGTTAGGAGGCTACAGCCCTCGCTGAATTACCCGAATCAATGAATCGGAAAAGCTTGCAAGGTTCCAGAAATTATATATCAAAAAATAATGTTTCAGATTTATTAAAAAAAAACATGCTCGATTCGTGATGAAAGGAAAAAATTCAGACATTCGTCCTCATGATTAACTTCAGAAATTAGTATTTTTTCAAGCTGCTAAAGACCCTAGTACCTATCCCTTCCAAACGTCAACGCTGTCCTATCATTACGCAGTACGATGACATATCCTTTGTAATTTTCGTTAGCTTCAAATTTGCATATATTTGGGATCAAAGGCTTCACAGATCTTTTCAAATAGTAACTGAGCCATATGAGCTGAACGATCTAGTTCGTGCGTGATTTGCATTCAAGGAATTAAAAACATGGTGGTTGTGACGTCACGCGCGCTGGGTCACATGAAATGCCGACAATGGTCGAGTCACAACACTCGACGATAATTTCATGACTTTAAAGCGGAATTGAGTCAAAACGGACAATCAACCGAAAACTTGAAATTAGAATTCTATGCATCTTTTTTGCACTATATAAAGAACAGTTTTGCATTTCATTTCACTTGAAAACTTACTTTAACTTTTGAATCATAACCATAAACACTTCTTTTTTATAAATCTTCTTTTTCTCCACATAGAGCTAGAAAATTTGTATTTTGTTATGTTTTTGAAGCTATGTTTTTCTTTATGTTCCAAAATTTAGCTTCTTTTTTCTTTGCAAAAGAGTGTCTGACAAAGAATCAAACCTATTACTTCGCAGTTTTCTCAGTAAAAACCTTTCGGCTCTTGGAGTCGTAAACTTCTTCGGTCTGTCAACTTTTTACACACCGCAAAAGCTGCACTAATTGAGCAACCGCCGACAATTGATGCAATTTAACGATAACTATTTGCAATATTTTCACAGGAAGCAACTTGCAAGTGCTTCTCGTTACTTACTTCTTGATATTTATGATACGTCTCAAGGCCTAAATAATTTTTATGGTTGATGTTTTTTAATCTTTTGATGTACATAAAAGGCCTTCAAAACATCAACAGTACTTGCGAAAATTCCATAGAATTAACAGCCGTACTTGTTTAATGTTAGAAGATTTTTAAAAGTTTTTCAAAATTTATTGCATAAAATATCCTCAAAATTTCGAAAACTTTTTTAATGTTAGTGTAGTTATGCAATCTTTGAATAAATATCAAGTAGATGTTTAAATAGAAAATGGGAAGCCTGAAATTAGAGGTGTTGCCTATATTCTGGGATGTTTTGTGCCTTGTTTTTGCAGTATTAATTTGCAGTATCAATGGGAAGTTTCTAAAGACTGAACACTGACTTTTCATTATTCAAACTAGACATTCAGTTGCTCATGTCCCCCTTTTTATTAATGCCTTTTAGTTTTTGTAGGATTTTATAGTCTGGTTACATGCGCCTGTGAATTCATCCATTCATAGCACTTTTACTGTACCCTATGTGATATTTGGCTATCCTTCAGTATCTTTACTCATTGAAATATCATACATCTATCGGAATTAGCAAGCATTTATTTACCATTGCATTTGACCTTTAACATTTTTGACACAAGTATGTTTACATTGATGTGAAGTCCAGATACACACAATAGATCTTTGCAAATTGCTTAACATCTTTGTAAGAATTAACCTGAAAGAAATATATTGCTGGTCATTTCCTGAAATTCAAAAATTTACATGATACAATATTTAAACACTGCCTGAAATTAAGAAATTTACATAATACAATATTTTGTTTTGCAAATCTTTGTATTTATAGATAGGACAACTCTGTTTAAATTTGCCTTTGAAATATTTGAAATCAAATATTTAGGTCTATATATTTTTATCTCTGTACGTGTGTTTTTTTACTTTGCCTAGATCTCGAAGACAAACTTCACTCGGCAGAAGATAGGTGTCAGCTGCTTGAAAAACAACTAAAATACATGAAGACAATTCGGCATCCTCCAGAACCGGTTGCAGCTCCCAGATACAATCCCTATGATCAGCATTCCTTAAGATTTGGTCCCCAGTTCAACCAACCTGAGTTGCAGGTTTTTTCTTCACCTCCAAGTGATAAACTTGCCGAGTTGGAAAGAGGGCAAATTAAGCTAACTGCCTCACAAACACTAGCCGAGGTAATTTCGCAAAATAAACTTATCTTATTACATTTTATTTCCTTGAGGCTGCCTTTCATATATGCTTCAGACAAAAGTTGACACAATTTCGTCATTTGCGTGCCTTGACATTATTCTATGTTTGTTTTAATTTTCAGTCTGGCAACTCATGCAAGTCTTACTACATCATGCTTAACAATGTTGCATGATTGTTAAGATTGTTAACATTGTAACACAATTTTCTATTGGTATAATGTATTGTGAAGCTAGCAACGAGCATCAGTAGCTGCAAGTCAGCTTAGTACCTATTACGGAGTAGTCTGTTGCCCCAATATGATCGCATTTATTTTGTTTGTTTATTGCAGAGTAAAATTAGAGAATTGGAAGAAAAGCTACAGGAAGAACGGCATCAGAGGAAACTTTTGCAAGACAGAGCTGCCGAGGTATGCATTAAATGCCCATATCTTTTTCTGCAAGAAAGGCACATTATTTTTGCGCTATTCTTGTTAATTATCTTACTGCGTATACTGACATGTGAGTTTCTTATATTATGTATACATCTAACTAGTACTTTTATTGGCTTTTTTTTTTAAATAACAAAAGACAATGCCTGCTCTCTCAAAATAAATTTATCATACAGATGACCATTATATAGTAGATTTCGTTAACAAAAGTACCTTTTTTCTAAGCTTCAAACTTTGGCAGCAACGAATAGAATTCTTTTGAACATGACATCACCAGAAAGTAAAAAGACGAAGAAAAAGACACGGAAAAAGAAAGTGAGTGTTTATGTTTGTTTTAAAGCTAATGAATAATTGAACTCTTTAAATTTTTGACCTGGTATGCCAATGACGCTCCCTTTTGTTGGTCCATCTATCTCTAATGGAAACTACTGTTTTACTGGTCTGCCATGAAGTGCTGTGTCGATATCGTTTAAACAGAGCTGTACACGCTTCTAAGTTAAACGTGTATAGAACAGGACTGTTCTAAGTTGCAACTCCGATTTCCACGTTTAATGCGATCATCAGGTAACGTCTCTACTATTTATGTATTTAAATCTATTTCTGTGTTTACTAAATAGTCAATGTTTGTATGGTAGTTTCTATTCACCTCTCCACCTTGGATTAGAGACTTGTTTTGTTCACTTCGAAATCACATAACCATAACTTCCTTGAACCGCAGCTGTCTTGGAAATCTTTTGTAACAGTGCCGTGACATCTGGTTTAGTTTCAAGGAGCATAAAAGTGCATAAACCTAAGCTTTGATAAGTGGGGGGGGGGGGGGAGCTTAGGGGACAGGAGCTGCGAGACTGCGGAGTAAAACTATTTCGCATTGTATATTCAAGATTTATGGCCCTCTTATGATTTCTTTGTTGCAACTTTGCCTCAAGATGGTTTATATTTCATTTAGATTATTTTTTTCTTCATAATTAAATTATTTTTTTTTGGCTTTACTTTATCCTTGTATATTTTTAGGCCACAAAAGAGCTACCTGTTAAGAGGAAAGTCCAGAAAGAGGCAACCCCTAATGCGCATTATCGCCTCGATTTGGGAAACATCCCGTTTGTGGTTGGCAAGGTAACGTATGACTCCTTATTCGCTTTTTCTTTTCTCGTGGTTTTGGCTTAATTGCAAAAGCAGCTGCCTATACTTTAACTACCTATTATGCTTTTTTTAAAAGCTAACTGATTCTTCGGTGGAAAGCATGCAAAATGCTCAACTACGACAGCGAAGTATATCCCATAGTTTTACTTGTTTTTTCCCCGACTGGATTAAGTAATTAAACTGCCTTATTCACAGTCAACAACAAAATCTCATGCACTTGGCGCCAATATTCAAAAAGTTTTCTCCCTGATGAAATCCCACAATCCTCAGCTTTGTAACGCAGCTTCAGAAGCACAGAGGAAGTACCCCAAGAACACTTATTCCTCCGCAACCTCATCTAGTGAATCTGATGGCATCGCAGAACTTGTTGTTCAGTTGCAGGATGAATTTGGACACATGGGATTGTGAGTTATTATATTTCTTTTATTTGATTCTGGTCTCGAGTCTGGAATAAATGTATCCCCGCCTCTTACTTATTTTTCGATGAAATTCTATTTTCATTTGTTGTGAAACTGTCTGTTTTTGCGTTGTTGCATTTGGTTTTCTTATTTTGTTGCAAAGGGCCTACTTTTGACGAATCCAATCACAAACTGCTTGTGTGTAACTTATTGCTTGTAAAGAGCGTTTAAATATTTAATTTAATTTCATATGCAGGTCCACAACACTCTTTATTTTGAGTCATAAGTGCAGTTTTCCCTTTTCATAATGTCTTCAACTTATATTCATTGTTAGTGATAAATGGTATAATGTACTCTGCATTGTAACTTTTCTCGCATTCCGAACAGTGTTTTTGTGGACTCTGATGCCATCTTGCATTTCACAATTTCTCTCATTTGAATTTCGGTATTTCTCGGTATCTAATCACAGTATTACCGCTTGATGCAAAAATTTACCAAGGCCATAGAATTATTTTCAACATAACAAAGGATTTTTCTTTAAAGTTTGCAAGCATACGTTGCTCGAAGTAAACAAAGTTTCTTCCACCTTATTCTGGGCAGATAACGTTGAGAATCAGCAGGCAACCATCTATTTGTAGGACTGATTTCGAATTTCTTTTTGTAACATAGTTACTCCTGCACTTCCTGTAAACTCTTACTGTTATTCCTTGGCTTGTGGTAGAAATTGAAGTGTATTGTTCTTTATTTTCATCTGAAGTGAGCACAGTGAACTTGTTAAGCAAATCCAAGAAACTTTTGATGTGAAGCTCAAAGAAGACTTAGAAAGAGAACTTGATAGACTCGTTGCACGAATGGAAACGAAGGGCGAACAAATTGCCATTTTAAGGGAACATGAACGAAAGCACTTTGCAGCAAAGCGACATAAAGGTAACCCGCCAAGCCGCCGGAGCCTCAAGCTAAAGGGCTCAGAGGTGGAGGTCGTGACGACAATTAAAACGAAAGACGAAACACCCAAAGTTTTGAAACGAAATTGTAGGACACCCAAAAATGGGCCTAGCCCGACAAACAAAAACTTAGAGGTTTTAAAGAAAGTTCAAAAATTGCAGGGAACTTTGAGACAAGACGATTTAAGCTGGGACTGAAATATGAAGCAATTTATTTTTATGTTATTGTATGATACTGCCTGTTTAAAAACTTCATTGATTGGAGTAAACTATGACTGATGGATTTGTTTTACTTTGTAAAATATCTGGTGCTGAATGTCTCTGTTTGTTTATATTTAAGGGATATGCCGCTGTATTAACGCAACTTTGCATATTTCGAGTCAAGGGATAACTTGCATAACATATACTGAGAAGGTTCAGTAAGCATCTTGGTTTTGCAACAACTAAGAATTTTATAATTTGAGATCAGTAATTTTATGTTGTCTCCTGTGACACTCATCTATTTGTCAGGGATGTTCCACTCATCTTGCACTAATGCCTATTTCAGATTTGTATATTTGTGATGTTGGGGGTCAGAGCGTAAAACTAGCTTGCTAATTATACTCATTCTTTTGCGTGCATACATATGTTTGGTTCAATAGTAATAATGAAATTAATTAAAAAATTCTATTAGCAAGGAGTGATTGGTCTGTTTATGAAATCTGTTTCTTATGCTATTGGGCAATGTTAGGTGTGGCCAGGCCCGCCAAGATAGGGGCCGGGGGCAAATTTATAATAAAGTCCTAACAACAGCCAGTTTTACTGGCTCTTTAATTCTTCACCCCCCCCCCCACCCATAAAGACTCTCGGTGAGCCTTGATATAGCCTATTTGTAACAAACCCGTGCCATCGATAAAGTATTTCCCCGTGACATGCTATGTGTTACAAATGACAAACGATGGAAGAAATTATTTTCCTACGTTTTGGTTATAATAGAAATCATAGAATGAAATGAACTAACGATATTGAATTCCATCCAGAGAAAAAGATCTGACAACTCTTTTCGAAACCCCTATTACGTTATTGTTCATATAACTTACACATAAGATAACTGAATGTTACAATGCATGGGAATCTGTTGCAATTTCTATGTTATTGAGATTTTTATTTAAACTTATCGAATGGTTTGGCAAAAGCAAGTCTTCAATTTTTTGAGTCGTCAGACTTTTTATCTTACATATAGTCCTAGGGCCTTGAGGTCTAGGGGCCTCATAAAGTAATGAAATCCGCTTTAAAATGGATTAATTAAAAGTAACAAAATTATACTTAAAGAAAGTAAAACATTTTTAAGAATGAAAGATCGTCTTGTCTTTTGCTCACACCACGCACAATCTCTTCTCCAACGAATTTGTTATTTGCACCAGCCCTCCCCCACCTTTAAAATTGTTTCAAGCTCCTGGTAAATGTTGAATTTTTGGTTCTGCAAATTTTCACCGAAACATAAGATGATCACGATCACGATTTGTAAAGAGAATAAACTCGTGAAGTCAAAATTGCAAAAAAAATAACATTGGCAAAACCTCCCAACCCATCACATCTCCAAACCGGCTTCGGGGCTTTTTGATCAATGTTTTTGACTCGCTATGGCCCTGTCCTGACTCGGTTTGAAGACGAGACGAGTTCTGCGAATCTGGTTATTGACCATGCTTGCATATTCGATGCCTAGTCATGTTGTTTTTTAGAATATGATGCAACTCTCTGTTGGGATATTTCAGACTGCCAGTTACTGATTCGAAAGGTAAGTGATTTAAAAATGCTTGCCTGTACGTTTTTTCAACTGCTGGACAAAGTTGCATAACAAAGTAATTTTTGACAATGCATCCAAATGAAATGAATTGCATAATAAATGCAAAGTTCTGGACAAATCCATCGAAAAATTTTAATGATTCAGCCCAAAAATTTTGTAGGATTTACATCATCAAGTAGCGTGGGAGGGTATGTCACATACATCAAGGAATCTTATTACCTTTCAACAGTAGATAGCGCTAAATCTGAGATTTCCCAATTAGATAAAAGACTTATGATCCTTCAGCATCTGAAAACCCACCAGCCCTCCAAAAGGATTATGTCAGGCTCCTCCTCTCAGCTTTTAATTTGCCCCTTATTTCTAACTTGCATCAGGGCCCAAGCCTCTCCTTCAAATATGTTGAGAGTCTAAGTATGTTTTTACTTCAGCACCATCTGCTTCACTAAATTGGTCATCTGAACAAAAGCGAGGTTCACATCCAGGGTCGTGGAGAGGATAAAGGAAAGCCGGGTTAAGACAAAAATAAATAGCCATGCAGGCTGGAGGCAAACTTTTCTAGGGGATCCAGGGTGAATTTTTGAATATTACTAATATTACACTGTTGGCTATTATGTTTGCTAATATTACACTGTTGGCTATTATGTTTCTAATATTACACTGTTGGCTATTATGTTTGCTAAAATTTCAATGGCTATTTTGATATAATTTAAACATAACTGGTAGATGAGCGCCGTAATGCTTACAAATTTATTGGCCTTAAAATATTAAATTCTTTACATTTAAAAAAATCTCAAAAAATGAAAAACATTTAGATACTAATTTTAATCAAAACAGACACTGTACCAAATAAATTTTCATTATATACTCAAATTATTTTAAACATTTGATTACGTTTCAATGTCAATAGAAAAACAGATGGATTCAGTCTTTGAAGAAGCTTCCTACAGGTAGACGAGAAGCAAAATCAGGCCTGGCCGTTTGAGGCAAGCTATAGCTCGCGCTCGCCTCCATGCTCCCCTCGCAACCAGAGGCGAGCTATGAATTGCTCTCCTAAACAGAACATGAATGGAAAATCGCTCCCCTAAAATTTCCATTAATTTGCTTTTTTCCTATTCAGAGAACCCTGAAAACGTACAATGGTTAATTGGTTAATTTTTGTATCAGCGATTCCTTCCGTCATTGCATTTTTTGCAATTAACTTTTTGCTTGTTGGGCCGTTTTTATTATGATAGGCATAAACTTTGATCTATTTGGAAAAGGATAGTTAACCGAAAGGTACGTTTGTAGCGATTAGAACCTTTCAATCTTAAGAAAACAGGAATATTTTTGGAGGGGAAGTCGAAGAAATTGGTAGGAATTGTAGATTGGGGATATAATAAGACAGCAGGTCCCTTCCAGCAATAGAAAGAAAACTATCCCTCAAAGAGAGCAAGGTACTCTGTCTTGCAGATCAAAAACGACAACCGAAACATGGAATTCAACTATCCAGCAGCATTTACTGAAAAACCCAGATTGGGTGAAAAATTATAACGGCGACATGTTTCGCTTTATTGGCAAAGCCTGATCATCGTTCCTTCTAGTAGTTTGTGAATCTATCTACTATATAAACATGACCAACCGCTTTTGTGTAGACAGAAGGAGTTTGTTTTCACCTTAGAACTCCAGTGGTAGCATTTTCAATAGGAAAGCGGCACTGATTGGACAACCTCAACAGTCATGTGCTCGCGTTTTCTGATTGGCCTATTTCGATCCAAAACTGGGAATTTTAGTGTAGAGTTTTCCATCTATGTTCTGACGTTTTATTCTCCGAAGAGTGCTAGACGTATAACTTAAGTTTGTTTCAAAATTTGTTTTTCAAAGCCATTTTCAAATTCTGTGGAAACAAAAATATTATTTTTGCAAAAGAATTGTTGTTTTTATTTTGTGCGAGCTTTACATAAAACTGAAAGAGTCTGTCCTTTTAAATACTTCAAGTAAAGGGGGTGCCTAAATCACGGTTAAAGCAAATACAAATTGAAAGAAGTAAAACAGCATACTCCTGACTGAGGCTATTAAAGGCAACCAACAGATACTAAAGGGGCTTATCAAGTCATCTGTTGATTGTCTTTAAAGTACATTCTATGTGTTACTGATTTAGCTCGCCTCAGCCAATGAGGGGAGCAATTCACAGCTCACCTATAAAATACAAACGGCCAGGCCTGTAAATGTCCAAAAAAATTGGATGGTGAAGAGATATCAGTCAAGTTTATTAGAGTGAAATCCAGGAAGAGGCATTTGTTGAAATCAAGATTCATGTCCACATTGTTATTATTGATAGTATCACATCAGATGCTATTTGTCAATTCAGTTCTATTGGCAAAAGATGCAAGAGATTCAGATTCATCTTTGATTATACCCAAGGATAAAGAAGATGGCAAAGTAAAAACAAGTCAGGTCTGGCCATAAGAATTTAAACAGGGGAGCAGTAAACAGCTCTCCTAGTTTGTTTCCAGGTGAGCTTTTTGAAGGCAAATAAGAATAGAAGCAAAATGAAAATTTATTTCAAGGAGAGCAATTTAGGAGAGCAACCTTTAGCTCTCCTCTGGCATTTGAAGAGAGCTTAGAGGAGATCAAAAGCTGTGGCTCTCCTCAAAGGGCAAGGCCTGCAAGTGTTGAACTCTCAGCAACATCCAAGGATGATTTATCTCCTGACATCACTGATGACTCATTATTTCTAAAGAGCATCAATTTTGTTGATGTCCATAGAAACTTTTTTGGCAGAAAACTTCACAATTGCTCCATAATTGAGTATTGATAGCAACTTTTTAGTTGCTATTTTCCAGTTGTATTGTGTGATATCAGTTGCACTAGTTAGTAACCAAGGATAAAGGCTTGGCAGCAATAATACAGCAGCTCCACTAGTCTGTATTTGGCAAGCAGAAAGGGACAAGTCTCTCATTTCCCCTCCCTCAAATGGTTGCTTGCTCCTTGAGAAGGACTTTCTCCCATGGCAGGCATAGGTAACAAGAAAAACACCAAAATATAATTGTTAAAGGAGTGAAATTTGAAAATCTGTGGAAACCTTGAGGACCTGTATAAGAGCTGATTTGACAAAATGTCAGGGAAACCTGAAAAGGTCAGGGAACTTGGTATTAAAGATTGTCAGAGTATGGGAAAATTGGCAGAAAGTAGTCAACTGTTTTTTTTAAATGATTCTTGTCATCTTGCTTTGATGTATTTGTTCTGCAATCTTCTCCAAAGTACCTAATTACCATATATGGACATCCTAAACTGTACTTATGAGAACAAATGTTCATGTAAAACCATTCTTTTCCAAAGAGAGGCAAGACATGGTGGAAAGTTAGAGCCCCCTTTGGGGAACTCTTGCAGAACATAGATGAATTGTTAACCTAGAAAAGATAACCTAGAGATGATCAGAAGCCATTGTTCAGCAGACCATTTTGGTCACACTAGGCCTGTTACTTTTCTGTTTTGAAATCATTTACAGGTTGAGCACAAGAATTTGATATCTGACATCATTTTGACAACTGTGATGTTATTTACAATGTTCCAATTTTTACAACCCATTTACCTCACTATATAACTACAATATACAAACTAAACTAAGACATCAATTTAGCCAAATTTCTTCAACAACTTTCTCTCAGGTCCAGCATTTTTTTCCAGGCATGCTTTGAGGACAAAATTGTTTTAGTCCTGTTACACTACTAGATGTTTTGATTATTCCGACACCATTTCCAAAATAACATAAGATGAAGCATTATATTTTTCATTAATATATTCCTCCACATGTGTCACTTGCACCAAACTTTTTGTTCATTGGCATCTAACTTAGAAAAAAGCATCAGATTTTTGGGAGCAGCTTTAGTTTGAACTTTTATGTTTTTCAGCTAGGGTGTATTTTGAAATTATGACAAGAAGGGCTCAAGAAGGGCCAAATAGATTAAAGAAGGGTTAGCATTGTTCTTGTGAGAAAGACATATATATTTGGCACTGATTTATTGTGTCATTGGGAATGAGATTCAGTTCCCTTCTTATATTTTGCCAAATTGATGCTGAATATTTGAACATTTACAAGTTAATGACTTGCTTGATGTAAACTTCTCACTGTCTAGTGTCTGTGTAAGGGCCAGCAGTTGGTTGGCTTTTTTTTCTGCATCCTGTAGATTAAAACAGAATCCGTCTGAATTTGTTCCATTTTTATTTACCTATCTGTATCTTGCGGCCATGTTACACTAATGGATATTTGACTGAAGTGCCCTTTTTGGCATGGGTACATTGAAAAAGATTCCAACACTTCTGTTTACTGTAGTTTTGATACATATTGTTTAATTGCATGATTTCCTTTTGTCATTTCTTCACTGCAATTTATAGTGACATTGAAAATTTAATCATAATACTCGCAAAGCATACAGACTCTGCAAAAACATCTTTGTAGCTCTTTTATTTCCATTAGAATTGACACATAGATATAGAATTGATGTGATAATCTTAATTATGTATTTAAAAATTAATAATTTTTTGAAACAAAATAACAATGTTTTCAATAATTACGAAAGTAACACAATTTTCAGAGCCAGATTTAGGAAGTTCTGTCATAATATTTTTACAGCTGGATTCATTTAGATTTGAAATAAATTTCCACGAACTAATCAAATTTTGGAGATGATTCAATCTGTAGATTGGGACATCTTGGCATTCCTTTCTCTTAACCAGAATTTACTCCAGTATATCACACCAAGGCATTTTGTGCACAACTGAAAAATTTATCAACGGGGCTAGAATGATTGAAGGCATCAATATTTTAAAATGCCTTTCGCTTTCTTTTACCACTCTGACATTCTAGTCAGTCGTCATTTAGTTTTTATACATTATTTTTCGAATCTCTTTTTTGGCAAATTTGGGACAAAAAGTCATTTTTTCGAGGAGATGCGACCTGATCAAACTCCTTCACAGCTTGTCCGCTTTCTTTTTTAGCTCTGCAGCTCGCTGTCTTAGCACTTTTGACATTTATAACCATTGGTTTGGTTTTCCAAATCCTGAAATTATCATTTGAACCAGGCTTATTCATTTCGACTTTGATTCCCGATATAGAATGTTCTGTCCTCCTCGCTATTCCGTTTACGTTTGTTAACTCTCTTTAAACAACCAGATTCCTATGCCAATATTCAGTGTAATTTTATATTAGATAGTAAAAACAAATAAGTTTGAGAAACTGAACCTTGTTTAAACGAGCAAACAAGGCACAATGGCATTGGTTTAGTGCTGTTTTGTTATATGCAAAGTTGAAACATTACTGGTGTAGCATTCTGTTCTTAGAAATAGTAACCCACAACGTGTCTCTCCTTTCAAGTCAAAATACCTCTTCTGTATGAAGTTCGAGATAATTGGTTAGATTCCCATATTTTGGTTAGGTATTACTGATAAGTCTATTCTCTGGCGCCTGCAGGGTTACACTCTTAACCGGCATATGTTGTCATAATTTTCTGTGATATCATAAAGAAACATTAAGCAAAGATTCGAATCTAAGATTTGCTTTGTTCAGCTGAACTGTTTACTGGCTATCTTATTATCTTTTTATTTTTATAGAAGGGCGCAGTGGAAGGACTTTGTGCTACATTTCTAAACAAACTATACCCACGTATTTCAAACAAAAATATTTTCGCAGCAGTTTATCTATTATCATAATATATTGTTAAGTTTTGATGTCATACATAAGGTTTTCCATTTATTGGAAAGCAAAATTAAACGTTGCAAAGATTATTTTAACCTATTTTGATGCTGCATTCAACACGATTTTCTGCCGGAACGCCAGAACGAACAAGAGCCATTGGGCATGCTTCAGTAAACAAGCACTTTAAAAATAATTCCCAGTTGTTCTGTTAATCCTTTCACAACTGTCATCTCGATCTTCTGTAGGCATCTTAAGAATGGACTAACTCCCGGCATAAGAATTATTTTTACATGTTTTGAAAATAGTCGTCACGAGCTATAGAAATATAGTCGGAATTTCATATGAACCTCTTTGGTAATTACAAAAGGCTGATGTCGAGGAAAATTTTTATCATAAGAGCATTTTCCCCCTTGCCCCACCTATCAATGAGTAAAAGGCGTGGTTGCCCCTTTCCCCCTCTCTGGTGTTCCTGCAGTTCCCAAATACATATTTTAAACCCAAATACAATGGTTCCAAAAAAGTGTTTTAAATGGTAAATTACACTAAACTACTTATAATTTTCTTAATGCAAGGCTTTCTGGCTCTGCGTTTTAAGCCAGGTTTGTAAAGAGCAAGTATTAAACCATGTTTTTTCGTCTATGAACGGTGTCTGTGTTTTCCTACTGTTCACTTAATTGTGATAACCCTGCCTCTTCCCAATAAGATTCTTTGCATTACGTAGTCTGTTTCACGGATTATCAGCGCCTCGTTTGGCTCGTTTGTATGGGAAGGAGGTTTGCATTGAAACACATCCAAATGAGTTTTGCATTAATTGAAAATTGACTCTTCTGATTAATGTTGTATTTTTCTTGCAGGAAGATCTACGTGGAGCTGAAATGTTAAAGCTGCTTTCGAGACACAAGTTACCGTGGCCAAAGTAATACTCCACTGTTTAAGTTCCATCTTTGCTAATTTTGTTATTGCTCGAAAATTTGCAAAGATACATGAAGCTTGTGTTTCTTTAAGGAGCTTACGATGTACCTGTACCCGATAATTAATATTTTTCCTTAAATATCAATATCATTCTTAATAATTGAATTCCCCTTTAATTCCGTTTCTTGCTATACTTGGCATCACTTGGCTAGACAAACTAATGTAATTTATTTGTATTACCTTTCATTCTTTGACATCTTTTGCTATACTTTCCTTACGACACTTTTATCAGTTTGTTTGTATTTGTCTGTTTGATTCCAGTTTGCTTTCGTAATGATAGAGTTTTTTTCCTTTTTAGAGCCGGCCTAAGGTCTCTCTCAAATGGGAAGAACGTCAATGTTCTTGCAGAAGCAAGTAAGTTTTTGTGATACCATCATCCTCCCTTGGTACCTCCATGTGACCGACCTACTCATGACCGACCTCCTCGTGATCTCTTTAGGACCTCCTTAGGACCTGCTTAGGACCTCCTCAGGACCTGCTTAGAACCTACTTAGGACCTCCTTACGACCTCCTTAGAACCTGCTTAGGACCTCCTCAGGACCTGCTTAGAACCTACTTAGGACCTCCTTACGACCACCTTAGGACCTGCTCAGAATCTCCTTAGGACCTAGGAGTAAGCCTTTTTGCCCGTTGGTCATCATCTAAGAAAATGCGATGTTCGTTGGACCAACAAGCCTGTCGTGTATTTTTTACAGCAATTCCAAATTATTCACCTAAGTCATTCAAATGAACCTTCACCTTTTTCTGCATCTTTTCATTTCACCCAAAATATTTTTTAATTGTCTTTTGTCACAGCTGTCATTTACTTATTTGATTTTTTTCTAGGACAATTCAAGGAAGGGGATTCCGTTCACGGATATAAAGTCGTTCAGGTGGATCAGCCAAATACTTTCTTCTTATAAAGTTTCATTACCTGAGATCAATTTATTTTTACGGTTTCACCTTACTCGATTTAGCTTAAAATGCATGCGAGACACTGACAAATAGTGATTTGCACAAGGTGATTTTGATTAGAACGTTTATTTGAGAACTCTTGGTTTCATCAAATGCTTTTCCTTTGCCAATGTTTTTCATCATAATTCACCTTATATTGCTCAATAGCGAGAAATGGAAAATCAATGTGGAAGTCATTGGCTCGAAATTTATGTTGTTTGAACTGGAAAGTAAACTTTTTCATGTACCCGTAAGCAGTGTTCTTGAATAAGGATCCATTGTCGTTTAGATTCCTCACAATTGATTTTATCTTTAGCGTTCACAATCTTTAGTTGTTCAGCTTTCAACTTTCATCATTTTGTACTTTTGGCAAAATATCCCCTTTTTCAGAAATGTCGAAACTGGTGTATTAACTCCTATTTACTGTAAATTGTGTTTTATTTTAATCGGTGTGTTTTTTAAGAATGAAGACATCCCTGATTTTCACATGGTGGCTGTGAAGCTGAAACATGAGAGAACTGGGGCTGAACATCTTCACATCGCAAGGGATGACCAAAATAATGTATTCAGGTAAAAACCAGCTCAGCTTAACTCCTCTTGAATTGGTTACCTTCACGGATTTATCTGGAAATGGAATAAACAAATTGATCAATTGGTTAGCATGGTGACAAACAGAGAGCATCAATTAATGATAATTTATATACGATATATATGTGATGTTTTTCATCGTATTGAAAAGCTTTTCTTCACAATACTGTGAATATTTGATTGCAAAACACATAGCAAAGCAAACTCTATAAGTCTAGCATGCAGACATACAACATATCGAAATATATAAAGTTAGATAGACAAGTAGAATAATTACCTGGGACCCATGAAGTGCTCAAATTGCTAACAAGACAGAAGTTTATAAATATGCACTGTTTTTATTATTCTTTTGTAGATTTATGTTTATGCTAGATAATATTTTTCAGTGTCACATTTCGAACGACACCAATGGACAGTACTGGGGTTCCCCATATTTTGGAGCACACTACTCTCTGTGGCTCAAAGAAATTCCCATGCAGAGATCCATTCTTCAAAATGCTGAACAGGTCACTATCAACATTCATGAATGCATGGACAGGTAAATAACCTCTTTTTATTGCATAATACCATAAATTAGGATGTCCTTAAACGCAAAAGACATCTTTTCCTCTTTTTCTTTATTTGTAATTTAGCAAAATATATTAATAGCATTCTGGTATTGCCATTGTAAACTTGTTTATATTTTGTCTCTTTTTCTTTCTGTGCTATTCTGAATACTTCATGGAAAATGTTCTCAGAATACTCAGAAAATTCCTAAGAAAACTAAGAATGCAGAATAACCAATGTTCCTGGTGAAGGTATATTTCATGTTTCCTCTATTTCAGCAAGCGACTACACCATGTACCCATTTTCAACACAAAATGGGACCGATTACTCGAACCTTATGTCTGTTTACCTGGATGCAGTCTTTTTCCCAAATCTGCGAGAGCTTGATTTCCTACAAGAAGGTTGGAGGCTTGAGAACGAAAAAGTCGATGACCCAAGCTCCCCTTTGGTTTTCAAAGGTGTGGTTTTCAATGAAATGAAGGGCGCCTTTGTAAGTCATTGCTATTTTTTACAACGTGTTTGCTTTTTCCGATATAAATTTCCTTCCATCTGAATTTGGAACAAGCCGTATTCCTCTTTCTAAACAAGGTACTTAAAAAGTTTCTTTGATAGAAGAAAAATTTTTATTTGTCAAGGCTCTGCATTAATGAATGTTTTCAAAATTCTGAGATAGAAGATATATTTTTTATAATTTTCAATAATTTATCATATTTACATGTACGTCAATGAAATTAGTTTTATCTTTTGCTTTTGCAGTCAAATCCCGAGAGCCTTTTCGCGACTCACTACCAAAACCTGTTGCTGCCAAGTCATACCTATGGTTATGTCAGCGGTGGAGACCCGTTAGTGATTCCTGAACTGACGGTACACGTTCATGATTGGTTACAACTGCATGCAACTTTGTTACTCTCTGTGTTTTGAATCCTCTTAATAAATCACGTGGTCAAAGTATTCCAAATCTCGATTTCTAGTGTTTGTAGACTTTTTGTTTGATTAGCCGTTGATAAAGGGCTTTTGGTGTTGATCTGCAAGTCTATTTAAATAACCTTTAGACAAGCTGCATTTGTTTGTCGATATGTAATATTTGTTAGTTGTTCACAGCCCTTGCTCTCTATCAGGGAAGGCTCTTGCTTTTCTTGACACTGAGACAAAAATGAGTATTTTGTTTTGAAAGATTCTTAAAAACACTACCTGGCCTAGCTTTTTACCTTGGGTAAAGAAATTGAATGCCTCGTCATTTTACTGCAATCTGTGGGAAAGTGGGCATTCCTCTTTGTCGAAATACAATCGTTTAATGAAATCAAGGTGACGGCTTAGCAAAAATTTTCGTTTTATTCGTTGTAGTGGGCACAGCTGAAGGATTTTCATCGAACACATTACCATCCAAGCAACTCAAAGTATGTTTGTTTTAGATAATTGTTGCTAGAAAAGAATATTGTGACTTATATTCAGCGCACGTTGTCTAAATTGAAAGGCAAATATTTTATGTAATGAATTTCGTTCAAAGTTTTCATGATGAAAGGGATCTGCAACTGTTTTTAAGTTAATAAATACTGCTCAATATGACATCCTGGTATAGATTTAGATTCTTAATGTAAGGTTTGACTCACCTAATTAGTATCGAAATTACGAGTAACCTTATACAGTTTTTAGTTGTAGCTTTAAACTTTAGAGTTTAAATCGTATCTATAGATAGCCAGTAATTGGTTTATCAACTTTATACCAGCTTCTCGCAAATAGATAATGGGATATAAGTCAGTAAAATGGAATAGTTCTAATATGCGGCTGTTGTTTCAAGGTTTTACACTTACGGAGACCTTCCGTTGGAGAAGCATTTGCAACAGATCAACGATCAGTCATTGAATTCCTTTGAAAAACTGGTTGTTGATACAAAGATTATAAACGAACCAAGGTGGAGTGAGCCAGTAAGTAGCTTCTTACTTGATTTGATGAGGCATTTTTATGTTCGTAATCTTTGAGATTAACGAACATAAATATTTGTCAGGTAAAGTGGTACAGCCAAGAGATGATTTAATATAGCTAAGATATTTATTACATAGAATGCGTTTATTTAAGCGTTAGCTATCCATTTTTTTGGTACATTTGTGTATTGATTTAGTTTTTGAATCTTGTTGACCTGTTTGACCCTAGAGAAGAGCGGAGGTCTTCTGCCCACCAGACAACCTCGCAGCTGATGCTGAAAAACAAACAACTATCTCAGTTGGTTATCTTTTGGACAGGTATACTTGACTTTTAATGAGACTTAATGGAAATGCTACTTTACTGATACTTGCCAGTACTTGATATTTTAAATGCTCGGGATCTATAGTTGTCTTTGTTCCTAGTGCCCCTTTTCTGATATACTTAAGAATGTATGTCGTGGAGAAGGAGCTCACTCTCGTGGCATCTAGGGACATTCTGTGTGCGTGCTGTTCTATATAAGATGTATTACTGTACTTAATGTGATTTGATTTTTGAATGCACAATCCAGGAAGGGTTCACCCGCCATCCGGTCACCAGTCGACCGGTCACCCGCCATCCGGTCACCAGCTGTCTGGTCACCAGCCGTCCGGTCACCTGCTGTCCGGTTATTCCCTTTGGTAGCTTCCTTCAAAAAGCACAGTATAACCCTTGGGTTTAGGGCAGTACTTCATTTGTATTCCTTACGAATGACCTTTTTAACGAACTTTGATGGTATGACTACCGTGTTTTCTGGCAGTGTATAAATAATAGATAAAGCTTCTTCTGACAGAATTTTTTCTACCAGCAATATTCGCAATATAGAACGGGATTCTTTTTAGCACGACCGACCCATTTAAAGCGTTTACGATGGGAATTCTATCAACTTTGTTGGCCAGTGGACCGAATTCACCATTCTATCAAGCACTGATCAAGCCGAACATTGGATCAGGATACTCGCCCGTCGTTGGGTAAGTCAAAAAATAGCTTGATCGTGTATTAAGGAGACTGGGGGCTTGAGAAATGTGGGGGGGGGCTTGAATCTACGGTCTTAAGTGTGAAGGGGGGTGTTGAAGGCGTTGGATGGCTTGATTGGTTACTTAGAGTTCCCGTATGGAAATCATTACAAGTGCAAATCATTTTTGACTTAATGGCATTGTAGCTTTCTACATTTTTATGTACATCAATCGTAGAATGCTTTTGTTTCATACACCTTACCATTCTAGCTTATAATTTTGGTAAATTTTCCTTCAGCGTGGACACAAGCACAAAAGATGCAACCTTTGGCGTTGGTCTGCAGGGCGTGAGTAAAAAAGATGTCCCAAAGATTTTGGATATCATAAAGACAACATTCGAAGACGTTGCAGGGTAAGACACGTGATCAGTCTAATCGAACCCCATTTTGCACTTTTTTGTCTCTGGAAGGGTTCTTGACGGATTTGTCTGCTTTGGAATCCAGTTCATTGCAAAACTGAAAAGTTAACAAAGCTGAAAAGATAAACATACAGAAGTTATCAATACAATTTTGATTTAATTTTTTTCTAATTTTCTTTTCATTTAATGTTTTGTTTATGCCGTTAATTTTTACTTTTTCAGTAAAGGTTTTGAAGATGAAAGAATACAGTCGATTTTACACCGAGTAGAATTGGCTCAGAAACACCAGACAAGCAGTTTTGGTCTTGGAGTTATATCTGTAAGTATTTTAAGTGAGTGACGTCATGAAAACAGACGTTTCAGGAAAGCCGTTTTTGGAATGACATTAACGAATTGTTTAGATTTGAACTGAGTACATAAGCATTTCGACTTGTTTTTATTCTCATAGAACAAGATTAGGTTATCTTATTTTCTTGTAATGTTCGCTGTTTAATAATGTCAACTGTGTATTTTTCCTCGTATTTTTCCTGCATACGAAACTAATAATTCTGACAAACTTTGTATTTTGCAGTCCTTAATGTCAAGTTGGAACCATGATGCAGAGCCAATTTCAATGCTAAGAGTTGATGAGCAAGTGGAGAATTTCCGTGTAGGTTGAGTTCTGAATTTTGCTCACTGCAAATGAAGAGATTTGCTAAAGATTTTCAAGTGTTTTTGTTTTCTAGTAGTAGTAGAAATGATAGCAAGCAGTTGACATTTTTTCTCTGGCAGATCGTGCTTTAGGATTATGAAAAAGGGAAAAGTTGCAATTATCTTTCAAGAAGATGCTTTTAAAGTTATTATACTTTTTAGAATAACTATAGTTTTTATCTTTCTTGTCCAAAGAATGGGTGAAGCTGACTGTAAAAAATGAATATGTTGTTTAAATATATTTCAAATCTTAGTACAGCCGAGTGGTCTGTACTAAGCTCCAATCTTGGCTAATAAAACCTGAGGTCTTAACCGGAAAGTGAAATCGAATGTCCGATCTTGATAAATGACGCAATGGTTGCATTTACCCCACCCCCCTCCCGGGTCAATGTCATTTGCGATGGTTGCAGAATAAGTGGGGATGCACACAGATCCAGCCACCCCCATCGAAACATCGTTTTGGGGGAGGGGGGGTGACATATAGCTAAGTTTGTTTTTGTTCATGTCTCAGCATTTTCTGGCCATATTGCAGGACTATTGCTGTCAGTAACTGATGAGGAATTCCTTTTGTCGTGTTTTAGAATGCCCTCAGTAGTGACAAAGAATTTCTTCAAAAGATGGTCCAGGAATATTTTTTGGAAAACACACACCAGCTTACCTTGGAAATGAATCCAAAGGTACTTTGTTAATTGGTCCTTCACTTTTTTCTTTAGATAAAATGTAGGAGTTATTTATAACTTGGCCCATATAACATCGCATCAGAATTTTTTGCCTTTGTTTTTCATTGAATGTTGCCCTGTTACTGCAATTTCTCTTCTTTCTACATATTACTTGGTTAATTTCCATGGATATAAAACCAGACAGTATAGGTAGTTACAACACCCATACATTTCCTGGCTTTTGGCTATCATCTTCTTACCAGCTTTAAATTATAAGCTTCTTCTTAGTTACCGACGATGCCTTGCACCACATTTTGATTTGTTTCCAGGAGGATTATATTGAACTGAACGAAAAAAGAGAAGCAGAAATTCTAGAATCAAAAGTGAAAAAGCTGACAGATGAGGACAAAAAGATTATTTTCGAGAAATGTGAGTTACCGATTTTGTTTTTAAACCTCAATTATTCTTATTCCAATATATCATTTTGCATATGGTATATGGCATTCCATTTGGTTGCTAGCTTAAAACGGCAACCCCTTATTAGCGTATGCTAAAAGACCTATCAATGCTTTCTACTTGTAGGTTTTTTGTCCAAATCATTATCAATGAACCTAAAATGAAAGATAGCATAGATCTAAATGTTTAAATGATTGCGACATGTTATGAGAATTACTGTTTATCGATCTGTTATTAAGTGCTCCATGCCATTAGGCGGAGCTGTACACGCTTTGGTGTATAGAACAGGGGGTTCTAAGTTGCTACTGCAAATTTCACGCTCAGTACGATCATCGGGCAACTGTTAAAACTACTCTCTCTATGGATGATTGCACTATGTAAAGTGATTCCTTATTGCACTGTAGAAAGACTGTTCACAGAGTTTGTTGTTGATAGGAAAGGTTGCGCGTGACGTCTTGATAAACAATACCATGAAAAGTTGTACAATTGCTACAAATGTTGTAATGACCCTAGAGTAAGGACTTAAGGACGATGAATAGGTAAAATTTATGTTAAAGAATTTTTTTTGAAAAATTTAAGGAATTTTGAAACTTGACTCAAGGTTGCTTGATTCTTCGTTAAGGATCAGGGTTAAATTGTGACTTTGAAAATTAATGAAGGTTTTCTTGTTTCCAGCACTGGAGTTAGAGCAGCAACAAAACTTAGTCGATGACCTTTCTTGTCTACCAAAAATGCTGGTCAAAGGTAAACATTGGCAATATTTTCTAGGTGTTCGCAGAAGTGCAAAATTTTTTTTGAATGCAATTTCCTGTTGTGTTTCAACCCTCTTTCGCATACGTACATGTTGTTTTCTTATTGTTTTTGCTTTTGTATTTTATTTTTTTTGTTTCTCGTATTTTTCATTTGTTTTGTTTACTTTCTTTTTCCAGGATACGTGGGGCTACAATTTCACTCTTACGCAACGCAACCATTGAAATGTCACTCTTACGTTATTTCATTTCCAAAGGGGAGGAAAAAATTTCATTATGAACGATTGATACAACTCTGAAAATATTTATAATGAAATTTTCTTAATTACTGCCATTTCATTTTTTAAGAATTTTCAAACTTAACTGGCAATTCCCTAGTGCTGTAAGTATTTTTGCCTCTTCTCGTCTTTATCGAAAATTCTTTACCTGGCAGCCTTGCATTTCAGACATCGACAAGCAAGCCAAAAGAGTCGATGTCGATATTGAGTATGGAGGTAAGGAATTGCTGCTCCCTGGCCTTACTTATTTCAATCATCTTCCAGCAGCTTGTCAATGCTTTATCTTAAATTCCCCGTCTTTTGTGTTCCTAAAATTTTAACTGGCTTGATTTAGCATTTGGTTAAATGTATTAAGTTGACGTTGTTGGGGCAGAAACATTAATTCTCTGTTTCTTCTGAATTTTTTTTATATCCTAAAAGGTAATAAAATGTTGAATCGTAGGAGTTGCCTATGATTGTTTTGCACTGTGTATGTATCTATCCAACTTCAAAATTGTTTCAGTTGACATCTTGTCTTTGCAGGTAACAATATCCCAATTCAGATTTGTGAACAACCCACGAATGGAGTTTGTTATTTCAGAGCAATAGCCGATGCATCTGCCCTTCCTGAAAATTTGAAACAATATCTGCCGCTTTTTTGTAGCATTATTACAAAGTAAGAAGAACTTGTCGTGACGTCAATTTTCATTCACCTTTTTACTCTGTCATCCCACTGTGGTGAATAAGTCTGTAAGATTACAAATCTGGATTTGATGTATTTGATTCGATAGTATTTTCTCCCATTGGCAGTTGCGATTCTTGTTATGACACATTCAGTATCATATTTACATGCATCTTGTTAATGGAGAGTGACGATTTTATTCAACGTAGCGCAAAGTCAATTTTCTATTCTTTATGCTGTCGAGAGTTGCTTGGCCTTTTCAAACAATCTGAAGTCTATACTACTTTTGTCTCACGTTCAAACAGCCATTTTAACGACGCCAATGGTGACGAGAAAGAGGTTTTTGCGAACTTTGAATTGAAGAAAGAAAAAGTCCTTCCCTGATCGGAAAAGTTTCACCCATTGACCATCTTTTCATATTTTTTGACAACCTTGTGTTAAATTTCGCTGTACACCTTCACTGACAATGAATGATACTTGTGTATTACTGATACAAGCAGATTTGATTGATTTTGATTTTGGAATACAGTATAGCCCGATGAAAAGCAAATGAGCTGTGCCGCTCTCATAAACGAGCTTTGTTGCCTTCCTTTATTGTTTTGTTCCAGCCTTCGCAATCACTGCTTTTTACTTGAAATACTTTTCTCTCAGAATGGGTGCTGGTTCAATGAATTACGAGCAGCTAGCTCAAGAAGTTGAGATGTACACCGGGGGCCTTTCAGTTGGCCCCCATATCGTTCCCCATCATACAGACCAAGACAAGTTCGAACTTGTAAGTTTTTGACGCGAATATTTTTCTTTCCTTTCTTTCCTACTTAGTCTATCAAGTCATTATGGATATAAGATGTAAGAATGGATCAAGGAATTCTTGTAGCTCGAGGATAGTGAAAGGATGGCCGTCTATTTGTTGCCAAATGATGCCTTTTTGCATCTTCAATACCCTCACCCTTTCAATTTGTAGGGCGTGATGTTTGGATCAAAATGCTTGGACAGGAATATTCCCAGGATGTTCTCTCTTTGGCAAGACATTCTTAATGAGTAGGTTGCTTTTTGTTCATGGTTTTTCTCTTGAAACTTCGACTCTTTAACCCAGTTCCCTTACACAAACGAAACGCGAATGCAATACAAGTTTTCTCGTCGTATAAAAGCAAAAATCAAAAAGTGCCATTTAAAATCTGTAGACAGTCATGCCGCACTTGTTTCTCAAAACCACTGGAAGAGTTGAATTGAGTAACAGTGTTTTAGCTCAGTAAGTTTTAACATTCTGAGGACAGTCGAACCCAGGATCACTGAGCCTTTAACTTGGAATGTGCGAAACTAAACAGTCCTTTTCATTAATCGTTGACTTTTTTACATAGCCTAAATCTTTCCTTTAGATGGTTCTAAAGCTTAGAATTCTTAATTATGTCTCACCAAAAATAATTAAATCATTGCAAGTCACGGGTAGGCTGCCTCTTCTTTGCTAACCTTCCGCGGTTCTATTTGTAGACCTAACCTAAAGAACTTAGACCGACTTCGGACCCTTATCAACTCGATTGCATCCGACCTGGCAATGTCAGTAGCTGACTCTGGGCATGCGTATGCGATGGCAGTTGCAGCCAGCCAACTAACACCGGTTGCTAAATACAGCGAGCTTTTCGGCGGAATGTCTCAGGTATGGAAATCGATCTCTGTTGTTATTGATTAATAATCTGATAAATAATGTTTAATAAGAATTTTCCATGAGACTGTTTCCTAAATGCCAGACTATTGCAATTCGAAGATAGTGTTTTTAGCTTTCTTTATGCTTTTTTGATGTGGGGGAGTGTGTAAAACTCATGGTTTGGGCACAAGATGATAAGTGTTTTTCAAGTGTTTTTCATAGGTTTTCAGACACAAAGATTGGAAAGTCATCATTTTTTTTATTTGGTTTTTACGAATCAGAACAACGTAATTAAGTCTTAGCCAAAACTTTGCCAAAAGACCGATCTCGAAATTATACATTTTTCTTCCATTTATTTTAATCATAGATATGTGTTCGATTTGTCACATACCTCATGGCTGCTTGTTATTCATCTCACCCAGGTATGGTTCATGAGAAACCTCGCTGAAATGGATGATTTGGAACAGGTTTCAAACAGCCTTATTGAAATTGCCTCGTATATACTAAATGCAAACGACCTTAGGTAAGAAATTATCTTTACAATTTCGATTCGCAAGCGCGCATCATATTTTTCTACAACAAAATACATGCTATCCAGGACGCTCAAATAGAGTTGCTTTACTGATTATTTCTGTGTTTTATCATAGATGTTCTTTAAACGTTACGGCCGAGTCTCGTGGACTAGCTTCAAATGCCCTGAACGCACTCGCTGCAGATGTAAATACTTTAGGGACAGATGAAATCGAATTTGATCAAGTAAGAACCATCTGAGCCATTTGTATCTGTTTATTTAAAATTTTAATGATATCGGCATATTTAAAATTTTAATGATGTCGGCATAATTTCGTTTGCTCCCGGGGTTTAAGATCACTGTAAAGGCTATTTAAAACCGAATATGTTCAGATACTTCTTCTCGCTTCTCTGTATTTTCTTTCTCTTTCAAAGAAAATTTCAGAGATTAAATTTATTGCATGTGGAGAAATCAGAAGCTGTTGGGTACAGTTCGTATTTGATCGACAGCGACCCCCATTACGAGGAGATGAGGGTAACTTTCCTTTTTGAAAGGAGATTTCCATAGGGATTTCCGTAGTCTGTGGTCTAATTATACAGTGCCTTGGCCCTGAGAAAAAGCTTTTGGGGCAAAGTTATTTGCGTCTTATTTTGAGGTTTACGTCATTGTGAGGTGTCTATTGGTAATAGATTTCTCGTTATCTAATGTGTTTTGATCAGACAAGTCACCACTTCAATCTGACCTCATCGGGTTTTTTCTTAATCACCTTCTATCTTCTATTCTTTGTCAAAAAGACGTGAAATCCAATCTTAGTTTGAGAATTAAAGTTTTTTCGTATTTTAGATGCCACATTTCGCTGCAAAGAAGAGCAAAACATTCATTCCGATGCCCTTCCCTGTTAACTACGTCAGTCGATGCATGAGGACGGTTCCCTACACTCACCAAGATAGCGCCTCGTAAGTTCTTCTTCGTTATTCCCTGAACAGAAGTTCCTGGTTTTAGTTTTGAGGCTAACCTTACATTCCTTGTCGAATAGCAAGCTTGCTGTTTTAAGTCGACAAAATCCGTTTGCTGTAAAGTTTATAGACATTGTAAAATATTATCGTTTCCCTTGATGATCGTAGTATGGAGTAGAAGAGGAGTCAAACCGTTGGATCTTAGTTTACGAAAATATTTTAGATTCAAACCACAGTGAAACAATTGCAAAATCTGTTTCTACTCGTCTATCTTTCAAGATTCGTAAAGCCTCTTCCAATTCTCCTTAAATCCTGCGCCTCCGCACCATCGTTGTTCTCTTCTTTGAACATCCTTGTAGCTTCTTTTTACGATGCGGTTTCTTCCAACTGGTTGTAACAGTAAACAATTATTTGTGATTATTTTGTGTCATCTTTCTTTTATTTTATTTTTTGTCAGGGGTTTCGAGTCCTTAATGCATGGAAAATGTTGCATTTTTATTGTCAGTACTGTCACAATTTTGTCTTGGTGTGTATTGAAAAGACAGACAAAGCAGTTATCCAGCCTCATAATTGTTCAATAGTTTGCCATGAAGCATTCAGTCATATCTTACAATCACTACTTATATTGTAATATTTTAAATCATAGACAAATTATACCATAAATGTAATAGTAGCCTCGCTTGTGTTATCTTTGCGATCATATATTATTTATTCATCATGTACTGTATAACACGTTACGTATTGTTTTAACTATAATGATTCATTTGTATTCCGTCAGCCTTCAAATTCTTGGAAAACTTCTCTCAGCGAAGTATCTCCACCGTGAAATCAGGTTTGTGATTGAGCTTAAAGAGGCCATGGAATTGTCTCCAAAATTCCTGGTTTTCCATTTACACGAGATTTTTACATATACCAACAGATATACAGTTGAGCTGCTCTATAGTAATTCCCGTAAATGTTTTTTCTTTGTTTCCCTCACTTGAAATTATTACTGATTTTTATTGCTACAGATAAAAGCTTTAGGCCTATTTACTTATTAGTTATTTTTGCATGCTTAAGCTTTTAAAAAAGCAAGACAACTCGACTGTTCTTATTATTTTACTTTTTTCTCTTTAATAAGGCTGAACTATCTTTGCCTATATCATATATCTGTCCTGTCTTTTTGTAGAGAGAAAGGGGGTGCCTACGGAGGAGGAGCGAGACACGGTGGAAGCACGTTCTCCTTCTTTTCGTACAGGTGAATGCAATGTCTTATGCCATTTAATGTGTTATTTAGCGACCTTCGTTTTAGGTTCAGTATCAATCCTATCAATCCCCCTAGCTCTACACCTTTGAACATGGCTGAGTTTCAGAACCCAGAAAAGTGTTCACCCTATGGTGCATGGTCTGTGTGTGGTACTTTCAATTCGTCTATAGAATTTTGATGACGTCACAAAAATATATTACTAGAATTTTTGAATTTGTATCTCATACCCTGAAAGGACATCCTGAAATACTTCTAAATGTGGAAAATCAGTTAAATGTATTACAATTGTGCTGAGATGTGGCCACATGAGCACAGACTCTTTCCCTGTCAAACCTCTGTAATTTGGTCTCTTTTCGTAACTTTATGAACTGAGCTAAAATAACAGTAATCCGTTAGCAAACATCAAATCTTTTATTGGCCATAGCTCACCCAATTTTTGGCATATGTGACTGATTTTGCATATTCGAAAGTATTTATTGGTGTTAATTTAGGTTATATGGTCAAATTTAACATTCTAAAATCAGATTTTTTATGACATCACTTTTAAGAATTCTGTTCTCACGGACCATCCTCACGTTGACGTACCTCTTTATATCTAAAAATTCTTCGTATACAGAGACCCGAATTCTACAAAAACCTTGAAAGCCTTTGACGAATCAATCCAATGGGCTGTCAACAGCAATTTTACAGATGAAGACATTGAAGAGGCAAAGCTGTCAGTTTTTGCTTCAGTAAGTGACTTCTTTGATGCTCGGGAATTAAAACTACTGCCTGCCTGCATACTATTTTGAATTTGGTGTGCTTCGTTATAATTTCAAACATGAATGTTATCAACTGTAGTATTGAAAATTTCTATACTGTTAAACATTTCTTTCAATACTCGTTTGTAACAGTATTGTAATAATCATAAGCAATTGTGGTAATCATTCCTTTTTTATAATTTATAAAACCTTCGTTGTTGGAAGGTGGGGGGAGAGGGACAAACTAAATATTCAAAACAAAAGATTTTTCATAAAAGCAGTTTAGGTGTTGTTGCCCACCCTTAATTCCAAGATCAAGGTTACAATGAATTCCTTTAGCTCCGATTATAGCTCTATCAAGGCTGCAGCGGACGGCCTATACGACATTTCAACTTGAAATTCCCTTTCTTCTGTTATCGCTTACTTGCTTTTAAAACAGGTTACAAGTATTCCGTTCTCCAAACTTTACTTGAATTTACGTTGAAATTAGTCAATTAGTTTTCATTATAAAGAAGGTTACCCTTTTTTTAAGACAGATGTTTTGGTATGCGACTAGACTCTTATCTTTCTCTTTCAGATCGATAGTCCAGTGTCTCCTGGAAACAAAGGCATTACGCTTTTCTCCCAGCGTATAACTCACGAGATGCGTCAGCAATTTAGAGATAGATTATTTCAAGTAAATCGAGATGGTATCCTCGACGTAGCCAAAAAGTATGTTTTAGGATTTCCCAAATGTTTTTGCGATTAAAAATGTTCTGTAGCAACAAGAGCGCATTTTGTTCTAGACCAATCAGCGGGTTTGTTTACAAAATGTCATTAGCCAATCACCTGCCTCCGTTTCGAGGTTGATTTTCAATGTTTCAAACCAAAACACAGTTGTTGTGGAGCAAAACTTTGTTTCGCTCCACACTTTACTGAATTGATACCCCCATACTTTTGACGTTGATTTGATTTCTAATTACAAATGACGACAAATGTAGCTGGGAGCAGAAATGGTGTAACCGATGATTAGCACCATGTTCATTTTCCTTCTTAACATTGTCTAAGGAGGAAGGGGATCTGTCTGCTTGAAGTAGAAAAATCAAGGAGGAAATTTGAATTTATTATATCTGCAATCTCGGGTGTTCCAACCCCTTTGGGCGACAATTGTAGGTTGCAAGAAAATTTTGAAAATTGGCAAAAAAAATTTCCCAAAATAAAGATAATTTACCAGTTTAATCTACAAATTGAGCTCATTAATGAGAGAAAATATAATCATTTCTTTGCAATGTCTTTCACACTGAAAGTTGCAATTCTTTAAAGTTACTAATAAAAGCTTCTGAAGAAAATACCTAATACTTTGTTCAAAATTTTTGTGGAAGAGTTTGATGCAATACTTCCATTCAGCAGAAAGTTTATTTCTCGTGTGAGAAGTTCCTCGAAAGAAACTTATATTTTATATGAAATTCTTAATGTATTTATTTATTTGTTAACAGATATTTAGCCTCAGATGATACTGTCGATTCAATGGCTGTTATTGGGCCTGAAAACACCGAATTTGAACAAGATGAGTCTTGGGAGAAGAAAACAGGTTTATGATAGTTGTAGTTTTTAGTGCTAAATTCAACGATTGTTATATATATTTTGACTTTTTTTGTTCAAATTGATGTTCCGTAATGCTAAATTGAAATTTGTGAATGAAAAACTTTGCTAAGTAAACACGTGTTTGATTATGTGTTGTTAATTTAGGAAAGTTCTGATAAAATGTTTGTTATTAACTTGGTAAGATGTGTTAAAATCAATATTGAAGCAAATCACCCTGCAAGTAGCATTTATACTATTAACTTAACGGATCTTAAAATTCCTGTGTTTTCGAACTCGCTGAGGTTTTCTAAACCTTTATGGTTCCACCCTGGAAATGTGTTGTGCCATCATTTTTTAGAGTAAACGTTGATTATCAGTAAAACCCCCATCTATTTTACAAATTTTGGATCATTTTGCAAAATAAATTGGTCTTTCAAGCAGAGGCCAGAAATGTCGCTTAGATAAATATATAATAAAAAGTTGGTTTCGCCCAAGACTCATACATGATAAAACTTTACTTTCTTCGCGACTGTTAATGGGCACACCTGTTCAATATACTAAAGCTTTAAACGGTAATATTCAGACAAGAGAAAGATAAAAGAATTTCAAGTACGAATAAAGTTGTTTCTAAGCAAGAAGTAGTGACATTTGCGAGTTGCTTTGTTATGTCTCATTATCGAAATAAGAAACAAAGACAGTATTGGTTTGCTCCTCTTTTTACTTCATATGATTGATCCTGTTAAATTTTAAATGCAAATAACTGCTAAGAAGCACTTTAAAAAGGGTGCCTGAAAAGGGTGCTTAAAAGGGTGCCTAAGTAGCGGCGCTTAGAAAGGGGTGCTGAAGAAGGGGCGGTTAAAAAACTCTATTAATTTTCTTAAGCTATAACTTTTCATTTAACAAAAAAGAGTATGTTTGGATTCTTTGCAGGATCGAAAAATCATTTCTAAATTGCCAAAAACTTCTCAAAATATCGATTATTTTTCTTAATTTACTAGTCTAGGTAGAACCAGATAAAGAAAACTAGGCAACGTTCCTTCTTAAGAGACTTTATAACAGTGCTCTCAAACTTTATAGATGGTACGGTACGAATGGAAGGATTCCCCCATCAAAATCGGAAAGTGATAATTAGTGACGATTCGATTTGTTCGTTCAGGAAACCTTGTCGACCTACAGTTGTTCGCTAGATTCAAATTTGCAAAGCCAGGCTCCATCATTATTAGCTCTTACGATTTCTTACATTCTTGCAGCAATATCTGGTCTCAATGTTGCATTTTGATGGTCGGCCATTCGTGGCAAGAGGCACATTATTTATTCTCTACATATAACCATTCTTTGGGCCATATGCGACAATTTAATTACTGCCTTTGTTACTCATTGATTGTTTTGTGTTTTTCTGATCAAAGTAAATTGGTAAATTGCATTTTCAAAACTAATGCAACCCTCAGGGCCAGAACTTTTAAACATATTCTTTCTCTAATAGAGTTCTAAAGTGTAACGTAACCAAAAACCTATTCTTAGAATTTTTGAATCTTAATCACATAACATAAAAGATCGGTATGAAATGCTTCCACATTTCCAAATTAGTCAAATATGTCTAAAATCAGTTGAGATATAGCCAATGAAAGATTTGAAGTTTGCTAACGAATCACTGTTATTTTCGCTCTGTTCATAAAGTTATGAACAGAGACCAAAATATAGAGGTTTGATGGGGAAAATGCCAATACACATGTGATCATTTCGTAACACATTTGACTGATTTTGCATATTTGGAGGTATTTCATGATGCTTCTTCAGGCTATGGGATCTAAATTCAAAAATGGTTAAAATAGATCTTTGTGACGTCATCACTTTAGAACTCTATTGGTCATGCCTCACTGTGCACAAGATGGCACTGCACAGGAGCAAATCCCGTCTGAGAGATGTTGTTTAGTTATTTAGCGATGTGAATCAATAATGTCCCGCTCCGAAAGAAGATTGATTGACGAGGGATGAAAGCATAAAAAAGAATTTGGAATTTACACAGGAAGTGACGCATTGAATTCTGTGTAAAATGAGCAACCAAACCTTCACAACGGCCTCTTCGCAAGGTGCTATCCAAAAGCGCTCCATCATCGACGTTCTGCAAGAGCTCCAGCGCCAGATTCAGGTAAGAAAGCCGCTACTTTTTTGCGATGCACAACAGGCCTAAATTTTACGTTCAAAGAGGCGCCGGGCCATGTGCACAAAGTTTTGTTCTTTTCCCTTTCAACTGCATTTCATTAGCTTGGCAGTACCAACCGCTATCTTTTTCCAAAGCTGTTTGCTTTGGAAATCCAGCACTTTTCATTAGTAATTTAAACCGACTAAATTGTTATTTGTTTTGTATTTCTGTAATTGCATGTATTGTACGTTAGAAAGTACCAATGGATTTCCAAGTAATTGTATAACTAATAGTGTTATGATTATCATCAATTTTTTATATTATATATATGGATATTGTTTTGTATACTTCGCTCGTTCAATGCTTATATGACCATTATTTTGTTTTGTTTATGTTCAGGCTTATGGCCAAGGTCCTTTCACGCCAGAGCAGGCAAAGGAAGTGGAAAAGTTGAAAATATTGTATGTAAAGGCAAAGCAGCAGTACGACAAGGTAATATTTTCTTTTTGTGCCTTTTCCGCTTTTTTTCGTTTCTTAGCATGAATTTCATCATGATTGATTGGAGGAGATCAAAATTTGCATAGGAATTGAACATTTTTATGTTGCCCTCCTATTAGCCCAAATTTTACCGTAAATGATTTTTGCCAATATTAAAAATGTTCAAAATGGTTTATTGTTGAGTTGCAAAATGTTTCATTTTTCAAAGTGAACTTCAAAAAGTTGAAACTATTTGAAAAAGCTATTTTTATGGTGACTCTCAGATGATTTTTACGAGCCCCCACCCTCATTTAAACCCCAAAAAATAAGCATTTGAATAAGCACATCCAAAAAATACCAAATTGGCAAGACCCTGTGTGGCTACTCTGAAGACTTATGGTATGTTTCATACCAAATGCAGTCAGGCAGGTCAGCAGATAGCCAGTGGTAATGCCCAAAAATGGGTAGACTGATATTGGAGCTGTAAAGTCAATGTTCTTTGTTGATGCTTTGAGATCGGCTTATATGCAAGGAAAACTTTAGAACAAGATAAAATTGTGTTTATGGAATCAGGAAACTTATGTAACCATTATCTTATGCCCAGACTATAAAGACTTTGCACACTGTGCTATGAAGTTTGCACAACTCAGATTTAAATGGGAACATGGTGAATAAAAACTGTTCATTAATGCTGCAGGAAACTAAATAAAATAATCAAAAAGCCTTTATGCCTTTATCAAAGAATATGATTTTGGGTATGGGCAGCACTGTGAGCACTTTGAATTTTGAAAGTGCAAGTTGCAAAAGAGATTAAGATAAAGAATGTGCAGATGGTTCTGCAACAATAAGCAACAACAAGAAATAATAAGCAGCGATTTTGTGTTTTGATCCTCAAACTTCGAGTAACTGCAAGTGAGAGCTTTTCAAACTGCCATGTTTTTTCCTCTAGCTATTGTGTACCTCACACATTTGTTAGCAGCAATGTTGGAAAAGTTGTGTTATAGGTCCAAAAGTACATATTTATTTATGTAACAAAGACAGCTTAGTGAAATAGAGACTTTTGAAAATTTGCTTGTTTAAGATTTTTGCTTTTGAAGTTGTGGGATTGCTTTACGTTTTACTGTGATTTAAATGATTTACTATTTGAACTTCTTTAATATCTAAATCATATGAGGTCTCAAGAGAACGTTTCATAGAATGTCATCAATAGATTCTATATTACATATCACCAGATAACATTTTCATACCTTATAATTTAACCTACCTTCCTGACATCAAGAAATTTGCTGCAAATGATTAGCAATCTGTTTGTGATTCAGAGTTTTCAGCAGAAAGCTCTTGAATCAATTTATAGTTTTTATTTTAGAAGTAAATCCTCTTACCATATTTATTTTCTAATGAGGTGTACATTTTATAGTTCATATGTCATCTAACTTTAAATGTTTGACACCAACCACACAACACATTTTTTCTAATTTTCTACTAAACCTTTCATTTCCCTAGCAACTAAGCCTTTTACAGTCTTCATCAATGGCAAGTTCACAAGCCACCATGCAAGCTGCTTTAACTGGCACTACACAGCTATCTGTTGCCTCTACCCAAGGTGTAGGCTTAACGGCAGTACAAAGTCCACAGCAAGTTATCAAAAATCAGCCACAAAACATAACATACCAGCTACAAAGAACCCAGGGAACTGCAGCAAATTTAGTGGCAACACAATCAATCATAAATGCACACATGCTTGGTCAACAAAATGTTCAACTAGTTGCATCAAATGCGGGCATTGTTGTTTCCCAAGCAGTTGCAGTTGTTTCAGGGGTATCTGGAAATACCTCCAAAAATCCCATCATAAATGTTGCTGCAACAAAGCAGCCTATGATAGCACGGACTCAGCAACAAATAAGACCAACATCATCGGCGGTAAATATTATAAATCATCCTGGAACAGCCAATGGGGCTTCGCTTGTTCAGCAGGCACAATTACGTATGCTGGGAATTAATGCAGGTAACATATCTTTTAGTGAAAGTTATTCAAGTCTTTGTATGGTGATATTTGTTACAAAATGTCATCACTCTAAGGCCAAGGCTTAAAGGGATATTCAACCAATGTATATATATACATTCCCATCTATCTGGACCGTTGACAACCTACTAGATTAATTGGATTTATTTATACTATACTTCTTTGTTTGTACAGCCACCCCTTTTTGCAAACATTCCATTCACATTTAGGGTACATTTTGTACATGTACAATGTAATTGATGCAGCCAAGAATTTCATTTTTGGGATGTTGCTTCTAATCTTCTAATTACAAACTTTCAAGAATGCTGCCAAAAGAAATTGACAGATTGTAAAGGAATATGGCTGCTTACTTTCATTTTAATGAGATTTTGACATAAAATTAAATGTATGTCTTTTATAGGGATGTATCTTATTTGGTCTAAACAAATTTTATCCTGTTGATACTTTTAACATCAAATTGAATGTTTGTCAATACAGAGATCTTGAGGACTAGGTATCTTAAGGATTACATAACATCATAATATTTTCCTTCTTATTATTTCACTGATTAAAGGGAACGGTCAGACCATGTCAGCTGGAATACAGCATGGTCTTGCTCCTGTCAAGCCGCCTTCAACCAATACAGCAGGTATAAACTCATGCATATGAAATTATTTTTTTTGCATTTCATCAGGTTTCTTTGTAAAAATTTTAGCAGGTGTATGGCTGATTGCACGCCTTGAGGCAAAATTTTATATGGAGACATGGGATTCTTAACTGATTTAAATCGCATTGAAAAGCAGAAATGTCAGCTCTATTGATGTTACAGCTTCCCTCTGCTATTTTTAAGTTTTGTGGTACCAAATGCTTAGATAAAACTTGTCTTTCAAGTATTATATATGACCACAAAAGAAGCTTTTATCATTTTGATCCTAACATGTACCAGTAATGTACAGAACAGGTAGCAAACTATAAATACTTGTTTAATCCAAAATTACTTCCTGTAATGGTTACAGTGGCCAGGCTGGGTTCTTTCATCACAATCAACTGGCACAGCCAGTTTTTCATTGTTTAACATGCATATGGTGTCACTCGTTTCCCTAAATGATAAATACTGCTTTTAAAGATGATTCATGGGGCAGCAAGATGAAGTTTCTGACAAAATGTAATCTTACCTAGGTGGGTGCAGAGACGCGGGTGTACAATGACACGCCTCCAACTGAGAGGCCTGTTTTATGATTAAAACATATTGTATCTTGTTCTCAAGTTTCCTCTAAACAGTGAGCACATTTTTGCTTGCAATTTACTGAACTATGCACCATCTCCTAAACGCCATTTTTAAACTCCTCCTATCAAAGAATCACCAGCCAAAATGTAACATTTCTTTAGCTAAGCATTCTACTGAGCTGCAAGGTTCACAAAGTTTAAAAAACAGCTTCCTTCATTTTTATGTTATATACTAAAACAAACAAAGCCCCAAGCATATTTCATATCACATACATATTCCACAGAAGCAAGATTTTGGGTAGAACAGTTTTTAGATTGAAATATTTTATAAACTACTATATTGCCATTCAATTGTGTGCCCATCCTCATAAGAAAACAGTGTAGATAGGTTGGCATTACAAATGCAGTTATTGTACTATCTTCTTGAAAACTATTAATAGTATTTTGTGAGAGGGTAAAATATGTCTGTTTGCTCAAAGAACATTGGAAGCCTTTCACATGAGAAAAGTCAACCCATGTTGAGTTGAGGATTAATTTATAAAGTTGTGAATATTGAATCGTTGTGCCAGGTATATTTTGATACAGGTATATTTGGAGCCAAAATGAGGATTTTTGGAGCCTTCAATATGATATTCGCCTGTCTTTTTGCAATTAAATATATCATACTTCTAACTGACAGTGCTTTGACACTGTATATCATTTCTATTTTCTTTTTTCCAGTACCAGCGGCTCAATCAACTCAGATATTGAACCGTAAGAAAGTTCAGGACCTTCTTCGTGAAATCGACCCACGAGAAACAATGGATGATGATGTGGAGGAGGTAATGATAAATTAGGAAATATTTTTTACCAGACCAGAAGTCATCATCAATATTATGGTCATAGAAATGCCAGAAGGCTGTTTACAGGTGGCAGCAAATGATCTCTTGCAACCATTTGTATTTTTATACAATACGCTTACACTCCTGATATGTTTCAGGAGCTTGGATTAGCTTATTATGGACAGTGCTTTTATTCATGTAAATGTCACTTAGCAACAAGAAGTTTCTGTGCAATAAAAGCTTGTTTGTTTGGCACAGTTTTATTTGTGAGTAAGAATGTATTTGTAAATTGTTTTTTATTGTTAATGATAAATTACATTTATTGTCTTTATCATTTTTAGTTGTTATTACAAATAGCAGATGACTTCATAGAGAATGTTGTTAACAGCGCTTGTCAACTGGCAAAGCACCGAAAGTCAAACACTCTTGAGGCTAAAGACATACAGCTACATTTAGGTATGAAATTGCTTAGTTTGTTCAAATGCCACTCAGTATATAACGTAGTATGCCAAACAGTATACAACATAGGGGCTACTTGTTTTCTCTTTTGTTCACAAAAAGCGATGTTTTGGACATTTACTAGCTTAAGGGGAGAAAGTTTCACCAGAAGAAAGTTTTGTGAATTGAGGAAAGGTGTTTTTTAAATTAACCTTCACAAAAGAATCAAGATTAAAGATTTATCATTTTAGGAAAAACCAGGAATTTCGTCGGAAAAACGTTTCAATTCAACTGAGGTTTTCTTCTAATTTTTCTACTTAATACCAGCTACACAGCAAAAACAATATTAGCATTTTCTAAAAACAACCATTCTCCATCAAAGTTTCTAAGAGGACCAATGGCAACTTTCCCTATTTCAGGATGTTCATGGATCAAATTTTGTGATTTTGGCCCAGAAATACAAAAAATGTGAAAGTTTTTCCCCTTAAAATAGTAGTGAAAGTCTTTTTTCTCTGACATCTTTTAACATTTTGTATATTGAATGGTGCTTGTATTAAACTTCAATGCCATGGGCTGTACAAAGCCAATATTAAACATGTAATTGACACTTTTCTTATGAAGCTACCAAGTTTAAAAAATTTCATGTACTTCAGATCGGCATTGGAATATGTGGCTTCCTGGCTTTGGAAATGATGATCTGAGACCACATAAGAAACTTGCTCCAGCTGAGGCCCACAGACAGGTTTGTTACATTTTTGTAATATAGGTTTTGTTAAATCGTCAAACATTTATATTTTCATTTTATAAAGCAAGCTGTAAAGAAAATTTGAAGGGGAAAATGTTTCATTTCATTGGTTAATAGTTTGACCAGTTGGCAACCACTAAACTGTCACATAATTCAGGAGTTCACTACTGTGAAATACTGAACTGGACAAAATACAGAATATTTGTGTCAGTGTCTTTTTAATGTTGTCCAGGAACAAGATAACAGTTTGTTTTGTAAGACCAATGGTGGATATCCGTTATTACATGCAGAGCAATCTTTGACAATGGTCTTCGAAGTTTTCTAGAACAGAGGACATTTTTTTTAATTGGAAGTAATAAAAATTATGTGCTGATGTCTGGAAATTTTTATCTAGTTGATTTGCTGTCCATCTCATTTATTTGTACACAACATGAGATTATTTGATCGTTTCTTTTGAGGTTGCTGCATTTTCTTAATATACAATTAAGATATTGAAACCTCTGTGTGTCCTATGAAACTTCATGTTTATTGAAACTTCCTGTTTTGCATTCACATCAACCCTGGTTTTTACCCCCCTAAAATGTGTAATGTTAACTGTTTTTGGCTATTTATTGTGCTTCTTTATTGACTTTTAATTTGTTTTCAGCGTTTGGCAATTATAAAAAAATCATTAAAGAAATGAAAAAGCTGAAGAGGCTACTAGCTGTCTTGAGAAACCTGAAGTTGTGACTGGTGATGGTGCTATTTGATAAATGGAAGAAGTTGATTTCTTCTTGAAAGAGAAAAGACCTAGATCTTATCTTGGCAGACAATATTTATTGTGGAGTCAAAGTGACCGCATGACCATTTTATGCAGTTAAGGATGCTGGTTTTGGTCAAGTCCTTGCAGGTCTTTCTTGGTAATGATAAACAGTTGTGTACCATTCAATCAAGAATACGCTGGTGGGCATTGACATGTTCAAAGTATAAATAAATATTGTTGACTTTACATTGTATTGTTTAGATTGCAGTCATATTGTTATAATGCTATTGACATGCTTGTTGTAAATTTGGAACATTATTGGAATAAACAATTGGTGTATTGTGAATGATTTGAGATATTCTCACTGTACATATGTGTATGAACTGGTAAAATTGGAATTTTCTGGAGTTTTGTCTATGTAAAGCCTCACAAATGTTGTAAATTGCCTGCAGTTTTGGCAGTATGGGCTCTCACCCACCTCAAGTGTATGGATGCCTTCTGAAGACCAACTGATAGAAAGCCTTTTTAATTATCAAGCATTTTTCGGTTAGGCGATTTTACATTTTTCCAGTTATGCACGAGGTAAGCCAGCTATTTTTTCATGAATGCTCCACCCATTATTAGACAAACTGGACACTACAGCATATGTTTTACTATTTCATTATTTAGTAGATATTTTGCAACTCAACTTCTGAAAAATAACTTGCATCAAATGCTACCATCTAGATGATTTGGAAACTTAATGTTCCTGGATTGTTATGAGTGAAGGCTTCTTGTATTCCCTTGTTTTTCATTCTTCAAGACACCGTTAGGTTGATATATAAGGATGTTATCTCGCAAAAATTGGTAAAAAGTCATTATTTTAGGCCAGGTCTTCTCAATTTCAGCCTTTATCGAAAGAGAAATATTATTTTTCAATCATCAACATATTACTGAATTTATCTTTTTCGTAACTAAATCAATGAGGTTTGATTATATCACTAAAATATTGAGTAGGTCTAAAGAATTGTAATCACATTTTTCACGGTTTTTCTAAAATTCTCTCAAGAAATGTAATTTTGAAAGAATTACTTTTTGCTTGGTTGCTTGCTCTTGTGGATGAATGCAAAAAATCCTAAGTTGCACAATCTAAATCCTTAGCCAGTTACGTCTCGTGTGGCTTCCAGGGTAAAGCCCAGAAAAGTATCTGTAAATGGAAAAGTAAATGGAAATTCAGTCATCGCTAAACGTCAGCCTCAAGAAAAGGGTCCCTCCTGCATTGTACCCACTTTATTTGACGTAAAAGACAGTTTCTGCTGCTTGTAGTATGACAAAACTTAATAAAACTGTTTGCATTGCGAAATTCCAATTATCCATAAGTTATGATCCGATGCACCCTGTGTACACTACCATGTGACATACTGTAAATCCTCGAATTGCCACGCCCCCTCCCGAATAAACCCCCATTCTAGAACTACATATTATCAATAAGCCCCCACTGCTACCGTTGTTGCCATCTGTGGTTGCCCTTGGTAATAGCATAAACTATGGTAATAGTTAATTAAATGTTAATAAAGAAATTCCTACTAAAATTTTCGTGGTCTTTTAAAAATGTCTTCTTGATATCTACACTCTTTTTTTATAAGAACCAGTAAATTTAAGTTCAGGCTGACTGTTCTTAATTTTTTCAAAAATCTGAGGCTGGATTTTTCTTAATTTGTTCTTAAATTAAGAGGGTGTAAGCAGTGCTTTTGCTAGCTTTTTCGCTCTAAGAAGATGTTCAGGCCTCATTTGCCAACAAAGTGAGTGAGACAGCCTTAATTTGCTGACAAATTTGAATATTCACCGAAAAAGCACCCACACATCGCTAAAAATCCTCGCTTTTGAGAAAAAACGTTGTTCAAAATTGCATTTTGCAGAAGCTCAGCCTCAGCTTGTTCTTAATTTGTTCTTAACTTTTGACCAGTTTTAAGGCTCGTGTTCTTATAAAAAAAAGTACCATAAGTTTCTAAGCCCCCTCCTCGTATGACCCACATCCAAAAATAAAAAAAATAAGTAAGCCCCTGAGGATAATTCGAAGCTTTACGGTATACGTTTGTTACAAAACAGAATATTCCTCTTCTCGTAACTCAAAACTGTATAAGATTCTTGGAAACAAAAAACCATTTACCATCACAAAAATGAATTCCCTCACTTACAAGATAAGCAAGTAAAAAGGGGTTTTCCAACCATGTCAGCCCGAAAGAGATGCGAAATACAGTAGTTTTCAATGTAGTTAATCCTTTTTTACAGATTTGCACACTTCCCGTTTTGGAATCAGGCGCTCTTTCTGAAGAATTTTGGTACCCTGCTGCAAAGGGTTTCCATAACAAGGTTCATAATTTCACTCCATTTAAATTATAGTTTAGTTCTTACATTGAATCTAGGCAGTGAAAATCGAAATCACAGCAATAAAATTAATGGTTTCCTTTAATGAAAATCAATTTTTTGCTCTGCGCTGTCTCCAAGCCGCTTTTTCAATTCGCTGGAAGCTGTTCACAAGTTACTTTAAGACATAGTAATAGAAACCTTTGGGCAAAAGGGCCAACCAATAACGTCTCTTGTTACACATAGGAAGTGCCTCACATAATCTAAACTCGTACCTATAACGAACATTTGCAAGAATGTCAAAATCAAAAATAGTGTTTAGTCTTATATCGTTCAACCGTTCATTATGGGCTTATACTAGCAGGTTTTGTGTCTCTACGACTCTCTTGCTATTGTCGCGTTCATTGCGGCTCACTAGAACTATCCACCATTTTATGCCTTCTATTTGTCTTTTTGCATAAAAATTTTTCTGCTTCGTTTATTAAACCTTCGAAGTTTAGCCAATGCTAGATATTTTAACAGACCCAATATAGTGAGGGTAACACAAGAAAAATACCGCTTATAATGCAAAACAATTAATTCTAACAACAAATAACCACAAATCAATATCGCCCAATATTTTGTACATTCTGATCTAACTGACAATTATATTATCTCGCAAGGGGATATTTACAGTTCCCACCCGTTCACATTTTGACCAATATGTACAGCGCAAAGGGAATCGCTATAATTGAAAATTAGAAGTGAATATGCTGGTTTTGAGGTATCTGCGTGGCACCAAATACGAAAACGTCCGATTGCGCAGCAGGCTCAACTCCCGTGTCCACTTCTTCTTCTTCTGAGAAAAATGACGTAATGATTTCTACTGATGCATTGTAGACCTGTTCGCTTTCATGTTGCTGTAACGCCTCCAGTGCGTCTAGACCATGATGTTCCTCTACCATATTGGCAACGTCGGCCAATTTGTTTAAGCGTTGAGCGTTCTGCAAGCAAAATAGAAAACCTCCTTAAAATTTACTACATATAAACACTGACATCTTTCTTCAACTATTGTTCGGTCGTAGGCCAATAAGAAAATCAAGCAAAGGCTGTCTTGTGCATAGAACTATTCACATGCGTATGTAAGCGAACTTCATCGCCGAACACTAAATCAGCAATTGTGTTGAGATGAAGTTCTATGTAACGCAAGCCTAGATTTTTTACCAATTTTGGCGAGATAACATCTCTAAGAAAAGCTTGTTTAAAAGTGTTCCGCAATATTGGCAAACAGTTTTTCAATATAAGAAGAAAATCTCGAAAAGAAGCGTAAGACTGCAGCAACGAAGAGCTAAACAAATGCACTTAAGCAACTGCAAAGTGGCATCAACTTACCAGCAAAATGTTATTCAGAGCATCAAGTACAACTAGCAGCAGCTGTGGAAGGAGAATCGATGCTTATTATTTACACACAGATTAAGTTAGACTGCATCAGTTATACTCATTTAAAGATATGGAAACATGATAACCCAAAAGCAAATAAAAATTTGGCTTAAAATTATTCCAGTGTTCATCTATGAAACTACCAATGGATGAGCACAAAGTTACCTGCGTTGAAAGCAGTTTTAGACGAAAGACATTATTGAAGCTTCTTATCATGTTATACCCAGAACCGGCGTTATTATAAATTGCACGTTTTAAAATGTACGATCAATACCTTGGTGTCTGGTTTTGCCAAAAGACCACACAATGGCTCAATTATTCCTGCTTCCCATAGCTTCTGAACCTGAAAACAGAAACAACGAAGTTCTTAAGTGACCAGGAAAATGAAAAGCCTACTTGTGCTAACAAGCAAATAACATGATCCCACACCCAACAGCCTACATTTTTCAGTTTTAATCCAATTCGAGTCTTTTCAAATGAGTATATATATCTTTTAAATTACTATGCAACATAGTACCTAAAGTTCTCTGTTATGCAACCGTTGTTCAACTCATTTACAATTTTTGTTCGAAATTTCACTAAAAATTTAAGGGTTATCTTTAGCGACTCTTTACCTGCTCCACACTTCCACCGGACGTGAAATTCGCAACGATCCAAATTGCTTCCTTCTGGACCTTGAATTCACCCTAGAGCAACAAAGACGAAAGCACAGGTAAGAACCTTGTAAAGGACTTTTTCACATATCTGTTGCCATTTCAACACAACTTTAGGTTGATCAAACATGTAGGTGTAATTCACTAGAAGCTTGAAATTTGCTGGTACTGAGGAAGTTTTTATCGTTGACCATTCAGATCATGGCCTTACAGAGACAATTGTCAGGTAGCGTGGAGTTAAAACATTTCCGGTAACAAGTTGAGAGAAATACTTACATTTCCGAGAATGTTGACAACATGGGGAAGTAATCCTGCATCCATTACAGCCTGGAAAATTAAGAAAATAAAATTGATTTGTCTGCTTTGCAATCAGATATTTCTAAAGTTTTACATGCAAATGGTCTACGGTAACTTTCTCATTCCGTTTGTCTACTTAAGTTTTATTGTATTATTGTATCCATGCAAGCCGAACAAATTCAAAATAGATGAATGAAAGATTGAGGGTAGAGTTTTTTACCTGGATTTGAGATTGGTTTCCGGCAGTTATGTTTGATATTGCCCATGCTGCCTCCTATAGAAGAAAAATAGAAAAGACATCACAAGTTCAGACGAAGAAAAGAGTTACAAGACCAACACCAGTTTTTCTGAAACAAGCATCTAACAAAGAATCGACGAGCAATCTCAAATACACGAACAATAACCAAAAGACGATTTTTTCACAGTGTCATTAGTTTTAATCACAATTTATGTACATGGCCGCTAGCTAGATTCATCGTCAAAAAGACATATCTTTAGTCCCTCAACAGTTGTATTTTTTGATAGTAGAATACTCATAAAGTTTAATAACTTAATTGCTGTTGTTACTTTAAAGAAATGTTACCTTAACAAGGGATCCTTTACCACGAGCAAGCATATTGTGAAAGAGAGACAAAGCGCCATTGTTTATAACAAGCTGTGAAAGGAATCATAGATTGGCATTAGTCTCAAAGAAAAGTGGCAAAACTCAGATAAACGTGATCATTGAGATGTCGTGTACCATGCAGGTAGGTTGAGACATTGCACAAGCGAAGTATAAGAGAAGGTATACCTGGGTGTGTTCATCCGTGCCAGTAACAATGTTACCGACTGCACGTAGAGCTGGAGTCTGCAAAACAAAAGACTGGTTTCAACATCAACAGAAAGCACTGTGCACATGTCATTAGTTACATGTCACTAAACACATACGTGTTGGTTCAAACCGACCTAACAACGCAAAACCGGTATCGATTTGTATCCAACTTGTATGATTTCGATAGATATCTTCGGCAACAATAACAAGTTCACCCACAATATCCTTTATAGAACAGAACAGGCTCGAGCTTTCAGCTGTGGAGGTCTATACCGTCCTTTGTTTATTTAGTATGGAAAATCTGTAACCGTACTTACGACAATTTTGACATCATTTGCACCAAGCAGTTCAACAAGTCTTTGCACTGATGACGGGATGTTTTCAAGGATGACCTGAAAAGGTACTTAAAAAGTTAATCATAAACAGCAAAACGAGGTCTATCCTAAAAGAATAGCATCATATCAGGCAAGGCACGACTCTCTTCCAAAAACAAACACACTAACCTGTATCCTTTCGTTTGGCCCGTCGGTCAAGTAAGAAATTGCCCAACATGCATCTCCAACTACCTGCAGATACATAATAGTTGTAGACGTATTACAAGAAAAGACATAAAGAGATATAGAGCCAAACATGACTTATTATTTTTGGAGGCGTATAGGACTTTACCCTTTAGTATGAACAGATACATTTGCTTTTCTGTCTGCCCGTTGAAAGTGATTTGCTTGTCTGTACATACTAGGAAGGTACTAGAAAGTGGTGTAGTAAAAAGCACAGTTACTAGGAAATCTTTCACAAATGGGGATTTCAATTTCCAGCAATTCGGATTTACTGGCTATGGCTGGCAGAAATTATTCTGAACAACACTAACAAATTATTCGAAGCCTGCAGAACGAAGCGATGGCATTTGTTAACATAGAGATAATTTAAAGGCCTAAATGAACTTTCTTCTGTAATAATATGGACGCTTCCTGGTGCAATCGTTTTCATACACCGGATAAAGAAGATTACAATGTAAAACGCGTTTTTGGTATTCAGCAAGAATTTTAATGCATGACTGCGTGACCAGAGTTACAATGAAAATATCAAGAATCAGAGATTTTGAGGAACTAAATAAACAAAACGAAAACAAAACTTGTAGAACCCTGCAAAAGTTTAACAGAACTCTGCAGTAAAAAAGAAAGGTTGCTATTGTGACTGAGAACAACAGCAAGCCACATCATACCAAAAAGGCGGAGCAATTTACCAAGAACCTTTCACAAGGTATTGAAGCAGCTGGCTTGATATGCGTGAGGGAAACATCATTTTACAGGGCTAATTGCGAAAGTAGCTTAGTGCCACAAAACAGAGCCACAAGAAAATACCAAGCCGAGGGAGGACTGTCAAGGTCAAGGCAGAGACATAAACAGGGGAAGAGATCAAAGTTTGGTGGAGGATCTGTCACAAGAAACGTAAATGCTATCAAGAAGAGGTAACTGAACGATATTTCCGCTATGATTCTCTAGCGAAGCACTAATAGGAGGGCGATACCAGTCCATGAATGCTTAATACAAATAGGGTGAACATTCACCTTAAAACTGCAGGTAAAGAGCCCCCAGGCTTGTTTCAGCATTTTCAATATAAAGACTTATATATAAAAATAAAGGTTTCACTTTGGCCCGTTACAAAAATCACAGTCTCATTTATGAGCATTTTAAACGCATTGTGAAAGTTGGACGATGCCACAAACATCCGATCTAGCGTCTTCCTCAATTTCAAAAACCTTTCCGCATTTTGCTTCGGTTCTTCGTTCTTTCAAGGTGTAAACAATAGGAAACTCTGTTTAATTTCTTGTCCTACTAACGTAGGAAAAAGGAATGAGCTTTAGAAATGGTGTAATTGAATGCTAGATATGGAATCAACAAACGACCTTGTTTTCATGTAGATAACATTAAGTGGGATCAAACCTATATTTAATTCAAGAGAATTGTCGCGGTTTTAAATGATGATCAATACAAGGATTGCGGAGAAAAAAACAAGAAAAACATTAAGCATTAGATCAGGGTTGCATGTCAATGTAACCAAATTTCATGGGCAACCTTTACGTATTTCATGATGCCTTAATCTATGAAAGCGAATAAATTCACCTCATTTAAAACAATATGATCCAGTTGATCGCAATCATCCAATGAAATGTTCGATAATTGATAACCATACAATGGACCGTTGAGAAATTGAAAGCTCACGCTATATAGGAATACATCGACTCATGTTGTTTAAAATCTTTTTAGCATTAGACTTACCTCTTCATCAGGATGGTGGATTAGGTGACCAAGCATAGGAATGGCCTAAAACAAAACAAACATCACTTTATGGCAAGGCAAATCTAACATCAATAACTTGCAAAAATAAAACAGCGACACAAACGGCATCAGTGCACATTCTTCTGGTTCAAAGATAGTCGTTCTATTCTAGAAATCAAACATGGAGCAAGAAGAGAGTCTTGAAACGATCTCTGTACAGGTAGGTTGCTAAAATTTACACACCATTTACATCGACAAATCTAAAAATCACCTTACTAAAGTATTACCAATTTCTATAAATTCTTCGATTTTTGTCCATAGTATCAAGTAAACATGATGATAGGATGCACATTTTACACAAGATGCAGACGTATAATGTGAAATTTTGTATATGCTGAAATCATATATGTATATGTATTTGTATATTTGAAGAAATTTTCATCTTAAGAAATGAACAAAGCGAGAGCTGATTCTCGACCTGGTCCTTTACAAAGGTATACCATTCTTTTCAGAGATATGTACTGACCAATTGTTAAATCAAAAAATTTTAAAATCGGTACTTTTTTTTAAAAAACATGACTTTTATGACCTAGGAGTTTAATGTCATAATGTGCGTTTTCTTTCATAATGCAGAAAAAGTCGAGTTCTAATCTTTGTGAGTTTAATCTCTTATAACTGTGGCATCCTACTACAGACAATTGGGCAACCAGCGCTAGTGTACGGTTTACAGAGGAACCCGTTGTCTTGACTTTACATTCACCAGGCTTATACTGTAGAAAAAATACAACAATATCGTTTGTCTGTTAGAATTTATCTTTATAAGCATAGCTCTCCAGTGTTTTGAAGACTACCTCCGGCAGCTAGGTAGTATCAAACACAACATTGTTTGGAGGTTCCCTTTATCATATGTTAGATTTAAATTTATTCAGGGAGGTTTAAATTTACAAGGCCAATCACGATAAACAAAATACCGTGCATGGTATAGTATCTGCATTAATTTTAGAACTGTTGGGTGCTTTAATGCAACATGGCACCTACCGGCATAAGATGTTCCATCGGTGGAGAGGGATTTTTATTGCGGCACAGATTTGAGAGCGTCCAAGTTAGATTTCTGATAAATGAGAAATTCATCGCATTTGGTTGGATCAAGGCAAGGAGAGGCTGGAGTATGCCGGCCATTATGACTCTGTCTCTGTATTTAGCTCCGTCTCCTGCAATGTTACCAAGTGCCCACACTGCCTGCTCACAAACGTTTATTTCAGTAGAGCTCAATAACTTCATAAATATTTCAATTCCACCTAGAATACAAAAATTATCCTACCAGTTTCACGACAAATCTAAAATATTAGCTATAATTTGATGGACTGAGATTTCACGAAAATAAAGTTTTAATAAAGGTTATCATAAGTAATAATGATATCTAAGAACAATTTGTCGAAGAAAAATAATATCTTTAAGAACAATTAACTATTAAGGATTTTTTTGAATAAACAAGGTTTATCACAGAAAAGAAGCGTTATATGTGAAACGCAGAGCAATATTTATCTCTAGAAGAATAAATGCCATATAAATCTTTGGCATCACAGAAAGCTAAGAGTTCCCAAGAAAATGTCTGTCTGCCAAACCTGCAAAGCTGTTTAGAAGAGAGTTAGTTGGATGAAATCTATGAAAACATTTTACTATCCTTATCTGAACACCTGAACAAGGAAAATACTGCTAGAGGTAAATTGGTAACGAGGCTTAATAAAAGTGTATGAAATAGCTTATTGCTGTAAGAATCTCGCTGTAGTTTACCTTGCTCGACAACAATCGCAGTTTGCTCACTTGTACCAGAGACAATGTTCGTAACAGCCCAAGCTGCTTCGAATTGCACTGCATTGCTGAAAATCAACCAGTCTAATATCAGATATACGAAGACACAGTATATTTGCCTATTTGAAGTTCACATGTTGTTGAAATGATGGCCTTGAGTTTGGCATTCACGGCATTCAGTGAGCATAAGAACTAACAAGAAAAGCGCAACATACACAATAAAGCCAAATTTCAATTGCAATTTCAGTTTGAGGTAATAATAAAAGAAAATTAATGATTTGCTTACTCAGTAGTAGTCTGCAAAATTTGTATGAGCTTCGGCACCAGTCCAGCACTGAAAAAAAGTCCCGTTTTTGAGATACTAGTGGGGTCTTTATAAAAATGCTGGTTATTTGACACAAATTGATCAAGGTATAAGTTGACACGAGTTATTTAAGCATTGAAAAAAAAATTATTAAGCTTCCAGCTTAATTTAAGCTTCCAGCTACATGATTGTAGGTTAAGGTTACGGTAAACGTTTGCTGGATGAAAACATCATTTTTTCGATTTTTTCACATTCAAGTACCCAAACTTTCAAGGCACACAATGACACCAAATTTGAAACAAACAGAAATTTTGAAAGTGGAAAAAATCCCATGTAAACGAAGGTTTCCATAATTTCTTTATCAAAACTTTTAGTTGAGGCCTGAAAATCTCTTGACCTTTTAAGCCGATTATCGTTGCTTTGCGGTTGTAGTCGCATGTCTCATTTACAATATCGCATGGCACATCCATATACCCAATGTACGGCCGTGTTTATTTAAACAGGCTTATTGATCTTAAATCTTCAAGTGACTTGACCCGGATTACACTGTGGTTTACGAGTGTATCTTGCAAGTGCGATCAGTAAAATCCCGTTTTCTCCGGACTTGAAATTCCTCTACATGCAGGTACGAAAAAGCTATTATGTACCCAGGGAACCAATCGAATGGCTCGAAAATTTGCACACGGCCAGGGCAGACGTTGGGCGAACAAAGTGTGTCTCAAAATTTTTTTATTTTCTCTGGTCCGTCTTTTATACCCAAATACAGCCGCGGGAGGGTGGAACAATTATTTGCCAATTTTTGACAGGGTATAGTTTCAAGAAGAGGAGGAATTTAAAAAATCTGAGACACACTTTGGTAACTTAGGACCTGCACTTCCTGCTGTTCTAAGTCAGATTTTGTTACCTCAAACGCAAGGGTACATAATAGCTTTTGAAGGTGGTACACTTTTTGACCAGTAAATTCGCATGGAAAATAACATTTAACATTATTTGCCAATAATGTTTATCTGGCTAGATACGCCATAACCTTGTGCATCGAATGATACATAGTTTATCTAGATTCCTTGAGCCGTTTGGCCTTTAGGAAGAAAAAACCAATTTTCGTGTTCAAAACGTTTACCGTAACCTTAAAGCAATTAAAGGCTCTTGCGCAACCGGCATGCTTTGCGATTGTAACCCCAAAACCGGCCTAATATCGTACTGCATGAAAATACAAAACAGTCAATTTCTCACGATGCCGCTAAGCGTGTGGGTTGCGCAAGAGTCTTTAAATGAATTCAACATTCACAGTGCTCTTTTAGAGGGCCTTCAGAGCCCCAGGTCAATAACAAAGAAGCGACAAGATTTCAAAATTCAGCTTCAACAAGATAAGCAAAAAATAACAGCAATTCCGTTTTAAAAACGGCTAAAAAGATGCAAATCGTTACAGGGATTCCACAAAACTAACATTTTGGAAACTCTTTACAAATGACTTTGAAACAAAATACAAAGCGAGCACTAATCTTAGGCTGAGTGAAGGGATAAGCATTGGAAGTTTCCAAGACCAAAGACAGCTAGATCGCACGCTAGCAATGAAAAATGGGAACCTTTTTTCTGTAGAAATTCCATCGCGTGTAGACTGTTTGTCAAATAATATGAATAAAACACCACAAACTTCATCGTTTATAAATTATACATCAGGCTTATTAAGAATAAATGCATCTTGCTCAATTTGTTTATCCTTGTAATCCACTTAATGACAAGTTATAATCAAGTCCCTTTCCCTTTGCAAATTGTCAGGTTTGTAACACAAAACCCACAAGTTACTTTTCGAAGCCTTGGCTCCCTTTCAACGCTTCTATTGATTAGCAAGCGCAGATCGTCAAAGCTATGCGTCATTTAATTTCGTTTTCAGCAGAGAAGTTTAGAATATTCCAGTGGCTGGATGCTTAATTTGTTAGAAAATACAGAAAAACAGAACCTCATGCTTTTTGGTGAGGAAAATTTCAAGGGGTCTGTATTCGCCTACAAGAAGTGGTCAAGAGTAAAGGAGCATTTTTGCTACCGAGATGCTGCAAAGCATTACATAACTTGAACGCAAGAGGCATCTCTAGTATCGCCTAAGGAGGTATTCGGCGAAGAATACTTTTGCGACTTTGATGTGCATCGAGCTGTATATCTTAGGGTGAAATAACCTAATATTGTTTAGCATAATCCAGCAGCTACTCTCAGCTCAACAAAAGGCAAGGAAGAATCAGAATTACAGGGACTTTTCAACACTTTAAAACGTTATCAATCCAGACAGCCAGTTTGGGTTTGATTTTAATAAGACATATCGGAAATGCAAACTGGCGAATAAAAGAAATCTGGACGGCGTCGCTGTTTCATAGTAGCAAAAGACAGGTGCAAACACAACAGAGTTTTTAGATGAAAAGAAAGTAGGTGGATGGGAATATCTGTAGCCAGTTTAGATCCTTAGCACCTCTGCTAAGACAAGTTAGGGGTATTTTAGCAAGCAAAAAGGAATAGGGGAGATTCGCTAACAAGAGCATCAAAGTGGCAGCAGAAGCAAGGTCTTAAAATGGAATCTTCTTTAAGGAAAACAAGAAATCAATCACGCTGGAAAATGAATTCGGTGCATAACATTTCCTCAATGACATCGCTAGGGTTTCACAAGATGGTGAACGTTCCGATAAGATCATCAACCAGCCTTACCATGCACAACATGATTGCATGTGACCCAAAGCTCACTGCTCTCGCATCCATTGCTGAAGATGTCGTTAATCGCAAATCTTGGGTGAGTGGATTTTAGTGAGAAGATTTGAAGTTGATAATTTAATTAGATGATCTTATTTGTTACCGACTAGCTTTCGAAAGTAATCTTTAAGACACTGAGAAGCTATGCTTATAAGACTATATTCCTGGAATTGCAGCGAGCGATCGTAAAAGGAAAAAGGAAGCAGATTTATATCCGGAATGCTAACATTGCTCAAATCAATTTCTAGAAGAATAATGTTCCTTTTGTGGTCCGCTAAAAACATATATTGGCCGAAAGAAATTCTTGATGAAAATTAACTTTGCATGGCTAGGAAACAAAACCTTAAAATATTGAGATATCAAGACCATTTTCAGGTTTAATGTGGCAAAGTTTGAAAGGTTTGAAGGCAGTTATTTCTAAGATTGTGCATTATGATAAAACGGTATTTACGCGCTAATGGTAAGCCAGACCGCGAAAACAAGCCTCCCCCACCATCCTTAGCTAGTTCAGAAATTCATTCAGATTCATTCAGGGCCGACAATCCAGATTTGCTGTTGTACTCCATAGGGTTAAGAGCTTTTATCGGAATTTCATCACACAATATTCTGAGGTTTATGACATATTGCAACCATCAAAGACCAGGTTCTGTCTGTGCCGTGGAGGGAAGTATGCAGTTTGTGTAGTAAAGCGTCGTTTAGGGGTAGTGATATCAGGACTTGAATTTGCCCCCAGAATCACAAAAATTTATATTGCAAGCTGTTTAGAATGAATATGCTTTGAAAATATGTTGTTTCCGATTAGTTTTCAACAAAATGTTCAAAGTTTTTAAAATAGTCTCTCCGCATACCACAGGGCCAGAACTGTGATTTGGGCGAAAGCCACCACAGTCAGCTCCTCGTGGAGTGACTTCATATGAAAATTGGGGGAGTAGATTTTAGATAATGAGGAATGATGAAAAGGACCGCAAAGCATATTGGGCCATGATCGGGGGCTGGGGTAAAATTTCTTAAGGGGTTCAGCGTGCTAATAGCAAGAGCCAGATGATTCATTGTATGCTTGTGATTTACTGGGCGGGAGATTAATTCCTATTCTGCTTCTTCCACGACCCCTGGACGTTAGTAGCTGGGTAATAAAGGATATGATAAATTTTTTTTGCAAAAACGATAGCATTGACCTTATATTTAAAAATCGCTATTTCCTCTGCAAAATTTAAATCTTGAAATTTAAGAAAGGCGGTAAAAAAATTACTGGCTTTAAATCATGTAGCAAAGGAATTATAAATAACATTATAATGACAATCTGAATCCAATAGGGAGACAGACAGATATCTTTGAAAACAGGGAGGCCCTGCAAGCTTTGTTACAACCATCACATTGATTACAACACAGTGTCAAAACCTCAGTAAAATTTGACAAAAATCATACTTACTTTATCACAGTGTCAATGGGTGGGTTCTTCTCTCTAGATAACAGTTTCCTAGAGAAATCACAACATTGAGATAATAACAAGTCTTTGCTCTTTACCATAGAAAGATAGTTTCACACATAATGAATGTGACTATACCTTATTATAATAAAACTGATTCCTAATACTTCATCAACATTCCTGAATATAAAGCGACAACAAAGAAGTTATTGCCTACCAAATAGTGGTAAGAAATTAAGAGGTAGGTAAATTTGGATGCTACATATACAATACATTGGATGTCAATCAGTACAAAGCAAAGATTCCATACCTGACAGATTGCACTGCAGAAAAAATATCAGTTGTAGAGGGAAGTTTTGATGATAATATCTGGAAAAAACATTTGATGTAGTTAAAATAATGCAGGAAAGGCAGCTTTTCACTTTTAATTACTGAAAATTTCTTGATTTCAATTGGGTAAAGAAAAATGCATTTCTTACAAGAGGCTGGAACACAGGCAAATAAAGCTAGGATAGGTGTGCTCAGACTACTCTCTTGGGTCTAAAAATTGAGCAAAATTTATTTTGGACAGCTTATTGTATAATGATATACCGCAAATCCTTGAATTGGCCCCCCCTCTCAAAAAAGCCCCAACTCTAAAACTACAAACTGTCAATGAGCCCCCCCCTGGAATAAGCTCCCACTGCTACAGTATATTCTCAAATTGGACCCCCGATTTGACGGTTTTTGCCATCTGAGTTTGCTTATGGCCATTGATTGAATTACCACGACAAATTTGAACTTTTGGCAGTAATTAATTAAATGCTCATAAAGAAATTCCTACTAAAATAAACATGGTCTTTTAATAATGTCTTCTTATTGTCTACAATGATTTTATAAGCCCCCCTCCTATAAGCCCCGTCCAAAGATATAAAAAATAAATAAGCCCCCAGAGCGGCTAATTAGAGGATTTATGGTATTTGGGTTCATAAAATTCTGAATTATTTTTTGGGGGAGGGGTTGTCTTGAATATGAGAAAGGTTTTGAAAGTAGAGTAAGACATGAATTAACAAATGAAATATGTTTTTTGTCAAAAGAAGAAGGGTTTAGTTTGGTATACAAATGGGCATAGTTTAAAAAATTCACAGACATGATTACAATTGCCTCACTACTATATTGTGGCTAGTGGAGCCAATGAATAGGAATTTCATCAATCAATAAAATATTATGCCCTAGGTCAGTCAACAGTGAAAGGGAGATTTGAACATATCAAAACATACCTCTACAACTTTTTGCAATGGCAAAACAGATGTTGAGCCTTTATTCTATTAAGAAAAATAAAATTGTTCTAAATATATACTGTTGAAACTAGTCAAACATTTTGCAGATTAAGCAAATGAATACTAACTTGGTGAGAATATATATTGCAAATCAAGAAGTTACTGCTTGATATCTTTGGTTGCTAATCTTCTAATACAGTGAATGGTTTCTCCTGAGTAGAAAAACTGGCAAGAAAATAATTCATTTTGAAAGAGTCCTTTGCAACTTTTATAAAAGCAGTAGATAATTTGTGATATTCCCAGTAAAACTTTTATTGTTTTGGCGTGTTGCTGAGCACTTGCTTTTGCTTTTTGTACATTTTATGTTTTGAAAGTAGAAGGCTATAAGCTATTCTAATTTGACTATCTGGCATGTTACAACCAACAAAAGGGGACACGCTCAGTTTGTAATGTAACTCGGGTCTAAATCTTTTGACAATATTGTCTTTATACATCTTTACCAAGCCCTAGATCAGTTTTTACTGTTTGATGATAAGACAACAGGCCTGGTATTGTTACTTTTGGTTACAAAAACAGCCCTGTTAAAATTAAATTAACAAAATGGGGCATGAAATTCAAGTTAACAATAATTTACAAGTACAACACAAACTATACTACTTAAACACTACTTTACAATTGCTACAAGAGTGATAGAATGGGAAGCAGAAGTCTTTGACTGGCTACCACAAGACCATAACATAAGATAGCTAAAAACTTTAGTTCTTAGGGACTTTCAGTTTCATTTTTTTTCAGGACAATTATTTTTTTTGCTCACTGCACTGTAAGGTTTTTTGGACATCTGTTAAAGGTTGTCTTTAATTTCTCGGTGGTAGAGCTCGGGCACTTTGGTATTTTAAAACTAAGAAAGTTAGCATGATTTTCAATGAGCAATTGGCTTCGTTCTAAAAGAAGATTGACAAACCAAAAGTTTAGTAAATAGAAGAAAATATTTTGAACTTGCCTGTCTGTTTGATTCTTTCAAAGGACTGAGGGATTCTATCTCGTTCTGAGTTACATTTCTTTTCTTCAACACTTGTTCGTCTTTCTTGGCCTGAGGATTCATAGTCAGATATTACTGATTGTAAAAAGCGGAAAATAAAAGTATATGCAAGACTCAGTGTCTAATTAGGCCCATAGGCATAAAATGAAAGGTGCATTTACATTCGTTGGCCTACCTTCCGAATTTGAACAGTAACATCGGTCCTTCGTCTTCGCAGTTCCTGAAAAATTGTTAAAATTTATAATGAAAAGTACATACGCATGCTGAAGAAGTTGTGAAAACGAGCAAACAACCAAGGATTTGCGCATCATGCCGAGATAAAAATTACTTTGGCTGTGCTCTTAGACGCTCAAAAACCGTAAGATTCCGATAAGCAAATGACGATTGCCTTGTTTAAATAACTTACATCTAAATCCTTCCCTTTATTTTTAAAACTCCTTATTCGCCCTCCATCAACTCCAGTGTCAAAAGCAGGCATTTTTATTGTCGTAAGTTGAACGTGAAGAACTGAACTTTACGCTTGCAGAATTCAAATGACGGTTGTATGATGGAAACGCATAGGGTTTATGCACGCTTGCGTTTCAAATGTAGCGCCTCTACAATCTGATTGGTTCGTTAAAATTTCAACCAATCATATAGCAAGCGAAACCACAAAACAGGAAATGGTCCTAGGAAAAAGAAAGAGACAAGGGAGGGCCGAAGGGGTCTGAGATGGGAGGGATACGAAGGTCATTAAAGACTCATTGTTAACAATGAGCCATTGCGCTACGCAAGCACCCCATAATGCATTTTCAGACAGTCTGAAATAAATTATGGTTTATCCATAGAAGTTTACTGCAGGGCCTCCGACGAAAGGGGGGCCGGGGGGCCTTGGCCCCCCTTTTTTGCAAAACAAAAGAGTTTTTTTCAAAATCTTTTGTTATGGGTGTTAAATTTTTCCTTGCCCCCCCCACTATTCAACCTTTGTCAGAGCCCATGTACTGCCATTGTTTGCAGTATCAAGTTTTAAGTTTGGAATCTTTGCAGCATCATGTCAATAATTCTTTCATGCTTCTTTAGGTCATCAATTTTTTCTTAGCGGGAGTACTAGCCGTGGTAAGGGGTCTGGAGCACTTTCAAGTTAGGGGTCTAGAGCACAGGCTAATTACCTAGGATTGAGGGTGCTCAGATTACTTTTTGGCTCTAAAACTTGAAAAAAGTTATTTTTGGGATAGTCTTTTGAGTTCTTGAAAATGAGAAAGTTTTACAAAATAAATAAAAATACGATTTACAAAAGCAAATATGACGAGAATGTGAGGCTGGATTGTTCTTACTTTTTTCTTAAATTAATAGAATGAAAGTGTCAAGGCCACCGGGGGGCTTGGGTAACCATGCCCCCACTTTTTGCGAAACAAGTAGTTTTAAAGTGACAATTAAAGGGGAAAGAATCCTTGGCCCCCACTTTTGCTAGCCTTGTCCCCCCCCCCCCACTACTTTCAAATTCGTGTTGTGAGCCCTGAATTTGGATATCTACCGAAAAAGCTAAAAATCCTTGTTTTTGAGATGAAACGTTGTTCAAAATTGCATTTGACAGTAGCTCGACGTCAGCTTGTTCTTAACTTTTTCTCAACTTTTGAACAATTTTGAGATTGATGTTCTTATAAATTTCTTATAAAGGAAGAATGCTTTATAAAGAAACTTTCACAAAACTAACTACTGGATCAGTAAAAACCAGTTTTGTATGTTTGACTGATCATAAAATGAAAAATTGTTAGCATTATACAAACTTTATAAAAGGACACCGATTGGAAGACCCAAGATTAAATAAATTATCATTTCAAAAATCCTTTCAAAAACAGAGATTTTCATGACAATTAGTATCGAGTATTTCAGGTCCCATAGCAACAAACATAGGCATAGCCAAAGTCAAGAAAATGGTTGACCGCCGAGAGTAGAAGGCTCATTTTAGGATCCGTTCTTGAATATGGCGAAATCAAAACGTAAAAGTGGTTCGTCTACTGATGTTTCGAGGTGGGAAACAGAGCTTGCTCAAGCTAGCTTTAGTGAGGTAAAAATTAATTTTGACTTTTTAAAAACAGTAGGCCCTATCCCAAAAACGACCTTGACATGAAATCGAGAAAGGCCAGAAATTGCAATTCTTTCTCGCTTAGAAAACGCAGAAAAACATGGCTTGCCAATTCAATTTTACATCAATTTTATTTTACGGCTCTATAATGGAAGAACAAGACCTTCCTTGCCTATATCTGTTGGTTGCTAATTTTGTTTTGGTTCACAACCAGGTCCATCTATATCCACATACAAGGTACCCCTAGGTTGCGCTACTAGACAAGGGTTGTTTCAACCATCCATGCTTTGCAATAGTTTTATTGTCGTCGATTACCTCTTATTTTCTCAAGAAATTTCTGAATAGCGAACTACTGAAACAGAAGGAAGTCTATATTGAGAAATGTGAATTTATGAAACGACTAGGAGGGACAGAACACGAGCCTGCGATCAATGACACTTTGTGATGTTGCTTTGCAAAACGAGCCGAGCTTCCAATATTATAGCTAAGAAAACAAGTAAAGTTACACTCTTCATTTTCTATGGCCTTTGGGCCATATTTTGAAGAAAGCTTATGGGTATTATCCAGGATCTTCCATGAGTCTAGAGCTTCTTCTTCTTCTTCTTCTGCAACTTTTCTCATCTTTATATGGGGTCACTGTCCCTTGACAGCCTGCATAATTTTAGTCTGTCTTTCCAGCAAAATTTTGGTTGCCCTCTTCTTCTGTGTCCTGGAATCTCCATTGCCATCACTCTTCTTCCAACATAGTCCTCCTCTCTTCTCATCACATGACCATACCAATTCAGTCTTCTTTCTTGCATCTTCAAGCTTATTTTGGCTACCTTCACTGTTCTTTGTATTATCTCATTCCTGATTTTGTCTCTTCTCGTGACTACACACTTGCAGCATAACATCCTCATCTCTGCAACATTGATCTTCTTCAACTGTGCCTTCTTCACTGCCCACCAGGTTTCACTGCTGCATAGAATTGCTGGGCTCACAGCTGTTTTCCACGAGTCTAGAGTGATGTTGTAAATATTTGGATGCATTTTTGGACCATCTCTAGGTTTTCTTTGCATTTTTTTGCTGCCAACCATGGTCACTGCCTTCACTAAACTCCTGAACGATCTTATGGCCCCCTCCCTACCACCAACCTCCTTCAATAGTGATGTCCCTGATTATTATTGTTGTGCAGTTTAATGATACAGCTGCTACAACGATGCTCAAAAATACTGTTAGGTATTACAAAGAATAACATACTCTATTTGAAAATTCTCCATCACCCCTCATCTGAAGGTCTTTCACTAGCCACAGATAGATACAGATCTGTGTGCTCTAGAGCTCTTGTACTTTTCTGCACGTTTCCAAAACTTTGAAGGAAAATTTGAATATATCTAATTGAGGGATGCCATTTTACCCTTTGCCCCCCCCCTGCGATCTCACCCCCAGCACGCCACTGCAAAGTGTAATTGTAAAATATCTGGCTATGACTTAAATGCCATAATTTATCTTGTTAAATCCTACAGGTATTAAAATGGTTAAAAAAGAACTAGCTGTAAACTTTTTATTTTGCAGGATGACTGGAAGGCTGTGGTTGTGTTTGCAGTGCCAAATCAAATTGAGGATGTGCAACACTGCAGTGTCTTGTCTGAAAGCATTGCAACAGGGCTTAGAAAGAGATTCAGTGTGGTTGAATATGATGCCCTCCTGAAAGAGGTTTCTTAAGAACTTTTGTTGTTGTTGTGTTGTTATTAAAGAGCAAAGACCTGGCCCCTGGGCATATGAGTTCATGATTAGATAGTTACTATTCTTGAGAATTATCATATTCTGCTTGAATGATGGAAAATACCAGTCTCTTAGATTTTCAGGGACAGAGTTGTAAATGGGTGATAATAGGCACATTTACCACCAATTCATTTAACTTTGGGGTTTGGATGGCAGTAAAGATCACTTAGTGGGGTCCAAGAACAGAAGCCACAAGGTGCCTATGACCTTGGAATATTTGTAGAGAAAGGATTTTCAACATTTCACTTATTTTGAGGACTTAGACAACATTTTCTGTTGGGTTTTTTTCAAGTCAGCATGCTTTTTTCTGTGTCTATTTATTTGCAATATATATTTATCAACCATGCTCATAGCTTAATCTGAGTTAACTTTTTTCCCATCTTCCTTTCTTGAAATTAATTAAAGACTGGACTTTTAATGATCTACCAATCTTAGATTAAAGATCTTGCACATGGCAAAGTCGGAAAAGTAAAGATGTCCAAACCACCTCCATTCTTTGAAGTTATTGATTCCATAAAGGTTCTTATTGAACAAGGTGAAGATGTGCCTGCAAGTCTATTAGCAAAGCTTCTAAAGTTTAAGTTGTTGATGATAAAGCAAAAAGAATTTGAGCGAAGGGAAGAGGAGAAGAAGGTAATTATGTTAGATTTATTTAATTGTATATTTTATGCTTCATCCATTGCAAAGTACCTAAAGAATTTTTAGTATCAAATTTGTAACAAACAGTCAGCTGAACTGTAAAATTGTATTTAGTCATCTTTGAAATAAAGCATTTCAAGCTTGGAGCTTAAAATGTCCATAGAAATTTGATCTTTTTCTTCTTTTGATAAAAGAGATGTTAATAGCTATGCTGGGCGTGGGCAACCCCGTTTTTGATACAATTTCGTTGTATTAAACCAAGCTATGTAAATATAACCAATACAGTAAGAGTGTTGGAGTGTTTGGAAATGCACCCTTGTTGGAGAAAATAGGATCAGGAGAGATTTCCCATAAAATTTATTGAATTTTTATATTTTTTGATGATGACTACATTCTTTTGCAGGCTGCTGAAGCTGCAGCTAAGCAAGCAAAACTAGAAGAGAGAAGTCGCTCTAATGCTGGTAGCTCCCCCGGAAAACGGTCCAAGTCACAGTCACCTGGTAGAAAAAAGGGGAAACGGGACGATGCCCCTGCATCCCCAAAGAAGGATACAAAGTTGAAAAGACGCGGGGAACTCGAAGATACTTTCAAGACTATTGGTATGACCTATCATAGTATACTTGAACAATCTATTTTGATATTTTCTTCTAAATCACGACAGTCTTTCTGCAGGCTATTCTCAGAGCCCACGTGTTCCTATTTTTCATTGCAAAGCATGAAAACCTAGATTTAAGAAGTTAGTAGCTAAATGCATCATTAAATAAGTCAATGGAAAAATAGTTTCGTTTTATATTAGCACCTTTAAAAGAGACTGATCTAAGTTAGAGTAATTTCTAAGTTTCATACTTTTGCGCTGCTGGTTGGGAATTACTATCTAAAATATTTTCCTTTTTAACAAAAAAGTTTCTTGAAATAGATGACGAGCCAGATGGCACAGATGATCCCAGTCATTACGTCGTCATCACCTCGATCTATGAGCCTCGTGTCTTCCAACAATTGATTGACATTGGAGTCGGCATTGATGCTGTTATAAGAGTGACGTCACAAACGTACGAGACTAAAGATATGGGTGAGGTCAGCAAAGCTGACGAAAAACAGGTTTGTACAAGTCTCATTCTCTTTGTTCATTATGGTAGCTTTGGCATGGATAAATAACATCTACAACGTCCAATTATTGAATAGTACCGCAACGGAATCTTTGCAGATTGAATTGTGTTTTGCATTAAAATACAATGATGAAAGTTTGGATTTAATGCTTGATCATTTTTATGACCTGTATTGGAAAAGATCCCGGTTGCCTTTGTCTTGATGCTATAAAATCGAACAGTGTCGAAAGCTGTGGCTGTCAACATTTTCCTTTCCTAAGATGTTAGTTTTTAGAACTATTTTTTACTGAAGTAGAAAATAAATCTTTATCGTATTCAAAGGCATATTCTATTCGAAGTTTTGGCCTGAAATGCACCCAATGTTGATTCAACTTAAACATAGTTTGGTTTGTTAATGAAGGAAGAAGCTGAAGATGAAAACAATGAGGCAGAAAAAGAAAACGACGAAGAAACAAAAAAAGCAGAGGAGAAACTCAAGGAAAAGTTGCAAAAGTTCTGGAGAGACAGTGAAACTATTATACAAGAGGCTGCATCCGGTACGAGAATAAAAGATATTGCCAAGTTGTCAGTTGTCATAAAGGACAGCATTGTCCCTGAAGGAGAGGTAAACAATCTTGAGCAAGATAAAAAGGTATGATATCTAATTGATCTTTTTTTATTCGAGGCTCAAGTATGAAAGGGAACTTTTACTCTCATTTCAAAAGGTTGAACTGCTTTTAGTAGTTTTTTTGCCCAATGAACTGGTGCAGAAACCTATTTGAAAAGCCCTCACAATAATGTTGTTGTTTGTTGTATCCAAACATAATTGTATCATAATTGCATTGATGTCGTTTATGTAATTTGATTATGCCTTAAGGCCCTTTGCATATTATGATGTGGATATTCCAATAACCTAGTTGCTGGTAATCGTTTAAAGAGATTTGTTCAATTTCATTTTATGGAGATGCAGAACCAGTAGTAACATCTGAAGGAATACTGAAAATGGCTTACTCTTTAAAAAGCTATATTTTGATATTCTGAATTTCTTTAATAAGCTAGTGGAAGATTACAGTCTATTTCTCGATATTATGTAAATCATAATGTCATGTTGAAAGATAAAGTTCAAAAAAATTTTTCTTCTAAATTTTAGACTGATTATGGGACAAAGCTGTTTGAACTTGCTGCTAATCTTTGTTATGATTTGCTTGATTCAAAGAAAAGGTACAAGCGATATATCGATAATTTGAAAATGACACATATCCCATTGCTAAAAGAAACCGCTCGATCCGTCCCGTTGACGTCATCAGTTGCTTCCGCAGGTAGGCAGCACGCGTATTTATTCATAGAATCGATTCTTTATTTTTCTTATGTTATTTCTATGATTGATTGTAATGAATACTGTAGTTCTACGCAGCGACTATTTTATAGTCATAACTCTTTGCTTATGAGAGGTTTTAATTTACAATGTTTCTCTTATTATTTTACCTAAGAGTTTAGCCATTGCCAATCATAGACTATTTCTTAATAAAATTGACACAGTGAAAGCATCTGGATGTCAACATTTTGTGTCAACACTCTCTGCAATAACTACTTTGATTCAGTTTGCTCTGTTGTATGTGTACTACCATGCCGAAGTTCCTCGATCATACCTTGTGAATATTTGCTAATAGTAGAGTGTATCCTTCAATTTTCTGTCTTCCAAACCCTCTCTATTTTATGGTTTCTTTTGCCCACCCGTAGGAGGTCTGGAGACGGCTACAGGAATGCGACAGGCAAGTGCCAAGTATGTGGACATGAGATATTACAACCACTTAATGGATCAAGTACCGACTGAGTCACATAGTGTTCCGCTGCTTCTTGACTCCTTACTGAGGCAGGTCGAGGCTACAGTTGATGAGAAAGACCCCATGGATGATCCATTGCCTCCCAGGGAAGACCAGCTCGATCACATGCTTGGACAGTACATTGACTCTAAACTAGAGGTTCTTGGATTGAGAAAACCAGTTCCACAGGTATAGCATTTTGTTCTAGAATGATCTATTGAAAATTATTCGTCAGATTTCTTTTCAAAGATATCTACTTCATGTATGATGATTGAAAATGATACATTTGTAAACTTAGTTAAGTAACACTTTATTTTTTTTTGGTGTGACCATTTCAATGGTTATTATTGGTTATAGTATGCTATGAAATGTTCCCAGTTTGAAGTTAAGTTTTATATCATACGATCTATGGCCATGTTACAGAGCGATGGTTCAGAGAATGTATCGAGCAAACCCCTCCTTATTCACCATGGTGATGAGAGAACCCAACGTACACACCACTTGAATAGAATGCAAGATGTTTCTCCTAATGAGGCTGAAGATAGCGTTTACAAGCTGCATTCTGTTGCCTCTATGATACATCATTTTGCCAATGCTGAAGACGACAAAAAGCAAATACTCACTAGAAAGCAGCAGTTGGCCCATTGCTGCAATATGCTTGACAACCAATCGAAATTCGACAAAGTAATGGCACTGATGGCCCTTGAGGTGCTGCCATTAAAGCATGTTGATTGTAATGGAGAAGTCTCTCATCCTCATGATGATGAATCATCAGTGCACATTGGTTGGGACGATCCTTATATCATTCAAAAAGAATTTCAAGGTAACGTTACGTACGTTTTAGAACACCCTCGGCGAGAAGCTCCTAAATTTTAGTGTTTGTCGATTTTACTACATTTCTTCTAGCCTTTTTAACCTCATCTCTATATTTTTGTACTTTCCTACGAGCATATACTATGTCTGATGCCGGTGTCATATGCGTTTCGGTAACCTTATGCATTTCGGTCCAGGTACCCAAATGCATGACAGTTTTGGTTATGCAAAAACGTACCCAAGCATTTAAACAATAGGGTTCAAAAACGAATGGTGGAATTTAGCATGCAAAACGGTTCGGGTACACAAATGTTCTGGTTCATATCGAATTATTTTTAAAAGGGGGGGTGCTAAGAAGCGGTGCTGTGATTTCCCTTGCTAAGTTTATGCAGAAAAGTACAACATTAATGGCGAGTCCAAAGTTTGCTTGATTGACAAGTGTTAAATTTTAAACTCGCCAAGAATTGTGTTCAATTTTTTACTCATAACGTGTCATAGCATCGCACTACGATGAAATCACATGATTTGAAACACATCGCGTTCCACAATGTTACACTTTTGCATAGGGTATCAAAACGCATATTACACCGGCTCTTTAGTAAGGAGTATTGCTCTTCAGCTACCCTTCTGACGTCGTTTTTTGACAACCTAGTAACAATCTCCATAGCCTCAGTTTCACTTGATAAAAACAAAGTTTTTCATTTTGCAGCAAATTCTTTGTTTTACAGATGCAGATGCTGGACCTAGTATAGACGAAGACAGAGCAATATCTGAAATCAGAGATTTGAGCAGATTGAGGGATTTATCAGAATATCAGTATTCAGAGCACTTTGACTCAAAGATATTTCTTCAAGTACGTTTCATTGATTGTAAATTAAAGTCACGACCTATGCGAAATCTTTTAAACTTTGTGTAAGGAAAGGTAGAGATGACTACGAGTCCATTTGCCTTTATCCCATACAAGGTTTCATTCTTAGCCGAATTTGCAATCGTTGTCATGATGCTACATGTTCAAGAGATAAGTTTTTAGAAATCCGCTTTTGGTAATGTGAAACATCTATATACTGGTACATCATCCCACAGAGGTGATCATCGCAGAGAGATATCTATCATAGGAATGCGTCCATTGTAGGGTGCTGTCTGTTGTAAGTAGCTGTCTGATGTGGGGAGTTGTCTGTTTTAGGGAGGTGTCTGATGTAGGGAATTATTCTTTGTAGGGAGGCACCGTTGTAGGAATGTGTCCATTGTAGGGAGTTGTCTGTTGCAGGAAGGTGCCCGTAATCTGGACGCCACTAGTTTCAGGGTAATACTATTTGTCCGCTAATTGGAGAAGTCCTTTGGCTTGGAGTGTCAAGTTAATTGAAATTGTAGCACTATCCTGAACCCTGAGAGTAACTGATTCATGAGCTGCTACGTAATCTGTTCATGGGTTCTTGGGCGCATTGATTATATTATATTCTTCATTAATAGGATTGATGCTTCGCATTTGAATAGTGTCAGTCCTAATCAGTTATACTTTATTTGCAACAAAAGCTACTCAAGAAAGTAATCTTCAATTTTTTCGATGATTTTTTCTGAATCTTGTTCGTGTTGAAGTCATTTGAAGCTAGATTTTTTTAACACGTGTATGTAAAGTCTTGGCGCCTACTTCTTTTTCAGGTCCTTGACAAAGCCATGGACCTTAGACCCTTCATGGACATGTATTACCACAGCGGCCTATCGTCTCTGTTTTTGGTCCTCCACAACCCAAAAAGCGATCTTATGAGAAACTGTAGCAGCTGGGAAACATGGCTGCATTCGAACGTCGGCTTCAGGAATTATCTTGAGCACGTATCCGACGAAATAGACGACTGGCAAAGGGAAGAGGACACCAAAGAGGAAATTCGAAACAGACCAGTGACTCCTGATGCACCACCACGAGAACCAACACCTGTGCCAGTGAAGACAGGGAGCAGGTATTTCCCTCGTAGTTGTCTTCTGTCTATTGGAAGGAGTTTTAGTGTTCTAACAGTGCACCTTTTTAATCATAGAAACTTTCAAGAAGATATTCCCTGTGAGTTTTGTTGTGACTTATTCAAGCATGAGTTTTTATTTTAGTCACAAGTTGATAACTAGAGCTGAAATGCTTGAGATGAAAGAAGCAGAAGACGATAAAAGCAAAAAGAAAAACCGAAAATCGAGGGCCCAAAGTAGAAGTCCGGGTAAAAGACCGCCTTCGGAATCGAAAAAAGCCCATTCACCGGATAAACGGGAAAAAACGAGCTCTGGTAACAATTCATCTTTTTAAATTCTAAAAACGGAATTACTAATTCTCATTTGCAAAGGTTATTAAATGGCCTGAGGAATTTAACAGAATGGCATCGATTTTAGCAGGTGCAGATTCTATTCTAGAGAAGACGATATTATCGATTGTGGTGTTTTTTGTTTCTAAGACCTTTGTCTTGTTTGCGGCTTAAAAAGGTCAAGAGAAGACCTTTAATGAAGGACTTTTCATTTTGAAATATGACCCAAATACAGAAAAAGTAGCTTTCTCCACTTTAAGCAATATTTTTATTTATCAAGTTAAGCGGATTTTTGAGCAATATAAACATCCCATGTTGTGGTATGTTCCCTTTTATACGAGTTTTACGTAACCTTATATTCAACAGCTATGAAGCGTACTCCTTCTGCAAGGAAGACAGCATCCCGGGCTGGTACAGCGAGAAAGAGTTTGAAGTCGCACCAGGAGAAAAAACCCGAACAAGAAGAAGAACATAATGCTGATGCGGAACAGGAAGGAGAGAAAGAGTACGCGTTTCATGGATATGATGTTGGAGACGAACTTGTGCATGTGTCGGGGGAGACTTCCTATCTCTTCCCTTGTGACGGTGACTTGATCAAAGTTGAAAAGTCCGGGTACATTAATGGCAATACATCAATCCGGACCGCTGTGTACAATAGTGATAATACAATTGTTTTGAATATCAAGAACCCAGTTTTACAGTCCAAAGAAGGAAACAAAGTAGATTCCATTGATGCATCGTGGAACATGTCACTTCTTAGCAAACAGGATATTTCCAACAACGGTATTTCTTTAAACAAGTCTCTTTGCTAATTTTATAAACTTTTGGATTAATCTTAAATTCTTTGATCGTCGAAACATTTTGCCTTCGGTGCCAGAGTCTCCACAGTTTGGCCTCAGAAATATGCTTCAAGTCTAGTTTAAGCAGTGTATATTTGATTGAGATAGGAAAAAAGATCTTTCTCCTTTTCTTTTCTCATCAAAACACCCTTTTTGCCACTTACCAGAGCGCTGGGAATTGGCCCTAGTTTGCATCATATTTTGCCATTCACATTGAGTGGCATTTTCTTTCTTTTTTTAGAGGAGGAAGGACAGGAAGCAGGTGAAGAGAATGAGTACTTGCGTTTGATCTCGCAAATCCCACCCTTACCAGAGATAACAGATCCTTGCTTTGAAGACAGTTTTTTGACAATAAATTGCAAAGATGGAATGCGCCTTGGAATTGATTGCAGAACATCAACCGCGTGGCGAAGAAGGCTGGAGCAACTATCGTCATCTTTAGTTGATGCTAAAAATGCAGTTTACAAATTGCCCGTCTTGGGTGGAAATAACAATCCTGTGAACCCCAAGGGCAACAGTCCGAAAGGAAAACGAAACAAGGAAGACGAGATGAAAAGACAGGAAGAATTAGAAAGGCAACAAGAGAAAGAGACGCGGGACAAAATCGAGTATGCGATTAGCGATGTTTGCCAAATGAGAAGATCGCATCTTAGCACATGTAACTTGTCTGTCAGTTGTCCTGATGGCTTGCAATTGACATTTCTGCATGATGAGATCAAAAATGGAGATTTCTCGAGGGTTTTGCATGTACGGCAAGAATATGTCGTCAAAGGATGTGGAAAACATTCCTGTGAAAAGACAAGGACCAAAGTATCAGAAGAAAGCTCCAGACTAGTGACTATGACTGGAACTGTTGTCAAGGTATTATGTTATTTTATTTGCATTTTTGTGAGAGCTACTTGTTTTGGAATAGGGCACTTTATCGGAATATCATTGGACATTATCGGGGAACATGTGATATTGTTTGTTAAAAGCCTTTTGACATATTTAAAGACTATTGCATTAAATACGAAAAGCCTCTCATTTACAATTCAAGCCTTTAAAGCATATCTGTGTCTTCTCCTCGAAAGATGTAAGACATTAAAGGTGACATTACATTTTTACAGTTTAGTCTCTTTTTTATCTTAGTGGCTTTTTGATACCAATTCAATGACTTTTAAAGTTTTGTCATTTTTCTTCAGTATATGAGAGATGGGTCAGTGGAGATTCTCTTTGCTGATGGGGCTGTGTCCAGTTGCCCCTCCATTGTTTCTCCAGTATTCAAAAATAAACCTGCAGATGTTATTGATCCAAATGCCAGCCTGGCGAGTGATTCTGGGTCCAATCTAAAGAAACTAGGAGTAAATCTTAAACAGGTTGTTGAGAATGCTGAAGACTCAATGGAAACAAACTCTTTTGAGTGGTTCCTTGTAAATGCATCGGGAGAAAAATATCACAGGACTTCTGAAGAGGTCAGGCTGCAAGATCTCATCGTCTCACGAGCTGTATGTCCAAGAACAAATCAGGTTTGTCAAACTATTTCATATTTATGATTTTTTCTGAAATGAATAAAGACACATCTTAACAAGCTTGTCAGATCAGTGTTGAAAGCTGGGAGGTAGCAATGCAATGATTTATTTGTCTGTAATTTTTACAAGATACTAAAGAAGACTTTTAGTTTCTAGATATACCACAATATTTAACAAGGTTGCAAGAAAAATTATTTTCAAATATTTACGTGTAGGATTGGAGCATGTATGTTATTTTAAACTTTTACATTCTTTTTGATTATGTAGTTTTCTGATTCTAGATCATCATAAAATTGATTTTCAATTGATCACCTCATCCGTACAAATCTCTCTCGTAGAATAAGGAAATTCAGTATTTTCCTTCAAGCTTTTGATGTATTTGAAATTGTAAAGTGACTGTCCAGAAAATTTTAGAAAATATCTAAGTGTTAAATGTACTTTTTGAAAACTAGCAAAGAAAGCCTTATGTTTGTTTTCTTTTATTTTTGACGCTTCTAGAATCTTTTTCAGGTGGTGGAAACAAGAGAAGATGGCGTGGTGACAGTCAAACGGCCAGATAATACAACGATAGTTGAGCATAGTGATGGTACACGAATCACGTCATATTTTGAAGAATTCGCATTTGGAACTGACAATGAAACCGGAGAAGAGGAAGTTAGGCCGCATGCACCAATGGAATGTGTGAAGGTATTCACTTTTGGGATTTTCTAAATACTTGTAGATCATAGATCATTTCGTTACAATTTTTTTTATTTGTTGTATTTAAGCTTTTGATCAAGTCGTTATTATTGAGATGTGTATCGAAGTGAATTTTCAAATAAAATTATGTTCTCTTATTATCATCTGTTTGTGTACTAAAGATCTTTTCTGACACTCAAAACCAATATGAAATTCATAAAATGGGCGTTCCTTAATTCTTGTTTTGCCCCAGCCCACGCTCTGAAATTGTTTAGAAGCACTGGAATAGTCTTTTTTCAATGCTTTGCTTCCGATTCTAGATTGAATGTGTTGGGTATGCAACAGTGCTCATCAATAAAGTGAAGAAAGAAATAAAGACAGTGTTTGGGAACGGAAGCGTCATTACTGCATCACTGAATGGAGAATACAAAATCGCAAAGCCTGATTCATCAACTGTCTTTGTAAATGATAAAGGTACAACTCAAAAGTATTATTTGATTTCTTTCTGTTAACAACATCATAATCATCATCATCATCATCATCATCATTGAGAACGCACATGTAGTCATAAACGAACCATGTTTTTAGTTTTTTGTGTCCATCGAGAATTGGCAGTAAGAAGGTTGCAAATATCACAGTTATAAAAGGAAGAGTTGATTCAGTGATCTGGTTTTATCGGAAACGTCATCGAAATTTGGAAAACGATTTTAGTGTGTCATTAGATCAACCTTTTTGTCAATCCTTCAACTGCATAGATGAAAACAATATAATTAACATAATAAACGTAATGGAGACAGCATAGAGATAAAAATGCCTAGCTCTTGAGGTATCCGCTTTGGCTTGCCAGCCTGCTTGCCTAGATCTGTGGTTTCTGGAACCTCTTTGTTATAACTAATATTTATTTTGCTCCATTCAGGGGAAACCTTATTTGTTCCAAAGAAAACAGTCCCAGATATTGCATCCTACAACGCCGGCAATCTAGCCTCTCTCTTCAATTACATTGACGAGCATGGGTCACCTTCTGGTGTCTATGTCATAAAGCCTTCATCGAATAATTGCCTATCTGCCGTTGATGACCTTGGAAACAGCTTCAGTGTATCTGCTATGGGAGAGGCTGTAGTGGAACGAGGCCAAGATTTGTTGGGTAAGTTGAATGCAGGGGAAAATTTCTCTTTTGGATGAATTAACTATTTTGATTGTCAGTTAAGGGAAATTAGTGAAGTGCCTCAATTAGAGTGAGTCGCTACATAAAGCATATTTCATTGTGACAACAAGAGCACAACTTGTACCGCTAAAGGTACTTCATTGTCTGCTGAAAATAAGCCCATTTTTGAGAAATCAATCTTTTATAACAAATAGTGAATGGGATTTAAAAAAAAAACAAGAATGCTGGAGGCGTTAGTGAGCTTTTCGAAATTGGTGTAGTTGCTTCTCTTTGTTTTTGATCGTGAAAATTTTCATCAACGAAAGTCAGTTTTCAATGTCTCAATCAACTTTAGGTGTCAAGGATTTGTTGAAACCCCGATATTTTGTGCTGCACAAAGATGGAAGTGGAGAGGAACTCTTAAGGCAAGCTGATATTTCAACTTATCTTGAAGAGGCTGAAACAGATCCAGGTGTGGCAGTTTTAAAATCAAGCGCCAAGAACCAGACTGATGTCTCTGGAATAACAGTCCTCCGTCCTTTTAAAGGTAGTTTTTGCTGCTTCACAAGTATAGTGCAATTGTCTCAAACTCGATATTAAGTTATTTTTATAACAGAGTTCTGGTACAGCTATGCACTAATAACCATCTTATTTACTTGTTCATCATTTGGCAATTCGCTCGCGTTCGAACCTATGCTGGACTTTGACTTTTATTATTAATTTTTAAAAATTCCATTGTTTTAATTACTTAGAAGCTATTGTTTTGTTAACCTGCAATATTTCTTACTCGCTATACTTTGTTAAGATATTCTTATTTTTCCATACTTTGTAACTTACAACCTTGATAAACCCTAAACTTCAATCAAGTATATATGTTGAACAATACAATGCCCTATGTCTCAAATAATGGTTAAACATCCTTTGAAAACAATACACCAGTTCTCTCATTAACGTTTCCTGACTTTTTCGTCTCCTAAATTACCATACAGCCTTGGTATCAATGATCTTTGTTCACAGCGGTATATCTACTGGAAGAGTTGTTCAGGTATTTTCCGAGCAAATGGAGCGAGGTAGTTTCAGGGTCAAGTATGTTCAGAAAAAATAAGTCAGAGTAAATTTTACTGTTATTTCTTATCTCAAGGGACTAATAGTGACATCTGGTTGATGCAAAAAGACGAAGAAGACATAATACCATCTGATCTGAAGGAAAGGGATTTTAAAACATTGCCGGCAAAGGAAGTTAAGTCGCCAGGACCAATATTTGGCAGCAATGCAGGTATAGTGATAAGATTTCTTCTCATCGAAGTTCTGATACATTGAATCCATTAAAAACCGACAGTCTTAGATGATTCTTGTTTGGATACACTCATTATTTTAATTCAAGCTGCTTGCTGTTGTGCAAATCACAGGAGTATTTTTGGCTTTTTCTTCAGGGGTAGCCTTTCAGGTTGCAACAAAGCCTACACCAGTGCCCCCTCAGCCACCAAGAAGTTGTCCAAACGTACTGGAAATGCGATACATAACTCATTTCAGTGGCTTAACTCCTGAAGATAGAAAGAAGATGCTCGAAGGCATTGAAAATTATCGAAGACTCTTCAAGGAACAGTTGGCATTAGAGAAAGATTTGCTGCCTAATGACCCTAGAAGTGTGGAGGAGAAAAACAACGCACAGGAGCTTCTTGAAAAAGTAATTCTTTATTTCCTCCGTTTTATGCCTTTAAAATCTTTTGTGTTCAAAGCAAAGAACAAATTAACATACATTTTTTCTTTGAATAGTTTAAAGATATGATGGTTAAAGAAGAGCAAGTTCAAGGTAAGTGAAATTGTTTTTAAAAAAATCACTTTTGTTCAGCTTAATGCTTCTTGTAAACAAAGTGGTTCTATCAGCAGATCCTAGCGGAAACAGATTTATTTTCCTACCAAGGAATGTACTCAGATGAACAAATTCTGGATTAAATTTAGAACTAGAATTGATATTTCTCTGTTCCTATAGAATATAAACAGCCCTACCATCCCATTTCTCACGCAGAACCTAATTCAGTCCTACAGTATATCACATAAGCATTACAAACCACATTTATTACCCATGAACCTGTTGAATTCATTTTGCATTCCCTAGGAAATTTAACCAAGCCAGCAATCCCAGACAGCAGCCTTGGCCAGGAATATTTAGAGGCAACAAGAGTGCCACCTCCGCCGCCAGCAGAAAGAGCGAAACCGCAGCGTCTCGAAAAGGAGTGGGAGAAAGATAAGATCGAGATTGCGGAGCTTAAATATGCAAAGGAGGCTTTGCGCTCAGGGAAAGTGCCACCATATTTTGATACTGAAGAAGGTGAAAAATTTCTTTTAATTATGTTGATCATGAGTAATTTCAAACTGGACATTCCTTGTTGCCAGGAAAGAAAGCTAGTTACCAAAATATTTAGGTACCTAATTTTGTGAAATTTTGTTGAAAAGGAAACAACGATTTTTAAAAAAAGTTCAACATAGTTGTCAAAGCAAAGTTTTATCCTACTTTGAAAATGGCGTTTGACTTTGGATCATGTCGCAGTGGATGTAGTATCGGCTTTTGTAGCAGATAGCTCAAGGCCTCAAAAAAAGGCATACGATGGAATCGTTTTCTTTGAACATTTTTTAAGCTGATTTTTAACAGTCATTGGCCTGCACCTTACACTTTTTCTTTGATTGTCTAAAAGAGCATCTTGTTGCGTTTGAATATTGAGTTGACTGATTTTTTTCCAGGTCAGCGCTTCCTGTATGCAATAAAAGGACAACCGGAGCTTGAACGACTGGCTAGCGATCTAGCCAAAGAGACGGTGCACCCGTCTTATCGACCTGTCAGTGCCACCTCGACGGAATCAAATGGCATAACACCCGAGCTATCCACTATGAGTCATCCTTCTGGTGGTAAGCCGTTAATATACCTAATTCCTTGTCGCAGGAAGGAGTTAGAAAATCATTCTTCTCCTTTGAACTCAGCATGAACTTTTTTGTCTTTGAATGGTGAATATTCAATTCAATTCAATTCAATTCAATTCAATTCAATACTAATGAACCATTTTAATGACCGGAATTACTTTATTTGTCTTCGAAGTTGATCCTGAATTAAGGGTTGTCCAGAGTTATCGAATGTAAATATTGAAAATTGGTAGGAAATTTAAATGTCCACTATTCAAGTAAATATTAAATGTTTCATACCTGTGTCATTGAATGCAGTATGCAATAATGGCCATATAGAAAAGCTCCATATCTTTAGGTCTACTAGTAGATCTAAGTGACTATTGATATTCTTGGTGCCAACAAGTGCCTCTAATATTATAACAATTGATCAAGTTACAGGTCAGGTAGAAATATGCTGCTCTTTGCATCCAAGAAGTTGTAAATTCGCATTTTGAAAGAATATGAATGTTTTTCTTTCTTGTTCTCAGAATTCTACGATCTCCGTAAACAGAATCATGTGGAGAACCAGGAATCGAACTCTGTCGAGTTTTTTGACTCATCAAGAAAAGATTCCCCAGCCAACAGCAAACTAAGCCTGACTAGGCCTGGGAACCCCACGCCAGCCGAGGCTATAAATGGTGACTCGGGTCTGGGAATACACAGAGACACTCAAAGTAGGAGCCGACCCTACAACCCCACTCCACTGCATGCTGGGAAAAACAGCTCGCATGTTAAGATGGAAAATAGCATCGAAGAAATGCCAGAATCACGTGAGCATCATGTTGAGAGGGACGAAAATCTCCTTCAAACTACTTTGCGAAAGCAGCAATTGCAAGAAACTGGTCCTTTTAATGATGAGCTGTCACAAGCATATATTATGACCCCTAATAGAGAATTCGCCATCGACACCCAGTTTGGAGGTATGCCTGCATATCTAATGTTATCAGTCTTGTTTTGACAGCAAGAGCTTTTAGTAATGAACTTTGGGTTATGGTGGTATGAACATCCATTCGTATAAAAGTGCATAAAAACTATATTATTAAGATTGTATCATTTACTGCCATAAGCCAAAAGTTTGTCAGTGGTAGACCACTGTGAAGCTTACTCGCTAGGGAAAAGTAATTTTGGTTGTCCGACCTGTTTCTTTGATCTGATCAGCTTATCTAATCTCAGGTAAAAAACTTAATGTCTTTTTTCGTCAAGACAAATTTTCCCTGTGTATAAAGTGTACGTTTCAGCCGTAGTGAAAGATTTTGGCTTAATACTTAAGGTTCAATTTCCAACAAGTTATCATACTTTTAAACAGAATCAAGATCAAAGCCGATATTTAAAAGTCAAATGAAGCTTAGGTTATCTTTTCTGTTTAAGCACTGTCATTCAATTTTTAGATTTATCATTTTTCCAGCATGTTGACACACTTTTAGTAGGAATTAAGATCAAAACTGATATTTATCAGCATAAATTAAGTCCTCTGTCTGCTTCGATCTGGTTGCTTTGTCTGTTTCGACTGGAATTTTCGAGGGCTCTTCAAATCTCATCAAATGCTGATCTTATCAAATGATTTTTCTACAAAATTATGTTTTTGGTTTGAAGACTAAAATTAGCTTCATCTTTAGGTTCTAATAATTCAGCGAGTTTTCTTAAGATATTTTACATTACAACATCTGTTTGTGTACTTTTTTCATAAATTTATCAAACTTGTCATGCACACATTTTACAATGTAAGGACCTTTTATTTCTATTCTCACCTCCGACAACAGATCAATCACCACGGTACTCAAGCCTAACCTACTCAGTGACTGGAGACCCACGAAAAGAGGCTGTCCGATTGCCTGCCTCGATCAAGGGCTCCAAGCCAGGTGCTTTGCCAAATCACAAGGTAATGGAGGATTCTGTGAATATCTGTTTGCAATTGTATTTCATTTACCCAATGCATCAGTTAATGTGAATAATGCAGTGTTCACGTAATGCGTCATATTTATTCGCGAAATAGTATATCTTGTTAATATCATTAAAGGCCAGTAAAATTCCATGTGCCATGACAATTACTTATATTTATAAATATTTTAGAGGCTAGTGACAAAATTTTAAATTGTCCAGTTAAGGAAAAAGGTATTTTTTTCTAGTCGCTTTGCAACGTTGAAATCCATTCTTACCACATGAGTAGTTTTGAGGTTTTCGCCAGAAACTATATTCAGGCGTATATTATGTTTTTGCTTGTATAAAAGAAGCCTTAAATTGTTCTTATGATCATGAAATATTTAGTGTTTGTTTCATCTAGATCGATAATTTTTGAAAATGATTTTGAAAAAAGCAAATATTTCACAACATACTAATCTTGATTGGCCTATTTCAATCCACAACTGGGTATACATTTTCAATCTTGACGTTTCCAAACGACAGCCGAAAGAGCCTTTAGTATGTTGTGAAATTTTTGCTTTTTTATAGACATTTTCAAATTTTGTAGCGCCGAAAAATTGTTCACATCGATATTGTTGCTGTAACCATTTTTAGTCAGCAGTGTTTGTTTTGGCCATTACTTTGTTTCAATTCAAATCATAAACAAGTGGTTGAAGCAAATTTTTAGAGCAGTCTGTTAAGGTTTGAGTGTTGCTGATGTTTAGGGTTTACCTTTTAGTTTATGAATATCGAGGAGCCAGTCAGGCGTCAGGTAAAGACGGCTTCAATAGCAGGAGCAGTGAAACCAGAGACAACCTCCCGGTTGCGGGGGTTTCAGCTTCACCCCGACTTGGTTGATTTCGGTGTTCTCAAGGAGGGTGTTTCATACTCACAGACAGTAATGCTGAAGAATGTGGGCATCGATAATTGTAGATTCAAAGTAAAGCAGCCTCCACCTTCTACCGGATTGAAAGTCATCTACACACCTGGACCAGTAAGCAATATTCTGTTATCTTCCATGTTGACTGTGGCATATTGTTTTGGAAGCAGATTAAAATTATCTGTGATTTATCAATCCCAAATAGGCAAATTCATTGGTTTTATTCAGCAGTACTATAAAGTCTAGAAAAAAAATCATATTTTTCAATGACAATACGATTCAATCATGCAGCCCCATATGATAGTAGTCTTTTCGACAAGCGGGAAACAAGATGTGTATTGTTTAACTGGCCGTCATAAAACAAACTGATCTTAGTGACAGCAATAAACGTAGAAATCTCCTTGTCGCTAGCCTTGACTGTTGCTTTAATGTTCATTTACTTCATTCACTGCCCCTCCAAATCTACTTCCACTTTCGCAAGGACTATACCACATTATGTAAACGAGGCTGAGTTACAAAGATATTAAGGAACAAAGCAATACGACGACGAGAATCCAATGTAACGAGATGAAATTTTCAAAATAAATTGAATTTAAGGAATATTAATATTTCGCCCCGGCATACAGGGCTTCATCAGAGTAAAAAATATTTTCGACATGCTTTGTGCCTGAATATCTTTCGTATTATTACTCATTGCAAGATTCACAGAATCCGGCGGACAGCCTATCCTGCGGTTCTCCCTTCTTACACACTGAGTTACAAAGTTGGATTGTATAATGTTCTGTACTGAATTTAACAAGCAAAGCTCTCGTTCTACGATAGTCGCCACTCTTGTCACCATTCTGCTGTTTTAAAACATTTGAAATACGTTCGTATATATGCTTCCCTTTATAGGTGACAAATTTCTCACTGTAAACTCTAAGATTTGATATACTTGTTTCTGTAGGTTGCAGCAGGGATGGCAACGCGGCTGGATGTTGAAATATTTGCTGTTGCTGTTGGTGTTGAAGGCAGCTCTGGTGTTGGATCAATCAACCATTATATCGAAATCATTAGCGAAACAGACAATCTTTATTTGCCTGTCACTGCTGGTATCTTTTCATCAAAGCGTTCCCCTTTGTCAAATGAATTTCTATTAGTGAGCGGTGTAGGCTGCCCTTGAATTATAAAGCTTTTTTATATGATTTATTACTTGAAAGTTACTTATAACAATTTCAATAAGCTACAGAAATAAATCGATTTTCAATGAGCTTTATCTCAATTTGCTCTTTCTGGTTTTTCTGAAAAACCTAATGTGGAATGTAAAGAGTTATTCTCAAATGCCATTTGAATACAGAATAGTGTCAATAAACCTGAGAATAAATCCTCCTTCCTACGGTGAATCATCAAAATTCTGACAGGTTTCCTAAAAACTGATGAAAACAATTCCAAATAAGGGAGGGTTTTTTTGTTTTTATTAAAGAACTTCATCATGGTGTTCGTCAAGGCGTTCAGCCGTTGAACTTCTCCTACTTCATGGCACTGTAAATTTTTTTGTATTTATTGTTCCGTTTAGCTTTAATTGCTTTTCAACCTTTTGGAGAGATACCTTCTAGATTATTTACTGATTGAAAACCCTTGGCTTAGAGTGGCCTCAACCACAGACTTTCGACTGTATTTTAGCTCTATATCATTTTGCCATAAAATGACCTTAACCGTCGAAAGCTATTCTAACTTCACACGAATATGACAACAGAAGCGAAACTTCTCCACGAGGCGGTCCATCTGTAAACACTCTTGTGCTTAGCAACAGACCGTCCTCAAGGGACGCAATCACAAGACCAAGAAAGGACTGAGGTATTGAGCTACAAGTAACTTCTGTATACTTAAATTTGATAATCAGATAGAGTCATACCTTTGGCTTGGGAGCTTTGCGTATCCAATGCCCCTTTGGCAGAGTGCCTTTATGGTTGCTCTTTAGCCTGAACTTGATTCGAAACTTTGAGGCTTAACCTATCTTGATTCAAAGATGAAAGATTTATTTGCTACAAACTAGTATTTCAGTTTCCAGCTCATTTATTTGTCAATTTTTACAAGTTATGTTCAGCTAAGAGCGTTATCAACCCTTTTCTAATAGTCATAAATTTTCGTACATTTTCAACACTATCTAAACGCTTTTCCTCCTCCAAGGATCATTTTTCACGTTCACTATTAAGTTACAAATAATTACTTGATGATTCATATAATGTAAAAAATATTCCACTATCCTCTGCCAACAATTCATTTTTTCTAATAGATGCAGGAGGTTCTACTCCTCACATAAGCGTCATTTGTCTGCAGCCTCTCATATGTAACTTCAATGAGAGGCAGGCTAGATATCTAAATAAATTAAGAAATCGGCTTAAATCCCAGGCGTTAATTACTTGAAGCTGCCGAAGTCGAAAGAAAAAGAATGTAGTCGACATACAACATATGATTTAGCAATCATGATTTCATTTCAGGTTGTTTTGAAGCCATGGAAACTCCTGTAATTGAAAGAATAACAAAGAGAACTCAAGCATTGCTGAATCGCAGTTAGTTTATTAGGACTGGCTTCAAGCTCTGGATTCAATTGTTGTAAAATTGTTATGTAAATAGTTCTAACAATGACTGTATACACATTTACTTTGTGAGTATGTTCTGAGCCCACATGTTGATTAACCTTTTTCTTTTCAAAGCGTGTCTTGTCTTGCAAGCAAAAGAAATCTGAAAAGAATTATTTAAACGGTTTTGATAGCGATTAGCAGTTTGATAGCAAAGAACACTCTTATTTTTTCAATGGAAGGCCACCACAATCTTAATATAGGATAACTTGATACCGTTTGTTCCTTCGAAATCAACCTTCGAATTCCCTTGCGCCTAAAAGCATAAAGTGCTGTTATCAACTCACCGTAATAAGCTGTTTAATTTGTTTTCCATTTCAATTTTTCGTTTGCATGTATAAAAATATGCGAAAATTCAATTAATGACATCATATTACAATTTTGATTTCGAATCCTTTCAATAGCTTCATTTTTTCATAGAATTGAATGTAACATCTATTTTCAAAAAAGTTTGGTACAGGCGTTATCGAGAATAGTTACAGTAAAAATCTGATATTTTGCCAATCAAACGCTTTCAAGATGCATAGTCACGGGCTTTTTACTGTACCGAAAGATCAAACTAGTTGCATTTGTGATAACATCTTAAAGGACAAGTGACACACTTTTCACCCTATCGTTCCTTTTCATTAACTTATAGATCATCATTTAGAAGTAAGTTTTTCCTGGTTTAGAACAAAAAATTCTAATCAGGGGGCGCAGGGGGCGCGATTTTACTTTTTATCACGTGACCCTATGACGTACATTGTGATAACTCGGAATTTTCCTGTCATTGACAACAAGTAGCATTTTGAGGAATACGAAGACAAAAGATCGGATAACTCAGAAAAAACATGGCAGATTCTCAAACGGATTTCGATTATGCAGAGAATAACTCTTTGGAAATCGTTCCATACCAATTTGAACCTCTTGTACAAAACAACTACCCGAATACGATCACGGAAACATCAAGCTCCGAGGACGACCTAGAAAATGGTGGCACGGAAGAAGAACATCCCAGTGGACGAATTGGAAATACAGAATGGTGAGTGGTTTTTTTGCAATCAAATTATATTCAAAGATAATAATTTTAATAAACACAGTTTTGTTGTAAAAAATTGTGTCAAGGGGTTAAATTTCCAACGACTTTTACCTAGGTGCAAATGTGGGAGTTGTGTCAGCATGGACAAGGCAGCTGAGGCAATATGTTGCAGGGAGATCGAAGCTGTTGAGAATTTATTGGGAGAAGAAGGGGTTAATTGTATTACAGCTCATTCCGGATTTCGTAGTTGCTGTCTTAACATGCATTCAGTTCGTGTGGCAATAGAGATTTATTCTCAGTATGTTGGACCCTTTGATGGGACACAACCACCGCATGAGTAAGTAAAGTTTATGATTATCGTCATTTCTCGAACTATCCTCAGTGCATAACTATCACCATAACCAATTTCCTCACTTAATATTATAAACATTTTCAATAGAACCTATCGCCATGTTGCATATCGGCAGCTTGCAAGATTCCTCTATGGACATCTTGGACGTCATAACCGCCGAGTTCACCCTTCCTGTGCAGTAGCTGCAATAAGAAGAGCTTTCCCTGGACAATCGTATGCTGGATTCTAGTATTATATTCCTTGATGCCTTGTCTTTAAATTTTTTGATTTTTGAAATATTTTATATTTTGATTATTGGATTATTATATTAGATTGTTTTTTGATTTACACTTCTCTAAATTTCAACTTATACCTACATTCTTGAATATTAGTGAACCAATTCATAATTTATATGAGTTATGTCTATTTTTAGTTATGCCTACAAATGAAAATGCGAGGAACCTAATAAGTAATAGAAAATCTAGATCTGTGGTGTGCAATAAGGTGATCTTTGACAGCTGTAGCATAACCAGCAGTTAGAGGAGGTGGAGTTTCCTTCTGCCTTTCCTTTATGTCAAGTGCAGCTTCTTTCAGCGTTGGAAATGCTTCCCTCCTTGCCAAAACATCTTGGATGAGCTTTTCTGCATAGTCTATTCGAAAAGAGGACAATATTTACCAAAGTTCTGTTATTGAACAATCAAAAGTTATCAAAAAGTGGCAGCATACAAAATGGCATCAGGAGGGTCCTTGTTGTGAAATTTGAAGCATCTGTGCATGTTCAACAACTAGTTTATTAGGTGTATCCAATAGAGGATGGGGATTTAATTTTCAACAATAAATAGTCAAATTTTCAAAAAAATTATCCTGACTCACCAAATACTGGAGTTTCTTTTAGAGGTTTTACAACAGCAAGTTGCCCCTTTTTATGTTTTGGATAACAAACACGCCATTGCTTTCCCCCCATTTTGTTTGTTTTTTGCTGCATTTGGCTGTTAGCATTGTAGTGAAGAACTGCGAGGTGTAATCTGTGGGTAAAATATTTACTGCATTTAGTCTTACAACTTCTGTTTCATACACAGACACACACACATTATTCAATCTGCAGTTATTTAATCAATAATTGTGGCTTGTCTGTTTATTTGCAAGCTAAGTTGAAAATCTATTGTATATTTTGATTTATATGGAAATGACAAAATCTGCTAAATTGTATGCATAAAGGTTAAAGGTTTTCAGAGTCTCACCGTGCCAACATGGACCAGTAGAAAAAATGATGACTTTTTGGAGCAAAGCAGAGTATCACCCTGTGAAAGACCTCCAATCCATATGTTTGATACAACGGAGACAGGGAGCCAATGTCATTCACAAGCAGTGGTGCAGTAATGATAGGTTTTAGTAATTTGTATGGTATACTTTCTGTTAAGATAAAAATGTGAAATAAGTAAAAACATGTGGATCATATGTTTTTTATAATAAGGTGTAACATCATTTAAAGAAATGAAATCAATAATCATTTTCAATTATGCTACTTAATTTTTAATATGCTGTGTTATATTGTCCCTAAAAAGTCCAAATACCTTTGATAATCCAGTCCCTTTCATCAATATCTCCATGTGCACAGTTTGGGAAAAGATCACCATGTCCAGCATGAATGTTGCACATATGGTTCAAGACAGATAACCATTTTTCCTTTTTAAACTCTTTTTCATGACCTATCAAAGGTAAAAACATAGTCAAATTTATATAGTGTATCATTAACATTATCCCTTTGTTTGCAATTGCATTTCATGTACTCACAAGTACCAATTAAAAATGGGATGAGAACTAATGGGGGAGGGGTTGAAACTGGTTTAAGATTATTATAATAAGGGAGTTCCATATGATAAAAGTTAATAGCTCAAAGAATTGGAAGGAGGAGGCTGGACAAATTGAAAATAGTCATTTTTTGTTTAGTAAGTGCCTTTCCTTGGCAGGAATTATTCGAAAAAGAGGTACACTGTCATATAATAAATAACAAAAGGGTGTTAGAATATGAGAGGGGGGGGGGTGGAAAATTTTTTAAAAATCTAGAAGCAGGTGGATAATTATTCTAGAGTGATACCTGATGTTGATGCAATCCAGTAGATGTGGTTTACAATGGCTTTTATCCAATTTTGAATCAAAGAGGCACCCTTCTTCTGACCAGCCTTCTTCAGCTTTGACTCAACTCCTGAAAATTAGTAATTCCACTTTGAAAACAGTGTAGGTATTTTTTGTTAAATATTTTGTCCTAAAGATTTCAACTAAACAGAAGAAACTGTTGTAAAACTAAATTTTGAAACAGATATACCTTTACATATATGCCAACAATCAAAGCTATGTTTTTTGTCAGTATGCTCTGTTCTCATATACTTCTTTATTTGAAGATGTCTGTCAGTTACCACTTCTGCAATATGGATATTGGCGTCCTGCATGTACTGAAGTCCTCGTTTCAAACCTTCAAGCTCCATATGGTAGCTACTTTTAACCTCATTTGCCTGGAATAATGAGCAATTCATGGTATGATTCAAAGAGATCATTTCAAGGGAAGATATACTAAACAATACTTCACAGAATACACATACAAAAATATTTTCTATTTGTAAACACAACTACATAAATCTGATAGACCCACATACAGTCAGGCTGATGCCTACATTTATACATACATACATATAGTCAGTGCAACCTACTTGTACAAGCCTGATGTCAATGATTTTGTTGTGCGTCAAATCCATAAAGGTATAAGAGCCATATTTAGCAGAGTGGCCTGGAGAATCACACCTTGCATCACCTCCCAGAATAATCTCTTTTCCTTTCAATTGTTCTATGATCTCCAAATGCTGTCGGTGATATTCATCATTGACAGCTGGGATTAGATAGAGCTTCTGATGCCTGTAAAAAGTTCTTTTAGAAATGAATGGCACTCCAAGATGATGCATCATCACTGATACCTTGGCAATACTGCTTCCACTCAAAAATACAGCTGCTGATGCAAGTAGATTACCAATGGGCAGTTGTTGGTGGTATTTTTGGCTGTGCCAGGTAGTTTCATGTCCAGCTGCACAACTCACTGAAATCTTCACCATTGTCCCAATAATTGAAACTATTTTAGCCGTTGCAGATTTCAAACAACCAGGTACAAGGCATAACTGGAATAACGTGAGCAAAATGGTCTGTGGTATGAGAAAATATCTATCCTTGTGGGCAGGCAAGGGTATTTGTGAAACATCTACTATTTCTTCATATTCAATATCACTTTCCTCACTTTCCTCTATATCACTTTCATCTGTTTCATAATCAGATTCTTCAATTTCTTTTGTGCTCTCGATGGTACTCTCCTGAGACAGTACATCATCTTCTTTAAAGCAAAAACAGCGGCAATTGCATGAATCTGTTTGAACAGAGACATCAACAAATTTTTTTGCATCATCATCATTATCACCTGTTACAACAGAATCTGTTATGTCCGCAGTAACCATAGCATCCATCCGATCAGTGGTCTCCTCAACAATAAGCTCATTTTCAGCATTTGAACTCGATTGATGGGATGCAAGTGCTGATTCAATAACCTGGTTGAAAATATTTTTTCTCTCAATAAATTGTGAGTCAATTTTGAATTAATATACATCTTTTTTTTTATAGGTCAATAATTTATATTTAACAGAAATTTGAAATAACGCCCCGAAATTTGACATAACCCCCTTTTTCATACAAGAGAAACTACAGTGTAGACTGCAATGATTTAGTCATATTTCATGTTGTATTTCGTCGTAATATTGCCAATTTCTCATTTCATGTGTTTGCAGAGGTGGTGCCAGAAATCTTCCGACAGAGGGGTTTGAGCTTCCGACAAGGGGGCTAAAATGACTAAAATATGCAATTTTTGTATGTTACTTTGTCAAATTCGCTCCAACAATAACCCAAAATTTCCTCCGATGGGGGGGCTAGATGCTTCCGACGGAGGGGCTGTAGCCCCCCTAGTCCTCCCCTGGCGCCACCACTGTGTGTTTGAGAGTCAAAAATTTCTTGTCCAATTCTGTCTTCAGCGTCTCTATAATTCCTTGAAAATCACGCAGCCCAGTGATTTTTGTATAAGCCCCCCTTCTCTAATAAGCCCCGATTTCTATTAAGCCCCCTGTCTCTAAAACCTCGAATATTAAAAAAACCCGGGGGATTTTAATATAGCTTTACGGTAACTTAGTGACGACAAGGTATAAGAAAATTGTCTTGTACGTAGCAAGGTGTAGTATATTTTTTTACGGAATATACTTCCGCCCCTATGCCCCCGTTACAAAAGGTCGTTTGCCCCCGCACCCCTCCACGGTTTTCCCGATTGAATTAACAGTTGTAGTAAAAAATAGGACTTACTTCTGAATGAATTCTCTTTTTGCGGGCACCAGATATACGCCTTTGAACTTTGTTATATACAAATAACGTGGGGACGGCATCTGGCAAAAGTTGTGACTTCATCGTCACTTCCAAAGAGTTGTTCACAACAGGCGATCTCAGAAACGATTCATTTGTAAAATGAAGGGAGCAGACTCTGGAGTGTCGACTTGGTACAAAGTTTTCTCGTTTTATTTTGACAAGCCAGGCTTTCCTAACTGCTTTGTCCTCTGGAAATTTATGGAATGATATGTTCTTCCCATCGGCGGTGGCCGCAGCTCTTACTTTTGGTGTGCATCCGTAAGCAATACAGTGGCGCATTTTATTGCTATTTATACTTATTTACAAGAATTACTTAATGTCGAAAACAATTTGCAAAAGAATGACCCGATAACTAACTCTGATTTCGTTTAGAAGCGTGTTGTAAACGTTGATATTGCACTGTATACCAGTAGCAGCAAAAACAAATTATCACAATCTACGTCACGGTGTCACGTGATTCATTTCCCGCCATAATTTGAAAAGGGTTTTTAAGTAGGTAAATGAAATCAGAAAGGAAAAATATTTCAACAGCACTCTCATACAGCATTTTACTTTAAGTTAAAAGAAAAAAAAAATTTGGCGCCAAAAGCGTGTCACTTGTCCTTTAAGTTAATTGTGGAGAACCACTTAAAAATGGAAAATAACTCACAAGTGTAATGTTTCGGTGTGAGCTGTCTACCATTCGTTTAGCTCCAAAAATCTTGTTTTCAACGATTTCTCTAAGGCAGCCTTTCCCGTGTTAGTCCACTGCTGTTGTTCTGTACTTACCCTGCACCTGCAATCCTTCCCTTTTAGTATGTTGCTTTTGGGAAGGAAAATTCTAGGATTTTTATATACACCAAGTATCAGCTTGTGCGAATTGCCATTATCAAAATCGACTTTCTCTTCATTATTGCAAAGAAAAACCACGTGTATATGTCTGTTAGCAAAGTAAGGATAAAAGAAATGCTAGGAGGCACACGAGGACATACACGTTAATTAAGAGAGGGTAGAAAACGTTCAATGAAAGAAATTCAATGAAAGATGTAGGCCAAGTGCACTAAAGGTACAAATGTAGGCCAGAAAGATATAGGTATGCAAACTGCTTAGCTCAAGCGCTCGCTCAAGAGGCTCAAGAAAACTCTTGTAGCTCCTGTATTGATTGAGGATTTGTTTGTTCAAAACAGGTACTAACCGTGCTATGATATGCAGATAACCGAGGGTTGTATTAGCATTAGAGCTACGTTTAGTATTTCCTTGTGTATGCGTGTACTTCATCCAAGATCACGACTCAAAAATTAGCCGAAATATAATCGAATGTATCGTAAAACAACTCTACGTGACGTGACGTCATTACATCGTCCACTAGTACCCAGTGCCTGATCCTATAAGCCACAGAAAGGTGAAAGATCCCGTTTAGTTATTCTGTACATAGAGTTAGGAATATTACATTCCATACTCTTGATTATCTTCCCTTTCAGGAGTGCCTGGTTACACAAGCGCTATCTTTTACCATTGATCCTTTCTTTTACCATTTACAGCTGGAGATTTCACAATGAAAAGAAAGTAAGGGGTAATTAATGGCCAAGATATGCTTTTTGACAATGCAAACTATTAATAGATTTAGAGAACAAAGGATTCATTGAACATCCATTGACGCAATCGAAATTTGTCAGTCATCGAAACTGGACCTCAAATTAAAAATTGATTTCATTACATGTTTGCAACACAGGGCCGCCGACGAAGGAGGGGGGGCGGGGGGCCTTGGCACCCCACTTTTTTGCAAAACAATAGTTTTTTTCAAAATCTTTTGTTATGGGTGTTAAATTTTCCCTTGGCCCCCCACTTTTCAACCTTTGTCGGAGCCCATGAGACTAGGAATGAAGAGCCCTTTGAAACGAATTTTCTACCCTAGGTTTTAGAGTTGCTAGTTTCTTCCCAACAAGTACTTATACAGTCTTGAATGCGATACACCAACGCCTCTGACAACGGCCCTCTTCCCACTTTTTTGCCGAAGAACAGAGAACTTTTGCAAAATCATTTGCAATGGGCTTTTAATTCAAAATCTGAAATGAGCATTGTAGTTTCTAAGGAACAGTGCTCTAGAAGTGGGCGCTGGGAAATTTGCAATCATTTTAGCATGAAAAGTAACTGTTGTTGTCCTTCTGTTTTTAAAAACGCTGCATTATTAATATTCTTATCACCCTAACTACGTGCGGCAACTTCAAGGTTTTTTGATGACTGTTTTCTAACGAAAAAATGAAAACTGTCTCAAACTTCATTGCGTCCTTCAACTTCCTTGGCAACGAAAATCTAGGCAGAGCTCTACCCCCTGATAAATGCTTTGTTGATAATGTTTGATTTTTCAGAAAAGGAATATTTATTCAAGCTCTCTGCTACGTTTGCATGTGGGCTTATGACAGTCCTTTGTTACAGAGGTCTCGATTAACAGACACAATGGGAATTGCGTTTCAAAAGGAATACTGTAGATCCTCCTAAATCACTCACATGTTCCCTTGAATACGTAATGCGAAGGATTCCGGGTGTTACGGTGTAAGCGGGTCAACCTGTTGGCTGCTTGTTTAACGCAAATCTGATCCTGAGCATGTACTTTCGGCAGAAGGCGAAGCTAAAATAGCTGCTGCACAAATTTAATTTTTGTTGCTGTCAATGAAAAGCACATCTTGGCTTTTGTTAAGGCTTGAAGCCTTGCTCCATTGAGCTAAGATTTCTTCTCAAGGGCCTATTTCACGAAGGAGCACCAGTGGATCAGATGGTCATTATCCTGAAGATTTCATCAAAGTACATATATCATAATTTTGGATCAAAACCAAAGAACGAGGATCATTTGTTTTAAAGCTTGACTTAAGCACGAATCAAGATTATTACGTGAGCTTCTTGATCTCAAATTGGATTTTGGTTTGCTTTCAATGTGAAACCATCGTTTTGTATTGTGGGTTCAGATTACACATTTTCATAACTTGTTGTGACCGCCGGTTGGACGCATTCTGTTCTAGCCGACACAGCCGGGAATTATAAGCTTTCAAGTACAGAGAATTCACTTTTTAATCCGTGCTCAGCGTTTTAAGGAAATTTTATTTCTTGGTTTTCTCAACAAAGCGTTGTTAGCAGGGAAGGTTTTAATAGCACTGTGGTAAATATCGCGGAAAGAGTTTGTTTACAGATCGAGTGGCGAATTCTCCAGCATAATACCTCCTTTAACAATGCAGTTTCGTTAATTTCTTCACATAATGAAAAAATATCGTTGCAAGATTTGATAGAGTTGCTGTGAGCTGTCTGTTTTGCGTATTTTTGCACTTGATCATTTATCATAAAGCACACCTGGGTGAAGCTGTCATTGTGAATCATTTTTTAAAAACAGGAATCAAAGGATGTAACACGCAGATTGTATTCAAATACAACTGATCAACTGATCTTTGCTTGAAAATGAATTTCTGATTTTGACAAATTAATTTGCAAACATTGGGAACACAACGAGCGAGGAGTCTGGACCCCATTTGGGGCGCCAGTTCAACTTGGAAGAGGGCCTAGTACAAATCGAAGTAGAAAACTTTAGGTAAGTTCTAAAAGATGTCTAGTTTTTTATGCCATTTTTGGTTTTCCTCTAGCTGTGGAAAACAAGCGTTTGAGCTTTGCTGAATGTAGAAGTAGTTTAGTGCAAAAGTGAACCGTTTTTTTCTGTCTTTAAGCAATACTAGGCCCATATAATCTCGTTGCTTGTTTAACTGTGCTTGTAAAATTTTGGGTTTTTGCAGGGAACGTGTTATGGTAACAGTGATTCCGTAAGGTACACTTGTAAAGTAAATGACTGCATCTCAATGGAATCTTTTGCACAATATTCTCTAGGATTTGCATTCAGCCATAATGCAAATCACTTTTGAGACATAGGGGTAACGCTTGAGGTGCAGACCTTCCCCCTCCCAACATGCCCAGTTGGAAAACTTACATTCACTACAAGTTACACACAAGCCTGCAGATCCGAACTCATGACATAAAATATTTTCCCTTGCACAAGGAGAAAGTTTTGCACAGTGACAGTTTTAGGACGTCCAGCAGGGGGCATAGCCCAATGTCCTGTGCCTGTGGTGGCCAGAGGGGCCTCACATCAAAGAAAAAAATAAAACATGTAACCTTGCAGATGTTTAAGGTATCAGGCCCCACGGTCCATAAAACTACCACTGGTTTTGCTATTTGTAAGCAATACTCTAAGTATTTTGCTTGCAATGCTATTTCACCAAACTCGCTGCTGGCATATGAAAACCTCCTGTTCTGCCTGCCTTGTCAATTGCAAAATAGCCTATTTTATCATCTAACCTTTACACAAGTTGTTTTTTTGATAACTTGAGCTTGCAGTTGGTTGTTTATACACATTTTACACTTTCCATTTAACATCAAGATGCAAGGCTATTTGATAGCTTATTGACATAAAAAACAAAGCAATAAGATCATCTAAAAACTTAAGCTTTTCAAATTCTTTCTTTTTATTTGATAAGTGATTTAAAATTTTTCACACATGCATCATTCGATATTATTATAAAACTCATATTAACAAAATTTCATGTTTTAGTTCATCATCAAAAATAAGCATAACCAAATCTTTGAATCCACTTTTTATATTCTTCTGTTTGGTTTTGTAGCTTTTATGCTGAAGTTAACGCCCTTAGTAAAGATGGAGGAAAGGCCCATTGGATCAAAGCGTTCCACTCTGTTGTGCAAATGTCTGCCCGACAATGTCAGGTAAATTTTCTCCATCTTATGAATAGGATGTCTAGATGCTAATTTCTGATGTAATCTCTAAGCAGATAATGATTATTTGAATGTAGTTCATTTTATGTAAAAAACCCCTTACAAAATAGTTTCATACATTTTAGTCTCTTTCCTCTGACAGTGATATCACAGCACAATGAAACTACTACCAAAAAGGACCTTGTTGATTTTTTTTGTATTTTTTGTTACCTTGCTTCTGAAGATGTTTTTAGGACATAGGAAAGCTCTACTTATTGAGCAATGTCCTCTCTTGATATGACCACACCTTGTGGTTCCTACCCTTGGAATAACAGACAACTGGCAACTCTCCTCACGCTGCCATCCACATATTTGAAAAGCTGAAATCTCATCATATCTTTGACTGTGTGTGGCATATGAGTTCACCGTTTTTCAGTTAGTTCAAAGGGAGTCTTCTAGCACAAAGCTCCAGGCAAACTGCAAACTCTTCACCTGCTTTTCATGGCATTCATAGAGAATCAATTGTTTTCCATTAAGCATTTGTATGGATAGCCAGGATACCTGAAAAACAGTGATCAATACAAAAAGAGCATATGGTTTTTCTAGCTATTTTTATATAAGGTCTTACTTCCAAATTTCCTGTCTAGGGAGTACAAATCAATATCCTGTTTAAACAAAGCTCATCTAAGATTTGCACATTTTTTTCAAGTTGTGCAGATCCATGTCACCTTGAGATAATTGTGCAAAGGTTAATGCAAAGAATCTTTTTTTGCAGGGGCTCATGGGCTACTTTCTTAGAATTACCAGAGAGGGAGAGAACAATGGCATTGACATACCTCTACCAGGTATTTACAAATTCTTGAACATAATGAGTAGCGTAGCCAGGGTGGTAAATTGGGGGAAAGGCAAGATAGACGTGAAAAAAAACCTGGGCCCACACCTTTCAGAATGCCAGAAAACACTCTTTTTCAAAAAGATTTTTGCTCACTCTTGCCTCTCCCTTACTATGCTACTGATTACTATAATGTTTTATTTTTTAAACTTGCTACCTAGACCTTCAGTAAATCACAGAAATTGGTAAATTGGTATAATGACTTCTTCTGGTATCATGGTTTTATTCAATGAAATGTTGGCAGTTCATAAACAGTGATGCTTGCTGTTTTTTTAATTGAATGAATCACTTTTCAATGCTGATTTTGATTATTTAAAATTCTCTTACTCTGTATCTATTATCATTAAAGGAGACTGTATTTATTTCAGCCAATCGAATGAAAAGAACATCTGACTGCTTTGTGCAATGGAGAGACAAGCAAAAAGGTTTGATACTTGACTAAGCCTTTATGATCTGGCACCTTTGAGCATCTGCAGAAAACTATAGTTTGCGAGTTACAACTTTTTTGAAAGTCGCAACTGGACATTTAGTTTAATGCAAGGATCTTTCCTTGTCAAAAAGAACAAATGCTTTAGCTGGATAAGTGTAGTTTTCATTTTGCCTTGGCTGTTATCCTCTATGAAGTTTTATCTTTCATAAACAAACATTTAAATTGCCTCTTTACAGTGATTAAGAGAAATCTTTTTAGTTTGTTTGTGTGAAAACATAAAGTGCTGATACTGCCAGCTGCTTTTATAAAGTTCTGTGTTGAAATCTGCATTCACACTTGTTTAGTGTGCATATTTAATGAGACTGGGATTAGTGTTGTCAGATGTTTTTGGCCTGATTCCTACTGGGAAACAGCTATTACAATGAATAGTTAAAACCAGGAGCTTTTAAATTCTTTTGGTCATCAAATCTGTTTCAGCTTATGGTTTTGTTTGTGATATGAGCTTAATCAATCTCGTCTAGCAGCACTTTGTGTAATGATAAAACAAATCAATGAAGGTTGTTTCTACTAAAACGATTTCATATGCTTGGAGACATTTCTGTTTCAGGAGAGCATCCTGAAAATGGATTATCCAATGATTGTTTACAAAACGACAAAAGTCCAGTTTGGCTATTCAATGCTAGTTAAAATTGTTGTTAATTTAAATTACTTTATTCAGGCGTTTTGCATTTAAATTTGAACTTGTCGATATTCTATTGTATGCAAAAGCCTCAATAAAGGTTATATATGCTACTTCAGCCATTCTTTTGTGTCATCATTGAAACTGTCCCTAACGCATTGTGTCAGGTAAGAGCGAAGTGTATTCAACAATGTCAGGTTTTTTTTCTTTATGATGTAAACTTGCTTTAGCGTCATTTTATAGTTTACACAGCCTTTCAAAGTTTATTTGTAAGCAAAAATGCTCCAAATGTTTATTTTATATATGGTTTTTTTCTCTCTAGGTGGAGCATGGGGGCTCAACTTTGTTTCAGAAAAAGATGCGAGAAAGTTTTACCAGATGTGTGTTGTAAGTAATAACCATTCTTTTCACTTTGATGATCTTCTGACATTCTCGTTTATTTTGAGGTACCTACTGCCCATCTGGTGTGGATTTTCCATATACTCGTTCTGATTATGTTTGTGGCTATGGCATGTGCTCTTCGATGATTTTGATTTTGATGATTTCCTTTCTTCGTACGGAGAAAGAAAGGCGATATCATCTTTAGGAATGACATCATTGAGTTAATGGCTGCTTCTGAATGTAACTTCTGTTAATTGGAATTAACCGAATGCAACGGCAAAAGGATTCAGAATATAAGATTTTGTAATGCTTGGTTAGCTAGAGCTTTTCATCATCAGAAATCTTCATTTTAGCAATCCATTTCTAATTATCTGTGAATAATTTATTTACCAAAGACAACCATTGTGCTTGCAGCTGCAAATTCGTCATCGGCATAAACAATTAACTCTTAAAGCCTAACGAATCTGTTCTAGAACGTCCCAGAGTTCCACGGCAGACCTGAGTCAGTATGCTCATCGATGACTTCTGCAAGTACAATTTTACAGGTTAGAAGTGTATATAGAGAGTATCTGAATTCAGAAATAGTTTTTCTTGCCTTCCGAACACAGGCGCGGAAAGCTTTGAGATTGATATTTTGATGTCTATGTGTGATTTAACAGACATACTTGTAAGTACTTGTAAGGTTCATAATAGAAGGTAGTGAGCGAATCGTCTGCCTGGAGAATGATGACTTTAAAAATAAATCGAAGCAAACAAGCCTGTTTAGTAAATGAAGTTAAATTGTGATGTGCTTAAATGCATGACAACGAAACTTCAACTATACAAGAAGCTGTCTCCCTTGGAACCTGATGAAAGGCTCCTCGTGTTATTTGCTACATTTCTACGTCATTTCTTATCTGCTCACTTTCTAGAGTCAACCTGCTGTTAGCTTTGAGAACTAGAGATTTGTGTCTACAGATGGTGTGTGTCGATAGGCAGGATAAATATAGTTAAATTAGTTGTTTATTCATCATTTGTTCATCGACGTTTTAGTCCAATGAAAACCGGATAATCGTTTCCCAAAAAGATAGGAATTTTAATTAGGCAATCTAGCTCATTGTTGTGCTATTACGCTTTTATTAACTTAAGTGTGATTATCCCGGCAAATGAGATTAATTCGAGATTAATGCTTTACGAAACTCGAGATGACTTGCTCCTGTTTGTCGGGTCTTTTTGCCAGATCTCTGCCCCTCTGTGTAATGACTTAGTCCTAGTCTTACCTCCTAAAAGAGAAGAAAACACTCAAGGCTCATCTGAGCTTCAGAAGGAACTCCCTTCAAACACTTCCATAACACTTACAACTTGTTCAGAAATGCGGCGAGAAATCTCGCCATCCAACCTTTAGAATGCAATGCGATAAAACGCGAGTTTAGCTGTGAGGCTGAGGTTCAACGGACAAGCCTTTCGCGTGCTGAAAATCTCTTTAAATCTGATATACCTCTACACCCAGACAAATGAGACGCTTAGCAAAGAATTGATCTACCAACTCGCGAACAAAAATTTTTTGTAGCAACAAATGCTCAATGAGTTTGTTGTTTTCTGCGGAGGAGCCCCGTCGAGCCTGTTCTCGGCTTTCATTAGAACCCTTGTTCTTTTAAAGTGTTGCCACGTAATGGGATTTTCGCCTGGAATCTTCATTGTTCTGAAAGAAGCTCATCTTACACCTCCCAGTAGGCTTGTGAAGAGTGTTCATTTATTGTCACTCTATGTGTAACTGCTTATAAATTGATAGCCCTGAAAAGACTCTTGTTTCTGCCAGCACGATCCCTTTTTCAGGCTTAAATTAAACCTAACGTGCAGTCATCTCAACTCTAAATTAAATCCCTGATTATTGTATTTATTAAAATGCTGCTCGATATGGATTAGTCTAAGTCATTCTTTGAACGCAATAGGAATATGTATAATGTTGCTGCCAGCTAAAAGGGATTTTTCATCGCAATTTATTTCTCGAAGTTATGGCAGCAGCCAAAAGCAGCGTTGGAATGTAGTGCATTTGCAACCCTGAGGGTTTTCAATAGGCCTTTTGAAGAGATCAACGCTTCCAAATTCTTTCTTGCAAATAGCAAGAAAAGCTACCAACTGTTTGCTGACGTCACAAATGCTTGTTTATTTACAATTTGGGTCAATGATGGATTTAGCAGGCACAGAATATTAAAAAACTGAAGATAGCAAGGAAAAGTGGAAACATAACAAACTCCGCTTTTCTGTGCTATCTTCAAATTTTGCGGTATCAAGCTATTAAGCTGAAAAATATTTGAGATAATCTTTTCAGCGATTCGACTCTTTTCGATAAACAACATTCCTATCTTGAACACATTATATGAAGATCACTTCGTTGTAGTTCCATTTGTCAATATTTTCGTCAGTATGAGTGACAGGCGTTTTCAGTCTTCGTGACAGTTTATTCAGTGTTTTCTGTCTCTAAATGCTGGATTTTTTTCAGCACCACATACCTATTTTCAGTATTACTGTAAAACTAACTGTCCCTTATCATTTATAATTCCTCTTTGAAGTTAGATAGCTTCATTTATGTCCTATAAAGAAGTTGATTATCAACATTGCCCTTGGTTCTTGATATTTTTAATGCATTGCTCAATCAACCATTTCTTGTTCGTATTTTAGTCGCCCCCTCCCCCAGTGGTGGGTAACACGGATTACCCAAAAAACACAAGACGTGCTTCACGTAATCGAAATTCATCTTGTGCTCCTGTCATTCAAGTCTCTGACCCGAGCGATCTCTACGACAGCGGTATAGGCCACGAGGTGGGGAATAGCTTGCCACTACCTAAGGGCCAATCACGGCACAGCCATGCAGGCAGTGATAGTGGCAGCAGCCATGGCAATCATATCGACATGAACGGAATCAATCAACAGACAAATGGGGCTTCTGATAACAGCATTCCTAATGACATGGATCCACTTGAGTATGAATTTTTGCAGCAGCAAATAAATGGGATCGAGGATAATAATTTGCTTATGGACAGCCTCGCTATCAATAGCAACAGTCTCAGTGGTTCTCGCAGCAGTCTGGTGAGAGTTCTGATCTGACGCAATTTTTTTATTTTTCTTTAATCAACGGAATGATAAGATCGTACTTAATGAACCTTCTCATACACCAACCGTGGCATTGAATTCGCATTAATAACATTTGGTTTTGAGATTCAAAAGTAGGAATGGTTAAGCTTCTAATGTGGTTTTTAATTGCTTCATACCTCCAATATTGATACGAAATGAATCAGTGTGCCAATTTTGTATATGATTGAAAACGATTTTAGAATGTCAGATTTTGAGCAAGCTAGGTAACCAGTTTTTGACTGCTAAAATGATGAAGTAAGCATGGGTGAAAAAATGTCGAGAGGGGGTTTGTACTGTATAAGACTCTGAGAGGGGTTCCCCATATCTTGAAGCGCTCGCACACTGTCTTGAAAAATATTGAAAGGAGCCTTGTATACGTAGAAGACACAATATCAAAATAACCAGATCAAAATTAGCACAGCATTCGCTTGAACTACTATTTTGTCACTTCAGTATGTCCCTGCTGATTTTGACGACTCAAGCGACCGAGTTAGTGAAGACTTTGGGGAACTCAGACCAGCTTCGGCGATCGTGCACAACAAGCAGTTTGGAACAACGCGAAAGGCAGGTTGGTTGGTGATTAAGAATGTTTTGATACACTCAAAGAAGGGTAAGCTGGAACAAGCACATAATAGAAAGTGGAAGAAATACTGGACAGCCCTGAAGGGGATTGAGTTGTTGTTTTATCATTGCGATGAGAAGACGGTCACGCAGCAGGATTTGGACGAACCATCACATCGATTGGACATAGACCGCTGTATTGTTCAAGCTGTACCAGAACACGCAAAATTGGAGAACGTCTTTAGCTTGAGCTCAAAACACGGAAACGCTTATTACCTGCAGGTGCGTCATCTTGTTTGTTTTCTATATAAGAAAGGTCGCGAGGGAATCCAATGATGATATTAACTGCACAGGGCGTGGGAAGAGAACGAGTAGTAATGTGGGACGGCGATTGTACCTCACACTGAGGCTGTCATTTTCATATTTATCATTTGGTGTAGTTTGAAACGTGTTAGTCGGTGATAAGTGAAGGATGTACTCAATACCCCACGGGAGGAGAAATTTTTGAAATATATTCAAACAAGTTTACTCCTAGGACTTCTATTATGTTACATCGTGGGCGTATTCCTCGCCGTGGGGTGGTTTTTCTTAGTATTTTCCAGCGATTTCCTCAGTAACTGTTTGTGTCAAAGTCTATGCTGTAATCATATTTTTCGACCATTCTCATATTACCCCTCTTCTGAAATATTGTTATCAGATAACATAATTTTTCAATCTCAGAGTAGACAATATCAATGCTCTTTTACACAAAACGTGGAATCGGCAAAAGCAGCACTTTTATGCATAATTCATTTTGAAAGAGCGGGTGCTGTTTGTCGTTGAAATGACTTGAATTACTTGAAAGTTTGATGGAAAGTATGCAAATATCTGCATCAAAACGTGAATAATGGCCGTGCCGTCTTGCAATAGAAAAGCATCTTTAAATTAGCAAGATCGAATTCATTTTGGTGTGTAAATTTAAGCTTGTTAAGATTCAGATGAAACTTGTGAATGTAAACGCTAAGCTGGTACTTTAAATCTTCGCGTATATATTTAATATCTGAGTAACCTTAACAAATTTTTATTGTAATGTAGTTTTTCTTTTTGTATATCATAACTTGTCTTTTTTACTGAATAGATATCGTGTATCAATAAGATTAAGATGAAAGAAAAAGCTAAAAAGCCGTTGTAGAGTCAAAAGGTTCCGCGTGTAATCCAAAAAATCCAATTATTTTGTAATTTCAGGTCACACCTCCTTTTTCCTCGTTCTCTACTCGTAGAAAAGTTTTGTCTCCAATTTTCTTTTTAACTTTTTTTTGCTACTTTTCGATGTTGTTTCGCTTCATAACTCAAATTTCGCCTTCAGACAACAAGTCAAGTTGAAGTTGAGAACTGGATTCACTGCATCCATACTGCCGCCGCGTCGGCGTTCGCCAGGCAACGGGGTAGTTCAGATGTCATCGCCATTTTGGTGAATGAGATCAACAACATCGAAAGCAAGATAGCTGATGATGAAAAATTAAGAAAAATGGCGGAGCTACAGTCGAAAGTTGTAACTGATGCTAGAAACAAACAAACGATCGTTGATCAGGTAAAACAACAAATTTATTCGATACAAATTCAGGGTTTTTGTCAACCAATACAGAGCGAAACGAATGTGGAGCAGTGTCTAAACGTGCAATGTGTGCTCTTACTCCTTGGAAAACCTATATATTTTGCTACATCCAAAAGACTAAACCCCCTCCCCTTAAAACACTGTTGGCTACAAAGAAGGAAATGCAACCAAACATGAAAAAGCGTTGTCGTGAAGTATGTCTTTACTTTGCTGTTGGGTTGTGTGGAATAGATGGAGGATGAGGTGTTATGTAATAGAGGGGGATGGGGTTGGTATAGAATGAAGGGGGATGGGGTTGGTATGGAATGGATGTTTGTGAAGGTTAAAAAAATCATTTTTCAAGAGTTTTGACAGTGTTTCTAGCCTGAATGAGACCTTCTTTCGAGCAATAATTAGCTTAATAAACTTTTGTCTGTCAAAAATATTTTCGTTGTGTTACCTACATGATATCGGAATTTTCGTAGTCCCTTTCCATCAGAGAAGATAGTTGGTCTTGAATTATGAAAATAATTCATCTTACTTTAGCTTTGCGCGCATTCCAGGAGTTTGAGGCCAGAACACAGCGACACGTCTTTTTTTTGCAGTTTTGTTCTTTAAATTTTTCTACTTTTGATCATCGTCCGATTTTGTGTTTCAATAGCTCGGAGACCGTTATTTTTCTATTTTGCACACACACTTTTCCACTTTAAAAAAGACTAATTATTATCCATATATTTCGATATTAATTGTTACCTAATATTTTTCGAACGGGGTCAGTTTTTCAGCACTTCTCATTTTTTATGCAACGTAGCTTGTTGCAATTTGAATTATTTTGTTGATGAACTAGTGTTTTCCTAAAGTAATGTACGGTTTATTTTATTAAAGGTATCAGAATGGGAAAGAAGCCTAGAAAACCTGAACGTCGACATCTTTCGTTATCGCTGTTATCTGGCTGCTGTGCAAGACATCTCTGTGCCGAATCCACAGTCCCTCTTGAGCTCTGTCTCTCGCTCAGTCAAACACACTCTTTCAAAAATTGGCGTATTTTCTGTTGCTTCCTTTCACGCGTTTGTGAGTGTGAGGGAATCACTTTCAGAGCCTCCTGTTAAACCTGAAAAAACAAGAAGGAGGCTGCGTGGAGGCAACTCACTCAAATCTAAGCTTTTGCAGTCCTTGAAAATTGTCGATGATAAAGTTGTTGAGGGGATAAGGAACAAGCACTCTCCGAGGGGAAAGCGGAGGTAGGCTGAAATTGGTTTTTGGAATATAAAGTGACAATATAAAAGATTGTTGAAGTTATGACCGTGTCAAGATAAACAATACTAGCCTTGAACAATCTTGTGCCATAAACATGTTTCGTATTTTCTATTTTAATGCAATGATTTTAATCTCTTTGGCTTTTGTATTCTTTTTCTCGATTTGCCACAAAGGATTTAAGACTAATTAGATGCCAATTTTTACATAGAGGGTCAGCTCATTCCGCATCAGACAGTGGGGATAATGACAGCTCGAGATCCCAGATGAAAGAAAGGAGAGACACTTGGGGACGAATCGGCAACTTTCTGCAAGTTCAGCTACCGAATAACCAGACCACAATGGTACCTTTTGAGCGTGGAATGACGGTGAACGATATAGTCCAAAAGAGTTGTGAAAAGCGGCATTTACCCCCGGCTGATCATTTCTTAATGCTTCTTTCCGAAGATAATGACAGTGGACTTATGGGTGAGCACATCTTTTGGATATCTTGTGATAAGAAGGGGTTTTAGGCAGAGAATCCTTTCTCTCAACGAGCCTTTTCTTTCTTTACCAGCACAACTATGAAGACATTGTTCCAGAGGCCATAAGCCTGTGGCATTTTATGCTTTTATCGCCCAAATCCCACACTATGCGTTTTTGTCTGTATTTAAACTGGCAAGACTTTGGTTGTCATGTTACCATCATTGAACAGTCCTTTTTGGATGAATATACTTCCTTGCGTAAATAAGATATGGTTTAATCATTTAAGAGCATAAAACTAAAGCCATCTGTTTTGCAAATGTCTCTACCGTACTTAAGGGATTACAAAAGCTTGTTAACCTGTTAAGAGTTTTATCAATAAATAACCAGACAATGTTGAGCTTTTTGCCGTACGGTGACTGTTTTTCAGTTCGAAAATTAATTGCATTTTATGTGATAGCGTTTCTGTTTTGGATTTTTTGGGTTTAGTTAGCATAGCAAATGTTTTACTTTGCTCTGATAAAGAGTCTAACAGTCTCGGTTATTAGAACCCAATCGGTTCTGATCAAGGCTATTTTCATGCACCTCTTAGCACAACAATTTCGATTTTATTTTTTGTCTACTTAAGTACCGCTCCAATTAACTTGCTTAACCTATTGAGTTTATTTTCAATTAACCTTCATTAAATGCCTTCAATTTTGAGAAACGCTAGATCCTTTCCCTCGTTGAACATTCTTAGAAATAATTCTTATGTTTTGTCAGATGTGTATCCAGTTTGTGCCTCCCTTTTCTCCAATGTCTCCCTCTTCATACAGCACTGAGTTACCGAATTGTTTCTTTAGAATCATTCTCTTCTTCTCTAGATTACGTAATTCCTCAGTATTCAGAACTTCTAGAAGAACAGGTTTGTAAATGCAAATTTAAAGTATTTTACATTATATATCCTTTTAAGAAGACAAGCTGCACTGGGTTGTCAGGGTTTGCTGCTTTTTGATCGTTTGGATGATAACTACAACGAGTTTTTGTCAAAACCGATTTCAAGCAGACATATGATGCCTCATGCAGCCTTTTGTTATGGCTAACCTAGAATATGATGAAAACTGTTCCTACTGAGAAACATGATGATCCAAAATGTTCTTTATCAGGTTGATCTTGCTGGTACTGATTCGTTCAAGCAAAGAGATTATATAAGAGCTATTTTCGAACTTTTAGGCTGCATGAGCTAACCTTGAAGTTGTGTTCTTGGCCTAAATGTGTATTTTCTGCTATACTGGAATCAGAACTTTACCGAATTTTCTCTCTAGAAATACACGACGCTGAAGATCTGTCTGAAAACGTCTCTTGATGTTGAACTAGACGGCCCTGCTGACTACGATTCCGGACCGTTCGGTGAGTTTTGAAATAACTGTGACCAAAGCCTATTGTTCTGTTCTTTTGTTCTCATCTACAACTTGAAAACATTTCTATTCTAATCGCGTGACCTAAGAAAGGGACAAGATGAAACACCCTCTCATCTTGCAATAGCAGATGCAGGCAGTTTCGTTAAGCCCAGCGCACACAGGCGACCCATGTGTTTCAAAAACAATGATTCTTGGGCTGTGAAAACTTGCTCATTTGCACGGGTCAGAGACAAAAATTTCTGGGTTTTTAAGTCTGTCTTCGCGATTAACTATACTAACTTTTAAAAAACCATTTTCTCAAACCCGAGAACAGATGATAGCTGATTAAATGTGGATGCAAAAATAAGTTGAAACTGATTAATTTATTCCTTTTTCATCTATTAACTTTTCAACTAATACCCCTTCGTTGAATATGCTTTTGTTCTGTCGAAACAAAGAACGAGATACAAATTTTATTTGGGGGGGCAGCAGATTTTACTTATGCTATTAAGTTTTTCAAGGGGCCAAGGCCCCCTAGCCCCCCTGGCCTCCTGGCCCCCCTGGCCTCCCGTTATCTCGGTCGTTGGTCCAAATGATGATGGTTAGGGCGCCCTGTAGTGTGTCCTCCCTGTATTTCCCTAATAATTCTTTCACAAGGTTGTTGAAGACACCCTTTCCGTCTCTTCGAACATCAACCATATCTGTATGTCACTTAAGTGACATCTTGCAGCAACCTCCTCGACTTTATCAATGTTCCACGAAGGCTTGTACTTTCGTTTCAAAACATTTGTCAGGTCAAGACAGGACTTTTAAGGTTGCAATGCTTAAAGGCCCTCACTGGGCTTGAACATACTACAAAATGTTATTTTTCGAGAAACATAGCATTGACTCTTTCTTGACTTATTAAGCTAAATATAGTACCTCTGGGTATGGTTCTCGCATATAGGCTGTGCGAATGTTAATCGTTTAGGAGGGGGCTAAGCACGAATCTCCCCCCGAAAATCGTTTCTTCATTGAGATAGAGCGTTCCGAATGAAGCCCGAAATGTGGATGCAAAAATAAGTTGAAACTGATTAATTTATTCCTTTTTCATCTATTAACTTTTCAACTAATACCCCTTCGTTGAATATGCTTTTGTTCTGTCGAAACAAAGAACGAGATACAAATTTTATTTGGGGGGGGCAGCAGATTTTACTTATGCTATTAAGTTTTTCAAGGGGCCAAGGCCCCCTAGCCCCCCTGGCCTCCTGGCCCCCCTGGCCTCCCGTTATCTCGGTCGTTGGTCCAAATGATGATGGTTAGGGCGCCCTGTAGTGTGTCCTCCCTGTATTTCCCTAATAATTCTTTCACAAGGTTGTTGAAGACACCCTTTCCGTCTCTTCGAACATCAACCATATCTGTATGTCACTTAAGTGACATCTTGCAGCAACCTCCTCGACTTTATCAATGTTCCACGAAGGCTTGTACTTTCGTTTCAAAACATTTGTCAGGTCAAGACAGGACTTTTAAGGTTGCAATGCTTAAAGGCCCTCACTGGGCTTGAACATACTACAAAATGTTATTTTTCGAGAAACATAGCATTGACTCTTTCTTGACTTATTAAGCTAAATATAGTACCTCTGGGTATGGTTCTCGCATATAGGCTGTGCGAATGTTAATCGTTTAGGAGGGGGCTAAGCACGAATCTCCCCCCGAAAATCGTTTCTTCATTGAGATAGATCGTTCCGAATGAAGCCCGAAATGTGACAAATGTTGTCTGATAAGGGGAGCTGCAATATTCCCAGCCCATTTTTCCTCACGCCGAAGTTCTCGCAAATAAAAACATTCCAGATTCATTTTGATGCCTAAAATAATTGTTTACAGTCGTGTACTTCTTGTTATATCGTTTATCCAAGGTTAAAAAATCTTGCGATTTGCGCTGCGAAATTCTAAGGATTTTTAACCTCGAGTAAGGGTGACGACAAAAATGCCTACAGCCCTGAACTGCACAATATGAGCTGACCATAGCTTTAATGATATCAACACCAGAATAGATTGTAAAATTATCAGCATTCTCGAGAAACAATCAAAGCTAAAAAACAACCCAATACACCAGTTTTCACGAGTCCTCTTACTTAGATCACGTGATTGCAATAAACACGAACAAAGAGTTAGAACAAAAGGCTTCCAGACCAGAGTTTTTCTGTAGACTATGCTGTGACTGAATGCGACCCAAGGGTGAATGAATCTCTTTGACGACAAAAATTACCATACATTTTCTACATTTCTGAAAGATAGGGGACGTGTGCCACTGCCATCTCCCTCCGGTTCTGATATTGTCGTTGGTTTATTTTATGTTTTCTTATTCGTTCTTTATAGCAACATTATTTTCATTACCATCAGGTATTGGACTGAGCCAGAATGAAGATGGAAGGATTCTTGTATCACGAGTGGACGAAGGAAGTCCCGCAAAAAGAGCAAGTGCGTTTTTCACCGAATACTATCCAGATATCTTGTTATAGAAGCAATTTTTTGCTTACTTAGCATCATGACAACTATATATTTATTGACTTATTTTAGTTTGCATTCCACAAGAACTCGTTTGTGTAAACATCATTCGTAAATAGGTTCTTTCAACGAAACAGCTTAATTTGTAAATATGAAACCCGTCGAATAAATTACTCTCAGAAGAGTAAACCAAAAAAGCGTTAGGGTGATTTGAAGCTACAAAATAAGGAGCACAACTATCTCCTAAATGCTCTGAAAGATATAAAATATACGAAATTACTTTATTACTGAGAAAATAAATGCTGTCAAAATATGAGGATTGTGTAGACAGAAGGAGTTCGTTTTCTCTCTTGGACTCCAGTGGTAATTTTTCTATAGGCACGCAGCACTGATTGGACAACTATGCTAGTCATGTGCTTGCGTTTTTCTGATTGGCCTATTTCGATCCACAACTGGGTATATATTTTCCGTCGTGTTCTTTCGGATCCTTATTCTGACATGTCAGACGAAAAAGCTTTTTCAAAGCCATTTTCAAATATTAGAATCATGAAATCACAGAAAAATGAAACGTAATCCACATGTTATATTATCTTGTTCCAGTTTTTAAATTATATAACCAATCTTGTTTCTGTTATTGTAATTTCTGTCATGTTTTGAATTATAATTTTAATTATAACGGCTCAAGCTAGATACAGTATTTTTATCGCTATGCCATTCTACGGCTGGCGAATGAAAATAAAATTGAATTGAATTGAAATAGATTGTGGCATGCTTCCTGTGGTACTGTTTGATCTTATGTGCCATCGATTTTATCTGCTACTTTGACACTTTACCTAATTCCCTTCCAGTGATTCTTGAAGAAGACGAAATTATCATGATAAACGGTGAAAACATTCGCGACACGGGTATTGCAGTTGACTATGTCTCCGGTATACTTGACTGTAAGTTTTTCATTAAACATTTTTTTAGTACGCACACACTTGTCCAAGCGACTTCTTTTCTTACTTTTCTAAATTAGTTTTGATAACTCACTGCTCTATGCTTAACATAGCGTTCAAGTTGTAGAAGGTTTGGAAACTTTGTGGCTATTTTCACAATAATTGTTGATAATTGTTAATTGAGTGCAAAAAGGCTGAATTCCGCCACTGCTCTTGGTCTCGAACGCTTCTGGTTCTGCAAATCACCACGCTCACACTAATTATTCCATACTCTTTTTGTAGCGTCCAAGTCTGTTTCTCTTCAACTGCTGTCTAGTCGAATCGATGATCAAAAGAAAACACGACAAACCACTGAGAACCTCATCTCATTTCTAGTTTGCCCTCCTCCTCCGAAAACAAGGTTTGTCAATCATTTTTAAACCTGGTGCAATATGATAATGATGACCTTAAAGGTACTGCCTTGATTTGAGTTGTCTTTCGATAGATGTCTATATTTTCTTATTCAGTTATTATATAATTGTTACAATTTCCAACAGCCAATACGAAATCAATGATGACACTCTGGACACCCTGATTGTGCCTCCTCCAATGGGTAAGTTTTCTTCAAATAATCAGTGACAGTTTCTATTGTTAACAATACTTGTGCGACTGTGTCGTCATTATCAATAGAAAGACAGGGTCATTATAATCTACGTTGCTTTATTACAGTTGTCTTATTAGGTCCTCTCAAATTATTTTGGTAAAAGTCAGGGGTTGACAAGTTTTTACCGACAGGCTCTGCTTTGACTACAAATTTTCTTGCTATTTGATTTAGAAACATTTCCCTGCTAACTTGATTCAGGATTCGTTTAACTTATCTTTTGGCTGCAAATGAAAGATACTTTTTTATCCAAATAGTCTTACCCAATCATGTATTTCTTAAGAGAAGTGATAATTTGTTTTATAGACAATTTAGACGGAAGCCTGCCATTCCACAGACGGCTAATCTTTTTGTATTTTGTTTAAGCAATTTCCAAAAGAAAATCTGCACAAATTTTGTATACGAGTTATATTGCAAAACGGTTCGATTGCCTTTGGAGGATGCGTGGAGGCCGCTGCGAAGAGTGTGTATCTTTCTATTATGTTTTTTGCCCAGGTTTCTGCTCTTATCAAATAGGATAAGCGTATTGAACAATTGTATTTTATAGATGACGACGAAGATGCGAAAAGCTCTGTTACAAGTCGATCAGGAGTCGGTAATAGCACGCCTGCGCGAAATGATGATATCGATGCCCTCCTAAGTGTGAGTATAATCATATTTACGACCATCTTCAGTTGCTAGTTGCTGCTCTGAGAGTCATGTGATCCATTCATAAGTTGCCGTTGATATGTAGTGCGACTGGAAGAGTCAGAACCATTTGATGTTGACTGAAAGAATTTGGTAATGAATTAATGTCATGTTTTATTAAATGAGTGAAGGAAAAAATCTTCTTATAGAAGAATTAGAATCAATAATGTATATGTTTGTTAAAAAGTTTCAAGGATTATTAAAAGTCGATCCGTAATTTTGAAATACTTCTTGCTGCTCAAACGTATGATAGCTATAAGAAATTGTTATGCTTTGGATTATCTTTGGGACATATTTATTTCACTTTGCGAATTCACTTTTTTTACAGCACGTACTGTTTTGCCCCTAAATTCTTCAAGATTCTTTCCACCGAGGGGTCTCTAAGCAATTTCTTCAGAGGCTCTACCCAATTAAGAACTAAGGTTTTTAGAAACATTGGGAAATGGTTCAGATACCATTTGAATAGAGTAGTTTCCCGTTTCCTGTTTGCCAAACATAAAGTTAATTCATTATTCTTTATTCTTCACAAGCAATTTTCATTCATAAATTCATTTTACATGGTTATATCACGGTCTACTGATTGAGTTGTTCATTTTCCCTTTAGAGAACCGAAGAAGTCAACATCATATTTAGGCAAATGAACGAATTTAGTCCGGATGACCCCAGAATACCAACGAATATTAAGCCTGGGCAGCGATTAAGAAAAATCGTCGTTGAACTGCAGGAAACAGAGCGGACATATGTTAAGGTTTGTTTCTTACGCTTGGGGTATTCAGTTCTTTCTGTTGCCTCGTGATCACGTGCTTCGGGGCCATTATTTGGGAACTACAGTGAAACTAGGAACCACCCTCTTCCATACACCACTGTGTGGACAGCCCTGCCTATACGGCAAATTAAACTGTTATTTTAATAATAATCTAATTTTATTCAAATGACCGCCCTGGCCGACAATTTTTAAAAAAAATTGCAGATTTAACAGTTTTTTATGAATTACCATATCAGAGAAATAACCAATACGCCGACAGAAAAAGACATCGTGTTAGAAGTATTCCAACTACTATTGCCGTGAATCCATATGACAAAAACAGTATATTGACATTCAAATCATGACGGCACGGAGCTGTTAATGACAGACAATTAAACTATGATTTCAACTGAATCCTGTTCTTTTATTTAAACATTTACACATATATAAATTTACACTAAAGTTTTGTTGAAATGTATGCCTTTTTAACACAGTTTTTTTTATTTTATGAAAACAAGATTTTTGATCATTTTAGATACAAGTCAACAAGGCTACAACATATTACCTTAATCATCATCTAATAAGCATAGTCAAAAACAGACAGTTTCTACTAAACATGTTTCTCATTTTTCCCGCAGAATCTTTGTTTATTATTGGAACGGTATCTTCTGCCATTAAAAGAAGAAAGTTTCTTATCGAGAGACGAGGTAAATCTTCCAAAGTCACTTCAGACGTTAATATTTCTATGATAACCAAATGTATAGCTCTAAGTCTACTTTGGCACAAGCTTTGTAACATTCTTTTAGGTTATGAATAATGACTAATAAACTATGAAGCTTTGTTTTGATGAAAGGCGTATTAATTGATTGTAAACCAGATTTTATAAAAAAGCGCTTTACATAAGTAAAAAAAATAGAGAGTTGTCTTGCATTGAAATTTTTCTGGACAAATGCTATTTTTAATGAATTTGAGAGTATTTTTCCACATCTTAGAACACCAGCCTCTTCTAACCATTTCTTACTGTATATTATTTAAAGATTTTTGTAGAGGTTTCGCATTTTGTTATAAAAATATGAAGTTACCAATAAATTGAGATGCTGTGTGCGTTTGGTTACATTGTCGTATCCAGGCAGGATATAGTAAGATGAACCTTTCCATGTACAATTGGATGCAACCCCCAAGACTGAAGCCAGTGTAGTTTTGCTAGACATGTTTGGAAATTTAGTGTTACTTGTTCGTTTAAGGTCGATTCGTTGGTTAGCAATGTTTCTGAAATCTACGACTTTCAAACCAACTTTTTGGAAAACCTTGAGGTGAGGCCAGCAAGCTTCAATTTTGGCCATGTTTCTTTTTCACTGTTTTTCTTTTACTTTTTTACTGCTGTTCATCCATTCTTCTCATATTTTGTCTTGATCTAAACTTAAAGTTTTGTTTCAAACACATTAAACAATGGCTACAGGAACCCCAAGCTAATTATGCTGTTCCTGTTGAATAGAGCGTTGAGATTTCCTGTTTAATTATGCACAAGTTGATCATTTTGCTTCCTCCTGCTACTATTGGGTTCAGTTTAGTATTTCTCGTTGAAAGCCGTGAAAAATTCGAAGTGACCAAGAGATGTTGTATTCGGTTAAACAATGCACTGCTTAAGTTTTTTAGAATGTTTTATGTAACATGTCTCTGTAGCCTTTTTGATTTGTTTGTTTTGTATTCTTAAATTTATTTATAGGACATCGTACGAACTGACAAAGATTTCTTTAAGTATGAAGAAGTTTCAGATTTTCAGGTATTTCATTAGTTATTTATTTGTTTATTTATCGTAATTAGTGACTTGTTTTAATCATTCATATTTACCGCTTGAGGCAGATCATAAACCCATATGTATTTGTGTTCTTTAATTTTAAAGTAAGTGCTGCATGCGAATTATAGCTTAGCAATGTTTTAGATAAAGGTGCAAGAGTCCAGAACTTGCTATTTTTCTGCTCTTCAAACGAAGCTAAAGACTTTGACGTTACAACGTTGATCGAATTAATAACATGCATTTATTTGCTACTCCTGCCTACTTCTCTATATTTATGCTTATTTGTTTATTACTACTGGTTGTCCACTGGTTTACGTACGCGACTCTACCGTTAGTAATGGCAGACTTATTTTTTGTAGAATGTTTTGTACGGAATCGCGGAGACATTTTTGGAATACGTTGACAAGTTCAAACTTTACAGCACGTTCTGTTCTTGTCACTCTAGAGCCGTTAAACTTTTGGAGCCAGGTAAGGGATAAATCTGGTTTATCTTTGAGTTTTGTTATCACACAGACCATAAATAACGTAAAACTCTATTTACCTTCCCATTCTACAAAGCAATCTCCCCCCCCCCCTTTATAAGCCTCCTCCATAAGAAATACGTTTCTTCTCTCTATTAAGCTACCATTCAAGACTCATGTAAGAAAAACAGTCGAAGCAATTGCGAGAGCTTAGTAATGGGTTTTGATGTCTGTGGTATACTTTCTCCAATTTCTAATGTCATATGTGATAAAGAAAGAACCTTTTTGTCAATGTCTGCTTTTAATTTCCCGAAAAGCTTTTGAGACGGAAATATGATAGCAGTCATATGTCTTTAACACCCGGCCAATCCTCATAAAAAATTGATGTAAAGCAGTATTATGTCACCTTTAAGAGAGGATTTATAGAAATTTTCTGTTGATTTCATTTCAGAGAATAAGAAACGAAAACTATAACTGAAGTTGTGATTACTTTTTTGCAATAGATATTTAATTAGATAAATTATGTTTAAATGTTTAGTAGACATAACGTTCACTGCTAGTGAACAGGACCCTGTCATCATCATATCTGGTGAAACGCCCATGAGATCACCGTAATCTAAATCTTAATTGCTTGTTGTAGGAACAAATCCAGAGTTACAAGCCTTCTTGGAAGCAAGAAATCCAAAACAGCAACATTCAGGAACCCTTGAGTCATACTTGATAACACCTATTCAAGTACGTTAAAACTTTGGCGTTTCTTTTTCGACACAAAATGTACTGACTAAATCATTTGCCTTTCAAAAAAATGGGTTGAATTAATCTTTGATCTTTCGAAACAAACTATGTTGAATGAATCATTTACTTTCGAAACAAACTGTGTTGACTTCCGTTTGCCTTTCGAAACAAAGTACGCGGGCACTGTCTGCTGTCAGGTACATGGCATCGTTTCATTTGTTTTTACTGGAAACAAACTACATTACTTTTACTGTTTAAAACATAGCACGTGATCTTGGCCATTTGTATAACCAAACATAGTATATGGTTGTGTAAAAACAACGGTAAATGGCCTGTCTTGCAATTTCAGAGGATACTTCGTTACCCCCTTCTGATCAAAGAAATGCTGAAGCTGATGGATAATGAAAGCGAGGAGTACCGGTGCCTAACCGAGGCTCTCATCAGTGTTGAAAAGGTGGCTAACTACATTAATGAGATGCAGATGATCAGCGAAACCTACTCACCTCGTTTTGAAAAACTTTGTGAAAATGTTGATGGGGTCGAGGTATGTAAAATATACCTTTCTTTCACAAATATTTTGTATTTGTTATTACCATACTGCCAAAGGTAGTTTTTAGGACACTGGAAGAACTGTGCTCACCGAGCAGTGCCTTGGTCCTTCCTCTCCATGTGACCACACCACGTGATTGCTATGCCTCGAACAACAGAGAGCTAGCGGGTCTCCTTACTCCAAGTGAAAGTTTGTTTATGCCAGTGAGTCGAAAAACAGACCCTTGAATATGTAGTCCGTGACTCTATCCAAAATAATTTGTTTTGGGAGTACTGCAATACGATTTTTGAGACTCGCTTAATTTCGAGACATTGTTAAGAAAAGAGATATTGAAAACCTTTGTATATCAATATGGATTTTTAATTCCCCTTAAAATATAAGTAGCCCGAGAAAGTTTCAAAATTCAGCTTTTGCTTACATCTTACTTTTACTGTTGTGAAAATTTTTTTGGCGTTACAGAGCTTGAAACTGGCTTGAAAAAGCAAACATTTTACAACATATTAGCTTCATTTCATTTCACGGTTGTGTTATTCGCTAGTTATCCTAGTTATCCTGTATTGACTTTGTGTTAATGTGATAAAGTTTTCCCTCTGTTATCTCTATTCTTTTTTCTCTAATCTAACAATGTTTTGTTTTAATAGCCAACTGGTATGGGCGTTGACAATTTGCTGCATTATGGCAAGGTTCGATGGTTGCAAGGGCCTGACAAGGAAGGAGGCAGTGCTACGATAAGAAACAACTTCATCATCGGAAAAGGAAAGAAAGAAAACGAAAATGATGCTACTTTATTTGGTAAAAGCCTTTCAGTGTTTTTTATTTTGATTGCTTTTGATTTTGCCTGATTTTATCAAGGCTATAGGATTTTTTTATCGGATTCAGCTGATCCTTTTTGGCATACCGTCACAGAAATTTTGATTTCAATTTCAAGACTTTTTAAAAAAGAGGGGGCCTAGGTAGAAGAGCCTGTTGTTCTGCTCCAGGTGCAGTGATCACCATCCATTTTTTTGACAAGTAGGCCTTACATAAGTTTTGGCCTTCAATAAACATTTTTATAATCAATAAATACTTAATAGCTGTTTTCACTTTATTCTTTATGAGAGTTTGCCAATTTTTGTTTTCAGTTTTCAAAAAGGCAGTGGTCTTGGTTGTTTATGATCACAAAGTGAGGAAAAAGGTTTGTAAATTTTTTGTTATATTTTAGAGTCCTCTAGCAACCTATGTATGGTTTAAATTGTTTTGATTGCGAACTAATGACAACTTCACCTCACATAGTCAATGCTGTTTTGCCCTTTTGTAATTGAGGTTTAGTCTCCAGAGAGAGAAAATTTCTCTAGACCAGGAGTGTTTTGTAAGCCTAAATAGCAAAGAACTACAAAGGACTTTATGCGAAAGCGGATCATCGTTTGTTCGTCTTGTATCTTTGAACATATCCTTGGAAAACATGAGTTAAAACAGGGAAAGTATGGCTGTTTATCTTTCTTGGGAAGTCAAAGTTGGATTAGGTAAAAGGGACTAGCCATTTTAATAGAAAACCCTTTGTGATATCTGACAGTTTGGGAAAGAAAACTGATCAAGCTTTTAATTTCCTTTGGTCGCCTGGGTCGCCTGTTGTCCTGTGCATAATTTCTCGGTTATTTGACAAAGAGATTACATGTAAACTTAGTCAACTAATTGGTTGTCTATTTTCAACCTGCCAAGATCTTTGGCATAGTGAAACTTGTCCGACCCTTCCGTTGTGCGTGTTATCAAAGAGAGAGCTAAGAGAGTAGATTCGTCAGCTTTGCAGTGTGCCCTCTCAGTAGTCGGCGAAAATAATCATATGTCAGTGCCCTCTCATTTCAGGTTTCTATGTTTTATGGATGTTTATGTGAATATTGTTGTGTTTTTCACAGACGAATTCGCCATCTTCATCACTGAAAGTGAAGGCAACAGATGAAGTGAAATTTCAAACATTGATTCCAATTTGGTCCGTTCTTATCCGTGACTATGCTTGGTCTTCAAACGGTGAGCAAACTAATTATGCAATCTTTGGATTTCCGCTTAAATGGGGCAACATTCTTCCGTATATACGTAATGCCAGTGTGAAATAACATTAAAGAGTCTTTATAACAACTCAGACACTGGCCCATGCATGACACCTTGACACAGATAATACCATGACACAGATAGGGTACAATTGTAGAAGAGTTTCTAGAGGCAAGAAGATCTTCAATATCAACAGGTTCTAAGTTCTTTTAAATTTCTTGCTAGATACAAATCACATATGGGAAATTGTGGATACCGATAGCCAAGGGACAGGACAGGAGACGCCGTATATGTTTGTTAATAAGTAAGTATCGTTCCTTGCATTTTAACCCTTACAAAGACTTTTCCCGAAATTGTACGAATAAAGTTTTCACACAGAAGACAAATTGACGCGATCAACTGGTTCAGTGTCTTTGCCACAAGTTGGTTTATCCTTATATACACCTTTCATTTGCATGTTAGTTTGGCACAAAATCATTTTCCAAGCTCTGGTGCCTTCGATAACATGTTTAAGCAATTTTTTAAACCTATTACAGTTTGACTGACAAATTGATATCTCCTATTGCAATTTTTTGGATGCTTGCAATTATTTTTTGTAGGTCTGCAGAAGATAAACGACAGTTTGTGATGGCAATTAAAGAAGCTACAAAGCTATCTTCACAGCCTAATATCTCACCTAGAGGTCCCCCCGTTGTGCCTCCAAAACCAAGGATAATCAAAGATCAGAATCAGAATTCCAATATTTTGCCGTCGCGGCCTAACCTTTTGGCGGGAAAAATGAGGCGCTTCGAGAGTAAATGCAGTGAGGCAAGCAAGTCGAGCTGGGCCAGAAATAGGCCTCGCGTTAATTCAGACAGTGATTCATCAAATAATTCGGCAGGCATTGATAGTGGAGTCAGTTTTGATGGTGGCTCGTCACCGAGGAAAAATGGCGCTAGAAAGAAGATATCAAATGTCTTCTAGCCACGGGTTCCTTTGCTTTCGCAATAATAAAGCTGGGTGAGTGGCAAGTGACACCGATAACAACTTTACCCCTCTTTCTGCCAACTGCAGGGCCAGATCTGGTTGAAAGTGCTGCGATAGGATGACAATTATCGACTCGTTACTGAGTGATTGAACTTGCAGAAAGAGGTTGTATCGTAAATCACCAACTTATAAACAAGGCAATACCGTCAACTTTAAATGGTATAGGAATAGATATTTTATTGATGAGTATGTTTAGATATTTATGTGAAAACAACTTTGATATAATTTTTTCCAAACTTATATTTGCATCTAACTTATAGCCATTCCTTTTGTCATTGGCTGGGTTTTCATGTGAAATAAAGCATCAATTTTGCAATCCTTTCTGGCTTAGGCCAAGTTTAGTAAAGGTCAAAGATGGTATTGGTTGCTCTGTCAGTTTTAGTCAAGTATATGTTGTTATGATCAAAGATTTTGTAATATTTTGTTATGTAAATAAGAGAAAACAAATGATAGGTTTTTATCGCATGTATTTAATTATCACCGTGTGATTTTCGGCGTACTATGCTCGTTTGCACTTAAAGTAACTAAAACATTAGACACGTAAAACGGAATGTTTGTAGCTGAAGTTTTTCATAAATTATTTTAGTATCATTCTGAGTGTGCTTTAATCTCAGCCGTTTGTTTCTTTCGCACATATTTTGTCAATGGACATGAACCTTGCACACTGATCTTGTGGAAAGTCAATGGCAACCCCAAATATCGACATATTGACATTGCCTTTAATAGTTATAAATGATTTTCAATTTTGATTGGATTCCACTAGAACAAAATTTTGACAAATGACCTCAGGACATGTCTTTCTGTGCCATTGCCGTCACGTTACAATGTAATGTTTTGTCCTGAATCTTTCCAAGTATTTTAGAGGCAAAGCAGACATCTTGATATAGGAATGCCTTGCTGTTCTGGTCTACGATGTATTTTTGTATTTTAAAATTTGAAATCAAATGAAATCTTGCGCATTACACATCAAGATGACATAAAACAAGAAAACGTTGAGACAAAAGAACTGAATCATAAATGCACAAATTTTTGTTCATATATATCTAGTGAAAATTGTTTCAAGGTCTTTACAAGTATATGACCAGTAAAAAATTTAATAGAAATCCTTTCAATTGAAAGAATATTTAATATCAGGGCCGGCGAAACGTATTGGAAAGTGGAGGGGCCAAAATATTAAAGTCTTGAAAGGGCTGAAGCAAGGCCGCCGCCGGTTGGCGGCAAGAAATATTTTAGAATTATGGTGTCTTAGGGATGGCCAGAAACTGTGTCTAAAATGAATCTTGACTGAAGGTGTCGCATTGTCGCGTCTATTGTGATGTTGACTTGAAATAGAAAAGTTTTGCAAAGTTTTAAAATAACCACTATCATATAACTCGTGATGAAGCCTTCACAAATAAGATGAGGGAAAAATAAATGAAACACGGATTAACAAAAAACATTAACATTGAAACATCAACAGAAGAACTATCAACTAAAAATAAAAAGTTAAGCAATTTTGTACAGTTAAGATATAACTTTGTAACATCTGAGCTTAACTTTTTCGGAAATGAAGTGCTTTAACAAAAATTTGAAAAACCTTCAAACTGGGCTTGTCAAATTGAGTTTAAATAGAATTTATAATTGCGTCGACATTTTCTCTTTCTTAGTAGGAATGGTTTATCCAAACTCTGAAGTTTTCTTGATGATACTTTTTAAGAACAAATCTGCCCTTACTTTGTTTCTCATATACTCAAAAAAGTTCAACAGCTGATTTCTCTCTGTTTGTAATATTTCAGAGAAAGTTTTCGTTAACAAATAGACCTTGTGTGCCAGGTTTAGGCAATGGAAAAAAACGAAACTTCGTCAATTTGTGCTGGCACCAAGTTATTCTAGACTAGGTTGCTCGATCTATTTGCTAAAACAAGCTGTTACTCATTGTAAAACTTAGACAATGACCGACTTCTTCGATCTAATTCACATTTTCAATTTTATGTATGTCTTCTATGGTAAAGACATAGCAACCAAAGTAAAGCTAAGGATATATTAAAGAGAATACAGGGAAAGTTACTTACAGAATCATACTACATTTAATCCACTTTTGCCTAAAATTTTTCTTTAGATCTGCAGAAAAGTGGGAGGGCCATGGCCTCCCCGGCCCTCCCAGCCCCCCGGTTTCGCCAGCCCTGTAAAAATCATTAACAACAAGCAGCTTTATATAAATGACAAGTTACTTCATATTGCATCAGTGTTGTGAATAACATTGAGGACTACAGGTGTACCATTCCGCTTGTCATCATCACTGATATTTGGGCTTACATGATTCGATATGACCGTCGATTGTGTACCCTCCTCTTTTTTTGCTGGTGACCTTGAAATTCTGAACACTGTGGATAAAAGATAGCAAATTAATATTTTGAATGTTACGGCCTAAGGTAGACCTTCATATCTTAACCACAACACTTGGGCAAATTATCCCAGCGTTGAATCAAACATTGTTTGCTGATGAGTAAACGATTAGCCAGCATGTTGACCCCATTTTTACACCAAAGGAAAAATGCAAGCATTGTGACATATTGCACTAGAGCCATACGAGCTGGGACTAGGAATGAGATGTTGCTAAAATTAATTGGGGGCTTTCAAGATTATAACTTTGGGCTTAGGGATTTTATGGAAAATTTGTCTTGTAGCGCTTATGGAAGCTTTATCCTATTTATTTTAATATTGGCTTTCATGCTTTAGGTTTTGATACCCCTAAATGGCTTGATTTCACCATAGCTTGATAGTTTTATAACTTTATAACTGACAGAGATTTTTTAGGGAAAGTTTTGTACATTTACTTGTCTACATTTTAATTTCTCCGAAAAATCACTTTAAAATGTAACATATTCCAAATTGACATAACTGATCTTTGCATGAATTTCAACAAAGGACAAAGTAAAATGGACAAAAGAAATTTCAGATACCACATTTAGCATGCAGAATATTTCAAAAACCGTTTGACAAAAAATTTTTAAAAGGCAACTATCCTTTCGAAATATTTTCAAGTTAACACAATTGGTCTTGTGAGAACATGTAATCAATGTTAGTGTTTGCTTACACGTGATTAATGTCGGTAGGATTACCAATCCATGGAAAAGCCCAAGGCCAACGATGCCCAAAAACATCTTGAAGAATATTCGGAAGATTTCGGATGAAGCAAAGCCTGTTACGACCATTCCAAGAAATGTGCTCGAGCCTACAATATAATAAACATCCCTGTTACCATTTATGTTGACGATTTCTTTATCGTGACAGAAGTTGCATTTAGAGCCAAAATAGGATTTGGAAAGGCAAGAGCAATCGGCTAAAGATCATCAAGAAATGCTCAATGCTAACGAATGCCATCTGCGTTATCTAAGGCAATTGCATACATTGTAGTCTTCTTATTATCATGCCTAGAGCATTATGAGTCGATGTTCATTAGTTAAGGTAGAACCTTATGCAAATCTCTCAATTCTCATCATTCGTCGTCTCAATTCTCATTCAATGGTTTGGATGTGTATTTGATTAATTCAATCTCTAAGCGCGTATATTTTACATTTTGCTTAGAGTAGAATAAAACCCAAATCCCAAAGAGTTAATTGCTAAAACCTGTTTTCCTATAATTTCTAAGATTCTTCTAAGCTCCCAGACTTCTAAACTTCCCCATAGCTCATTTCATGCCTGGGTAATAAACAATCACCAAGGCAACGAGTCTTTTGGCTGCTCAGCCAGCTTAGTCGCTACATACAGATCGTAAAGTGCAAACTTACCTCCCATGACAACACTTGCCCCAGTCGTTGATAATGCAAAAATCATGCTGCTTTTTGCATCGGAACAATCCGATCTGATGTAAGCGTGGGCAACATGGGCACTGTAGTCAACGCTGAATCCAAGAGCCATCGTGAGTACAATCATCGATATACTGTTAAGAGACACATTCCAAGCCGCCATCATTCCAAGGAGCTCTATAATCAGTGCGGCAAAGCCCCCAGATAACAGTAACAGAACTGCAGGGTGCAATAAGAATGGTGCTGTCATTAACAACACAGTTATGCCACAAATAACCAAATTTCGTATTGTCTCTGTCTTGACAAGGACATACTGTTCAATAAATAAGAACTCGAGGGCAGCCAGGTATGCCTTGATTGATGTCTGTTCTTCGATGGCATCTCGCATTTTCAGCATGCCGTCTTTGTTCTTGCTAGAATCCTGGTCAAGTATCATGAATACGACAACTCTGGATGCAAGAATACTTTTCCTGTCGCTGGAAAATCGAATATCACCTGTAAATTGTTGAAACCGTGGGATGTTGAGAAACTCGGCGAGCGATTTAAAAAAAGAGCTTCCAGTCATATTCCTGTTTTCAGAAACTGCCCAACCTTTAAACGCTTTGAACCAGTCAACTGACCTGTTCTGGAACTGTGGACTGCTCTTGATAGCTACATCACCAAGCTTTGAGTACTCAAGTTGTCCTTTGACTGTGTCAATCCTAAATGAACCTGGGACCACAATATTTACCGTAACGACGTCTGTGAAGTACTTCTGCTCCACATCGAGAAATTGTATATAATCCGATCCATCTTTGCCAAGCATTTGCAACTTGAATGTCTCAGTAATCTGCAAGCACCAACTACACCAGCAGCAATTAGTCCAATGCTGACAAGTATAATAAAAATATGACCAAACGTGTTCGTTACGCAATGTCCAAGCTTTTCCATGATCTGCGGAGAGAATCATAGCTGTTTTGTATAAACCATTGATGTGGTAACATAATACTGTAGGAGATACAGGGGTGTTGTCAGCATAGAGTTTAGGGGTTGTGACACCCCATCCCCCTCCCCGAAATTGGTCATGTGATAAATCTGGTCGGTAAATCTTTATTTGTTCGGTAAAATCGCCTGTCGATAGCTGAAATAATCTTCGATCCCCAATAGACGTCCTCAATATTTCCAGGGCATTTAGGGCGTTGATCCCCCTATCATCAACGGCGATCAAATGCCACTTCACCGAAATGAAAATGCATATCAAAAACACTTTAATCGAAAATTGAAACAATCTTCGTAAAGGAAAAGTATATGTTTTCAAGGGAGAGGGTAACTTGCTTTACCCAGTAAAGTTGCAGCCCGTGTTCTTGTATAAAGGTAAAAGAACTCGAACACAAAGGGATGTCAGCCGCAAAAAGGGGTAAATTGTCACTAGATACTGAAAGGATCGTATCAGATCGAGCTAATTTTAGCTATGATAACCGCTTCAATATTTGCACAGGGATTTGGTAGGTATATTATATTTATGATAATTATCGTATGATAATTATGCAGTGTATTTGAGGCCAGAAATTTGGCAAGAATTGCTAAAGAAAGGGTCCATCCTTGTCATTATTGAGGTATCACTGGCAACATTCAAATCAATGAAACGCATTGTCTGGAGATCATGAGATGCATTTGATACCTAAACAACTCGTCTCCCTCACGGAATAAGATTCAGGCACCCAAATTGATACCGCGAGAGAATTCAAATCACCCTTTGTCACAAATACCTTTGATGGCTCAGAATATTATCTCACATTAGATAAGTTGTATGCTCTGGTTTGAGAAGAAATGGTCAAAAATTGCAGAGAGTTGATGTTATCGAAGCCTGAACACTCAAGGAGGTCATTGGGGGAGGGGGGGGGGGGCTGATTCTGGCACAATGAATCAAACGCCGAACAAATGTTGAACGGAGCAAACTTTTAGATTGCGAATGCGAAGAAATTCCTTTAGCGGATTTCGAGGAAGAAAGTATTGACGCTGAAGAAATAAACCAGGATATCGAGGAAGAAGAAAGTCCTGAGCAAATTGATGCAATAGTTGTCCAATCTAGTAGCAACTATTCTGCGGGTGAAAGAGAAACACCTGCAGAAGAACCATTGGAAGAGAACGAATCGACTACGAAAGAGACCTCACACCTCAGGGCCAGAAATCGGCCAGTATTGGGAAAAAGTAATGATCGCATTTCCATTTACGCTCTTGTCCTATTTGGTTTAGTTTTTCAAACCTGTTACTGCAACTGCTGATCGACTAAATGAAGTAAAGTTTGCAGGAGGTGAGTCAACTATATCTTTTAGAAAATAATAGACATTGAGAAGATATAAAATAATTCCTGAAAGCATACTCGAAACAGCTCAGTGGTGTTAATCATTCAATTTACGGTCACTAACAGAAAACTTGTTTACTTGCTAACATTCCCGGACAAATTACCCTAAAATTTGATACTAATAACCCTTCAGAAAAATTGTCGAAAGGGCATGAAAAATTCTACATTCATTGTTCATGGCCAGCGCATTACTTCTTTTGATAAAAAGACGCATTAAGATGGGTATAAATTCAATGCGCTAAGAAAAGTGTATTAATATCTTCAGAAATACTAGCTATTTTTCAAAACTAAAGTTAGACACTTTGCCAGGTTTTTTTGGATTGTTGCCTGTCTTCAACTGTTTACAAATGTGTGCGCATAAAGCTAGAAAGTCTATATCAAAAAGGAAAACAAAACAAAATAATTGTACCTTGACAGACCACTGCTGCTCTGGAGGTACAATCAATCCAGTGTCTTCATCAATTTTAAAATCGGCATTTCGTACAAACGGAATCATGTCCCATCTACCAGCTTTGATTCTTTTAATGTCAAAAACCAAAAATGCCACGAAAAACGTCATTATCATCAAATACGAGAATGTGATTCCCATAGCAGCGAAGGCGCAGAAGTATTGGATTGCTGGGAAGGCGCTCGTTGTGCTCACTGCAAATGCAACAAGGTCTGTGAGTGTTGTCATAGTAACGGTGCCTCCAACTCGCCCAAGGACCTTCGCAATGATTTCTCTGGTAGGAAGGTTGAAGTCAGTGCGGTCTAATTCGTCCAGAATTATAAAGATATCATCGATAGCAACTCCCAAGATCAAGAACGGCAATATGCCGACTAAAGAGACAAATGTTCCTCCGCAAATGAGAAGAAGTCCAAATGAGCTAGCAACGCCCATAGCAACAGCAAGTATTCCGACCATCCCTGCCAGCCCGTGTCCGGTCACTCGATTTCGGTATCTCCCTAACGCGAAGCAAGTAAAAGAGCACATGATGGTGAAGGTTATAGTGATCAGAAGTATATCACCACTTGCACTATCATTCACTGAATCGTCGATGCTTTTTAACGTAAAAAACAAAATGTCAAATCCTTTACTCTGAAGGTTCTGCTTGACTGAAGTCAAGTACTTTAGAAACTTTCCTTCCCAGTCCAGAATTTTTTCATATTCTTTATCTGTTTTTGGGAAAATTATTGGAATGCTAATCCGCAGGGCTACCGCAGAATTTATGTCGCCATTGTTATCCTTCGATACACCTCCCAGTATTTCAATTAGATTTGTTGACAAGCTTCTCCCGTTTCTCATCGTATAATTTGTGCTTTTATAAAGTGCATTGATCTTTGAACGAATGTCAGAATTATTTATATTTTGCGCTGAGTAGCCGAACAACTCAAAAGGATCCGTCCTCATGCATTTGGCTGTCTTTGCGTTTATGAAAGGTGGAATGGTTGCATTTATTTCGCGACAAACCGTTTCGATGGAAATATTCGTAAAAATGCCCTGCATCACTTCCACACCAACTGTAAATGCCTCCTTTGTTAACATGTTTTTTCTTTCTTTGCTAGTTATGACAATCTGTGAAGCAAAGGATACCTGATCATCTATTATGCTTTACAACAGTTTTTGGCGGTACAGAATTTAAAATGGATTTGAAAAGAGCAAACATTTTAAAACACATTTAAACGTCAAAGAATAGAACGCCATAAAACTGATCAACAACTCTAAGCCATGGAATATTTAAATTTATTTCTTAACTAAAATAGGCCAATCTAAAATTCCTGTATCTGACTGTTAAGTTGCTTGTTGGGATCAGTTCACACAATAGTGGTTTTTCAATTTTATTTGGAGGGACTCTAATTTTGATTTTGGCTACGGGGATGTTAAACCCAAAGACCGGGGATAGAATTAAAAAGCACTCAGCACTTTGGTCTAATGCAAGAAGCAAATCCCCCGTCGTCAGTGACGTCATCAAATATATACTTTATGAATTTTTGAAAAAAATTCAAATTACCCGGGCGATGCGATTTTGAACTGTAAAGTATTTGTCTGCGTACTCCAAATCTCGTTCTGCCCGGCTGTTTTGGGGGACATACAACTTCTCACTCCTGCTCTCTATTTTCAACCATATGAATCCCCAGCCAACTGCACCAGTGAATATAACACATAAAAGCATAATTATGAGTGGATAGCCAGCAATGAAATAGCCGTATCTGTAGAAAAAGCGTTCCAGCCCATGATGAAAAGTGGCAGCAAGACGTAGCCATTTATTCCAGCAAGAGAAAGCACATCCCTTCCTGAAACAAAGCAGAAACGGTCTTGAATACATTTATTCACATATGGATAGACAAAACTAATCAAAGAAAAGCACACAATTTTTTTTAATAATCTAGAAGTACATTTGGTGCTTCGTCTAATGTTTGGAAAATTTGACAATAAGCCCAGGGGCGGACACTTATTCAAATATTGGGGGGCAAGCCTTTTGTTTTAATAAGATGACGTCAGTTTTTATATTGTTTTGGAACAAAAGACCATTATCCTCTAAAGTATTGGGGGGCGGTCGCCCCCGTTACCCCCCCCCCCCGAGGTGTCCGCCACTGAATAAGCCTTAACGGCTCTCTCAGTACACTCTATAGGCGTAGCCTAGAGACGAGACACAAAGATGCCATTTAGGGGAGGGGGGTTGGTTCTCTGCATCCTTGTTAAGATAGATTTTGCTGGCTAAGACCCCTTAATAAGTTATGATATATTTGGCTGGGTGAATTCCTTACTTGGAAAAGTTAACCAACTCTCTATTATGCTATTGACTTTCATAAATGAGCAATTTCTATTTATTAGCCTTTCAAAGGTGGTGAATAGTTTGTCTGAATAATTCCTCATATACAACAGGGATTCTTATCACAAAGGCAAGTACAATGGGCGTGATCATGGGTGTGGCTTCTTGAAGTTGCCTACACCACAGCTCCCTTCCTAACTTTAAGGATGGCACCCCTGATGGGACATAGGACTAACGGCCAATTAATTGTGTCCCTAAGAAGGAGGGGATAAAGGTCATATTAGGCAAACCAAAATTCTTATGACCAAAAAACATTCAGTCCTCTTAGCAATGAGACAGAGATACATGAAATATAAAAGAGACAAGCTTCCTATTGCCCATTGTAAAAATTGCTGTCAGCTTTTAGAAATCAGTAGAGACATTAGGCCATTTTTTCATGCATATATAGCTTTGTTTTAGCATACTCTTTTTTATAAGAACAGCTTTAGTAGAACATAAGCCAACAATTGGTCAATCTTAACAAGAAGTTAAAAACAAGCTGAGACTGAGGCACTGTAAAAAGAAATTTTGAAAAATATTTCGTTACTTAGGGTTTTTCTAATGCTATGACATGTTAAAACATTGCTATAAAGAAAATTATTATCAAACAGTTCGAAAGATGAATTATTATTAAGGACATTGATCTGTAAAAAAATTGTTCTTAGGAATGCATCCTTCAAGGTTTTGGCTATATAATTTACTTATGTTATTAGGATAAAAGTACAAAGGCCCAGGCCTTATGGTAAAGAGAATAATAAACAAGGCAAAAGGCTATTTAGGCAGTCACTCCAAGTTAAGATTGAATTTCAGTTTTTGCTTATGGCTTAAAGGAAAAACTGGAAAAGTTCTCATTTCGAAAGTTCTTTTAATATAACCATTTGTCATTGACGAAGAGTATTGGTTAGGCCATAGAAATGTCAGGTCCTTCAGAAGCATGGCCTAAAGAGCGGTGTTGTTATGACGTCATGATACTACTTTTAGAGTTTTTTATCTTTCACCAAATAATTTAATATAAGGTCTTACACATTGAAAAATTCGTCTAAGTTCACTGGTAATTTCTCAGGCAGTAATTTTTAACAGATTCAAAAGCGAATATTCCCATTCTGAAATACGTCTTTTTGCCTGTCAATCTGTACACAACTATGTGTTGCTATCTAAAACATACAACTTGAAATTCTTGATAAAGATATGAACAAAAACTACACAGGCATGCTTGAAAAGTACGAGCCTAACTTTCACATCAAGGCGAGAATGGCCTAACTTTCAATATATGCCTCCACGGACACACACCTCTTTTCAAAGAAAAAAAATCGACAACACAAGTGGTTTTGGTGCTCTTAGTGTTCTCCGTGGAGTATTAATTGTAGTATGGACAAGAGTTTCTCTCTCTTTAGATCAATTCAATGCATCCTTTACTATTCTCTATTTATCTGAATGGATATCAGGCATTAATTCGTAAGACAAACATCAATTTCGAGGACGTCAGCAATAGTACTTATTAAAGCAGCTTTACAGTAAAGTAAATCAACCACGATACCCACGTTTTTTGCTTGTCATCCATTTCGGTAGCGGGCAAGTATAGCTCTGATTCTGTCTATACTTCCTTCAAGCAGCATTACATTTCTTCCTATTTCCTTTTACGCAAATTCTCATAATACCATTCTCGTTGTGCGATAAAGCATGCGTAACAAGATGCATTCTTTAATTATTCATTATCTGTAAACGTATTACCGCACGTTATTCAAAAACAACAAAAGTAATACGTCAATTGTTGTTGCTATCGAACCACAGAATTCTGTAAGCACACCACTCAAATATAGGTATATGTATGCGTTCCCCGCGACCCACTACATAGTGTGCTCAATTCTTCGTACACAAAAAGACAGCAACAAGAAAAGGATAATTTTCTTTAGCCAAAGTTCAATGAAGCTTGCTTCCACATTTTGCGAAATTTCGCTTGGTAAAAGCTACGGTGTTACTACTATTACCATCATTATTACAACATATTGTTTCAAGCTGTAAGTCCTACCTTGAACATGGTAGATATACTTGGAGGCATAACTCGGTTCTTTTATGTAGCCACGCGTGTGACACCCCCTCCTTAATCTTTCATCCAGTCGGAAAATTTGGGGACAGTCGGAAAATTTAAAGCTGTTGGCAGAAAGCTAGGTTAATCGGAAAACATTTGAATCATTTGTGAAAATTGAAGTTCTGACTCAAATGACCTTGTGAACTGTAGCTCAAAGAGAAGCATAAGAAAGGTATAAGTTTAAAATAAAATAGTTCTTTGGTAAAAGGCAGTCCTAAAAAGAATGAGAGGCGACGCAATACAGAAAAAACGAAGTTTAGTATGAAAATGCAAGTATTTTCAACTACATTCGTCGTAATGGGGATAGTGTGATAATCATTCCATCAAATTGCTTCTAAAAACGGGATACGAAATAGAATTTTTAAATAATATTTAACAGTAATGCTTAAAGAAGCGCAGTACATTTCCCATGGCTTGTCAAGAACTTTCTCCGTTCGAGATCGACCGATAAAACATAGGCGGCGTCAGGTGTAGAGCTGGTGGCTTCAGCCCTCCCCCCACTTTTTTGCAAAAATGTATTTTTAAGCAAATGAAAAGAGTAAAGGAAAGGATATAAACAAAAGAATTATCCCCCCCCCACTTTGAATTTCTTGGCACCGCCCCTGTGAAAGACTAAACGACCTCATGATTCTTACTTGCGAGAAAGAAATTTTGGACCAGGTAAATTTAGATAAGATAGTGGAACAATGGGCAAGTCGTAGAAGGAGAAGAACTAACACCTGATTTTTGGACTACTTATGTTTTGATGAACTAATTAAACTACCAGTCTTCATGCTCGATCTTCCAAATTTACGAAATCTAGAAACTTTATCATACAGCTGAATAATTATTTACCAGACAATTTATAAGGTTTTGTTGGTAAAAAACTATTAAAGTTTAGGCCCTCATACAAAATTAGAATTGAACTTTGTCAGTCGGAAATTTTGAGCACTTTACCACAAAAAAAATATCTGCCAATGTACGTCCCTGCTTTTATGTCTTACTAAAACATTTTTATCTTTACCACAATATTCTCTGTACGTCGATCTGTCCAATTTCTCTTCACCCACATTAATTTGTAATATACTGCTAATTTTAGGCCTTTCTTTCTAGTCCATTCGTTTGATTTTCCTTACCTAAGCACTCTTGTTTATCTGTAACTTTCCTCGATCGTTCCGCATTTTTCTATCACGTGTATTAGGATAATCTTTGTATTATTATGAGTAACTTCATAGCTACGTCAATTATCAGCATGTTAAGTAGTTAGCCATAGCATAGCAACCCAGTATTTAAGGATATAACGCTACCACAATTTATTGGCCATCCTCTGCCTTTAAAAGGTCCTGAGAATCGTTAGCAACATTTTACAAATAACAGGGGATTCATTGAGGTCTGATCTTGTCTCAATTGCTAACAATAGCATTCTCTATCTTCTTGAGTTAACTGTTGGAATTGAAAGCAACTTAAAAGTCAACAGCGATCGCAAGTGTAAGTCTCTTATCCAGTCCCTGCCAGCTAGATATCGCCAAGTTCACTTTGTCAATGTGTTGATGGGAGCCCTTGGCATTCTTTCTCCTTTTTATGATTCACTCTCATACATGCACAAACACCTAGATTTTAATGAAACTCTCCAGCGCAGGCGCGGATCTAGACGGGAGCAAAGGGGGCAAGTGCTCCAGTCAGATTTTTTTATAGCGCATGTCAATTCCCTTTTTTTGGAAAATGATCCTAATATTATTAAATGAAAGTTTCTGAAAAACTACAAATTTTTTGTCACTTAATTTACTCGCATATTCAAATTGTTTATGGTACGTCCTTGACTTGCTAGCCTACGTCGTAGACCCCCCCCCCCCCCTTCTTCCAAACGAAGATAGAGTCTACGAATGAATGAGGCAAAGCTTGCTACAGGCCGTTCTCAAATTCTGGAACCTAATTTATGCAAGAGTATTAATACTTGCATAATTAAGGACTTGCAAAACAAATCAATAAGACAGTACGATCGAGTGTGGCGGAGTTTGATGAAACGATGTTCGTGGAGGCATTGGGTATTGCGTGTTTATCCTTGCAAGTTCAGTTTCAAAACACAAGAGACAACGATCAAAATCTGCATTCGTCGCCATTAGTTCATTCATAATCAATAGAAAGGACAAAGGAGGCCTTTCAATTGACTATGGTTCATTTAACACCTCATTGAACTTGACAAAAAAATCCCGTAGGGTCTGGGAATGATCAATTATTAAATAAATTTACACATGAATTAATAACGGCCTGTAGGAAGCTTTGCCTCATTAATTCGTATATTCGTTTGGAAGAGGCTACGGCGTAGGCTATGACTTTCTAGCCTGCGTGCACACTTTTTCTCATATTTTCAATTTTGTCAATAGAGTCTGCACGCAGGCTATGACTTTCTGGCTCATGCATGTTGTTCATTGGTATTCTGCAGACCACCACCAACTGAAAATCGTGTTGTTTTGTGTGGCGCTCTCCTCCATTAATCTGTATCTTATCATGCGAAGTTCCTTCTCTGGCCAATCAGAAAACGCATGTGTGCTCCACTCGCGTGAATTTTGCTCCAGCCAGAGGGAGCTGGCCAATCAGTGGCTATACTGAGGGGAGCAAAACTTGTGGCGGGAGTTCAAAAACCTAAAAATTCAACTTTCGGAGGGTTGATCACTTCTTTTTGAAAATATTTAGTTTCTGGAGTAGAGGGTAAAAAGATTACATGGCAAGTTGTCACGGCACGTAATTAGAGAAAAATTCCTCAACTGTGAAGGAAGAAATGGGTAGAAATAGAAAAATAATAAGAGACTAATAGTTTTATTTTGTGAAAAAAGTCTAGCCAGGTACAAATTACCTATGAAATAAATAGTGGGATTTGTAATTGTAATTCAACTGGAATTCAAAATGAAAAGTTTCCATTATTTTTGTTTATACACAATACCAAATCAGCTTACAATGAAAATAGCGAGAATATTAATTTAGGGAAATACCTCTGCTTTTACAAGGGGTTGTGCTGTGTTTGCGTCGCTTTGCCTCAGTAACTCTCAATTACCGATACCAGTTTGTTCAATCTGTTGATTCGAAATCTTCATGTTAACTAGTTAATCATGGAGTACCACAAGGCTCTTTACAAATATCGAAAGAAATTTTAGGCTTTCTACTCTGCATAGGCATGATTTCTCTTCTCTTAAATTGTTTCTAAGTTTTGATTTTTAACAAGGCCCTTATTGATAACAGTACTTGTAGTACTGACAAAGTTTACTCTGCATCCCTGTAAATACCCTGCATAAATATCTTCTTATTATCATTGCTATGACTGATTCGCTTAATCTGGTTATCTGAAATGGAAAAAAGCTTGCACTATATTAATACACAAAATGGAGATACAGAGGATCCCTCAAACTTCAGACCTATCACTCTCCAATCGGTCCCATTAAAAATCTTCACATCTTGCCTCCGAGATTCTGTATTTGATTTTCTCAAAAAAAATGGTTTCATAGAACATCAGATTCAAAAATGTTTTACTTTTACCCATCAGATATCGGGTACACTAGAGCATACTGCAGTGATCGACAAAGCTCGAATAAAACAACGGTCTCTAGTCAAAACATTGTTGGATCTAAAAAATTCCTTCGGAGAGGTTCCTCACAATCTGTTCTGTTCTGTCTTATCACCACGTACCAGAAAACATCCAGTCTCTGAGTTCAAGTCTTCACATGAATTTCGCTGTTTTGACACTATCAGCTTTTATTGACTGTTGAAAATTTAGAAATCATGTTTACGCAAACTTTGTAATTTACAGACCAATGTAATTATTAAATTATCCAGAGGTCCATAACCAAAAATCAGTAGTTTGGAATATTCTTTACTGAAAAGCTCCTATAATTCGCTTTCTATTTTGTATTTAAACAAAATGTACAATTTTGATCAATATAGACAAAAATTGTGAATTTATGACAAAATAAGATTTTTCAAATATTGATTTGTCATTTATTCTTATTTAAGTATATAATATAAAGCTTATTCTTGGAAATATTTGGTGGGGCTGAGCCCCATTAGCATCAATACAAGAGCCTTGACCTTGACCTTATAGAAAGTCGGTTAAAACCATTGATCTTATTTTCAGATCAGTGGTAAAACCCCGAAATATCTGCACTTTGACAGACTTTGCCTTTGGAAGTTATGAATGATTTGAATTTTGTCTGTATTCCACTAGAACATAGAATTCTAGAATATTGATTTGTTGTCTTCACAAAAACCAAGGATCAAATGCCCCCTTTTTAATTTCCCTTTTTTGTGTAGTATGTTTACAATTTTGTGTCTTGCGTGTTTCGTGAACAAAATTGGGTAGGGGTCACGCGTACTCTGCGAAGGAGCTCTCAAGAGGGCGGGAAAACTTTGACAAGGGGCTGCCATTGCCGTCACGTTACAACGAAATGTTTTGCCATAAATCTCTTCAAGTATTTCAGAGGCAAGGCAGACCTCGTGATATATTCATACTGGAGATTTCAAAGAAATACCTTGCTTTTCTTGTGTACGATGTATTTTTGTATATTTTAGAGTCAATTAAAAAGAATGAGTCTACGACGACATCTAGGCCTATTTGTTTTGATTGGCAGTTAAAGAGAATATGGATGTTCAGATCGAATCTTGTGAAGGCAGTAGAATGCGAAGAGCTTGAGTGCCTACTTTTATTGACTGCAGATGGAACAGTTTGGAAGCTTTCATTTGCAGAAATATCATCGAGGAAGCCGTGGGGGCAGAGAGGGTACTTAACTATGTTTTCGAATTTTTTACTGACTGGTGTGTTGGCCTCAAAATTAGCTAGACGCTTTTTACTACCAACAAATCAAATATAGGTAGTTTACTATAAATCAGGTACAAAGCGAATTTTTATGATTCTCTAAAATAAATATATTTAGCCTAAAAAAAACATTTTAATCCTTGATAAGGATTTGCTCAATCTCCCATCCCAAGTATTTCCATCATCAGTTTTATTTTTGTTTAAATGTATATTTACATAGTTTTATTATTGTCTAATCAACATGTTTTGTCAAGTTGATATGTCTTTCTCGCTAAACAGCTAGGCCTATATTTTCAAAATCTGTAGCAAAACATATCTCTATCTCATTGTTTTCTATTTATTATAAACATTATAAAATTTATATTGTATTTTTCTTATCAATTTCAGTAAAGCATATCCCCTGCTGAACTCTTTTGAGAAGACAAACTAACAAAATAATTGGAAAAACTTAAATTGCCATTATAATCTTATTTTTGTATTAAGTTGTCTGTGAGCAATTTAATTTGATTAAGTTCAGTTTCATAGGAGAAAGTGAAATGTCATTAAGGCAATATTGCAGAAAAATATCACAATGATTAGGTTATAGATGCTTCAGTTGCTGTTTTTTTTCATAGCCATCATCATGATGAAGCCAATAAATCAAGTGCCAGGTCTGAGATTTTTGCTGCCTTACTTGATGATTCTGCTTCCGAGAAACCAAAATATGCAAGAGGTCATTCCACAAACATTTTTCCATCACAACCTGATGAAAGTTGCAAGTTGATTTGTGACATGGAGATATGTGAAATGTTTTGCATTGGACAAGAACTAATTGTTGTGAAGCAAAGCGCAAGTAAAAGCCACACTTTACATAAAGTTAAGATTGAGAAAGACAGCATTATTTCTCAGCCATTTTTAGAAGTTCGTTATCTGCAAAGATACTCATCTAATGGACAGAATGTTGAAAATACAACCTTATCCATATATTTTGATATCATATCCCACAATTGTTCTTTACCTTCTAACTCTGGCTTGACATTGGGAAGGGATTTGTTTGCATCAACCTTTTCAATTTGCAATGCTTCATCTACACCATATGTTTTGCTGTGCGCAAATGCTGTTGGGAAAATTTGTACTTTTCCATTCAGAATTCAGTCAGATACATCTGGCAAGAATATTGATAAAGAGACAATTGTTCAACAGTTTGGTAGTAAAACTAATTTTCTTTGTGACTTGCACGAGCCATTATGTGATACTTTGCGACTGGATGTCAAGGAGATCAATGTGCAACAAGAATGGGACATGCAGGAGAAGAGAATGGAAAGGAGTTTGATTGAAAGTCTCGTTTCAGAAATCAGGAAGAAATTTGAAGAGAAATGTGCACTTTTGATTATTGCTAAATCTGGAAAGGTTTTGATAGTTTTGCAACCAGAAGAAAAGTTTAATATGTCGCCCTTCAATGTGAGCTGTGTTCCAGGACCAGTTTTTTCGGTCTCTTCAGCTGCAGATTTTTTAATCCATGCAACTGGGGTTGATATTCACATATCAAATCTGTTCCTTGATATTGTCGTAAAGAGAGACAAGAACTTCTGTATTGCCCCTCATTTAAAACCAGTTTATACAATTTCATCATTAAGTGCTATTTGTCTCTCTCAAAGAACCTTTCTAGCAAAAGATCATAGTCAGTTATCTATGTTCTTCATAGCAACAAATAAGAGGGGATGCCTTTATAGTGTGGCATTAGAGAAGTTACTCAAGCCTTTATCCATATCCAAAACTACAGATAAAGAAAGAATGAAATCCTTGCTAAGTCGACTGGAGATGGAGCAAAAAAATCTAAAGATTTGGGAGCATTTATTACAGAATCAAAATAAAGTTTTGTCCCTTGTATGGAGAGCTTCATCTGTAACTATTAATTTGATGAAAGCTTTCTACAATGCAAAAGGAAAGTTGCAGAATGGTGATCAAATGCTTTCCTGCAGAGTCAGAAATGCATTGTTAGAAACTGATAATATTTTGTATTTAGATATTGAGCTACAGAACAAGTCAGACCATCTAATTCTTGAATATTGGAACCTACAATGTACAGTCATTGCTAGACAAGTATCATATAATTCTTGCTTTGGTGATTTGAAGATGATCACAAAATCTTTTAGAATACAGCATTTACCTTCAAGATCAAATACATGTTATAGATGGTCACTTGATGCTTCTAAAGCAAAAATCCTGCTACCACTGAAATTGGAGTTCAAACTGGTATTCCCTTGCCCAACCACCCTAACTAACTTTTACAGTACTCGATTAAATGAAGTGAATGAAAGCTGCATTTTCCTGCCTTTAAATGTTTGCCATGTAAACATACTTGATCTTTCAAATGCCAATAGCAGAGACACAACACAAAGGACATTTTTTATCACAAGGGAAATCTTTTCCAAATCGGGTTCTCAGACAATGTGTAATTGCAAAAGGTCCTTTATATCATCTTTCAACCAGACTAGTGAAGCCGAATCTCAAGAATCTAGTGTATTTAGTGCAAAGCCAACAAAAAAATTACTGTTACCCATATCTGCCGTTTCCTGTTTTTCATCAAATGAAAACAAAACCACTTCTTTAATACAAGATGCTTGGTCAGTCTTTATTTCAAATTTGTTCCCACATCAAAGCTTACAAGAAAGACTCTCAAGGGATGGCTGTATTGCTATTGTGTTGCCCTGTATGCATGAAGTGAAGTTTTATATTGTGGAAAAAGATAGACAGTCTTCAGTGGACAGTCCAAGCATATTTATTGAAGGACAGGAGTCTGCATTGCTGATTCAATCACATACAGCAGTTATGTCACCACTTGAGGTTAGTTTCTTCTTTTTAGTGTGACTGTTAAGCAATTACTACACAAGTTAATTAATGTATGTTTAATTTATAAGGATATTTGAACCAATGTTCTAGGTTATTTCCAATGTTTTGTGCAATTTTTTCTTTTTACATCAGACCTGTGTGTAAAGAATTTGTGAATTTTCATTGACTTGAATGACCAGAGTTGTGCACTTTGAATGTTGACACATCAAGTTTGAGAAAACAAAAGTGACACAAGAGCAGCAAATGCATTTATAACACGCCAACACGCTTGGTTATTTTATGAAAATTTTAAACACCACACTAAGTAACAAAAAACAAAGAACTAAACAATAAATGAAAGTAATCCATTATTATTTGAAATAATTGGATCTTAAGATCTTAAGCTGGATCTTAAGCTGTAAATGCTACCTGCTCTTGAAATCTTAACAAAAAAATCTCTGTCCAGTCAGTAAGAAATAATTTTAGTTGCCTTTGATAAGGAATAGAGTAGAGGTAGAGACAAAGAACTGCTTGAGGCAAAAGTAGAGATTAATTAGGTCTAGAAGACACACTTTTAGACTTTATTTGCCCCATGACCTTTAGCATATGTGCTAAGGAATATACACTATATATAGAAATGTAAATCATAAAATCTGGAAATCCATGGAAGTGTTCAGGCTTTGACCTTGGACCCCAAATTTTGTGCATCATTTGTTCCCTTCCCACCTGTTTCTAGTCCCATCCCCTTGAAATTCCAGCTATATCACAGCTGTTCCAAAACAGCACAGAACCCATATTTTTATTTTTTACAGAGTGCATACTGATTCCTCCAAATTATGTTTTTTTTACCCAAATTGTTTTGCAGAGTTATCAGTGTTTTTTCTAGAAATCGATTAGTAAAGATTCGGAAGTTGCAATTCAAACAGAAGCTGCTGGCACTTTGAAACATATTAAAGTAGGTTTTTTATCATTGTCACCATTACCAAATTATTGTATTTTATGTTATATCATAATTGGCCAATACCTTTCCTATTTGCTTGATATTCCTTCACGAAGTTATGTTACCAAGACTTTCACCCTTAACTGTTCCTGGGACAAAAATAGAAAGCTGCACATTCAAAATTCCACTTATTCATTATATTGCAGATCTATTGTATTTGTTTACAACTAAAATCATTTCTGGCTGACTGTGTATTGAAAAGGGTTTGGTAAGGAGTTACGAAGGCATAAGTCGTTAAAGAAGAATTAACCTATTTAAGAATTAGCTTCAGAATTATGGTCAGTTGTTTAACATAACATCTTGAAGAGATGATTACACTTGAAGAGAAGCTTCCTAAAATCATTATTTCCTATTTTCCAAATAACAGGACTTGAAAGCAAGAATTAACAACATGCCTTTTGTCAAAACTGAATACATTCATGTGGAGCAGATTTTGCAATGGATGATGGATCTTTTTTTCAACTGCAGATCATCAGGATTTCTTTAATCAATGTAAGCTATTTGCAAATTGTGTAAATTTGTTTCTTGTAAATTGTGTAAATTCCTCCATAAAATGCTTTGCTCCTGAGACATATCTAGGCCTTGTTCTCAGTCTGGGCTTACTACATTAATCTTACATGATGACTGAATTTTAATAAGCAATCTTACCAGAAACCAATCTTAAATCAAATATGTTACCACCAAATCTTAAGTTATGCATTGATTTTATTTTCTATATTATTCAACAAAGATACAAGCAGTTTATTTAAATTTTAAATGTCTACATACTATGGCAATAAGCCTTTATGGCATGCCTTCCAATCAAAATTGCCTGCCATAAAAAACTTTTCATTGTACATTAGATGCATTTCTTCTTTGTTATTGCAGAACTAAATGTTAAAGCAAGACCAAATTAATTGTTTAATATTGTTTTAAACTTTGTGATAGTGTTGGTTTGCTAGATGTATGATGCTATTTACTATAGTTTCAAAAAGGAAGAATAAAGCCCTTTGATATACTATGTCCCTCTAAAAGTTGATTTTGCTGCAGGAAGATTTTCGATGGGGAGTCGAGTAATAATTTGTTTTCCTGCGTTCTAATTCTATAAAACCTTTATAGAATGTAAAAAACAATGATTAATGCAGGTATATGTACATGTTTGATTAGTGTCAAACTGCTGACATACTATTACACCGATGTAGTTCCAACTCATTTATGTTGCATTCTCATTTGCTAACACTGTTGACTTGGAACCCTCTTTATCATCAACATGAACTTTGAAGCTGCCATTATCAGAGCTTACTCTGTTCAATGTAACATTCTGGCAAGGGCCATCAATTGCTTCAATTTCTCCAGACCTTGATATCTTGAAAACTAAAATAAAAATGTCATTAATTAAGTATTGATCATCAGTTGTTCACCAATTATAGATTTTCGTGATGGCTTTCAGGCGATCTAGAAAAATGTTTAAAAAATTTTGAACTTTAATTGAAATTCCTCCAGACAATGATGAAGGTCTAATCAAGGAAACATATGCCTCTACTTACTTGCAATTAATGTGGGCAAAACCACCAATCCATGGAAGAGTCCAAGACCAACAATGCCCAAGAACATCTTGAAGAATATTCGAAAGATTTCTGACGATGCAAAGGCTGTTACCACCATACCAAGAAACGTTGTAAAACCTAAAGGAAATTGTCTCATAATCAATTTTAGTCAAAATTTGGCCAAAAAGATCTTTCACATTGTCGTAATTCTACTTTACCTCATTGAATGCCTATTCTAAAATTTTCTGGTTATGAATTCCAGTTATAGTGCCAGAAGTTCAAGTAAGTTACTTGCCCTGTCTTCTGTTATTTTTTTAAAGGTACTGTAAGAATCATAGTTATGGAATAGCTTTAAATTTAAAACGAAGAAACAATTAAATACCGTATACTGAAACAGAGTCGCGAAGTTTTAACTATGGCAACTACAAGTTTAAGTTTATTGGTTTTGCTTTCTTCCATGCATAGGCGTACGGGGTGAGTTCAGATCAGGGGGGGATGCTCAAATTTTTTTGCCCGAAAAATACTAATGTTCATATTTTTACGGAGTATACTCTTACACATAAAAGCTTATAATATTGGTCGAGCAATCTTATGCAACGTCATTAAAATAAGGCTAACTAATAAGCATTTTTTAAAACATGACACATTGCAAAATAACTTTCGAGTTTTCCTCAAAAGAAATACGAATCTCTCCTACGACAGTTACCAAATATGGTGGAGGAGAAGGGGGGGGGGGCCGCTCCGTACGCCTATGCTTCCATGTGAAAAACTAATTGTCTCATAGCTTTTCGTTTTTCATCAATTGATGTTACACATACTGTATCGTAGTCACCCCATGGTTTTACCTGTTTTACGTCTTTCAAAATATTTCAATAGGCTGAAAGATAATGTATACACTATATTTTCTTCTTTTGTGGAATTTGAAATTTTTTAAAAGATTGGTTTTCAACCATTTGGGCTTGCATTAATGATCAAACCTTGTTACACAAGCTGATACAAAACGTCCCTAAAATATTTCTTGCAAAAACTGAAAAAGGTTTTTTTTTTCATTCAAATATTTCCTCTTGTCACCCAACTGTTCTAGGTTATGGCTTTCTCCCTGCATTTGACCCTGTTTAATTCCCACTAAGTGGACCATTTTTAATCTGCGGATGTTCTTGAACTATTATAGCGGTTGACATCGCAAATCCATTAAGGAAACAGTAGAAACATAAATACCTACCCCCCATAACAACACTGGCACCAGTGGTTTTCAGTGCACCAGTTATACCAATCTTTGCGTCTGGGGCATCTGATGTCACATAGGTATGCGCAACATGGGCACTGTAATCGACGCAGAAGCCTATAGCCATAGTGAGAATGATCATTGAAATGCTATTCAAAGAAACACTCCATAATGCCATCATACCCATAAGCTCAAAAATCAAGGCTGTAAAACTGACAACCATAAGCAGGAGAATTCCCGGATGCAGTAGAAAGGGTGCGGTCATTATCAAGACAGTAATGCCGCAGACAACGACGTTTCGAGTTGTCTCTGGTACAATAAGGACGTATTGCTCGAAATATAGAAATGCAACTGCTGCTGCGTATGCCTTCATTGAGGTTTTTTTGTCTAATGCTTCTCGCAGCTTTAACATAGCATCTTTTCCTTCGCTGGAATCTTTACTATTATCCATTAACACCACAATCCTTGATGCCTTAATCTGCCTCCTGTCGTTAGAGAACACTATATCAGAGCCATACTGTGCATATCTCGGAATTCTAAGAAACTCTGCAAGAGTCGTAATGAAATTTGCTCCGGTAGTGCTCTTGTTTTGAGATATTGACCATGTCCTGAATTCATTGAACCAGTCAATGGACCTGTTCATGACAAGCGGATCGCTGTTAACTGCTATGTTGTTTAACTTGGCATATTCACGTTGCCCTTCAGCCGTGTCAATACTGAATGAGCCAGGAACCACAATGCTGACAGCAACTGTGTTCTGGAAGTACAGGCTCTCTGTATCGAGGTACTTTATGTAGTCTGACCCATCTTTACCAAGCATTTGCAGTTTGAATGTCTGAGTTATCCTAAGGGCACCAACAACACCAGCAGAAACGAGGCCAACACTGATAACCAAAACAAAAACGCAGCCAAATTTGTTGGTTATAAACGATCCCAGCTTCCCTAAGATCTATGGAGAGAGGATGAGAGTTTACAATAAAAACTTATTTTACTGATTAAAGGTCAAGGCACCAATCACATCCGCAGAAACAAGGGCAGGCACAAAATAGTTCTTGACACAAGAAGTTATGAGATTTCCCCGACTCTTATCCATGGGCAGGATTCACGTCTATAAATACAGGATTCACGTCGCACATATTAAATCTTTCTCGTGCACTATTTTTGAGTTGAACAACCACACATTTTTATCATTAATTCCAATTGAACGCTTTTAGAAATCACGCATTCGGAAATTACAAAATTATGATTGCAAATCTTATGGGATAGCAGTTAGACTACCCAATAATTCTTGCTGGACAAGAAACTTGAAGTGCAATATCAACACTTACCTTTGAAGAAATCTGTTCCTTCGCCTCTACAATAAGACCGCTGTTCCGATCAATTTTAAAGTCAGACTTTTTTAAAAATGGAATCATATCCCATCTACCAGCTTTGATTCTTTTAATATCAAAAACCAAAAATGCCACGAAAAACGTCATTATCATCAAGTACGAGAATGTGAGTCCAACCGCAGCATATGCGCAGAAGTATTGGATTGCTGGGAAGGCGCTCGTTGTGCTCACTGCAAATGCAACTAGGTCTGTGAGTGTTGTCATAGTAACGGTGCCTCCAACTCGCCCAAGGACCTTTGCAACAATATCTCTGGTAGGTAGGTTGAAGTCAGTCCGGTCTAATTCGTCCAGAATTATAAACATGTCATCGATAGCAACTCCCAAAATCAGGAAGGGCAATATACCAACCATGGCAAGAAACTTCACTCCGCAGATCATTAGAAGCCCGAATGAGCTACCAATTCCCATTGTAACAGCTAAGAGTCCAGCCATTCCTGCCAGTCCGTGTCCGGTCACTTGATTGCGAAATCTCCCTAGGGATATGCTCGAAAATGTGCACATGATGGTGAAAGTGATGATGATGAGAAAGACGTCACCACCTGTACTCTCGTTGATCGAATCGTCAATGCTTTTGAATGTAAAGAAGTAAATATCGAAACCTTTCTTTTCAAATTTGCTTTAGCAGAGACAATATACTTAAGAAACTTTCCTTCCCAGTCAAGAATACTTTCATATTCCTGGTCCGTTTTTGGAAATTTTGACGGGATGTCAATCCTAAGAGCTTGCGCTGAAATTATAGTACTATTAGATGATTTCTTCATGTTTCCAAGCATCGTGTGTATATTTGCTGATAATGGCCTTCCATTTTTCATGATGTAGTCTGCATTTCTCATCAAATCATTAACTTTACCGGCAATACTCGCATTGGCAATTTCACCCTGTGAGTATTTAAACAATTGAAAAGGATCTGTTCTCAGACACTGCGCTGTCGCTGCACTCAGCGAAGGTTGCTCACTTATGTTCCCTTTAATGCAAACTGTCTCAATGGCAGTGTTGTTGACAATGTCTTGCATCAGTTCCAGACCAGCTCTGAAGTCTTGATTTGTCAGGATATTTCTTCTGTCTTTTCTTATCATTATGACCTGAAAATTGAATATTTAGAGATTCAGACAGTAGAAAAGCTAACAGTTTCATTCTTGTTTATTCAAGTAAAAAATCCAGCTGAGATTTGTGATACCAAATGAAATTCAATCACAAATAGTTCGATATCCCCCCACCCAAATTTTCGGTATACATCTTAACAGGCTATGATGTTCCTGAATCATCTCTTTCAAGTCATTTCTTTGCAAATTTCTCTTTCTTCTATTTTAAAATCCTTGTACACATCTCGCTCCTTGTTCCCCAAGTTGACATTTATGTTACGACCTTACTTGTTACATAATTATTTGCTTCCCTGAAGACAGCCATTTTAGTCTGGGATCTTTTCCCACAAAGTCAATTGAAAAAATTTCTCTGCTCATCACAAATCCACCTACCTTAATTATTCGATTTTGAACTGTGAAGTAGTTGCTGGCAGCTTCCAAATCTCTTTCAGCTTTGCTGTTTGGGGGCACATACAATTTTTCAGTTCTGCTTTCAACTTTGATCTTAATTAAACCCCAAGCCAATGCGCCAGTGAACATTAAACAAATCATCATGACAGTTAAAGGCCGTCCAGCGATGAAATAGCCATATTTGTGGAAAATATTCTCCAATGCGCGATGGAACTTTGCTGAAATTCGCAGCCATGTGTTCCATATGGAGCAGCCACGTCTGAAGATAAAGCGGCAAAATAAATTTAGTTTTTATTCAAATCTGACTTGTTTTACGTGGAACTAGATGCAGCCTTCTAATTACTTTGCTCACAAAGTGCCTTGTTCTGAAATAAAACTCTTTTTTAAATTAAGTCACAAGCTAAAAATATTAGGATCCTATTGATCCCTGCGATTTAGAACATTTTCTGATTTTTAAATATGTCACTTTTCTGTCGATGATCTGGTGAGTGGTCAACTTCACCTAGATTATCTCGTAATTTCCCATTTTTAATCATTAAATGCCACGCATGTACCAAGCTATAAAGAAACCAGTGAATGTATCATACCCTTACTAGTCGGGCAGCCCCTACTGTTTCCATCACATGGCTGCCTAGCCACATTGTTCAACAATTCTGTTCAATGGTGTGATCGAAACAGTAGGGCAGGGATGTCCAACACATGGCCCGCGGGCCAAATGTGTCCCGCATATTCTGTGGACCTTGTTAAGGCAATAACGTTTTAAAATGTGACCCCTGTGATGTGTCTATGGAGTACAATTGCCGCCAAAATTATTGTAACGCAGATGTTATTTCTTATAAAGCTGTACAAGTCAATTTAAAGGTTAAAGGCGAACATCTGCATTATTTGACTTCATTATTTGATGTGAATGAGCTTTCTGCACACAGAAAATGTAACATTTTGTATTGATTATTTTATATTTTTTTCTTACAACTGTTTATGTAACTTTCATATAATTTTTCATGTAATCCACTGTTCAGTTCACTAAAGATTTTTCACATGAATTACTTAATTATCCATCTGGCCCGCTTGTGACCTAAGTTTTGTCTGTGGCCTGACCCAAAGGTTTAATTTGACGCCCCTGCAGTAGGGCTTTTCCGCAGGCTAGTTGCGTGTGGATGAGCCATTGTTGTTCACAAATGAGGTCACGGAGCTGCACGGAAAAATGTCATACACGCGTTTTTGTAAGAAAACCGACCCTAAGATGACTAAAAAACTTAAAAAACTTAGTACTAATGACCGTCAACCGTAAAAACTGTTTGAAAATCGTTCTTTTATAGACGAGGTGGAAAAGATTTGGTTTTTTGAGACGAGAAGACACCTGTTTCCTTGTTGAATTGCAATAAATAAATAGAAAGAACTTTTTGCGACTGTTCCATTTTAGGCTCTGTTACATTTAGTAAGTTTTGTGTTTCTTAAAAGGCAGCTCTTCAACCTTTTCAAAACTTTAAGCACTAGAGTGAAAAAATTATCCTTAGTTTGGTTTTTATGATAAAGACGTGACCCTCAGGAGAAATCTTATGTATATGTTTCGCTGATTCCATGAACTAATGTATTAAGTATTAAGAACTAATGTTTTAAACTTTGCGGAATGTGTAAAAACTAAAAAACATTAAAGAACTGGCACGATAACACGCGCTTTTAATTGTATGCTGGCAGGTAAAAAGTTGAAATTGTGACTTTCGTGCAGTCAGTGGTTTAAATTGACATTAATCTTTTATGTGCTTGAAGAATACAATTTGAAAGATCTTTTTTGTGCTTGCTACCTGTCAATCACCGGCAGAGTTCTCTTCCTCTTTCGATTCGTTACTCACTTCCCTTCGTTAATAATTGAAACGCGGAAAATTTGAGCCAACTCGAAAAGGTGGAATGGCGACAAATGTGGCTAGTCCTTCTTTGATACTCAATGCATTACATGGTCACTTCTTTGACAATATACAACCGGTACGAAACGAAACGATTCTGTTGCCTTAGCACGATGAAAACATATTGACGGATTTTCCATTGTGATAAGACCCTGGGGTTCTTACTTGATGAAAAAATATAGACACCCCCCTCCCTGAGGATAAGACACACTGAATAGACATGAAAGTACAAAATATTTTATCGACTGCTCAAAACTGAACAAGATACACTTATATTTTATTTGTTTTTAGTCACATTTCTGGCATAGCATTATCCTTTCAGCATTTGAGCCTAACAGCTCTTTCAGTGCTTGACCGCAAAGAAAATTGAGGTCGAAAAGAATAGTTTCTATCCTATTTTAAAAGAATTATTTTCGAGCGGTTTCTCAAGGTTGAAGGCGATTACGCTTTTTTCCTTTTTTGGTTCGTTTTCATGTTAACGACACAACCAGTTTCTTATCAATATTACGTGAATTTGACTTCAAACTTTTTGGACTTCTTTATTTTAAAAATAAAGGCTTTGAAATTTGAAGCTTTATTTTCATTTTGGAAAGTCCTGTACATACTTTTTCTAATTACAGCAAAAAATTTGCTAAATATTGCATCACTAAATTTTGTTGCTAAATGTAAGTCCTGCTTTAAAAGTAAATGATGTTTTCGTGGTCGTCTGCACGATTGGAAGTCCCCTTGTAACTGAATGCGGATGTTGGTAATGGCAGAATTCTTCCTCATTGAAGACAACTGACTCGCTGATAGAGAACCTTTATTGTTTTGATTAAAACCTTAGTTACAACCATGGACGTATGGACCGGAGGGGGGGAGCTAAAATAAAAAGGGGGCTACATTAAAAATTACCGGTAGTTGTTCGGTTTTCGGTAGTAGTTGTTCGATAAAAAAGTTAGTCACTCACATACCGTTTTTAAAGTGCCCTTCCGACTTCACCTTGGCATATCTGGTGGACTGCCTTTAAAATTTGAAAAAAGTTCCTTGATGAAATCGGTTATAGCAATAAGTGCTTGCAGTTCTCGCATAGACAAAATGATTATTCATATCCCACGACCAAAAGTCTTCTCAATATATTCTTTGCCTTTTTGATACCGGCCTATGGCTTACAAATCATACATTTTGCCAAACTGCATGTTAGTTTTGACAGATTCGCTATGATAATTCTAAAACCAATATTAACCATCCCAAAAAACCAATAAAACCAAAATTTTGTCGAAACAAATTTAGGACAAGCATTTTGACGAAATTTTCTTCGACTAAACTTAAAATGAGACAAAATTTGGTCACGACAAACTTTTTTGCTTAAGATTTTTGAGAAATTGCATAGAAATACTTATACATGGGGCCAGGAATAACATTTATGTGTTCTAATAAAATATTAAATGCAAATTACGTTATTATCCTCATTTATTCCTCTTTTAATCATCATCATCATCATCATCATCATCATTCTTGAACTAACTTCGTTCGTTTCAAAGGATTCCACCTCTGTTATTTTATACTAAACTATACTATTTATTTCATTCGTTCAAGGTATTTGCATTTTCAACCCAAATTTTGAGTTCTACAGGAAGCAAAATTTCCAGACCAACGTTTCCTGGTGAAGATTGTGTTATGCTTTTCGAATCTTATACTTATACTTCGTTTTTTACACTTATACTTTTAATTATACTCTGTTTATAAACATACCATATAGATATAGAGTAGAGACTCTTTTAATGCTAAAAGCATATCTTTTGATCACACCTTTGCATAAACTGAGTGAATGTACCGCTTTAATTTCGGTTTTTTGAAATGCTATTCTTTGTGAAAAGGCTGTCGGAGGGTTGAGCCAAATTCCGAACGGGTTTTCAAGTCCCCAAGTCTCCATGAAATCGGTACTTATGGTATGGTAAAGCTACCTGAATGGTTTTGGCTCTTAAGATTTTGGTGATATGTTGCCATCTCTGTGTTAAATATCCACGACGAAATTTTGTCACGACGAATTTCTGAAAAGTTTTACGAATTTTTTTCCACGAAGTTTATCCGCCGAAAATCTGTCTGATGAAATTTTTTGTTGTTAATGTAGAAAAGGGGCCGTTGGAAGGGGGTAGAGATGGGGCTTAGGAAGTTTGATTTCCTAAGGGGCCGTTGTTGCTGTGAAATTGTCAGACATTCCTTGAATAAGACTTTCTCTTGACTGACTAAGTAACGTTAAATGTTCGTTTAAAAATACTTTGGGAGAAAAGGCAATTGTCCATTTTTGGTGTAAATCACAATTGTATTGCAGTTGATTTATGCTATTTGTTTTAATTGTCATTGTTACGTTATGCGTGTTATGTGAGAAAGATATACATAAAAAATAGCTCAGTTCGAGACATTCAAAACTAAAAATGCTCGATGTAGCTTGAACTTGTTCTGATGTGCTCGAATACTCTACTTCTGATTTCCTTTTTTCCAATCAATAAGCTAGTCCAAAGAACCAGCATTCCTCAAAAAGTTCTCTTGAATTTATGATAACAAAAGAGTAATAATGAGTTGGCGTTGATAGAGCTATGGAAAAATTTCAAGCTCTCAACTTGCTTTAGAGCAGCAAATCGAACCTTACCTTTGACCCGAACTTCACACATTTTTCCTTGATGAAAGTCAACTTCTTAGAAAATACAACGACCAAATAAAACACGAAAAACGAAATAATTTGACTCACTGAAGTTAGCTACACTCATTTCACGATAAAAGAAAATTATTCTTTACCTTGTGTTTTCCATATCTGCCTATCTTGTGTTCACTGTTGCACGCAGAACTTCTTTTGAATCCAAAAGAACCTGCTCATTTTATTTACGGATATTACAGTCCCGCCTTCACATAAGCCACAAGCATTTCGTATGACGTCATTGGTTCAAATTTCCTTCTTCGAATACCAAACGTCACGTGGACATGATATTTTGCTGACCAGCAATGTCATTTCCGTGCCTGCGCATGCGCGTGCCTGCGTGCGGCGCGCCCGATCGAAATGAAAGCCTGAACCCAAAACATACCATAGGTCCCCGAATAAGCCCCCGGGGGAACATTTTGCAAAAAAATTATTTGAATGGGGGCTTATTCGGGAGGGGGGTTACTCGAAGGTGGGGGCTTATTTAGCAAATCACAAAAATATTATAAAGGAAAATTTTCTTCCCCTGTTTCATGTATGCTGAAAAATGCAAACAGATCTTGACAAAAAACGGAGATTTTCATTTTATTCGTTGGTCGTTATTTCTCGCCAAATCAAAATTCAAAGCATGTTTCTTCCAGTCTCGGCGGATCCAAAGACAAAAATTTAATGTGCATTAAGCACGGGCCATGCGAGAGCCTTTTACAAAATTACAGGCCATGGGTAGTCAGAGGGATGAAGTCGACCTTTTCGAATGCTCGATTTCAGAAGACGACATGGCCCAAGAAGATATTTTAGAATTAATGATTCATGACAATGACAATTAAAATGATGTAGATAACAAGTAAAAATGTAATATTGTAGTAATAATGATGTAGATTTTATTCGCAAAAAACAAGCAAATAGTCTACCACTGAAAATGGTTTTTGTTACAAAATATTTATCGAGCCCTCTCTTTCAATTCAGCCCCCTTTCTTATAAGCCCCCCTTAAAAGTGCTGAAAAACAATGAGCCAAGGGTCTTGAAAGATAATTTACGTTAGCTCTTGTCGACGATTTGGGATGAAAGAGATGAACTGGTCTCAAATCCTTAATGAGCTGGCTCTTCGCAGGGGTATACGCAGTTTAGGCCATCTTAGTTCCAAAACTAAGGGCCTCCAATAAAAAGGGGGTCCTGAACAATTTTTTTTATTGTGGGCTTTTTGGCTATTTACTCTTTTCCATGAGAACAGTTTTTCAAAAAACACGAGTCTCAAAATTGGCCTCGCTCATTTTGTTGGCAAATAAAATGGTGCCTGAACGCTAGCAATTGCTTTTTTTGCACCCTAAAAATATAAGAAAAAATTAAGAACAATCCAGCTTCAAAGTTTTGGAAAAATTAAGAAGTATCTGCCTGAACTTCAAGTTAATGGTTCTTATTAAAAGAGGGGGCTTCACTAAAAGGCTTCCTAAAGCCAATCCAAAATCCCTCAGTAACCAGTGTTGCTTACACAAGACTCACTCAGTCTGTTTTTGTTAATTCGGTTTATTTTACCTCAAATCTTACCCAACTGAAATGCTTTCGGAAACGCTTTAGTTCAAGGAATCTGAGGAAAATAACTTTCTCAAAACTTTACTTAGAACAGAAATGCTTGACACCATCTTAGCAACCTTATTTAAACAAAGTCTCCGTTCATGTTTGTTTAGAATGTAGATATCATGCGAAAGTTGTGGTAAGATATCCTATAATTCCATACCGAAAAACTGTTTCTAAGTAAGCTACTTTATGATAACTTTATGATTTTTTTGAAAAACATTTCATATAAATATGATACATTTACTGTTGGCTATTTCCTCTGCTTTTTAGAGGTTCTAAAAGGCATGGTTTCAAAAGTTTTCCCAATAACCAGAACCAGTGGCGTACCCAAGGGAGGGAATAGGGGGGTCCGGACCCCCCTACTTTTCTAAAATATGATCCTCGAGATTTGTCCAAAAATGATGTAAAACTCATTTGGGGGGGGGGGTAGTATACTATATGCTTGTGTCAATAACAATTGTAAAATACTTTGCTATTTACCGTAGCTAACATTAATGAAAAAATGGAGGGAACTTTTGCAAAAAGGGCGTTTTCCGCATTTGCGAGTGTCTGAAGGGCGAGGTCCAGAAAAAATCTGGGGGCTCCGCCCCAGACTTCCCCACTGCTGCGGCCCTGGGTACGCCACTGACCAGAACCTCTTTTTCTCCATAGAGTTCACTTTGCTCCGCAGTCATACAGTCCTCCTCATACGAAATTTCTACGGACCCCGAGTGTCTCACAAAATGTCTCATTGTTTAGCTTGATCTAAAGATATCATAAAGAGAACTATTCTAAAATCTTCTCCAAAGGCTTCCATTATATACACCTATTTTACATACATCTAGAAAAGAATTACCCTTTAAAACCTGAATTTGAATAATTTTACACCCTAAAAATGCTATGCCTTTTCTGTCAAGTTCTTCATACGTTCGCCTTGATCACACACTTTGTTGTCGATTACCTGTCCATCAACATCACTGTCATCTCTCCTTTTCCCATGAGATACCCGTGAGATGTTCAATGCTAAAAGGAAATTGCAAAGATTAGTTTGTAGGGTGGAAATACGAAAGCTGGTATTTTTTGTGCAGCTGAGCAAAGGGGGCTTCCGTCGATAATTCTGGCTATTTAGTCTCAGTTTTGACTTGCTAGATTATTATTTAGCCTTTTCGGTTTGAATTCTTGATCATATATTCACAGAGAAGATGAAAACGTGTTAATTGTAGAATTGTTAATAAGATAAAAAACCAATTTTTTATTCTTATTATTACATCTGAAGTTGAAAAAGCGAAATTCGAACAATTACATACAAATAGCTATTTGTTCTATAAGTTTTTAACACTAAGTCAACTTGATTAATGCTGTATCAAGGTTATGTAAGGATAGAATGTAGGCCTAATAACATTACGGGAATAATCGAAAATGTATTTAATCAAAAGTTCTAGTAATATCTGGAAAGAGTGTATTTGCAACGCGTATTACCCATATGTTACTAATCTGTATAGATGCAGGGAACAAAATGGCCATTTCTCCGATTTTGTTCCTTTGAAACCAAACGCTGCTGCATGAGCCATTTATGCTACATTATGTTTACTTTAAACAAGCGAATGTTGACAAGAGAAATAAGCTGCAAAACCATATACTTACTAGCTATAAAAGTTGGGAGAATGACAAGTCCGTGCAATAGACCGAGACCCACTATTCCCAAAAACATCTTGAAGAAGATGCGGAAGATTTCTGACGATGAAAAACCAGTAACAAGCATTCCAAGAAACGTGCTGAAACCTGTCAACGATAATACATGGAACGTCACTCTGAGAAGCTTATAGATAGGTAAATCTGTTTTATTAGCAATATCATGAAAATAGGTAGGTAGTTAGTTTTGCATTTATTCATAGAAGATATGATACTAAGGTTTGATTTCCAACATCAGCGAGAGATTGAGTTCGGCATTCGATAAAAACTGATTCGTTTTATTACATTATGTCACGCTCGATCTTAGAAAATGTCTAAGAAAATTTTGAACCTTACCTCCCATGAAAACGCTAGCACCAGTAGTTGTTAACGAGCCTATAATGCCGTTTTTCGCATCGTTTGCATCCGATGTGACGTAAGCATGCGCAACATGGGCACTGTAATCGACGCAGAAGCCTATAGCCATAGTGAGAATGATCATTGAAATGCTATTCAAGGAAACACTCCATAATGCCATCATACCCATAAGCTCAAAAATCAAGGCTGTAAAACTGACAACCATGAGCAGGAGAATTCCCGGATGCAGTAGAAAGGGTGCGGTCATTATCAAGACAGTAATGCCGCAGACAACGACGTTTCGAGTTGTCTCTGGTACAATAAGGACGTATTGCTCGAAATATAGAAATGCAACTGCTGCTGCGTATGCCTTCATTGAGGTTTTTTTGTCTAATGCTTCTCGAAGGTTTAACATGCAATCTTTGCTCTTGCTAGAATCGTCTGTATTTTTCATAAAAACGTGAATCCGCGTGGCTAAAATCTGTCTTCTGTCACTGGAAAATTTTATGTCAGAAGCATACTGTTTGTTTCTGGGAATTAGAAGGAACTCTCCAAGTGACGTCAGGAAATCGCTGCCAATAGTGCTCTTATTGTGAGATTTTGACCAGACTCTAAACTCTCTGAGCCAATCAATAGACTGTTGCAGCATTGTTGAATGGCTTTTTATGGCCAAGGTACTTATTTTAGAATACTCTATCTGATTCTCTTCAGTATCAAGTCGAAATGCTCCTGGAACGACAATGCTAATGGGATCGGGTCAGCAAAGTATTCCTTTTCCTTGTCAAGAAACTGAATGTATTGTGAGCCGTCTTTACCAAGCATTCTTAAATTGAATGTTTCAGTAATGCTCAAGGCACCAATGATCCCGGCGGCGAGAAGACCAAAACTGCCCAAGATGACAAGAAGCTTGCCAACTCTGTGAGTTAAAATTCGACCAAGCATGTTCATGATCTAAATCAAAAAAGAAGAAACGTAACTCAATACTATAGAATTTTTCTTTGAGAGTGGATGACATTTCCATTTTTAAAGGCGATGCTTTTATTCAAATTATGGAGCACCAGTTGCATCTGAGTAAAGTGGTCTCGTCTTTTTAATGTTTTATCGCGTCTGGATAAAGAAAAATATTTCAAAAGATTGTAAATTTCGAATGCAACGTTTAGTGTCAGTTTTCTACCCATCGAAGAATTGTTGCTAAAATACAAGCAAAAGACGGGCTGGGGGGGGGGGGGCAGCCCATTTTTAAATATCATAAGTTTGATTTTGGAGGATTTGCTCTCTCATTGCTGGGAGTTAAGTACCTGTTGGCAAACTACTCAACGAAAGAGCATATCTAGTCAGGGAAAGGCAATTTAAAATTTATTTTTCCACAAGGACTGATGCATTTGTTGTGACCATATGAGGTATGTGACCAATGAAGTGATGCAAAAGTGAGTAAATAGAACGAAAAAGAACAGCTTTAGTTTTTTCTGTTCAGTTTTTTTAAGCCCTTTTCAATCGATTTGTCCTTTATAATAGTCAATATTTATTAGTTATCGATATAGTAAATTAATTTTAGTTAAAACAGGCCATCTCAGTTGTACAGCTGCCTTAGATTCAACCTGTCTAATTAAAGATATGATGTACATACTGTATGAACTAGCAAGACCAACCTTAACTAGGATTAGATAAACCTTGGTTATAAAATATTTAGATGATATTTTTACAACAAAGTCATTATTCCTTGTCTTGGAAAATGAATGTCTAATTCAACTTACCATCGGTACCAGAACCTAGGAAAATTAGAAAGTCGAAGCAGTTTGAAGAAAGAGTGGTGCCTGACAAAAATTATCTTCCTTTTCTTTTTTCCTTGGCTCAGGTGCCTTGGGTAAGTTTTCCGACAAAATGTACTGCAACATTGAACTTAATCTAAAGGCCCAAGTAATTAATCACAGCTCACTTTTGCTCTGTCAATCTAAAGGCAATTACTTTCTATTTGATAGAAAAGCTTGATCCTTTACGAATTTTCATGCTAATTGAAACTGGTAAGGGTACACAAGCAATGGTTTAGGGGAAAGACATAAGGATAAACTGTTATATTGTAAAGTTGTTGAGTTTCCGACTTTTTACATTTTGAGTAGACTAGTCTGTAACTACATAAGATGTAGTTTTGGTTTTCATCTAGCGGCTCAATGGAAGCCTCCCTTAGAGATTTTGTACCACTTCGATTGATATTAAAATTCTTCTGCCTCAGTGTGTAAGCAATTACTATACATTTTAAAACTGGCTAATGGCGGTCGTCATACAACGTTTCGCTCACAAAAGGGGGCGCTTATTGAAGAAGGGCGCTCATTGGAGCTCATTAGAGAGTATACGGTGTTCATAAGAGTGCATTCTTCTAAATGGTTTAAAAAGACATTAGTTAAAAATGGTACTTACAAGAGAAGAAAATTGCTGTTTTGTGCTTACAATCAACCCTGTTTCTGCATCGATTTTAAAGTCAGCCTTTCTTAACAATGGAATTATATCCCATCTACCAGCTTTGATTCTTTTAATATCAAAAACCAAAAATGCAACGAAAAACGTCATTATCATCAAATACGAGAATGTGAGTCCAACCGCAGCGAAGGCGCAGAAGTATTGGATTGCTGGGAAGGCGCTGGTTGTGCTCACCGCAAAGGCAACAAGGTCTGTGAGTGTTGTCATAGTAACGGTGCCTCCAACTCGCCCAAGGACCTTTGCAATGATTTCTCTGGTAGGTAGGTTAAAGTCAGTCCGGTCTAGCTCGTCCAGAATTATAAACATGTCATCGATAGCAACTCCCAAAATCAGGAAGGGCAATATACCAACCATGGCAAGAAACTTCACTCCGCAGATAATCAATAGCCCAAATGAGCTACCGATTCCCATGGTAACAGCTAAGAGTCCAGCCATTCCTGCCAGTCCGTGTCCGGTCACTCGATTACGAAATCTTCCCAATGACATGCATGTGAATGAACACATAATTGTAAATGTTATTGTGATCAAAACTATGTCACCACTCGTACTCTCGTTGATCGAATCGTCAATACTTTTAAACGTAAAGTAATAGATATCAAAACCTTTCTTTTCAAATTTTGCTTTGACAGAGCCAATATACTTAAGAAACTTTCCTTCCCAGTCAAGAATACTTTCATATTCCTGGTCCGTTTTTGGAAATTTTGACGGGATGTCAATCCTAAGAGCTTGCGCTGAAATTATAGTACCATTTGGTGCTTTCTTCATGTTTCCAAGCATCGTGTGTATGTTTGCTGATAATGGCCTTCCATTTTTCATGATGTAGTCTGCATTTCTCATCAATTCATTAACTCTTCCGGCAATACTCGCATTGGCAATTTCACCCTGTGAGTATTTAAACAATTGAAAAGGATCTGTTCTCAGACACTGCGCTGTCGCTGCACTCAGCGAAGGCTGCTCACTTATGTTCCCTTTAATGCAAACTTTCTCAATGGCAGTGTTGTTGACAATGTCTTGCATCAGTTCCAGACCAGCTCCAAAAGCTTCTCTTGTGAGCATATTTTTTGCATCCTTTCTTGAAATGATGACCTGCAAGAAGGATATTATAATGGCAGAGAGGAAACTGCATGGAGTCGTGCAAGAAATCTACCCTACTTGATAACTTTTTCAATCAACTACTTCAAAAACAAAGATTTACTTTGCCTTTCTATTACGGTTAAAAAGGCTTTTGAATTTGAGAAATTAGGCGATGGATAAACATTTTCTTCAAGCTTCCAACAGCCTGAACCTTTTATTTGCCTGCTGTAGATTTGTTTTTGACAGGACTAGCAAAGAGAAATTTTATTATCTATTGAATATTTGTAAGTCAGTTATTTTGTTTACTTTAAATCTTTTGGTTGAGTATGTTGATGTTTCAAAATATTTCCATTTATCTATGTTTTCCCCCATCTCGTCAAGAAAGCAATACCCTGTTGGTTTGGGTAGCGTTATTTTTGGTTTTGACATTTTTTGAAAGTTGCGTAAAATTTGCATGCAATTTTGGGTTCAGCTTTGATCCCAAAAGTAAGTTTCGTATTACCTGTCATTTTGCTAATGTTGATACAATGAGCTGTTTCCCCATCGTTCAATTTTCATGACGTTACTGATTAAAAAAAATTGTTGTTTGATATCACTACGAGCAACAAGAACAACACGATCGTAAATGACACTTGGTTTTATCAAGTAGGCTGAATTGACCATAATCAGGCCTGCAGGTTGGACATTTATATATTTTCATAATAGACAGATGTCGGAAAGTTGACAGACTTAACAACAGAGCTTCACAAAGTTAGTTTGCTAAATTTACTTCCGATGCTTTTTAAACTCACATGAATAATGCGCGTTTGAACTATAAACAACTTGTCAGCTGCATCCAAATCGTTTTTGGCTCTGCTGTTTTTAGGAACGTATAACTTTTCAGTTCTGCTCTCGATTTTCAACCACAAGAATCCCCACCCAAAAGCACCTGTGAAAATGATGCACACAGCAATAACTACCAATGGGTTGCCAGCTATGAAGTAGCCATATTTGAAGAAAAGTGTCTCCAAATTGTAATGAAACTTTGCTGCAATGCATATCCATCGATGCCAACAGGAAGCCATGGCGCCTTTCCTAGGGTAAATAATAGTAACATCGTTATCGTTGCTGTTTCAGGTATCCGAAGTTTGTAGGAATAAGTCCTATAAGCTCTTCTCAACTGTTTCTGAAACATTATGCTCAATGTGTAAAATAGGGTTGCTATAAATCGATAAATGATTGCATTAAATGTGAAACTCAGGGGAAGGCACAACAGAGCAGCGAACACTGTTCTGTTGATGCGGCACCGGATTGAGTACAACAGAGAGGGAAATTCTAATTATGTACCATGTAAAACATCATGTTACACTAGATGTTTGCAGACGTTTGTCGATATTAAAGAGCGTCTCTAAGCAAAACAGAAGCAAAACATCAAATACACCTCTCTAAATGAAGTATCTTTCGCGTTGACCAAGTAGCTAACAAGTCATCATTCAGAACACATTAATATAAGGTTTGGATAAAATGCTAAATAATCTAGAATACAGCAGTCTTAAGTCCTCTTTCCTCCCCTTTACCTGTTCTAATCTGTAAGAAATTGAATAGTATTAAACTGTCCAAGTTTGTCTTCAGTTGATTAAGTTATAATGTTTGCAATCCCACAACTCGCTTCTACAATCGCCTTGTCTTCAAACGTTGCTATCAAGATTCGTTTTTAGATAAAAACCTGTGCTGTATAAAGGCACCGATGGTGTTTGTCACACGAAAACAGCTGATTTGCTCAATTAGCCCAAAAACTCCAACATAAGCGTGGTCTAGCAGTTTTCAAATCAATTTATTAAAGTTACCATCATGCCTGAAAGTGAAACAGGTAGAATTTCAGCTTCTTTTACGAATAACTGCGTTGATTAGGGGATCTATCCTGAAGCTACAGCAAGTGAATACTTGCTTTAAAATAGAGCATAGTGCGGAAATGATGAAATGTAGTGCAAATAGCAGCTGCATTTTTGCAACGTGACAAATGTCACTTGTGAATAGAGGTTGACAATTAACCAACCCCCCCCCCCCCCCTTAAGGGTTTTGTTTTAGTTTTTTGGCAAGCATTAGTCAAGATGTTACTCTTGTTAATCTAGCTTGGTAAATTGAAGATATTTCAGGACTGTTGTTGAATGTTTTTTTTATTTTGTTACTAGAATGAAATACGGGATCCTTATGAAGGAAAGACGATACCAACAGAGTTCTGACAACCAACCAAGCATCGACAGAGCGGATGTTGCTGGATAATAAAGAGAATCAAAGGGGATTGCAGAAGAGAATCCAGAGGGGCAGTTCTGCAAAAATCATTTTCTGAAGAAATTGGCCCCATACTTTCAATTACGACCACCTCCCCCCAAATAACTTCCTTCTCGCTACGGTTCTATCTACACATGGTTCTGTAGTTTTCATGGGCAGAAGTCTTAATTGCAGTAATCTTATATCTTCCCTAGGTCAGTCTGATTGACACAGAGCACTTTCAAGGTAAAATAAGCGCGCTCTGTAGGTGTCCAAAGCTTGTAAAATTACATGGCAACAAGCAAATCTTCTGCTTATCTTTCTGTACCCTATCATAAGCCGGTGGTCCATGTAGCCACTTATCTTCATATATTTGCTTGATATGTACTGGCCTAGCATGTCATGATGACACTCGTAGTCAAATTGCTCGAAAGCACTTTCATGAAAGGTCTTCGCTCGGGCGAAAAAGGTTTGGGTGAAATAGCGTTTGTCCCCTTCTTGCCTTCAATGATCAAAACCTACCCATACGATTTGCAAAAAGAAAACAAGGCGTGACCTTGGTATGGTCTAGGTTGCCTTGTTTTATTGTTCCTATGCTAAATTCCTTTCTTTTTAGGAACCTCCCTACAATCGTCAAGCGCCTTATTTTTTAAAATATTGCCCTAATTACTTTGGAAAGCACAGTAATGACTATTTTTAGTTAGATTTTAGCTTAAATTTGTGTTCTGATATTATTGGAACGATTCGTTTTTACAAAACGACCAGGGGCAGATCTAAGCAACAATGATTGGGGGAGGGGGCTGTTAGACACTAATTTTGGTGCCACACCCTTCAGGTCACTTGTAAATTATGGAAACGCCCATTTTAAAATTCCGGTTTTTAACTTTAAGGTAAAGACGATAAGAAGCAGTGGCGTAGCCAGGTTTGGAAGATTGAAAGGGCAAAGAGGAGAAAATGTTTGCTGACCACACCCTTAAGAATTAAGGAAAACACCCCATTTTGCAAAAGCGTTTAGAAAAGCTGTGGCTTTTTTACTTGGCAATTTTGCTTTATACAACGTCATATCTGGCTTTTTGTAGCTGACCCCATTTTACAACTGCCTTTTCCCTTGACAATTCATCTAACGCTTACGTTCTGAATTGTGTAAGGCAAGGAAGCACTACGTGTAAAAAAACTGATTCTCCACAGTTTTAATCAAATATCTAAAAATAACAAACAGGATTCAAATGTTTTAAACTAATTCCGTTCTCCTTGGAGGAAAATCCTCGACAAGCATTTCAGAATCCAATTTTTTTAAGGATTGAAGCGCTTTAGCATTTTAGTTTCTATTTTATCGGGATTGTCTAAAGAACGTGAAAGACTTTTCTATTTAAATCCTATAACGTGGAATAAATTGTTGAGCATTCTGTAGAGTTATAAAGGAGGGTCCCTGTGCGAGCGAAACGAGCAGAAAATTTTTGCGACGACGCCCTTCAGATTAGCTTGAAATACATTTCAGAATATTTCTTACAGTCGTTTGCAGTTTTTAAAAATGTTTTAATATTGTCCAAAATATAAAGTCCCCCTTTAAGGTACTAATTCTATTGCAAATTTGCATTTTTCTCAGACACCGACTTTCTGAGCGGCCGCTCCCCTTGCCTCCCCCCGCTACGCTACTGAGAAGAAGATAAATACTGATATTAAGGAGATAAATAAAGTAAAATCTTGGCGTTAATTTGTTACTGCTGACTACCAAAAAATTGTTTTTACCGAATGGAATCAAATTTACCGAAGGAGACAGAAATATTGGGGGGGGGGTATCGCACCCCCTACAACATTTATCATCCGTCTGTTTTTTATCTACAGTGTTGCGAGTTTAATTATCAGTGGAGACTCAAAATGTCATTTTCAGACGAAGTTCCAGGTAAGTTCAATGTCCAGTAACTTTGTAACACAGATGTAGAGTTTAACCATGGTTTACCCAGTGGCGTGTAAAAAGAAGTCTCAAACCGGGGGGTAACCGTTTCTAATTTTTGATATTTTTAAAAACTGTCTTGCAATGGCTTGTTTTTTCTTTGCAAAGCATTATACTCATTGGCAGGCCAAAGGATTGAATGAATGCAAAGGTAAGATCTGTAGAAAAGAAAGTTAAAGAACATTAAAATATAATGTAATGGAGTTCCTTGATAGCTGAAAAAATATATTCTTTTGAAGAGGAGCCCCTCCTGCTTTTCTCTTCCACCTTGCCTGCAATCTTCAAATTCATCCTGATTTATCCAAATCAACACTTTTCATTCCATGTAATTGTTGTCTTATTCTACATTAAGAATAAAATAAATTAGCTTGAATCTATTTTCGGTATAGTTCCAGGTAACTTTATTGTTGTGATCGCGGTACTGTGAAAAATAAAAAGATATAATACGAAACAAAACTGTGAAACGCAGCATTATCCAAAACGCTGAATCCCGAGAGTTCTACGAGAATCCGCGTCATCTTGGTAACTTCAAGGGCCCTTCTGTGTTCCATTTGAGAACAATCAAAAAGAAGAGAAAAAAAGGTTAATAGCTAATCTAAATCTTTGATTGTATCATACTCTTAGAAGTGTTCAGGCGAAGAGCAACTTCACTATGTTGCAAGAGTTATCTGCTAGAGTGTTCAATTAATCTTGATCGCAACATTTCACATAACATTCATTTTCGCATTTAGGCCTTCGATAGTATTTTCGCATCTGCCCAAATTCGCATCTAATGAGGTATCACAGAGACCTCTGCTTTTAGGTTTATGAAACTATGCCATCTATTGCGATGCAGTTAAATAGATTTTATGCTCCTGAGAATCGCATATAAAGATTCCTGAGTTCCAGGTTCGAAACTTTGCTGAAAATGATAGATTTATAACGATACATGAGAAAACATGCAAGGAAATTTCCATACAGTGAAGTGTGGCCTATGCAAGAGAAATCCAGATGGTGACCGTGGGTGTGGCCTTGAGTGTGTCTTCTAGACGTTCCATACATCACAGCCTCCCTTTCCTACTTTCTAGGACGTAATCCATATATACTTTTAAGCAAGTGTCTTTATTACATCTTTTTGTATATATGTAAACACAGTTAATCATGGTACCCCGATAAATAGAACAGCGTATTTGGCATTCTTTTCCAGATGAAAATTAAAAACAAATTTTGTACAGCAATGAAAGAGTAAGGTGATAATTTTGAAAAACGTAGTTTGTGACTGCAGACTTTGCAAACAAATCAAAAGCGATACAGAAAAATCTATTACGCATCATTAATGAATTCTCATTTGCAGAAAACCTAACCATCGTTTTCTTATGATTTTGGAGATGGGAACCGATCCTAAAACGTGGATTCTTACACATCAAAATTCGGAGGAATTTCCGAATATTTTCCCTTGTGCTTTGATCATTGATGTTTGGCCATTGGCGTGTACTATTGTCAAATGATAAGGAACTTTTATTTTCTTTATCCAGCTCTTTATCTATATCTAAGAATGACAGGATTTTGTTAATGGGAAAGTTTGCTTTCTCAGGTCATCCAGCGGTTTTATGTAACAATCATGCATGGCCTTGTTTATAAAATACATTCAACATTGAAATATAGTAATTTCACTTGCGTAGAATTATCTTTATCTAAATGCATTATCTCTCGACAAAACATTTCATAGGCTGCATTAAGATGACACACAAGACTGCCTGAAACACTTTTTACCGTGCACCCATTTGCCAGTTGTGGGAAGGTATCGATGACTCATCTTACATGTTCGATGAACAATTGAAGCGTTTTCTACTGTCTTCAATTTAATGCTTGCAAAGCTAAGACGTGAACCTGTTAATTTAATTGCTCCATGTCTGAAACGGCACCTCATGTTTACAGCTGCCCATAACAGAACATTGTTTGGAGACAACTAGAGGCTACGACTCACCCAGCCTCTTCACTTTTTCGGCTATTCGCAGTTATAAACTTCTTGCAGATAAAAGAACATTGCTTCTTTTGCAAACTGCCCCTTATTAAGTGCATACTTCGGCAAACTTACCCCCCCCCCCCTTAAATATGTCGAGGCACATTAACTCTTCATTCAAGAAAAAAAATTTGCTGATCTCTGGATCTTCCAGAGAAGAATATATCGCTCCACATCCTTTTAGCAATGTGTAACAAGACGTTCTCAATGGTGTTCCTATTTCAACAATAACATTTTTACAGCTACATTTTATGAAACGTTTCTAAGATTACTAACATGAGAGAAATTGCTTTTTGTTCGAATTTATAATCTGGGGTGCAAATTGGTTTATCACTGTTTTTTTGGTGGTGGCAAATCGAGCCCTGGGTTCTGTGATAAAGAGCGTTTTCATAATGAAGTGCGCTGTTTTGAAAAATGTTCAACAGTGACAAAGTAAAAACTTTTGCAGGTTGCAGCAATTAAATTGAAATGAGCACTGACAAGGCCATTTTAGTGAAGCGAAAATCTCAAAATTGCAACAGGGCCGTCACCAAAAATTTAATTACAATGACACAAAATTCATAAAACAAGATAAAGATTTGCTTGATATTATAGTTTTGTTTAATTTTGCTTTCTTAGAGTGATTACGTTGACGGACTCGATATTAACTTGACTCGATATGACTAACTAAAAATTCATTATGATCGACAAATTTGCGGTTAATACTGGCGTTTAATAACATGTCTCGTACTTTACAGACAAAACTCATCAATAGCACGGTCCCCTTTTTTTAATAACATAGCAATAAACTGACATGCGCAAAACACACGCATATTTCTGTAAGGATCTGTCTATTAAAAATCAACCCCTTCTCGTATACTTATGCAAAGATTGACGAAATTTAAAGAAACAGTGAACTAGACACCATGTTCACAAGGTTTTACTGGGTTTCAGTTGGTTTTATAGCGTTTACCTGAGTTTCGGTTGGTTTCACAGTGACTTACTTGGTTTTACTCGGGTTTTACGTAAATTGGCCTTATAGTGTTAGTGAAAATTGAACAATGCTGGCGTCTTTTCCCGTGCTGGTGGCCGTTTTAGTGCACACCAGAGATTTGAAGCAAGCTGAGAAGACATCATTCGACAAATGATAAAAACACAAAGGAACACACTTGCAAACCCAATTTTGGTTTCTAATTGCAACATATGCATGCACTTTATCATCCGTCTGTCTTTTATCTACAGTGTTGCGAGTTTAAATAACTTTTAAAACAAGCATCGCTGTGTCTACCTGCAGATTTGGTTAAAGTACCTGCAGCCATAGGACTTCACTTACCGTTTTGTTTGGTTTTTCTCCATTTCAACCCGGCTCTCCATTCTTGACCTAATTTCTTGACAAATTCATTACACTGTATCTGCCATACACTGTTGTTGTGCTTGGTCGAGCGAAGTGGCTTGTGAATCATACAGTGAACATTTCGCGTATGCAATCAACTGCTCCTCCTAGCAGGTCAAACGAATTAAATATTCATTTGACTAAAACAGAGGAAACAATAAGCATTTGAATATGTATTTTGTCGTCAAATGTTCTTTTAGATCCGGACAATCTGCCTGGCTTTTTTATTCTAATCTGTATCAAAATACAGCTGAGTTCGGTCTAATCTTCGGATTTGTTTGTAATAGAGATAAATTTTACAATAGTTCATGTTGTGCCTGCAAAACACTTCTATTCCTTGAAAAAGGGCTTCAAATATTTATCTCTCCTAATTAACCATCTCGCATAACTTATACATTCTACTTATAGCGTACTCCATGTATTTCAAAAAAGCATGCCCCGAGGCAGCACCACAGAAGGATCTGGGGGAGATGCGACCCCCCCCCCCCTACATTAGTCAAATGGACCGTTTCTTGGAAGTCTGAGGAGAAATTGCTGGATGATTAGAATGGCAGATGACGCAAAGAAGTGGGAGTGTCTTATGAAGAGGGGGTGGTTAACAAAATGGCTCGATCAGGAAAAGTTTTCCTTTGGGGTAGGTGTTAAGCCCCCTGACCCCAATTTCTATCCACTTCTCCACGGCTTGCACTATCTCTTGATAATGCATACGCTCGATTAAACTATGACTTTTTTAGACGTACAATGCCGCTACTAGTAGGGGTGCCGTCCTAAGTAGAGTCAGAAAGGGGGCTGTATTGTGGGGAACATCTAGAAGCCACACACAAGAGCACACCCATGGCTACACTCTATATCCTTGATTTGTGTTAAAGGTTCTCTGTTGTATATGTGAATCATTCAAACTATTCACAGACTCTAACATATACTGTCTTGCTAAAGGAGGCTGAGCCTCAAAAAATATATTTTAATTTTAACAAGGGAACTAAGCTATTTGTGCTGCATCGACGGAAAAACACACGAAACAACAACATTTTTGCCTCAACATTTTTTCTAAAATTAATCTTAAAAATTAATGTATGATTCGCAATTCACTTGCTCGATATTCTTGCTACTAATATAAATCTGCTATTGTCACGTTCAGCGCCTATCTGCCTTTTTGCTTGAAATGGCAAGGCCTTCCAAGGATCCCAAACATTTTTTTGGCAAACAAGCATTTCATTATAACTTAAACGTAAGGCATTGAACTTATAACCAAGGTACTGAAGTGAAACAGGCACAGAATAAGGCAAATTGTGTTGGTAGCTTCATCATGCAAGTCGTTGCGGTGCGGCACAATGTGTTTCAGCGAATTTTTATCGAAAATCCTATCTGACTCTGATGGTTCAGTTTTTTGTCCTCTTTACAGCAAGTACAGTAGAAACGGGGGCTATATTGGCTGAATTATTTTTGCCAGTAGCTCTATCCCATCAACTGTATTACGAAGGCTGCATGTTCTATGTCAACATGCATCTGATCCCTGATTTTATAATACGTCTTCATTCCATTTCTTGTTATTCTACCTTTCATTCTTCCTTTTAAGATTTAAAAGTTTGCCTTGCGTAAATTTATGCCCTGGCAATTATATTTTTTTATGATAAAAGCTATCTATGATAAACTTCATTCTTATTAGTAGAACTTTATCGTTAGCTGTTATATTCTTAAATGCTTCTTTTATTCTTACATGCTTCTGTGCTCTGTTTTTGTTCTTTGAGCGATATCTGTGTCTCTACGGCAAAGCCTTCAAATATTATGACCTAATCTACTGGTTATTAGTTCCCTTCTTCTAATAAACGTACTTCTAACCACAGATATTTGTTATTGATCAGTATGCTCACAGTTGTATTCTAATTTCCTGTTCTCCTTTTTTCCACTGATCTTGTTTTCATATTACGACTGATCTTGCCAATCTTCACGAGTTTGGTTCTCTTTATATTGTTTTTATGTTAATGATATACTTCCGATTAAACGATGACTTTATCAATAAGTTGCTGTCCTGACCTTTTCTGTACTGAATATTCATTAACTTGACTTCCTAACTTCTAGAATCCGCTTTTTAACCCGCTGACTGTGAACCTTACTTAGACATTGTTAAACAGACTCTCTTCCACCATACAATCTGCATGAATCCTGAGTAAGAGTGGCCACAGCAGGCATCCCTCTAGTACCCATATCCAAAGTGTGTTGGATTTCGACTAATTTCTTGTAACTCTTCTCCTGGCCATCGACAGCATAGCGGTCAAATCTTTGATTGGCTGAGAGCTCTGTTCGCTACCATGTTCTAAGCCAATCAGTATACAGGATTCTCACAACAAAATCGCTTCGCAGCTAGAATTAGGCTCATTTTCGCCATTTCAGCGTGTTTTTACCACATTGTCTACAAAAAACATTGCACGCCTCTACAAAGCGAATTTCCACTTAATTTTTTGTCCAGTTCATCATCATGCGTTGCTATTTAACCTATATTGGCGTCACTGTTCGATCGCAAAGAATAATATAAAAGAACACCTCGCAAATGAACGATAAATTTCGTGTCGAGATTCAGGTAAATTACGTTTTAACCTCTCCCCACCCAAAGCGCTTTAGACATTTCACATTTAGACAAAATCAATTATATACTCACCTTAAATCTAGGAATGGTTCTAATCTCGTTAAAGATGCACTCACTGTTCAGCCTTAGATTCGGCGGTGATCGCCAACGTAATTATCAAAACGGCACGAAGGCATTCATATTCACCCTAGAACTCAATAAATGTATCTTTGTCCTCTGGAATCAAGATTGATTTCATAAAAGTGAAAAATTTTCAACAACAGCCCAAAGTAATTTCAATCATGATTGTCCAAAGACAATTCACTATTATTACTAATTTTATGTGATGAAAATGGCGAATACACTCACGCGGTAAGACCGGGATCTAAAAAAATTTGAAAACGGTGAGAAAATTTCGAGGGTGCGTTATTATACAGTATAAAAATCTTAACATTGTAAATTAAACTGTCATCTTTCTATGCAAATGATTTGAGCATGAAGACCAAATATCCACATCAACGGATTGAATTTTTAGAGCCGTGATAAGATATTCATTAATGTTCGCAATTAAAGTCTGAAAGCAGACAAAATTGCATCAAAAATATCTCTTTTGCTCATCTTAACTATTTAAACATTTCTTACAATCAAGGTATAGCATGCATTCTTCTCACCATTGCTAAAGCTGTTCCAAATTGGCTTTTCAAAAAGAGAAGAGTCAAGAAAAGAGGGGAGGAAGAAAAGAGAAGGCTTACTTCGTTACAAAATCAAAATGAAAATTCCAAGTTATGTTGTATTCGAAATTTTGTCATTTGCAAGACAAACCTGATCTGTCTACAAATTAATTAAAAATTTAGAGACGACCACAAACGATCTCTGAGTAATTCAGTCATTGAACTCTCTTCCCGTGAATATTCCTTGGCTGAGAATCTAGCTTATTTCTTTTGCACTCGCTCAGTCGCTTCCTTTTGAGTTTTAAGGTGTGTGTCCCAACTCACTGAAGCGTATTCTAGCTAAGTCTGAGTAGTCTGAGTGTAGTAAACTCCTTTGGGTGCATCAAGCTTTCCTCTTGGTAAACCCAAGGAACCTATTTGCCTTGCTGACAATTTTTTTACATTTTGGTCGAACTCCTCCCAGGTATTGGTGATGTTGGACACTGTCTAAGATTTCATCGTTTAAACTGTGTAAACAGGGGAAATTGGTTTTCTTCCCTGGGACTTGTAGTTTGTAGTACTTTCCAACATTAGATTGCATTTGCCATTTATTTGTCCATTTCTTGACAGTATTCAACTCACGATGTAGCTTTTTATGTCAATTTTCATCATTTACTTCGAACAATAGTAGAAAATAATCTGCAAATGAGCAGATACGTGAATTGCAGTACCAAAAATTTAATAAGATACGTGAATGTTCAACTCCACTGCCCATAACGTTGATAAAAAAAAGCATCAATAGTCCCAGAACAGTTCCTTGTGGAGCCCCTGAGCCGACTTTAAAGCACGGCACACACTAGAATATTTTGACCAGGAGAAATGTATGAAGTTTATAGCAGCCTGTCGTTCCTTCGTCAAGAAATCAAAATGCTTTCGTTCACCACCTATGACCTACGTTTGATTTTCGAACTTTTTGCCACGAGTACTATATTTTCTCAAATGTGTGCCGGGCGCGCTCATTTATCTTTTTACCACCAAAAGGGGGCACTCATTCAGAGAAGCATTCACTGGATTGAGTGAGAACGCTCATTGGAGAGTAGCAGGCATTCAGATTTTTGCTCAAAAAAGGGGGCGCTCATTAGAGAGTGGCGCTCCAAATTTACTGTTGCACCAGGAGAATTTGGCGCTAGCAATATATCCTTTGTTGGATCTTGCTCAGCAAAATGAAGCTGGCTTAACGGCTAATGAGCTTACGCCATGACTTAGATCATCTGGTGACAAATATGTCCACTTGCCAGTGTTTGTTGTATTGAGTGCAACGAAGACACCCGATGAGACTCTAAATATCGCTTAAACAGTGCACAGACGGAAATTGGTGGAGTGAGCGAGGCAAGTGCCCCCAGGTTTTGCTAAATTGTCGGTTAAGACACGCTTTGTCGATAAATTGTGCAGTAAATAAAACAATAGTGTTGGAATGGAATTCCATTGTTTCGTGACTTTTCATTTCTTCTTCTTGAATTTTTAGTGCCATAAAAATTCACCCTTGATTCCGTGCTTTGTAATAAACAAAAATATAATTATATTGCTTTAGCCAATCATGTTCATGACACATGCCTTTTAAGTGCACTTTTTTTTCTTCGTTGGCTGTTCGAATATATGTTTGCTGGCAGATACTGTACATGTCTAGACAAAAAGCTTTTGTGATGATGTACAGTAGCAAAAGCTTTACTGAAGTCCAAATCAGAAGATCAATAACATTACAGGTCAAAGTTCTTGTTTCTTGCAATGTCCTCTATGGTTTCTATCAATTGAAACGTGTTCCTTCTATACTGAAAGAAGTTTTGAACTTATTCCAAATAGGTTCCGTCTTTTATTATCATTGAATTTGACTTTTTATGACGTTCTACATGCTACCCAGGGTAACCTACACTCTGCTTAGAAAATCATTGAGGATTTAATATGTTGTCATAGTTTATCGATTTTTATTACTTGATTTCACCTACATTTGCTTCTTCTTAGTTTGAGCATAGTCAATGGTTTGAGCTCTTAACTTCTCTTGACATCAATTCTCGGTTCATATCAAGTCCAGATGTACAATATAATGAATTGGTCTCCTTAAAGCAGATTTTTTCGTCTGACAGTGGAATGCAATTAGACCTTTTTGTTATAATGCCTCACACTAGTTGCAGTCATACGAGGCACCAATAGGCGTGGTCCCTAAACGGCGTGGTCCAATTTTTGCAACTTTTGCACCGGTCAGAAAAAAACTCAAATCCGCCACTGTTATGTCCTGTTATGTTCGAATAGTTCAGTGAGGAATTGGTTTGGTCATTTACGCTGTCACCTGGGATAGTTTAGGTTCCTTTTTCCTCGTTGATTTTTCTATACCACATATTGGTGTTGAATTGACTAGATTTTGCAATCAAGTTGCTTATTTCATGATTGTTTTTGTTTCTCACATTTTACCATGTCACATATGATAATTTATCGTCTTATTCCTTTCCATTTTGCAACACACTGTATGATTTATTCTTGAGTATGTATGATTTATTGTTGTTTTTTGTGGTCGCTGTTGGTCCCTACGAGGGAGCATTCGATCTCCTTCCGCAAGGCGACGGTCATCTGCTGGAATGAGGATCGTAATGAAATTCCAAAAGGGAGGAACTCGCATTAGATGATTGCCATTATCTTAAACATGTACTTGTATATTAGAGAAGTATAACGATAAAACTAGCCCTTTGATGGCATGTTATTTGTATGCCCAACATGGGAGATAATCACGGTCAGACATCAGCGTTTCGACAAGTCGAGGATTGGCTGCGCTCTATGGGCCTAATTTGTTATGCTCAGCCGTTTTACGACAATGGCTATGAAAATCTGGAAATATGTAGGCAAATAACGGAGGAAGACCTGAACGTGATTGGCATCTCTAATGTCAAGGACAAGAATGACATCTTAGCTGGTGTTTGTCGCCTGAAACAGAAAGCCGTTTATTTTGAATTGGAGCCAGAAAAGGAAGAAGCAGAGGCAGTTGTCTTTCGTAAACTCGACCCATTTGTACTCAAAATGCGCGTTAAATCTGAAATGGAAAAGAGTAATATACAGCTTACAGAACCACCATATTTCTATCCTGTGAGTATGTTTTGAAGATTAATTTAACCATAAATTCTCAAAAATTATTTGCGAAAAGAAGGTCTAAGCATATATGTCAAGTTTATGTCCCCAGATTCTTGAGATCTATTCTTGTTCTACCTAATTAGCTCTATTGTTTCTGTTGTAAGCCTCTTTGTTGCAATAAAACGATGGACTTGAAATTTCAATTCTTGATTTATGCTATCTTGATTTTGAACAAAACAACGAATTTAAAGAATGCATCTATTTTAACCAATCCTTGCTGACACCGCATTTATGCATGGTATTCTGGCTATAGATATAACGAAACAACTTTCAGGTGCTTGTAATTTTTAAGTCTCAGCTGCAAGAAGTTATTAAATTGGTTGCATACTAAAATCCTTCCTAATAGTTTGTGATTTGTTGGATTCCCTATGGGCTTTTCTTCCCTGCTTCTAAATTTAGCTTAGTTAATCAAATTGAAATGCCTCAAAAACCTTTGAAAAATAAATTGTCAGTATGATCAAAATATGCTGGGAATGATGTTCATTTGGCTAAAACAAGCCCACTCAAAGGAGAGAAAAGATAATTAGATGCAAATTAACACCTGCCATAATTTCAATCACCAGCAGATGGTTTAAGGAGACTTTTAATACTACAAAATTATGGGACCATGTGATAAAATGATTTTTTAAATAGAATCTATTCATGTCTACCATTCATAAGGCCATTGAAGACAGGTGATAGCAACCAAGTTTTAAATAGTTTCATGGTTTATTTACAGGATAAAAAATTTTAGAGCCAAAGAGTTCCCTGTCTAATTCTATTTGAAGAAGAATTTGATTGAAAAAATCTGAAAACATTCAACTTTGAAACTCTATATTTTTAATCAACTTGATCACATTGCTCATTTTCCATTATTCTGTCCTTTAACCAATAGCTGGTCAGGGCTGGTCTCTTGTTTTAACTTTTCTTTAGTAGTAAAATCTCAATTCTTTAGATCTGTAGAAATTCTGATTCTTAGAAAAGTAGTGAACTTTCAATACTAATTAATCAGGAACATGCCAGGATTTTCAAAAGAGAGGCAAACACCCTATTTAGGTTCTTCATTAGCATTAATTTTGTATACTTCCTCTCCATAAGATCAACAGCTCTCATTCTGGCTAGGTTTCTTTAATCTACAGGTCAAAATTGTATAAAGTGTTTGCAAACATATTGCTATTTATTCCAAAGTGGCATATAACTTGTAATGATTGTTTGCCCTTCATTTTGTAATAACCTTAAAATGTTTTTTGGGTGTATCAGACTTGATATTTCTTTTCTTTAAATAGTAAGGCTGGAGTTTTCTGCAGCCTGGGCCTTTTTAAGGCTTTTTTTATATAAGAAATTTGCTTTTGAAAGACAGTTTCAAAAGGTTTTGTTCAGTCAATTTTTCTTGGATACGAAACAGGACCCTGAGGCTCTGTGACCTCTTGTGCTGTTTCTTTGAAACCCTTGTAATGGTTCCAAACATCATGAAAATGTATAGCTTATGTAATAAAATATATGGGGGTGAGTGTGTAGTTTATTTTCTACTGTAACAATAGATGAAATTCCTTCCAAGGCAAGTCTCTATCTATAACCACTAACCACAGAGGAAATGGTGGTTACAGACAGGCATAAGGCTTATTCAATACAGGACAATAATAGATCTGCAGCAAAACATTAAACTTTTATCACACAACCATTATTTGGGTGTTTTTCCTGTAGTTTTGATAACTGTCAAATTTAAACTCAGGTGTGTTTAATCCTAAATGTAAATACAAAACTCTCATGGGCAAGTGTAAACCTTATTGAACCATAGAACAACAGTCTGTGTTTGAAAGTTTGAATGTGGCCATTGTGTTTTATGATGGAAATTTTTTTGATTGTTTGAGGCTTGCCATATCTATTTCTAGTCTTAAAGTCCTAGGAATGGCTCCATGTACTTCCTCTGGACCCAGAAACACTCCATGATTTTTTCATGTCTGGAATCACAAATAGCTTTTTTTAAGCAAATGTTCAGTCAGTGGTTGTTTTGTTCTATTTTGTATGAATATTGGAAAGAAAACACTAACAAATATGAAAATATAGACTGAATAGTTGTATGTACAATAGCTTTCATAGTAAATTTTCTCTTTGGTCTATATTTCCAAGCTGTGCAATCACCAAGCCTTTTTGGAGCAAAGCAAGGGATAGAATGGTAGGATGAGAAGTTACACTTAGAAATGAAGCAATTATAACAGGCCCAGCTTGAAACCAAATTTAAATTTGTAGCCCTCCAAACACATTTGGTCTGTTTGCAAAAAACAATACACTGCAATCTAGCTGCTAAGAGAGATAGATTTCATTGTGTATTGTAAAACTAGTTGATGGAATTTTAAGTTCTTTAAACAGTATAAATGTTATTATCAAATCCAGCCATGTTTTGCATGAAACTAAACTTTAAAAAGTGTATGGTATAGATAAGTATTGGTAAACTATATTGGTAAACTTTTGAACCAATGAATACATAGGCATGTTTTTTCAAGTAAATTTGTACAGGCCTTTTTCTATGCATCTTGTAATGTTTGAATCTTTTATTCCATGCTGTTGGATTTCATATTTGTTCTACACATAGGCAAAATAATAAAATTGTTGTGCATAGCAAAGCTTTTGAGAAATGCATTCATGACACAATCTAAGTTCTTGTAATGATTGTCTCTGTTTACTAGGATGGTTCTCTTGGGTCATTGGAATCTCTCGCTGAACAGCTCAGTTACAAACTAGAGACCTTTGTGGAAGATGTGCTAAATGCTCTTGACCAATTCAGGCGCAAGCAGCTGCCCGCAGGACTGTACAATGATGTCAATGAAATGGTAAATGGAACGGTTTAAAACTTTAACATTGAGTTAGCTGCCTAACCAGTTATATACTACTTGCAGATCTAGGGAAAATTTTCAGAGCTCTGTATTGGATATGTAACCCCAGTTTGAAGGGTTAGTTCAACAAACTAAAATCTTTAAATCATTGACAGCATTAATCTTATCTTTCAATTTTGTTTATCTGAATGAAAGTTACAAGGACATACCGAGGTTACAAGATGATGCCGTAGATAGCACGGAAATACAAAGCAACCATGCGACCATAACATTCAATAAAACAACTCAACACTAATTTATACATCTAAATATTAAAGATTACATAATGCAAATAACAATTACATAAAGTAGCAAAAAACAAATAAGACACAAGTGAGGAGGTTTTCAACAACAACTTATTGAAATCTCTCTGAGGCACGAATGTATCTCAAGGTTGCCTCGCAAATTTTTGTATTGGAGTCAAAAGACAACTTTGCGTGACCATACAGAATGATTTTGAGTGAATCTTTATTAGAAAGGTTTACCAATCCATGTGGTCGCAATAGCGCATTCACGCTGCTGAGAAGATCACGTCTATCTGTGTTATAAGCATGGCAGAGCAACAAAAAGTGCTCCGTATCCTCAATACCATCATTTATCAGGCACAAAGGATTTAAAGTGTCACTGAAGTTATGTTTGAATTTATGAAAGTTCAGTTTACTGAGTCCAACACGAAGCTGTGTTAAAATTGATAATCCTTTTGGATTGTGAATGTTGTAGACTAGTTTCAATTTTATTTCAACAATAGGTGAGTAAGGTCGGGGTCCGCACAAGATAGCATAGGGAACAAACTGTTTTTTTACCTGAAAAAGCATTGTAAATTCAATTGAAATCAACTTCATTTTGCATTTTCAGTTTGATTAATGGAATTACAACTAGAATGGGATTAAAAAGCTATACATAATTAATGAGTATAACCAGTGGTGTTGCCAAAGTAGGAAATTTGGGAGCAAAGTTGATCAGATAAAGCCTAAAGATTTTTTAAACACAACCCTTGAATTTCCGGATACACCCTTTTTTTTAAATTTCTTTTAATAAACTGTAACAGGGAATTAAAATGCAATACAGTTTTGGCTTTTTAATCTTGATTGCAAATGGTCACCAAATCTCGGCTGCCCACATTGCATTTTATGAGTATGGAAATGTTTCAGTTTTTTAAGTTGTTTAACATCTTGTAATTTTAATTTCATGTAGATGGATATGCAGCGGCAACAGGAACAGAAGAAAAAAATCAATATAAAGACAATTTCTCCACCCAAACCTAAACGAGAAATTAGAGTAAGTCAAAGATCTTGAAATTTTTTTCATTTCTTTCGTTTTGACATTCATCTGATAAAATGTTCCTAAGTTTTTGATTACACTAACGAAATGAAATAAAACTTATTAGATGTGGATGTTTTGACAAATAAATAATTCGATTTAATTTGTGTATAAACGTTACTTTTATCGATCCTGTGTAGTTTTCTCAGAATTTTTAGTTTATCTGTAATATAGAAATTTGAAAATGTGTTTTTGATGCTTGTTATCTTGTGTTGCAGGAAGAACCGAAAGACTATTTAAATGTAGAGACGCCATTTAAGCGGACTTCAAGTTTGTCAGTGCACGATAAGAGAATAACAAAAAGCACGACAAATCTTGCTGATATGGATTTGGGTTTGTATCGGCCTATTTATGGCTCTAAAAATCTTTTATGCCCCCGCTCTAGTTTGTTTGTCTCACATGTGTTTTAAGCTAGAAGTACTTAAAACTGTGATGCCTCCTTATGTCTCAGTGTTGAAGAACCCACTATATATATATAAACGAAGTTTTTTGTTTTAGAAAGAGCACTTGCAATGCATATGTTAGAACCTCGTACAAAGTGCCATTGCAATGTGCGCGAATAGCCCTTTTGAAAATCTGCAATGAACTAGCATTTTTATTGTTTCTAACAAAAACTAACGACTTTTGCATCATTCAAATTATTAAGATCAGTTTGTCTTTGAAAGTTTGCAGAAATTGACGTGAAATTTTAGGCCTCTGCAGCTTCTTTCCTTGGGTCTGCAAATTTTTACAAGTTTATAATTGTTTAAAGACCCTGCATCGTTTTTAATAAGATGTTTAATGCCATAACTTGGAAACCTCTCGTTTTTTTTGCAGACCGAAAACCTGTTGGCGCTAGCAAGAAAGATAAAAAATCGAAGCAGGTATCAAAAAGCTATTCGACGCGAGAGAAAAGCAAAAATCTGCTTGGACTGAATGTGCGGAAGAAGTCGACGGGTAGTGATAAGAAAGGGCAGAAGAACAGAGAGTCGTTTGTTGCTAAAGACTTGACTTTTAATCAGCAACAACTGATTGAACTCCAGACGAAGGTGAAGCATGGAGAAATCTCGCAAGCTTACGTTGTTGCCCAAGCTACCGAGCAAGTTGCATTTACTTTTCGTCAGTTTTCGCTATTGTTTTATTACCAACAGTGGTTTATGCCCCCTGTATAATGATGGTATTGCCTATGGTAAACGGCGATTTGATGAGGATCGAAAGCATCTTTCTTAACTCAAGTTGTTCCGGTTTCAAAGAGAGAAGGATCAACGTCAAACTGATTGCTGTCTCTCATATTATTTGTGTACATTTATATTCTAGATTTGTCCATAATTCCAATTTTTCACTCGTGAGGGGTGGCTTAGCCAGCACCATGTTATGCAATGCAATGCCAAATAAGAAGTATTTGCTTGATTTAAGTGACCTTGACTATTAGATAAAACATCATTTTCTCTCTGCCTTAATAACTTTCAAAGTGATATGGCCAGTATCTGAGAATCTCAAATTGTTTTTTATGAGCAAAATGTTTTTTTCTAGGAATTATCGGCAATCCATTTTGGGCGAGCCGTCCCATATGAAAGGTATAGACAAGCATCAGCTCACAAAGAAAGAAAAGAAGAAATTAGAAAAAGAAGAGAAAAAGCGAAAGAAAATCGAACGCGGGAGACCCTCGGGACATTCAATGTTCTACACCACAGGTTTGTGTCCGTATTCTAAGTAAGGGGTCCCCAAACATCTAGCCAATTGCCTTTATGGAATCTTTGGTTTCTCATCGACGCCCTTCGACAGAATCTACATAAAGATAAATAGGTTGATTATTATTAAACAAATATGCAGTTTCGACATAAATCGGCCCTATGAATAGTCTTGTTGACCCCCAAGAGTTGTATTGACTAATTTTGGGGCCCCTGGTCTTAAAAGGATCATTAATAATCAACTGTATAATTGTTAATAAACTATTTCTATGAACTCGGCGCAGTTAGAGCTGCTCTTGTAGCAAGTGGCAATTGGGCTACCGACCAAAACAAAGAAATGTTTGTAATCTTTCATCTCACCAGAATCCCATTACCAGAATTTGACTTTCGGTTTCGATTCGCGATGAATTTCTTTACTTGACTATACATATCCTGTTAATTATATTTAAAATTGATATTACAACGGTAACTGCGTGCTATGAATCGGTTACTGCATTTTAATTTTCATTCACTGTAGATGACACTAGCGAAACACCCTTTTCAAGTATCCAAAGCGAATCAAATATAATATTTTGACTGCAACAACTTCCCTATCAAGGAATAAGAATTCAATTTAGCGATTCTCATATGCTCAAACTGTTTACTATTCAATGGATAATTTTTATGGTTTCAACATCGCTTAATTTACTTTATTTCTGCTAAAAAATTTTCAGTCAGAAATAGATCCTGCAGCCTGTTCCCACGCACAAGTTTTTTAGATAAACCGACCCCCGTCTAGCGCAGAAACTCTCTGATGTTTTTAAAAATCAATTTCAGATCGGAGTGATAGCAATGCAGATGGACGATCAACAACGCCGCTCCTGGATCAGGATGAATCACAAGTGGGTTTAGTTGATATAAAGGATTAACTTGCCTAATGCTGGTAGCATGCTCTCTTTGCGATCTTAGTGATGCACTGTCAACCAACTTACTCGAGACAAACTACAGCTGAATCTGGTTTTCTTGAAACAATGTCTAGTTCTACATGATTAAATTTTGCTTAAATATTTTGCCTTATTTATTAACTTTTTAAGTTTCTTTATGTGGTAAAGTTTCCAGATTTTTTTGTAGTTTTTAGTGTGTTTATAGGCCTATTCAACTGTTACTATCAAGTGTGCTAAAATCTCCTACCTCGTTTACGTTAGCCTCTCAATCATTTGCAACCGTCAAATGCGGTATTGACAAGGAAGGCACCAATTTGCGACCCAAGCTTCTCTTAAGTCATTCATGACAAAACTGGCTTTTTTGTGAACAGTAATAAAAAAAAATGATTAAGAAATTTATTTGCACAAATTATGCGGTGTTCAGAGAAAACAAAAAAGGTTATTGAAGGCGTTACCTTAGGATGGAATATTTGTTTCCGTTTTAAAACATAAGATGTACGATAAAAGAATATGAAATTATCTATTTCAAAACTTAAAACTTGAATTTGAAAGTCGTTAGAATCAGAAACAGTCTACTCTTCACTTGATAAAAGTTTCGTATCAATTTCTCCAATTTCATAACATCACAGTCTTCTTCATATGAAGACATCAAATAATCTAATGAGGCAGTTTCATATTGCAGATCAAAAGGGTTGCAGTTGTGAAACTAAGTTTTACCTTACCAAGAATTTTCATGTGGTGTAATGATTGACTTAGCAATCCGTTCTCATATTTTCCTATATTTTCAAGAATTTTCATGTGGTGTAATGATTTGACTTCGCAATCCGTTCTCCTATTTATCTATATTTTCAAGAATTTCTGTGGCTCTCGTATTGGTGATCTGTATTTCTTTCCTTGATTACAACAGTTTTGACGCATTGTGAAATTTTGCCATATATGAAGCACATACGAGCTTTTTAGCCATGCTGTTCGTCTACAAAGCATAAGCCTACAAAATCATAAACGCATTTAAAAGTTTCTTCTTATTTTCATTTTATATAAATTTAAAGCTTAGTATTTCAGATTTGAATTAATAAGTCAAATATTTGTAGTTCGATGACATTGTGTCTTTGGGACATTCGTCCGGAAGTGACATCAGTAGAGAAAGCCCGGACTTGCGGTCCTTTGGCGATAAGAAATTGCACAAAGCTGATAATGGTCATGCAGGTATGTCGAAATTGTATGATGAGATAATATTAATGGTCACTACAGCTATTGAATTGAATCAGCAGCTTTTTTAGTCATTGCCATGCTAAAGAGCGGTATTTTATGACATAAAGTTACATTACACATTAGTTATTACAACATAAGGAAGGCAAAATCCCTTGTCTACTCGATGACCATTACACAAAGATTGGCAACAAAGGTTTGGGGGCATTTACTTCTTTGTCCAGATGCAAGTAACTAGGTGACCCGATTAAGCATGCAACTCGGGTATAAGTCTAGAGGCGTTCTATTTTACATATCAGCGCCTGGATAGCTCTGTCTACGTGGCATCGTGCACTTCTTAACAGACAAGTAAATCTTTATGTCTGGTTTCTTTTAGGGTTTCTTGGGGATGGGTCGCCGAACACTTCAGCCGGAAATATCAACATTGATCGATGGAGTTCGGAAAGACGAAGCACAGGTATGCTAACAGCCCGTCTTTAAAAGAGCTATGTCTCCAAGAAAGCTGCTAAGAATTGCGAATGTTATGGGTTTTTCCTTGTGACATCGATTCTAGCTTCCAATACATTAATTCACGTATATGTTTGTGTGCAGTGATAATTGTTTATATAAAGATAATTACAGTCTCGTGCACTCTTGTGTAAAACGTTTTCAATTTACATTGATCGATTTGTGTTCTAGGCTCCAAGAGCAGATCAAACAGCGTGAGATCATTATCAAAACCTGCCAAGAACCCTCCACCCGTCCCTATATCCAAAGATCAGGAATCCAGTTTTCAAAATCAGGACTCCCGGCCCGAAGACAGCGCATTGCAAGGATCGCCTGCCGGTAAACGATCCTTAAAACCCACCTTATCGGCTCCTTCACCATCAAAGATGGCAATAGGCCAGCGAAAGTTCTCACCAACTCATTCAAACCATAGCGATACTTCTTCTGAGCAGGTTTCCTTTCAGAATAAGCTCAAAGCTTCATCCTTTGATTCTATGTCCAAAGGCAACAACGGTGATAATGTCTTTCAAGTTAAATCCTTTCCCTTTGCGGCTCAAGACTTACAAGAAATTAAACTAAAATCAAATGAAATAAAAAGACGCTCGATGTGCCCAACAAATAATAGGAATAATGATAGCTTGAATAATGAACAATCTGAAGTGACAGATGAACGCTTAAATCCACCTCTTGCATCCGCAACGGCTCCTCCAAAGCCGCCTGATAGGGCTAATGCCCCAAATGACGTAAAACCAATACCAAGCCAGAAGCCCGAGGAAGTTACAGTTCCAGTTAAAAACGATGGGTTCAATGCAAATGTTGAAGTAAAACCGAAGGGGGAAACAGAGAAAAAGCTTCCTGTCCCTCCACCTAGGAGAATACCAAACACCACCGCAACCAAGGACACTGAAAGTAAAGATACTGTAACACATGGTGATCAAAAGCCGGTCATCCCGCCACGGAAAAGAAGAAGCATTTCTTTGGAGCCAACAAACGCGAACGAGGCCACTCCAACAGTGCCACTGGCCGGCAAGAAGGCTGATTCTATTCCAGGTGCTTCTAAACCAACGACAAAACCGAAGCCGGTTTTCCCGCCTCGTCAATTACGGGAAATCAAAGAACCTGACAAAGAGCACACTATTCAAGGTTTACATCAAACTGAAGAGACTAAGATTAAAACCGAGGTTAAACCTACACAGGTCGAAACGAAAGATGCATATATTGATGTGGACACTAGAAAGCAAGGACCGACGTTAAGACTTCGCTCGCTTGAAGAACTTATTCAAATGAAATTAGACAAGGAAGATATAGAGATCTCGGAATTTCCATACACAAATCAGGTTTGTAGATGTAATTAAACTCAACATAACTCAACATTACTTCGAAAATTTGATGCCAAAGTTGCCAAAAAGAGTTTTTATAACGATATTTGGTAATTGCCTTCAAGTTTGTTTCTCAAACAAGTTATCTTGCTGAATAATTTGCTCTTAAAACTTGTCATTCAATTTTGTTTTTTATTATTCAAAGATGTTTTTGTTAATCACATCTACTAATAGATGAAGAAGCAAAATTCTGTGTTCGATTTGATGCAATTCCACAAGGATCCATTCTTGACATTTGATTTTTACACTACGCTTCCTCATCGTTTCCAGATCCGGTATGCTTGTTGTAGCGACAGAGTTGAAAATTTAAACAAGGACCAGATGACTACAAATTCCAACATTAAATGCCAAGTAGAAATGGCCAAAAATCGAGCATGCGTTAATCAGTTCCTAGTTTCACACTTCTTCACAGTTACAAAACAAAAATCAGTTCCATTGCCGTCGAAGTTTTTTCTTGCCCAAAATAATATTGATATTTAGATTCCCCGTCTAGAGATGTGCCTTTGTTGTTACGCTGAACAGTGATATTTTTTACTTTTGTATTGCAAACCTTTCTTGCTCAAATTTGCGATGTAAACCAAACTGCTCGCTCCAGAAATCTTTACCACATTCTATCCCAGGGACGGGCAACCTTTTCAACCTCGTGGCTACATTTACAACATTTGCTTGCATGGAAGAGCAGTTCGGTCAGGAAGTGCTGAGCAGAATCCGAAAGCATCTTTCATTGAAACAATCAGAGCATATTAAAGCAGAACTGCAACTTTCCTGGTTCAATAGAACAAGATGTCCCTTCCTATTTCACCGGACAAGATGTTCCTGTCCGTCTCCTTATTTGAACAAACTTGAAATAGACTTTCAAGGGAAAATATTTTTCCTCTATAGAGAAAGCGTGTATCTATATACATGCCCATTGTCTGAATTTTGGAAGATTTATACCTGATAAACTTCTTTGCGAGAAAGCTGCTGCCAAATACAAATGCTTGCTGAGGTCTTGATTCTTTTCGTTTAGGAATGAACTTCAATGCAAAATATTTCACGTTGATGGAAAATATTTTGCAGCAAGCTACGACTTCCATAAGACTTTATTCTTTGAATATTCAATTCTGTAGGTTTAAGGGCCACTAAAAATTTGTTGACGGCCCGGATTTGGCCTGCGGGCCATAGTTTGCCTACCCCTCTTCTAACCCCGCCAAATATTTATTGGCTTTGCAAAACTACTGAGCTTTTTCCAGAAAAACACTCAAATTAACCTGCCAACTTCCACTTTCAGATAGTTTGCAACCATTTTGCCAGGTTTAATGTGAAAGTCGGCAGCACGGTTTTCATTAGATAATCTGTAATGAAAGGCCTTGCTTTTTTATTTTGGTTTTTTTATTTCGGGACTCCAGATTGAGTTTGTGTCCAACCATCCTGAATGGCAGTTTCTGGCGCTTCAGGGCCAAATTCATTGATTGGGGGTGTTCTGTAATGTATCCTATAATTATTTATATGTGAAAAGCGGGTTGAGGTGTTGCGACTGAAGACATTATTTCGGGATTTGTTTTTAAAGCAACTGTGTCGTGCCCTCTCCCAAATCCAACTGAGCTATCTCCGAGTCTGCGTTGTTGGCTGTGTGTTCTGTATTTTGACGCACTTTTTCACAAAAGGAAGTTGCACAGCTTTTTAACTTGACATTTCTTTTCTTTAGCACGGTGGATGGAGTGTGCCTTTCCCGTTAGTCGCTCGATATTCTGCGGAACTTGAAAAGCCGCTCGAACCAGTGATTAAAAGCATGGATACAGTGCGATGCGAGCATCTGCAGCAGAAAGGAAGAGCAACAGTGAGAACATTTTATACCTTTTTGATAAATGAAATATTATATTTTTTTATACCTTTTGTCATTTTAGCATCTTTTAAATCAAATTAATCTTCAAAAATAATTTTTATCATTTAAAAAAATTTTAAACTACAACTGAAGCTACTCAAATTTATGCCACTCACAATAGGGAAGGACGCAAGGTCATCTAGTCTCCATTATGAGTGACATTTACAATTTTCAAAAACTTTCGTTTAGTGCTTGCGAACCCTTTTTTAGACGCTCTTGTTCCTAAGCAATGATAGTTTCTATTGATTGCGAAGTTCTCTCTTAAACTGTTCATCTCTGTGAGGACTGTGTTACGATCACATGTAGCTCTCTAAATCTGAAATGCCCGAGTTTTTATGTGTTGTACTTAAGATGCTCCTGAAAGATACATGTTGACAAACCACTTTTCCTTCTCTTTTATGTAGAAACGAGCGGTTCTTATGGAAGTGCTACAGACGTCAGACTTTGATGCGATCACAACCTCAGTTGAAGCTTGGTTGATATCTATCGGCTTGCCAATGTTTAGCAAGGACTTTAAAGAATGCGGCGTGCTTTCGTTCGAAGGGCTTCATGATCTAGCGAGGGAAGACGTGCTCGGTATGGGCATATTCGATATTAGACACGTGAATGAACTGATGAAAAGGCTCAGCGGGGATAAATAACGCAAATTTATTTTTGTACAAATATAAATATCTTTATCAAAACTATGCGTAATTGACTCAAACCCTTTTGTATAGATAGGACCTGTATTTAAAGGGATGTGCTTGCTGAATGAATGGAAATTGTTTTTTGGTTGCAGACAGGAAGCTGTTAAAATAGTATTTTATTTTCAAATTCGGTTTTTCATCGGTTTAATATTATGTCATGCTTTTTCAGCTTAAACAATTTCTTGTATCCTTCTCGCATCTTACTTGAGCTGTAACTCGCAGTTAAACAATGTACAGACCCAAAAAAGCATGAGTAGGACCGACGTTTGTATATGGATGCGTTCGCTAACTGCACATGGCCAACAATAAAATTTTAGTTTGAACTTACTCTCAAGGCATAGCGTAGAGTTTTATTTTTTAGAAGTAGTTAGGTGCAGGAAGTTGTCTTTTTTATGTCGGATTTCATTGTCAAGCCTTTTTGGAAGGTTGTAATTTGTTGCGCTGTTTGGTAGACTTTGAATAGATTTGCTCTTTTCTGTTATTCTTTTTCATTGCACTGTAACAAAATTACCTTTTCCTCTAATTTTTGACTTTCCACATAAGACAGATCTTTTCTAACTGTACCAGGCTTCTCTTTAACAAAATTCAGGCCCGCTAAGAGCTTTTGTCAGGCTTTTGGCAAACAGAATGTTTGAGCCCTTGATGACTTGATATCAAATGAATTTTACTTTTTCGAGTGGGTGAACAACTTTTTAAATGTTGTAAAGTGATTTCACCCTTTTCTAAGCGTACAAAATGACAACTCCCTTCTGAAAAGTGAAAGCCTGTTATGGTTACCAGTTATTTTATCCTAAGACCGTATCTTCATTCCGCAGTTTATTGTATTTACTTGCACAGCGTTAGATCTTTATCAAAAATTGTGCTTTTTAAAAATTCCTTAGGTCTTGCAGTTAAGATTTTTCTCATTTTCAGTCCTTGCATGTAGAAGCTCTTTGGAATCTTCCAACATGATTGTTTTTCTTCTGTTAATGACCCTAGGCTTGTTTATCTGAAGGATCTTGAGCCAAATCCTGGGCTTTTTCATGAAAAATATTGTTATTATTGTTGTTATTATAGATAAGTAAAGACACTACCCCCTTCTTAAATGCTTTCCTTTGAACATCCAGGTTTTGTGTCATCAACTTAATTTTGCATTTAAGGTGCATCTTGTCCTTACTTTTTTTTATGTTTTCTATAAACTGCAGATACGTAATTTTGCCACTCGCATTAAATACTAATTAAGACATAAAACAACAAACTCTTATCTTTGAAATTTTAATTTTATAGGAAACAAGATTTTGTTGTTTTTTTGTTGTAGATGAAACTTACGAACGCTCTTACAATCAAGTAATGCCATGTTGAAGTATTTTTCAAGGTTGTGCAATTAACACGAGCCTCATGCTCGCACAAATGAGAACCGAAATATAGTTCCGAGTAAATTTAATCATATTCTTAGCAATATTACCGTAGTTATTGAATTGCTGAAAATATCAGGCAAAAATGCATAGAAATTACTCCGCATTCTTTGAGTTTGCATAGCATCTCATTTAACAACCCTTTACAATGATATTCGTAGTTATGAAGTAAAATGTCTTGTTTTTTCGTTGACTTCTGCTCTGACTGTTCCAAAACTTGAAAGCCTTATAAACTGTAAATTAGAGAAATGGCAGCATTAAGCTGTTGCGAGGAACAAGGTAGAAGATTAATTCATCAGCCAAGGAAGTTGAAAATATTCAAACCAAGGAGGTTGAGAATCTGTATCAGCTCGTAGCCTTCCGTTAATACATTTGAATTATCATGGAGATAAAGGTGAAAATTTGTATCTGTTTCAAAGAAAACCTTTATGACTTTGCCGTAGTCAAACATTTTTAGAAGAGTAACGGAGTGGTGAGATTGCGAGTTGATGTGATGAGATAATCAGTAGACATATGTATTCCCAGAATGACTTGACTTGCAGCAAGCCATTTCGTCAGAAATTCCCTATCGGTGCTTTGGAGAATATACTTTGGAGATATATATTGCAAAGCAATGCAATTCTGCATTGCGCTGTGCAATCATTTAGCTACGTCATTAGCTTTGCACATGCGCATATAACACTTCCTTGCCTCGGCCTAAATTAATACATGCGGAGGAATCCAGCAACGTGATGATGGAATGACAAGTTTGCAGACTGATAAAAGCAAGCATGCATGCATTTGGAAGACAGTCCAAAGAGTAAGTAGCGTTTGATTTCATCTTCTTAAGTCTATATGAGCTTTCAGTACCAACCAGCCTCGACAAAATGCGATGTTTACACATTAAACAACTTTTTGCCTTGGTCAGATCGACATGCGTTTGACAAGATTACCTGTGTCCCATGATTTGTATCCATGTGGTAGCGATGGTCATACGAGCCTTTCCTTTTATTTTTGTGAACATTTTTGGTATGTGTAATCTGCTTTTATTAAGTTAGGGCCATTTTTGGCTTTATCTTAGGTGTACAAGTTTACCCTACGTTAGAGTGCCATGTTTCAAACACGGTCCAATAACGCCACTAAAAGTATTGGAACAAAATGGTCGGAGTCTGCAAAAATTGCCATTTTCTTAAAATGAAAGCTTTTAAAACTTAAAATTAACCTATAATAGATGTTATTAATTGAACGTTAAGTTATTCAATAGAAAATTTATTCATTTCTTTGAACTATAATAGTTATGGCAGCAATATAAGAAGGCCACCCTTGAGGTTATCATTTACTTCAAGTTGTAAACCCAAAGATAGTTAAAAGTTTCTTGTAACTATTTTGTACCAATTTTTTCCTTAAATATTTAATTCAATACTTTCATCTGGCAGAAAATTGCTCATTTAAATTTATTTATCACAGTGTCCCTAAAATATGACACTGGTGGTTAAAATGCTGTTTATTTATCTAATTCTATCTAAATTCACCACAAGAAATAACACGGCTTCCCCATTGATTGAGTGGAGCTTCATTTCCTTGGCCTAGACCAATTGCTTTAAAGTTCTGGTAATATTAAATTGTCAGCTAGCTGGTAATTGCACACCTTGAAAAATGTGCGATCCATAAAATGGAAACCTTGTGATTTCTATAAGGACCTGATAGCCTTTTAAATGTCATATATTAGAAGGTAAAGGTGAAGATTTCTTAAAACCAAATATTTTTGCAGATTTTTGGAAGAAGTTTCTTGAAAACTTAATGGTTTAACAAAAAAGATATAAGTTTTTAGGCCCTGTTGCCATTACTCTGTTTATGTAACATCCCATGTATTTGGTAAATGCACTCAGAAAATACAATTTATCAAGCTTATCGTAGCACCAAAGCACCATCTGCCATTTTGACAATCAGCACGTCAAGCTAAGAGCACTTAACATTCCATTTATTTGGTTTGTTTACAACACTATGACACAGCCATTTTTAAAGATAGTCACATGGTTTAAAGAATTGAATTAAGTTTTTATTGTGCCTTCCAGTAGTCACATGTATAACATTATAATTGTGAAGCTTTCAAATTCTTTCAAATAGAATGTTACCTTTCTGGTAAGCTTTAATTATTGATGTTTTGATAAAAAGCAGCTTGATAGTTTAAAGGTTAAAATCAGAATGATTCAAACTTTTAAGAAAACATTGTTTTCCACTTTCTTATAAAATGTATTTGCTAGAGCTGTTGTTTTGTGTTCAAGGAGGCTAGGTTTCCAATTGACTATTTGATTATTTAATTGGTTTCATGGATTTTACATCATACTACATTGCTTATGATTTTATGATAGAATATGTAGATAGGAAAAATTTCAATTGATTGAACAAAGTAATACAACACCAATTCTTAGAACGCATTTTACAATATTCTGTCAAAAATGTAATAGCTGTGCTACTGATGCTCTGACAGAAATGGCCTACTAACCAACCTCCTAGCAATTTGTGACTACTTTACAAAACCTGGAAACCTGCAAAAAAGTTTTGCTAACATTGCAAAGCTGTCAAAAACTAATCAAAATCAAAACACTTTCTATATATTCGAATATATAGAAAGGATTTTACATCATACTACATTGCTTATGATTTTATGATAGAATATGTAGATAGGAAAAATTTCAATTGATTGAACAAAGTAATACAACACCAATTCTTAGAACGCATTTTACAATATTCTGTCAAAAATGTAATAGCTGTGCTACTGATGCTCTGACAGAAATGGCCTACTAACCAACCTCCTAGCAATTTGTGACTACTTTACAAAACCTGGAAACCTGCAAAAAAGTTTTGCTAACATTGCAAAGCTGTCAAAAACTAATCAAAATCAAAACACTTTCTATATATTCGAATTTTCTGTTTGTGCTTTGGACCTGTGCTTTTCTGCCTTTCAATGTCTTTGTTCCTTCCCAGGTCTCATAAAAGTTAATTTTGCAAAACTCACCCAAACAGTATTTCTGCATTTCCTTTAAATTCCATATGGCAAATTGCAAACAGGTCTAATTATGTTGACTCTTGAAAAATGGAACCATTCCTCAATTACAAGAACAAGGCTCTTATCTATTTTGGTCACTCTTTACCATAAACATGCAGAACTAACTATAACTGCACTTTCATGACATTCAAAACCAAGGGCAATAAGTTGAATCCAAAGGGGTTGCCTTCAGGAGTTAATTGTCCATTAAAGGATCTAGATTGCCTACTTGATCCAAAGAGGATGGATACCCAAGTTTCTCCAACAGCTAGACCAGATTTTTAATTTGCTTAGGAAAATAGGGACAATCCTTTGATTTTGGCATTTTGTGCATGCATTGTTTTGATTGTCTCAGTCATTGGAATTTGGCTTGTTTGTGTCCATTGTTAAGTCATCAAGATTCTTATCCACTGTTATACATTTGGCACAAATCATGGGACACATAAACATTTGGCACATATACATACCTTCCTCCTGGTCATCAAGCACCCCACTCCATGTACATAACTAGAATGGTTTGGTTGTTCAATATTTCAACATTTCAGTAATCATTTGTTTTTTTTAAATTTGGTTGACTTAAAGATTATTTTCACCGCCCTCTAGTCCCATTTATATGAAAAATGAAGAAAACCATTAAGCAAATTTTTACAGAACTAGAAAAGCAATTAAATTAAAAATAACTTCACCTTGTTAGCCATAAACTTCACAATTTTAGCCATGCTATCTTACACCAAACCAGGATCAGATAACAAGGTGCTGCCAGAAGATCTTGAAAATGCATGTCAGAGTCAAACCTGATGAGGTTGATTCTTGTACCTGTTTGCTTCAATGGAATTTTCCATCTTGTAACAAGAAAACTATTTACACCTTACTGCTTTAAGTTTTAATTATAACTAGGTCTCAAAAGCAAAAACTTCTGTTATATCGGCCAAATGTAATAGTTTTACAGTTATGCTTGCAGGGACTATATTTATCTCAATAATAAAATTTGCAATAAAGTTGGACAGGATTTTCATTAATTGCAGAGTTACTTCAAATCTTTTACAATTTCTTCAGAACAAGGGTAACACTCACATCACTTTAGTTCATTTTTTAACTTTCATGGGAAGCAAAGAGAGGACAAATAATTACAGAGGAATATTGTTTTCATATAATTTAATTTTTAGCCTGCTTTTTGTTTAATGTATTCAATCTAGGAACCCTGCTGTTCAGATCATTGTCCACACAATTTGTCTATCCATTTAAATCTAACAATGTTTTTTATCCATCTGAGTAATGTCAAACTTAGCATTATGTTTACATTTTTCCAGGACAAAGCTTGATGCTGTTTTGTCAAAAATAACGGGGGGAACTAATTATGTGCCAAGTTTTTCCAATGAGCTGACTGGAAAACAGCCAAGAGACACTAAGGTCAGTATATATTGAAATCTGATTTGTGATTGCAAATCTCTACCAGCATAAAGCTGTATGGCTAATTTTGTTATCAACATTATTTTATCATGATCCATGATTCAGAGACTTTTTGATGAGCTTTGACGACAACATTGGATACTTGTATACCCCTGAAGGTTTGCCCGATAAATGCATTTTACTGATTGGCGATTCAATTCCTGACATTTTATAAAGTTTCATTCTTTGGTGGTAGACCCAGTAAACCTTAAAAATGAAAGTATTTCCGTAGTAAATTTTCTTTGTTTGATTTTTTGAAAGAGTCATCCAGACAGTCTAGTTATGGTTGAAGATGTTGCTAAAGCTGAACAGAAAGATGCATATGTGCGACCTACAAGGTTAGTTCTTTTTATGGTTATTAATTTTACATCAATTTTTTTAAGTTTGTCTTAATTCCTATGACCAATGTGTTAGCTTGATTATTAGTTTCTTGTTTGCGTTATCATTTGCTTATATTTGAGTGTATCAAGCCCTTGAAGGAACAAAACATAGCTGGCAAGTTTACGTCCCAGATGCGTAAGATTGTTGTTCTACCTAATTAGTTCTATTGTTTTTATTGTACTTTCTACTGTTTTTGTACCTCAAATTCTTGAAACTACCGTTATTTAGTTGACCGGTGGTCTGTATATATGTAATGTAAAATAGATAAAATATGATTTAATTTTTAATATATTTATATAAAACTCTCAAGAGAAAATATATCAATGAGATTCTGAAGAAGCTTATAGCGAAACGTCAACCAAGTTGCTTTTTTATTTAGTATCTATATATATATATATATATAGACGTTAAGGTTAGTGTAAGTGAGGGGGGAGTCCTAACGACAGACTTGTTTTGTAAACCTACTGATACACATCAGTATTTACATAAGAAGTCTTGTCACCCATGGCATACCAAGAAGGCGATACCCTATAGTCAGGCTTTAAGGTTACGTAGGATTTGTTCGGACGATCGCCAGTTACGGGATAGGTTAAGGGATTTGGCTGGATGGTTAAAGGCAAGGGGGTATGAGGAATCACTTATAACAGAACAGATAGATAAGGCACGTAGGCAGGATAGGGTTACACTACTGGATAAGGCTAATGGGAAACATGAACACAGTGGGAATGGGCGGGTTCCATTTGTTACCACATACCATCCAGCCTTGAATAATTTGGGCAAGGTGGCCGGGAGACTTCATTCTATGCTTACAGTATCAGAAGAGCATAGGAGGGTGTTTCCTCAGCCACCTTTGATATCATTTAAGAGGTGTAAGAATCTTAAAGATATACTAGTTAGGGCTAAACTTCATAGTGAGGGGGCAGGGGTTTCGCATAACAAGGGTTGTACTCCGTGTGGCAAGTCTCGGTGTCAAGTGTGTAATGTTATGTGTGACATTGATACTTTCACTTCCCATATAACTGATAAGGAATATAAGATAAATTTTTCGTTTAATTGTGATTCGTCCAATGTTGTGTATCTTATGGAATGTAAAGTATGTGGTGTACAGTATGTGGGTAGCACTTGAACGCCTTTTAGGCTTAGGTTTAATAACTACAAGGCGTGCAATCGTAAGCTTATCGGGGGCTCTTCGGGTGTACCTCAGGCTGATTTTTTCCGGCATTTTGCAGGGAAGGATCATCATGGGTTTCTCGAAGATATAAAAGTTACTATTATAGATAGACTTAATGGGAATGGTAGGATACGTGAAAGTTTCTGGCAGTATAAGTTAGAAACTTTTGCGCCCCGGGGCCTTAATATTAGGTTAGTTGACACATAGTTTTATTTTTATTTCCTATCTTTTTGTTTATTTTCTCCTTGTTACTTTTGTTTATTTTTATTTTTTCCACGTTTTCTATCTACTTTCTTTCTTTTCTTTGCATTCTATATTTATTATATTTATTTACCTAGTTTCTTATTTTTTTTGGGACAGACAGCATTTACCGTTCCTTTTCCTTGGACCTTTCTGCATGCTATACCATCTGCTATCACACTTGTTCTATTGTTCTTTGATCTATTGTATTTATCCATCTTTTCTCACCTCCGGCTGTGCTTAGAAACTATCATTATGTTGTTAAATTAGCTATTATTGTTCTTGCTTGTAAAATGTGTTACTTTTTGTTCTTTTGTTCCGTATTCCTTATTTTACGCTCCAGATGTATGTGTTAGTTATTCTGAAGAAGCTTATAGCGAAACGTCAACCAAGTTGTTTTTTTATTGAGTATCTATTTATATTTTTAAAGAACTTTAAAGTTAGGAGCTATTGAATATATATATATATATATATATAGATCAAAATTTTTCTTTCTTAACATAAAGACTAGATGATCTTCTTTTGACTATATGTTTCTTCAAGGGCTTTACCATCATATAGTTTAATTTTTTTACAAGAAACCTTATTCCATTTTCTGGCATATAACATTCCTCTTTTCTATGACTTTTTCGTTCTTTGATAAGAGGATAAATTTTTCTTGTCACAGGTTGATTCCAAGAACTGGGCTTGAGAGATGCTTAATCAAACCAAGCTACCATTTTCATGAATGGAAAACTGTTGTTGTGCCTCGTAATAGCTCAGGTTTTCTTGGAGATTGGGAACAGTTGCAGCCAAATTCTCGTCAAGATGAATTGTAAGAGAAAAGACTTAATTGTATTATATGTTAACACCATTTCAGGATGATTTTAGCGAAGAGGGGGAGCCAAGGGGGGGAGGGGGGTTTCTCAGAATATTTCTGCTGCAAAACTCTAATTTCGAAATTACTGTTGAACTACACTAATCAAAAGTAGAATCGTTTGGTTTTGATTCCGTGTATCAAATTGATTTTTAGTTAGCCTATAGTACTGTGTGTAGAATATGTCTGGAAACATCTCTGTTGTGTTTTCTTAATGTTAAAGTATTATATTTCTTTCATTTTTAACTTTACGCACATCAAATTTATGAATCCATAATTGTTGCATTCTTGGTATGTCCAATGCTTACTCATTTTGTTGCAAAATGTATCCAGATGTATGAACAACGTAACATGGTTAAAGACATGAAAGCTTGATTTGATCTCTACGTATGTTTCATCTTCAGTATTCGAGTCCAGATGAACAAAAGCGAGCTTCAATTGATTGAACCCCGTGACAGCATTATGCAGGACACATCGAATGCAAATGATAGCAATACTTTAGAGGCTCGAAGAACGCTGATAGATGCTTATCTTTATCAAAATAATGACCAGGCAGCATCTGAAATGGAATTTTCATCGTACGGTAAGCAGTCTTCTCTCTACTTTGTATGGGATATGCCTCAGATATTTATGAATGAAGGAGTCGAGAAGAAAAAGGTCTTTTCGTCATTTTTGCATAGGCTTTTACAATTTAAAATTTTTATTTTCTGTTATTGAGCTTTTAGACAACTATCGCACAAAGCATGAAACCTATGCAACTAAGTTTTTGGTGCTCTTGATTCACTCAATCTTTCCATAGTTTTCCTTGTTGTTCTTCTGTTTCTCTTTTGTAGAGTCTTTATCACCTATGGTTAAATTAAGTTCCCATGGTTAATCAACGTACAACAATCACTCCAATCACTTTTGTAGCTTATTATTGTAATATTTGTGTCTCTATGTTAAGTGTAAGTCTTAGGGTTGTTATGCATTTCCATGCTCCCTAGGCTTTTGTATTGTAATTGATTGTCGTTGTAAATTTTATGAGAATATTAAAAAAACGTATTATTCCAGTACGTTTTAATCTATATTTTGCCACAAAGGAAAACCTTTTTGTTCAAAATTCTCGATATGCTTGGAAGTTTTTAGTCCGAAGTTGTTTTGCTGAAATTTTTCTATCCAGAAAGTTTTCTATTTTAATCTGTATTTTATTTGAGATATTACAAATTTTTACAATATTTCATTCTCTCCTTTGCCAGGCTTTCCGCTAAAAGACACCGTTGTTGTCGTTCACCAATCAGAGTCAGCATGTATCATGTGTGAAGTTTGCAGAAGGACATTTGAGACGAAAAAGGCTTTGAAACGTCACCGCAAAGACATTCATAAAGGGAACACTATCCAATTTCCCAATAGCAAGGACTCGGGTGCAGAAGCTAAGCTGCCAGTTAATAGCCTTAAGCCAAAGACATTATCAATTTCAGAAAAAAAGATGAAGAAGATAGAGAAAAATGTTGAAATTGGTACTAAAGTGAAACCAAACAGTGAAAAAGTAAAGAAGGAAGGTGTGGCTACAAAACAGGATAAAAACACGTTGGCAAATGCGAACACTCAAACAAAAAAAGGACAAAAGTCTGAGAAACTGAAAGAGAAAGGCACAGTGAAAGAGAAGCAGAAACTAAAAGAAGGATCAGAAGGAAAAGCTCAAGTTAATAAAAAGAGCTTACCTAAGGACAAAACAATGCCTGGAATAAAGAACTCTAAAATGGTTTCAAAGAAAGGTTTCAAAGAGGATCTGCTTTTGAAAGAAAATGACAAGAAGAAGGTATCAATTACCTCGAAAGAGTTGAAAAAGAAGGGGGCAATGAAAGAAATAAAAAAGAAAATGAGAACTGAGACTGAGAATGAGAAACCATCTGGAGACAAGTCAGGGAATATTGCAAATGACAGGAAAAGGAAGATTTTTGATGCGGACCCACATTCTCAGTCAGCCAAGAAGCATTTAAAGAAAGACAGTGCATCTTTAACAATGGCAGCTAAGTCAAAAGAGAAAGAGCTGGTGCTTCCTTTTCAATGTAAAGAATGTGGGGAAGGCTTTAAAAGTGCACTGAGCTTGGAGAAACATGTGCCAATACATAGTATCTTGAAGTATCATTGCTATCGATGCAATGAAGTATTCATGAACCTGAGGTCATTGACCAAACATCTTTTAGTGCATGAAAATGAACCGCCAGTGGATGATCACATGCACCGATGCAGGGTTTGTTCACAGGGTTTTAAAACCAGCCGACAGTTGCGAGGGCATCTTTTAGAGCACGAAAAGATTGGAAATCAAGAGGAACAACTGCCTAGAGCAAAGCATAAGTCACATGATCATCAGAGTGAAGGGGCAAACTTGTCCTCGGAGAAAACTGCAAATGAGAACGTAAGCTCTGCTAAGCACAAGCAAAGCAAATCAGGCTGTGACACACATCAAAGCGAATATAAAAGTTATTCTGCTTTTAAAGATTACGTTGTGGAAAAACTTGTAAATTCAGCGGATAACTTTATTCAGTGCTACAAGTGTGGGGAGGTTTTGGTAAGCAAAAATGACCTTACTCGCCATTTAGTGAAATCTCATAAAATGAGTAGAAAAAGAGCCTACACTGCTGTGCGGCGAAAGGAAAGAATAAGGAAACATGAAAGAATGGATTTGTCTACAAATAATTTTGGGACGCAAAGTTCAGTTACTGAAAGAGTAGAGAAGAAAAGTAGCAAGAACATTGTTGGAGCAACTAAAAGCCATGATGAAAATTCGATTTCAGAAGAACATGTTGCATTACAAAGCAGTTTAGGGGGTAAAGGAAATAAACCAGAACAAGCAGCTAAACCAGATTTCCCAGGCGAGGAGGTTTATTCTGGGGGGAGCATTCAATATGAAAATGTAGATTTAGATCTTCATGAAGATTCAGATGCCCAAATTCCTGTCAGTGACGAAAGTTGCGTTTTAGAGGAACAGGAATCTGCTCAGATTTTACAAGCGTTATTTATCAAGGTTGATGGCGAATCAGAACCACAGGAAACTGAAAGTTCCTCAAATGTAACATCTGATTGGCAGACCAAATCAACTGTAGTTTCGAACTGTGTTGAAGCAGAGTCGAAACGTTCTGCTAGAAAAGGGACAGGTGAAGTCAGTAGGAAAAAAGATGTTAATTCAAGCACGCAGAATCCATTTGAGGGTATGAACTCTGATTCTCATGAGAACAGCAATGTTGTATCCATCAAGAGTTTTGAAAATAAAGATCGGGACATGAGCTTAGCTTTCAATGGCAGCAGCTTGAAAGAAAATCAAGTGACAGAGCCTTTAGTTGATACGTCAAAAATTGGACTTGAAGACGAAGATGATGAGGTCATCGATTGGTTTTGGAAGAATGACGAAAACGAAAACTTATCAGGAAGCACTCTTATTGGGGTAGCAGCTAGTAAAGGCGTAGAGATGCACAGGAATTCCAGAAATGAGGAAGTGAGAGAAGATGCTGGTAGAGGTGTTGTTGTAGTAAATGGTTTGCCCAGCAAAGTGGAGGGTTGTATTATTGATTTTGTCAATTGCAGAGAGGTTGATAAAGTTCAAGATAATCATGTAGAGGAGAGAATGTCTGTACAGTCGGGTTTAAATGCCTTGGTATCAAAGGAAACGGATATTTCGGAAATGGTGAATGGAGAAACAGTATGCGAAAAGGAAATATTTGTAGATGTAAAGGGAGGCTTATGGCAGCAGAACCAAGTGAAAAATGTTGATATTGAGGAAATTCATTGTGAGAATACATTGAATAGATGCTGTGACCCAGTACAGAGCGAGGAGCCACTTATTAAATCTCCAGAACTGTCGAAAGTGCAAAGCCCTTCTGCTGGAATGGCAGAAAACCTTGAATGCCATCATTTTGCTGGCGAAAATGAGAAAGCAGAGCGTAGGGGTCGGACTAGAAAGCGGAAAGGGTCAAAAATAAAGGAAAGAAACAAAAAAGTTGTTGTTGATAAACAGGACCATGTTACTGATGCACCTTTAAATGGAGTGTCAATGACCGGAGATGTATCTCTTACTTCAAATGAAAAAGAAGATTCTTCAATGGATCGTAGATTAGGCTTGACTTTGCAATCTGAAGTAGCCAATGTCGGGAGTTGCCATGGGGAGATCGTAGTGAAGAGTCAGGTGCCATTTGCAGGAAGTGAGCAAGTGACTTGTCCTCTTTCTTCCCTCATTTACGTTCGTAGGCGTGCTGCAGTAATCGGGGAGGAGAGAATGCATAATTCAAAGAAAAGTAAGGCTGCTTGTGATGCAGTCAGACAGACTTATGTTTCGAAGTTAGAATTCGAGCAGACACCAGGGGAGCCAGGCGTAAATAGATGTGATTTAAATCAGAGAGACAACGTTGAGGTAGACGTGAAAAGACAAAAAAGAAATCAGAAGGTGAATTTTACTAGAGTCAAGAACAAAAGGCAGGTTTTGAAGTGTTCAAATTCTATTGATACTGAGAAAGGTGGCTTAGGCCTTGTAAATAATCATTTACCAAGCACTTTACCACTTTTCAAATGCAGCCATTGTGATGACTCACATTTTGTACAGAAAGGTATCACGAACTCTGTATGCACATTCTGTTCTTCAATTCCGAGAAAAAACCCAGAAAAGCAGACAAAACGAACGAAAAAAGTTAGAAGTACGACATACAAACATACAAATAAGCTTTGTCTTGATGACAGTGCTTTGAACAATGCGGAAACAGAACTGAATACGTCTGATGAATTTGAAATCAATTTAGAGACTGGGGAAAAGAAATTCAGATGCGAATCTTGTGGGAAAGCATTCAATACATCATACTTCCTACGTCTGCATAAGAGGCGACATGAAAAGGAAGACATGGTTAAGAATGGGCTTGCAGTATATACATGTAACGTTTGTGATCAAGTTATGACGTCTAAGCAATCACATGCCAAGCATATAAAGCTGCACAGGACTGGAACTCTGAGCAAAAAGCCGACTGGAAAGGGGAAATTTAGAAAAGGCAAGTTGAATCAGTCAATTTTACACAAAAAGGATCAAGAAAAGACCCATTCAAAGCCGACCTCAAACTCAAATAAAAAGTGAGTGCATTGAAACCGAATAGAATGCATTGTGAATACAAGATCTGTAAATAGAAGAACATTTTGCTGTTATTTTCAATAGGTTTGGACATGAGTTAGCTTTTGTATATAAAAACCTAAAGTGCCTTGGGAAATGAGGGGCAACCAATGCTTCTTGCAGATTCAGTTCTGTTTCAATTAAAGTTCTTGTTTGGGTTTTGTTAATAACATTGTCACAGGACACATTGATTTTTTATTTATACTGAAGTAATATATGAATATATGAATGGCACGTGTTTTCATAGTTGAGGTTTCTTTTGTGTAGTCATTCTTATAGGCCCTGGTCAGGCAAGGTATGAAGAATCCTTCAATCACAGATTCCTGGTATAATTTTTGTTCTGTAATTTGATTGGTCAAGTTAGAGAAAGGCTAATTAAGAATTCGCTGACATGTGTAATTGAATCTTTAAACATTTTACAGTAGATGACAAGAAAACTATTTTGAAAGAGCAATGTTGATAATGGCATTGAACGAAGACCAACGTTTACATCCATACTGGTTCTGAAACGTATCTGGTTCCTATACACAAAAAATAGTATTTACTGTTTGGGTTCCATCTAAAACGCTACAGTTTTCATATGTTCAGATGTAGAATCAATATAAAAAGTAAACATTGGTAGTAATTGCCAATCATTTAATGTTGATCCCCAGCTTTTCTGTTTGAGATCTGTGTTCTTAAAAGAAGAAATCCCCTTTCCAAATGTTTCTCTTTTACAGAATTTATGTGGTTTCGCTATTTTGCAATGTTGTTATCCTCACGAATGGCCATATTGAATACTTAAAGGAAATCGACAGATACTAAAGTGATTACTGCTATCTGAGAATCAACTATTGGCCAATCAAGAAGCTTCTGGGTGGTTTTTGGTTGGCCAATTATGATTGGCAAATGGCTTAACATCTGTCGATTGCCTTTAAAGCAAAGAAGTGACGTCACTTGTGCTTTGTGTGCCTTATGTTTTCGAGCAAGCAGGCTGGTCGAATAGCCGTGGGGAAATGAACAGGTATGATTGAAAGGGAGGAAAATGCAACTGGCCCTTCGTGACCTCCTGACAACAAATAATGTTTATGTACAGTTTGAATAGTGTTTGCTAGAAAGACTTGAATTGGAATGGTAATCAAAAACCGACTTCCTTGTTATCAGAAAGTTCTAGTAAAGCAGCAAATGACCAAATAGTTCTAGTAAAGCAGCAGGGGAAAATCAGATTGTTTTCTTCAATTTTTTTCATATTTTAAAGATAGTGATGCCAATGTACCTGGCTTTGTCCAGCTCTGCTCTAAGACACTGCCACTGTTTAAAGATCCATAAATGTAGAATGGGCATACAAAAGGCAAGATGAAAACAATGATTAGTTGATTGCTTCCAGCTCAACTATTTACGATCAAAGAAATCTAACAAATCATTTTTTAGAGTTCATTGCAAGTCTGATAAGAGAGTTAATTCTTTAGAATTTTTTGCTCCTATTCCTTTTATGGCCGAGAAAATGACATCGTCGATCACATGATTTCTATTCTTTCGCAAAAATTTATCCAAGGCTTGCAGTATTCATGTACCCAAATCAAGAATAAAAACCAAGGATAGGCATTTTGCTCGGTTGTTGTGGAAAATTCCCTATATTGGTTTCATATAAGAGTCAAGCAGCTGGCTCCAGATAGTTGTAGCATACTGTATAAATACACAAACAGGAAAATTTTAAATGGATACTAAGGAAACTGTAAGACGATGTTCCGTTTGAATTCTACCTTTGAATGTGATTGCTTGCTAAGATGATATTTCAAACTTAGATTTTCATCAATTAAAAGACCAAGAAATCTAATATATTTCACTCTACAAATGTTCTTATAAATGATTTTAACTGGAATGTCAGGAAAACCGAAGTTCCAAGCTGGTGGAAAGTTATTCCAGGCTGGTCTCTCCCCTTTCTTACATTTAATAAAAGTTCATTTTCTTCAAGCCATTTTTTCCACACCTGTTTCTCAAGTTTAAGTTGGTAGTAAACTTTCAAAAGGCTTCTAGTCATAGTAAATATTTGTATCACTAGCAAAGCAGTATAATGTCAGTTACATAAGAAATGACTTTGTACATGGAAAAGTTAAATATTGTGACAAAGTTTTAAGCATAACATATAGTATAATGTATATTAATTTGTATCAATTTTGTTTTTAAATCATCTTTATAATGTTTAAATTAAGACATTAAAATCCAAGCCTTACACCTAACGCTGAATGGGGAAACAGAGAAGATTTTCACTGTTGTATTTACTTCATATAACAAATTACACAACATAAATGTACATAGAAAAATCAGTAAAAAATGTATGATATTTGTTTATCTTGCGGTCTTGAGTAGAGAAATCAGTCATATGATTACTCCAGGGATTTGAGGTAGGCATTGTACCCTTCTTTTCTGTATGCTTTTGCACTCTCTACAGGATCTTTGGCCTCATAAATCCCTCTGCCAACAATTATGATGTCAGAGCCTTTGTTTATTATCACATTTGATGGTGTATTATACTGCTGCCCATGAGAATCTTCAGAGGAGCCTAAGTTCACACCAGGCGTTAAGTGGACAAACTTAGGGTTGTCAGTTACAGCAGATGTGCTAATAAAGCCAAAAACAAAATCCTCATGCTCCTGTGCAAGCTGTACATTGTGTTTTGTATAATCACCAACAGCAAAATTTCCTTTCGAACTCATCTGGGCAATTAATACACAGCCAAGATCTTTTGATTTGGCAGCACTTTTCAAGCCAGTGATAATACCCTCTCCAGGCAGAATGTGAGCATTGACAATGTCTGCCCAGTCAGCAATTTTGTAAATGCCATGTGCCAACTGATGCATCACTGTGTTACCTATATCAGCAAACTTCCTGTCTTCAAAAATTAGAAAGTTGTGTTTCTGGGCAATGGTTTTGAGTTTTGTGACAAATTCTTGACTGAAGTCTTCCAAAATATCAACATGGGTCTTAAGAATACATATGTAGGGGCCAATTGCATCTGCAAGTTCTAAGACCTTTGCACATTTGGTAACATCAGCTGATAATGCTAAATTAGTTTGTTTGGATGCCATAATTTTCCACAATTTGCAGGCCGTCTTGTGCACTGCTTGCTTTTCTCTCTCCTCATATCTCATTCTCTTTACTTTCTTGTCAGTTTCACCAGCCTTTGAGGAGTCTGTTCTGCTATCAATTTTACACATGTTTCCAGCAATGAAATCTTGAACACTCTGTACAACTTCTTTAGTGAGCGAACCATCTTGCTCTAGCACTTTCAAGACCTCACTTACTGTCAAAACATAGTGCAACTTGATTCCATTTTGTTTCAACATTTCAAGACCACCTTGCTCTCTGTTGAGCAAGACCACCGCATCAGTTATTGTCAGACCTACATCTTGCAAACTTTTGGCCGTTTCCAACACACTGCCACCACTAGTGACAACGTCTTCGATTATCAGACATTTTTCTCCAGGTTCATATTTCCCTTCAATCATTTTCTTTGTCCCGTAATCCTTTGCCTCCTTTCTCCGAATCAACATAGGGATTTCGTGACTGACAGAAATGCATGTGGCAAGTGGAAGTGCTGTGTATGGAACGCCGCAAACCTTGGAATATTCCGCACCTTGTTCTTGGGCTGCGTGCCATAAAAGCTCGCTTACTTTTGCCATCAAATTTGGGAAGGAAACAATGACTCTGAGATCAAAATATATAGGCGACTGGATGCCACTTTTTAACGTAAAGTCGCCAAATTTAACGCCTTCAATCTTATACAACGATTTTATTAATGATGCCTTTTCATCGCTAATGTTCGCCATCTTCCCTTCCTGTCCCTGTCCTTGCACCAACTATGAACCACATTCGAAGCTTTCTATAACCATAGAAATATTGACCACATGGGCCCAACACCAGTACGAGATTTCGAGCAAGTTTTTAGAACCACAGGGTTTCGAAGTTTGCTGACACATTTTTACAAAATGGCGGCTGTAAGCATCCGACCATTTGGAAAAGCGACAAGGCTACTCGGTAGATTATTTGTCAATCAGCGTAGGAATGCTGGAGGCTTTTCATACATACCCGAGGTTGCCGATGAATCCTTAGGTAATATTTGTTACTGCAAGGGAACACAGATTTTTATTACTTCAAGTTTCATTACGTAGTAAAATATTTTATTTTATTATGTACAAAATCTTACCAAAGCCTATTGGAAATATTTGTCAGATTATTAGGCTATTTTAAGAAGAGATAACACTTCCAAAATGAATTTGCCCATAGGAATCATTTAAAGAATTTTATGCTCTATTTTTTTGATAAAGCCCCATAAATAAGTAACTTCGCAAGCACTTGTCCTTCATCGCACTTTTTTATGCAGGATCTCAGAATATCTTCAAGTCATGGTTTTATCCATAATATTACACCCTAGCAATTTCTCACGCATCACCCCATGGCTTCCACAATTTTGTTTTTTCTTGAAACAAATAAAATGAGGACAAAAGTTGTTAGATGAATGTTTTGCGTTAGGTACCACTCATTATTAATGGTAGGGGTGGAGCGGTATATATTTTTTAACTAACCTATAGGCATTTAAGAAACACAAGAATGTATTTGTAATTTTAAAATGAATTTGCCAGGACTTAAAAAAACTTTGTGGACTACAATTACCAAACCTGTTGAATGACTATGTTCAATGTCTATGTGCAAAATTTAAATTTTTAGTAGTTAGTTAAACCAAACTGAAATACTAATTAATGTTAAAAATCCATTGCTCCACACTTCTCAAAATCGTATGAACAAGGTCTTGGCTTGATCATGGTAAAAAAGAACTAAATTACAATGCAGGCACACAATTGGAACGCTACTAGAAATATGGAAACATGGTTATCTTGAAGGCCTGCATATAAACATACATTCATAATGTATAAACTTGCAATGCATTAATTTTGAAAGTTTATTTTCTATTTAACTTGAAGGACCAACAAAAAAGATGAATCTGTTTCAGTCATTGACTGATGCCATGGACATAGCCCTTGCATCTGATCCAACTGCAGGTTAAAAGATGCTTTCTCATTCTTACTGAAGTTATTTCTATGACTTTGTATTGTTGTTAAACTTTCTTACAAGTACAAAGTATTATCAGATACTAGAATGATTCTTTTTTTAGACAATGGATGCAAAAAGTATTTACATTTCTTTAACACTTGATCAAACCATACCAATGTTAGTTTGTTTTTATCCAAATGTTTGAAAAATAAAGTTCTAACCAATTTTGAATATTTTGATTATATTGATTTTTTCCCAGTGATTTTTGGTGAGGATGTTGCCTTTGGTGGAGTTTTCAGATGTACTGTTGGGCTTTCTGACAAATATGGTGAGTGAAAATCAAAATTTTTCTTCAATGAATATGCTAAGTTTATGCATGGCTTAGTATAGGCAAGTTTAACGGATTATCTTCTCTCTCAGGGAGTCTCCACCTCGGCTTTCTTTTGCTTCTGATCAATGAGATTTAGAAAAAAGCTTTTCTTTCTAATCAGTATCTAATTCTCATTGTTGCCAATAATCTTCTTCTGTAGATTTCCCCCAAAAACTGAGAGTAATGGAGTTTTTCCAGCATAATTTTCTTTTAATTATTATGTTTTATGTTATGTCTGAATTTTGTAAACCTTTTATAAGCCAGTTATAATAAAAAGTATATACTTGAAGATTGCATGAAATACTGGAAATATAACATACTAAAACATTTTTCGTCTTCAGAGTATAAACATAAGATAATGACCAAAAGTAAGGTGAAAATTTATCTCCAGGTGTGGATCAAAAATAATGTGAGAAGAAGAAGATGCATTTGATTGGTTATCTTGTTTTTACCAATCAGTGACTGCTAACCTCTCACCTAATTGAAAGTCAGAGCTTTTTCTGTCTACAGAAGCTAGGATCCTTTGTTTTGATGTAAACAGATTCCAAAACTTCTAAATGAAAAGACAATCTTGCCTGTCTAATGATTTTGGAATGTTGTCACTATAGGTTTTGGCTCTCTCTGGATTTGTGAGTAAATGTCAACCAATTGCAGAAACACATTTTATTTGAGTATTTTTGTTTTTGCAAATGTGCTGTGGCTGTTCTCTTTCTGTAAGACTTTTTTGCCTAATGCTCACAGAACATGCTTGTTTTATTCTACAAGATTTGCTCCACAACTTGCAAAGGACAGATTTTAATTGCAATTTGTTTAATTAACTTCTCTTCCCGTGAGATTCTTGTTAGAGCAGGAAATCAAGAAAAATTGAGTTCAAGTTGGGAGAGCAAATGGAAATGTTCAATCCAAGGAAATTTCCTCGCAAAACAGGAGTGTCACAGTAGATAGGCAGTAATTAGTGTATATTGAGACCTGTTCTAATTTTTGCTTATCCTGTTTTGGTTCTACCTACAATTGATTAAAGAACACTACCTCCTTATCTACCATATAGGGAAAGATCGTGTTTTCAATACACCTCTTTGTGAACAAGGAATTGCTGGTTTTGCAATTGGAATGGCAGTTGGAGGGGCTACAGCCATTGCTGAAATACAGTTTGCTGACTACATATTCCCAGCCTTTGACCAGGTATTTGATAATATTTTTTTGTTTTCAGGCTTCTATCATTCATTCATTTTCAAATCGCAGCTATTTGTTCATTTTATTTATGATGATATACAGTATCCAAGGCTAGTTGTCCAAAAGAATTAAATAAACAATGTTTTTCTGCCGATGCAGTAAGAAGTTAGGTAGACTGAAAGTCCTGTTGTATTCTATTTTTCAATATTCAGTCACACTGTGAGGTAGTTATTATTTATTGTATCATTAACATTATTATTATTTTTGCTGAATGTTATTCTAACCTACTGTTTATCCAGGCAACTTATTATAATCCTTAATTTTATGTATTTTTTGCATTCTGAAATTGCCATTGGCATATACTTTGGCTTTTTAGTGTATATACGTATTTTTATCAATGTATTTTCGTATATTGTTTTGTGCAAATTATAAAATGGTAGTGCCAAACAACCATGGACATATTTTGTATTTTCAGATCGTAAACGAAGCTGCAAAGTACAGATACCGGTCTGGAAATATCTTTGATTGTGGGAAACTGACTATAAGAGCCCCCTGTGGAGCAGTTGGACATGGAGCCCATTACCATTCGCAAAGCCCCGAAGCATACTTTGCCCACACGCCTGGCATCAAGGTCAGGGATGATTTTGATGTTCTTTAAAAAGTGTCAAGATACATTCTTTGCAGCGTAAAAGCCCTGTAGCTTGGGCTGGAATATTAGTTAGCTTAAACGTTATGTCTAAATTTCTAAGTTTTCTGTTTTATATTTACCTTTCATCGTTTTATGTACCTCAATTTTGTTATTGTTATGTCATTTGTTATTAATTTTGTCATCGCAAGATTCATAAAATCCAGCGTACTGCCTCTATCAAGCAGCATCATTTCTTTCTGGTATATTTTGTGATATTATTCGTTTTCTCTGCTTCCAGGTTGTTATTCCTAGAGGTCCAATTCAAGCAAAAGGACTTTTGCTTGCCGCTATCAGAGATCCTGATCCTTGCATTTATTTGGAACCAAAGATTCTTTACAGACAGGCTGGTAACTGAAGTTATCATGTTTTTATACTTGAACTTAGGAAGTACTTTGTCTGATTAGCAAAACGTATTATGTTTCAAAGTGAACGGTAAGATCTCACACTTTGATTCCATTACTTATGGAGTACCCCTAGGCTCGTGTCTAAGACCTCTTCTTTTTATACTCTATGTAAAAGGTCTTCCTTTTGCTCTCAGTCTTCCTTTTGGGGGCACCTGTGGCACCATAGCTCTAAGTAAATTACAAAGCTCCAAATCCGTGCGGCCATAGTTGTTACCAAATGCACCTTACAATACGTCTGCTTTACCTATAATACAGCAGTTTGGCTGGACTATGGTCACAGCTCCAATTAGTTCTGAGACATTGAATATAACGCATAAATTACTTGATGATTAGGCTCTTGAGTACCTTACATTTATTTTCAGTAAACTATCTGAAATGAGCCACAAACAGCTATGAGATACTTCTGCAAAAATACACTACAAAAGAACTTCCGTAGGTCATGAAGCTCTTTTTATAGAGGGGCTAAATTATGGAATGACCTTGACAAGGAAATAAAAATGAGTAATTGTCTTAAAGAACCCAAAAGGCAATGAAAGACAAAATTCGAACCTATAGTAGCTTTTCCCACATGCTACCAAGTTTATATATGCCATATTTTGGTTTCGTAGTTAACGATTTCCTTCTTATTACAACCATCGTATTTTCTTTTCTATTCTTTCTTTTATGTAGTTTATTAAAATTGTAATCTTAGACAGGACAGTTTGTAAAGCAATTGACTTTTATAACTGAAACTTTCTCTTCACAAAATTGTTAGAGTGAAAAGAAATGAAGTGAAGAGTTTTAGTGGAATGTTGGATTTTAAGACCGAGGATTTATGCAGTGCGTTGTCCAAAAGATCTTGAAGAAACTAGGAAACTAAACAGGTTTCTCTTGGATTTTTCTCCCTCTAGAAATTTATTTGCACATTTAATCGCCAGATCTAGACGATGGTTATTGACAGTTGAGGCTAATTCCCCCTTGAATTTCTTTTTCAGTTGAAGAAGTCCCAATGGAAGATTATGAACTGCCGTTATCAAAAGCAGAGATTGTTGAGCAAGGTAAGTTTTTGTTTGGGTCTTAAAATTGCCACCAAACTTATTCTAAGGTAGCAGTAGATGCTTTTCCAATGCTTTTCTAAACAATGTTAATTTTTGATCTTACAGTCAGTACTTCTGAAGCTGATCTTCCTCTTTCAATGATCAATTCTATGTAATTTCACACAATTTTCAAGCAGCTACTTGCTTCCAATTTTTTCACAAGCAGCGGATGAATTGGTGTCCAAAATGGCATCATGCTTACTCTCGGTATTTTAAGCATTAATTTCTTTCCTTGAACTGTTAGGTCGGTAATAGTTCTTAACGACGTAAAAATGCATGTCTTAACATTGATATTGATCGTGTCCTTAGGATCGGATGTTACTCTTATTGGCTGGGGCACCCAGATTCAGGTGTTAAGAGAAACTGCAAAAATGGCTCAGGACAAACTTGGTGTTTCGTGTGAAATTATAGATTTAAGAACGATTTTGCCTTGGGATGAAGATACTGTTGTAGAGGTCAGTGATATGTTTAAAAAATAAACAAAGACAAGATTGTTTTTAAAGAATGTATACATTTTACATCAAATTATTCTTGATTACTTTGTAATTCAGAATGATATCTCCCATTGTCTTTTTCATTTGAATATTCTTTCTTCTAAGACACAGCATAGCTCCATGGCTCAGTACAAGCAGCTGTGTCAAGAGTAAAGTAAAACCAATAGATGGAAGTTAGTTTGAGTTTGAGAGAAAAAATGACATTTATACGTGTCATAATTTTCGAAAGCAAAGGTTCTTTAGTATGAGGTTTTCGTTACCATTGTAACTGTGTGAAAATACCAAAGTTAGCAATGACGAAATACTCATAAACTTGAACAGCTTGCCGTTTTTTGGAATCATCACTTCTTGATAAGCATAGCTTGCAATTCTTATGATACATGACCAAAATTAACTGTTCGACCATTTTATTATTTGGCGGCTGGCTGGTTTTGCTTTGTTGTTTGTATTTCCCTAATAGCACGATGCCACACAGAATTTTATGTTCCATTTTTGTTCCCTGTTTAGTCAGTAACAAAGACAGGAAGAGCAGTAATTGCGCACGAAGCACCGCTGACATCTGGGTTTGGAGCTGAAATTGCCAGTACCATCCAGGTATGAATACTGACTGAAAGTATTTGAAAACATTTTCTCTCATACCCAGAGAAAACTGTCATTATTTTTCTTTGAGTTTACTAACACACGTGCATATTTGCTAGATCAAAATGTTTTTAGGATATGTTGTTTGTTTTCCAATATATTCAGAAATATATTTTGATTAGCAGAAATATTTTCTATTTCACACCATTGCAACTTCACGTCAAACATTCAAAGTGTTTTGCGAAATTATTGCTTTCTTTGAGAATTATTTATTAGTTACATCTTTTGGCAGATTTTCAATTTAGAGGCATAGATTTATTGACATGCTCTTGTTTTCGCTCCTAGACATCATAGAACTTCATGTAATTTGCCATTTTCTTTCACAGAAAAGCTGTTTTCTACACCTTGAAGCGCCTATTGAGAGAGTCTGTGGCTGGGACCTCCCATTTCCGCATGTTTTCGAACCATTTTATCTTCCAGATAAACTTAGATGCTTCGAAGCAATAAAAACTGTTGTCTCCTTTTAGTTACGTAAAAAATAGTCCCTTTAAATTTTCGCATAGAATGTGTGGCTGTTAAATTTTTAGGCTTGAAATTTAATGATGTCTCGTAGAAATGTTTGTAACTCAGTCTGTATTTGTTAACAGTGTTGGCAACCTACCTCCCAACTTATAGGTAGCTCCTACCCTGGTGTTTACAGTAGCCGTATATCCAGACCATCGATCGCTTTTATTTGAAAAGTTAAGTTATTAAGATGTCTATTTGATAGATCACATGCTTCTTCTTATTTTTGCATCTAAAATATCAGTAAAAAGACAAGCTTTCCCAACATCGTTTAGGAACATCACAAACTAACCGAGGTGCGTTTCGTTTTGCATCGAAGTTTTCTTATCTGTAGAAAAGACAAGTAATTTCACCAAATCCAGACCAACTGTTGTGACGTCTTGATACTGAATGATTGCTTCGAGCTTAAATACTTTCTTGCCTTTAAAAATGTCTTTAAGAAATCGAAACCACTCTTAAACATATATTGCCATATAACATCAAAATATGTTGTCAGCCAGCTTTTACTGTAGGGAAATTATTAATTTGAATAACAAGATAATAGATTTCAGAAATCAGTTTGCTCAGGGACCATGGAAGTAGGGGGGTTGCTGCTGAGGCTTTAGCCCCTTATAATTTCCGAAATGTATTTAAAACCTCTCCATAACGTGTAAGCTCCCTTAATCGGTAATCTGCTCCGCGGCCCTTTAGTTCATTGACACAGCTTTGCAAGGGTAATTCCTTATATCGTTTTTGAACAATGTACACAATCCTAAAACGTAGAGAATCAGCTGACTTTCTTGCCAGTATTTATAATTGTACTGTATCTTTAAAATTCTTCCCAAATACTTTATACTGGAATATTTATTCATGTTTCTCAGAAATTGTAACACGAGTAGTCAATCGAAATTCGGTTTGTCCTGTTCTTTTTAATTTTCCTACATGCTGTCGTGTATTTTAAGATGGGGGGAAGTCTGCGCTGCGCTTTTTGGCCCACTGTTATGTATCCAGTCCCACACTCTATTTACTGCAGACCTTGCGCAGAATCGTATTATCTTGTGTTAGACATACAGACGAACGTGTAGCCTTCGAATTTTGTTATCAAAGCAATGTGAAAGACGTACAGCCGCTCCTCTGAAGGGTGTCAATAATTCTAGCCTTTTGATTTCATCACTTCTGAAAACTCACTTAGCTTAAAATTTAGTTTCTAATAGTATGCTGGAGAACCAGTCCAAATTCAACGCCGTAACCAAATTTTTTGACCCTCGTCGGCATAACTATTAAATAGATTTTCAAAACAACAAGTGCAGGGTTGAAAACTTTAAATTATTTTGTAAAAAGTTGATCCCTGGGACCGGGTAAGATAATTGACGAGGAAGTTAAGAAAATGACACAAAATAAACACGAGCTCGCCGAGCTTGTATGAAAACGGATTAGTTCGCCACTGTAACCTTAAAAACGTTGTTTGATGGATTTTATGGGTACGTGTTAGATGGAACTGGACTTACATGTCAGTCCGCACCACTCCACAAGAAAAACTGCCCATATGTATAAAGGTATTAAGGACAACAAGAAAAATTCCTTCCAACCGATCCAGCAGTTAAAGCTTGGAGCTGTCTTTCACTTGGGTTCGGCAAAACGTAAAAGTTTTTCTTGTTATACATATTCTTTTTGTATTCCTTGTGGAAAAATTTCTGCTTATCCTTTCCATCTGACTGATTGTATTGACAAACACAAGAATCGGTACATGACCTTCTAACTCGTTTCCTTGCAAGATCTCCTACTCAAGACCTTCATTTCTCATTAAGTTAGTTGATTCATTTTCAGATTCATGTTGCACAGTGTCTATTTCGCTAGCTACTTGTTTATACTTTCCCAAAATAGACTTAAAAGTTGTGATGTGATGTGAGTGCGTTATTTTGGATCACTTGTTATACTTTCTTGTTTAATAATATAAAAGTTTCTTAAACAATGTACATTTTTCGTGTCTTGAAAAAACATGGTGTGGAAAGTTTTAACGATCTATCTGCTTACCTCTACATTCGCTTACAGCTGTATAATTTCCCCAACCTGTAAGGTCAAAACTTTTCTTTCCTTCCCTGCAAGGTTCCTCGCGTGGATTGCATCTCTCACCATCATATGCTTTGTATTGTTTTCCAACCGTGGGAGCCAGATATTTACACTCCAAGGACTTGTCTTTTTGCTCTAGACGCTTAGTTTACTTTCTTCTTTTCCAGAGTACAAGGCATGATATCTTAAGAGTCTGGATTGAGCTTTTTTCGAGTTAAAATAAAGAAATTGAACTTTTGTTGCTGTGGGGAAGCTTGAAACAAAATAGTTGCTTTAGTGCCATTTGCACAAGATTCTTATATTGATTAACAAACTTGACCCCTTGACATCAATTACAGCGTGAATTATATGATGTGCCTCTTTATTCATTGAAATAGCCTCAGAATGAGCATTTGAAGCTTTCTCAGCCGCAGCCATCTTTTTTGTGCCTCTACAGGTGGTGTTCCGGGCATTTTCAAGAGAGACCCCCAATTTTATTCTAATCTTTTATATGTTCTGATGATGAAACAAGGGTCAAAGCAAAGTCCCGGCCATTTGGTCACGGATCGAATCCTAAGGAATGTTCCCTTACTAAGTATATTGGCCAATACTTAATTTTTTATTAAGATGTTGCTTTAGATAACTATTATAAAGATATTTTTCAGAATAGTACTTTAAGGATAGGGATAAAAAGAGGGTTGGAAAATGAGCCGACCTTCAAAATAAATGAAATTTTTTAGATCTTTGGCTACATTAACAGTAGGAAAATTGCTCAAGAACTACAAAGTCAATAATTAGTAAACGGGGGAGCAGGATCTTTCCATTTTCGACAACAGAGTATACCTGCTTATTCAAGTGAGCATTCTCCTACTCCTTGGAGCAACATGGCGCTTGACACCCCCCCCTCCCCCGAGAAACATTTCTAGCACCGACCCTGGACGACAAGTATGAACAAGAGCAAAATATTTGAAAATTATAAAATTCTCATAGCCTTTGATGAGATTGGAGCCTCTTGGGTAACACAATTAGGAAACAGGAAAATATTTTTGAATTTCAAAGGTTGAAATTGAAAATTTGGCTTTTTGTGTGGTTAATATTCACCTCTATTGTCTTTTTGCCCCCTGCACGTGACACAAATTTCTGGCGCCAATAATTTTGGCGCCAGCCGCTAGTATCAGATCGAGACTGAATACTTGGCTAAATCCAATATGGCCTATTGAGGTGCTGGAAAAGGTTGTTAGAGATGGAAAGGATAGCACAAGGGATTGCGCCATCATTCTATCATGTTCTTTGATGTAAAATTGATGATCAAGTTTCATGGTAACGTATCATTTCGTGTTTTATAGTAAGCAAACGTTCATCTCGCTAGAAGATCGGTCTTATCGATCTTGACTATTAAAGGTATCCATCAAGTTTATGCTTTCATTTTGAACATTACCTCAACCATATTGGTAACGTTTCCCCCAGTATAAGGCGCCCCAGTATACGGTCCAGCCCCAGTATAGGGATTGTCAATCAAGATTATGTTCTTAAGTGCCGCCAAAGCCGTTTCGGTTCGTTATCGTCGCGATGATAGATAGAAGTTATTTCAAGTCACAGCGGCTTCTCGGCCAGTAGACATTCAGCCATACACTTTCAGCAAGCGGCCATGTTGTAACAGCCGTACTTGAAAGACATTCGCGTAGCTCACCTTTAAAATATTATACCTTTAAAACTCATACAAAATATAAGTTTAGTTGTTTAAGTTTCGTTTTATTTTGCTCGTACCAAGTTTTGGTGCGACTATCGAGCCGAGTAACGTGGGAGCCTTTAGCAAGAATATAGGGCTCGCTCGTTCAGCTGACAACTACGGGGGTCAAATTGTTTCTAGGATACAGTTTTGAAAAAATCTTGACTGAAACTGTTTCGCCGGCCAATTGAAATCGGTGCACTTGCGTTTAAACTTTATTTGTTTTATTGTTTTGTGGGGTTCCTGGTGTTTAATGTTGCTTGCCTTGTTTATTTGACGAGCATTGACTGGGGATTTTTATGAACTAGAAGTTAGAAAAAAAAGGGTTTCGCTATGTTCTCAAGGTTGCAAATCAACCTTTTGATTATATGCAGCATTCTGAAAATCAAGTCCACATGTCACATTGCGTTTTTTGCTTGTTCAAAATTATCTTCCCCAAGAACTACACCTCGGTTGTGGGAGACACGCGCGGGGCCTTCACCCCCGGGTCAGACATAGAGAATTCTCAGAGTAGCGCGGACCTCTGTACACTTTTGCATAAATTTTGCCTCTTGTATGACCGATTATACCTTTAAAACTCATACAAAATATAAGTTTAGCTGTTTAAGTTTCGTTTTATTTTGCTCGTACCAAGTTTTGGTGCGACTATCGAGCCGAGTAACGTGGGAGCCTTTAGCAAGAATATAGGGCTCGCTCGTTCAGCTGACAACTACGGGGGTCAAATTGTTTCTAAGATACAGTTTTGAAAAAATCTTGACTGAAACTGTTTCGCCGGCCAATTGAAATCGGTGCACTTGCGTTTAGACTTTATTTGTTTTATTGTTTTGTGGGGTTCCTGGTGTCTAATGTTGCTTGCCTTGTTTATATGACGAGCATTGACTGGGGATTTTTATGAACCAGAAGTTAGAAGAAAGAGGGTTTCGCTATGTTCACAAGGTTGCAAATCAACCTTTTGATTATATGCAGCATTCTGAAAATCAAGTTCACATGTCACATTGCGTTTTTTGCTTGTTCAAAAATTATCTTCCCCAAGAACTACACCTCGGTTGTGGGAGACACGCGCGGGGCCTTCACCCCCGGGTCAGACATAGAGAATTCTCAGAGTAGCGCGGACCTCTGTGCACTTTTGCATAAATTTTGCCTCTTGTATGACCGATTATACCTTTAAAACTCATACAAAATATAAGTTTAGCTGTTTAAGTTTCGTTTTATTTTGCTCGTACCAAGTTTTGGTGTGACTATCGAGCCGAGTAACGTGGGAGCCTTTAGCAAGAATATAGGGCTCGCTCGTTCAGCTGACAACTACGGGGGTCAAATTGTTTCTAGGATACAGTTTTGAAAAAATCTTGACTGAAACTGTTTCGCCGGCCAATTGAAATCGGTGCACTTGCGTTTAAACTTTATTTGTTTTATTGTTTTGTGGGGTTCCTGGTGTTTAATGTTGCTTGCCTTGTTTATATGACGAGCATGAAAAGTTCGGCTAATTTTAACGTAATTGACATTAAATATACAATTGACAGTTTTGATTTTGATCATATATTGTTTGTTTCATTATTTAGTACTGGCCAATAATTTATCAGCCATTCTATGTCCCAATTTTGCAAAAAAGGCAGTGAGAGGTTATAGAGGCAAATTCTTTCTCTGCACATTCAAAATGGCGGATATGTGGATAATATTATGCTGAATCAGCAAAAATTAAAATAACTATAATATCTGAATGAGCAAAGATATCAACTTGAAATTTTCAGGTTATTTTCCTCTCAAAATGCTAAGTATCTGATAGGAGTATCAGGAAAATTTGAGAGGGTGCATTACATGACTGTCCCTCATTGGCATGGAATGACCCTGTTACAATTATCAACATATCGCAGTCGGATTTATTTATTTTCAACTCTTTACCGTAGTTCTGATTAAGGAACAGGGAAATCATTTCGGCAGCCTCTTCGTAGCCTTCCCCGCGCGATGCTAAAATTTCGATTAGAGTAATATCCTCTTTCAATACTAAATTCATAATTTCTGCATAAACGGACGGTAATTTTGTATTCCTAAACATTGCTAGCTTTTCTGCAATTGACCCATTTTTTAGTGAAGCTAGTAAGAATTTATTCAAACTTTTCAAATTAACGTCTACTGCAACTTTCTTTTCGCATGGGCTCTCAACTGGTTTCAAACAAATGGGTTTTCTTTTCCCTTGTAAGGTTGCAGACTCTTTTTTCCTTTTAGAACCCTTACTCATAGCCATTTCCTTCCTCTTTTTATTCAGCGGGGCATGTTGTGATTCTGTTTCGCTTCCAACTGCAGTGCAATTTTCGCACTGCAATGTTCTGCCTTTTTATTACTGCTTGGACACATTCTACGTGAAACCATTCATTACAACTATCGCAAGCAATCATTGGGGAACCCCGTTCATAAAAATCCCCAGTCAATGCTCGTCATATAAACAAGGCAAGCAACATTAAACACCAGGAACCCCACAAAACAATAAAACAAATAAAGTCTAAACGCAAGTGCACCGATTTCAATTGGCCGGCGAAACAGTTTCAGTCAAGATTTTTTCAAAACTGTATCTTAGAAACAATTTGACCCCCGTAGTTGTCAGCTGAACGAGCGAGCCCTATATTCTTGCTAAAGGCTCCCACGTTACTCGGCTCGATAGTCGCACCAAAACTTGGTACGAGCAAAATAAAACGAAACTTAAACAACTAAACTTATATTTTGTATGAGTTTTAAAGGTATAATATTTTAAAGGTGAGCTACGCGAATGTCTTTCAAGTACGGCTGTTACAACATGGCCGCTTGCTGAAAGTGTATGGCTGAATGTCTACTGGCCGAGAAGCCGCTGTGACTTGAAATAACTTCTATCTATCATCGCGACGATAACGAACCGAAACGGCTTTGGCGGCACTTAAGAACATAATCTTGATTGACAATCCCTATACTGGGGCTGGACCGTATACTGGGGCGCCTTATACTGGGGGAAACGTTACCAACGTTGCTCCAATTTGTACGCAAACCGGTCTGATC